TGGGTGGTGGGGTGTCGGATCCCCCCTTCTCTGAAACACCACCCCACCCCCGATCCGCCAATGGTTTACGTTTACCTTGTGCCAGGTATTGTTTATTGTCTTGTATCATCACATACTTACGAGTTGTCACTGTCTCTGTCAGCAGTAGATGCCTATGTTAATGATGGTAGATTTGAGTGACTGGGTTCATTGGTTTATCACCGCCTTGAACAGTATGTCGTTTACACCATGACGTGACATCTTGGTGTGGGACGAAATATGTCTTAGACCTATCTATATGTATGACTACTTTGGTGAAGTCCGCAAATGGTGCTGGCAAACCTAGAAATAGAATCGGGGCGAATTTGGGATTCATAGGTTTCTGGACACCTAATGTGATAACGACGACGAAGAAGAAGATGATGATGATGATGATGATGATGATGATGATGATGATGAGGAGGAGGAGGATGATGATGATGATGATGAGGATGATGAGGAGGAGGAGGAGGAGGATGGTACAAACCAAGTTATTATGTATTGGTTATATATCACAGGGGCTCATGATGGTGGTGGTGGCGATGATGATGATGACGATGATGATGATGAGGAGGAGGATGGTACAAACCAAGTTATTATGTATTTGTTATATATCATGGTGGGTGGCGATGATGGTGGTAGTGGCGATGATGATGATGATGATGATGATGATGATGATGATGATGATGATGATTTCCTCGAGGATATTAATCATCTTCAGCCACGGCTTAGCATATGTTTGTCTAGGCAAGCTTACATTACGACTCAACAAGACAGCTGTAACAAACAATGTGAGATAACATATTCTATTAGCCATTGTTTCCCGCAACGCTCACGTCTTCTTAGTGTTGTCAGTTTACAACAGAAAGAGCACAGTAAGGTTAACAACCCTAATTATCAGTCAGCGAGGCTGCGTTCAGCGGAGGGAATGCTCTACTTCTAATTACAACCAACCATGGTCTTGAATAACCAATCTAACCTTCAAACAGGGAACTTATTTTGGTGTATTTTTAAACATCAGACCTTTAATGGTTGTGGGGTTGTGGGGTAACCTACAGCTTGTTCAGCTTGACCTGATCTAGTGAATACTAATGCATCGCGTGACCTTGTCACAACTGGTTGGGTCTATTATTGTGAAGGGGTGCACCTTTGTCAGTTCATTGTCAACAGCCGAGACAAGGTCGCCGTTTGACATCTCAGTGTCGAGAAATCGTCAGCAATGTCCTAACTTTCTTTAAAAAGGAAGCTAGAGATAGTTTAATGTTTCCGATTCGGGCTTTTAGGCATTAATAACCTCTGCTCCCCTTTTTAATGAAGTTAACTTGACCTGCCGTTTGTGCCTTTTGACCTCCCGGGTCATGCATATGTAGAGTAACTCAGGTCAAGCTGAACAATCTGTAGTGGTTAAAGCGTTCGCTCGTAACGCCGAAGACCCGAGTTCGATTCTCAAGCTGGGTACTATTAGACTGCTTAGTCTCTGAACATATATATACATGTATATAATTTTGATAGAAACATAAAACGCCTTTTTAATTGAAAAGGAGAAGGGAGATACAAAACCTGAGGAAATCTAGACTTGCTTCATTTTGAACTTCAGCATAGCAGGAAGGGCTGGGCGTTAGGGAAAATGATACGGTTCATGGACTGTGAGACAGACTAGGGTACTATGTGTGAAGCTCATTTCTGTTGTACCGTCCATGACATTGCTGGAATATTGCTAGAAAAACAGCTTCGTGGTGTTTGTGATACTGAATTAATTGCTCTGAAATTCTACACGGTGACATACCGGACGTCATGGTGAAATTAAACTCATGAATATCTTCATGAATATTTGACACTGATCGCCCCACGAATGCCAGCACCCTAGTGCCCGTCTAGACGCCATGTACCCCAACTGATCCGTCTCATTACGGAAAGACCCGTGTCTATATAATGTGATACCCATGTGGTTTGACGCTATGTGTGGAATGTAGCATATATACACTGGGATTCCTGGGTGATATAAGGTATATCAAGTATGTTGGATATGTGATATAAATGTGAGAAGGTAAACATCTCCTGTAATTGGCAATAACACTTTACACCGTACACTTGTTTGTTATAACTGGGTGTATATTGTCAGGGATTAATCTGGGTTCTGCTAGGAACACTTTATCGCCTGATCTTCACAATTTTGTGTTTTTGTCAGCGCCATAGTGGGTTTCGCCATATGGTTAACGTCTATGGTCTGACAACTTCGGGTTTCTCTCCCACATTAAGCTGACACACGGTGTTATAACTTTAAAATTGGTCAAAGCGATATTAAAACCAGCTACCTCATTCATAATCCTACCCGTGAAGATCCGGGTTAGAATTGGTCTTCCGCAACCATGTTTGTTGTAAAAGGCGACTGATGGGATCGGGTGGTAAGGCTCGCTGACTTGGTTGACACATGTCATCGTATTCCAATTGCGTAGAACAATGCTCATGCTGTTGATCACTGAATTGTCTGGTACAGACTCGATTATTTACAGACCGCCGCCATATAGCTGGAACATTGCTGAGTGCGGCGTAAAACTAAACTCACTCACTCACTCCACTATCTTAAAACCTATCAAAGGTCACAATATAATCAACATTTGACATAATCCAAGAACAATGTATCTTCAGCTGACAGATACAAGGTGCAACACATTTATCTGTAGTGTGCTTATATTCCACGTTGGTCAAATCCTGCGCGTGCCACTTATACATGGTAACACGCTCCAAATGGCCAGAACCGTGAAGATCCGGCTTAGAATATTGGCCTTCAGTAACCCATGGTTGTCGTAAGAGGCGACTAACGGGATCGGGTGGTCAGGCTCGCTGACTTAGTTGACACGTCATCTGTTCCCAATTGCGCAGATCGATGCTTATGCTGTTAATCACTGGATTGTCTGGTCCAGACTCCATTTTTTACAGACCGCCGCCATATAGCTGGAATATTGCTGAGTGTGGCGTAAAACTAAACTCACTCACACTCCAAATGGCCAATTCTATATACAAATTTATCACCAATGATATACTAAATGATATAATTCGAGTTCACAATAACAATTATACCATCAGTTAAATCAGCAAATCAGCGATTATCTTTGGTAGCTAGAATAGGTTATAAAATACGGACGACCGTCATTTACTCACCACTCTGTGGCTGAATAATAAACACATTGTTTATGTACTCAGGTCTTGTGTTGCTGGGTCGGTTGGTTGTACACATGTGTAACTATGCCCCAATCCTCGTTTTTCAATACTTGTAAGGGGCGACTAAGGGGATCGGGTGGACGGGCTTGCTGATGCATGCTATCGTCTTCCAATTGCCGTGATCGACCCTCGTGATGTTAAAGACTTGAATGTCTGTCCCAGGCTCGATTATTTAGACAGTCGTCATAATACTGCTTTGAGTGGCATTTTAGAATTTGGGAAGTACAATATATACAGACTTTATAATAACAAGTTCTTTATTTCGTGAGTGCGGCGTTTCGATACAGATTGTTGTATCGTGGTCAAGCAGGAAACTTAACTTCGCACTCACGAAATAAAGAAGTTGTCATCGATAAAGTGTATCTTTATCGTCTTCATATAGTTAGGAAACTGCTGAGTGCGGCGTTAAACAACGAACAACAAGAGAAAAACTACATAAAATATCCCCAAAATAATCAAGATCGCTAATCAGATTTGATTAATTCCATCGTGTACAGACACAACATGTTACAAGTGTGTATAAGCACATGTCGCTGTACTCATCACACTGCTGTCTTTAATCAGCTTCAGCAGTCAGGCCCCACGCATATTCCAGCAGCATCTCAAAGCTCCTTGCAGCGCCGTACAGGTTTACACAACAACTGGTATACATTACAGGAATAACATCACCTCCTCGACTCAGCTATTCTTGGCGCGGCAACACACATCTCGGTACAATGCAACAAACATGTTCGCAAAAAACACTGCCTGCTTTACAAGGGGAAATGTTTTGTTGATTTTTTAACTAATGGCCTGATTATTATCAGCATTGTTAGAAGGTTTGAAGCTGTTGCAAACTGTTGGAAACTGTTAGGGGATTTGTTTGACACCGTCGTGGGGTTTTACAGAACCTTAATCCATGTTCTTGACGGTGGGGCGAGGTGAAATATGGTCCCAATATCAAGTTTATTGCATTTGTAGAGCAAAGTGCATGCACGTGTGGCTTCTCGTACTTGTCCGGGCATATACCGGCTTTAGAGTGCTTAACTACTGAGGTAGACTAGCATGAATTTCCCATTCAGACAGTCCTTGCCTTACTCCTCTAATTCCTATCTCCTGACTAACAGGCCGTATCATCAGTTAACAACTCTTGGTTTAAAGTGAGCGAGCGAGTTTAGCTTTACGCCGTTTTTAGGTTTGATCCAGCATTATCACGGCGGTGACACCAGAATTGGGCTTCATACATTGTACCCATGTGGGGAATCGAACCCGGCTATTCGGCGTGGCGATTGGTTAGCTGGTTGTTGTTTAACGCCGCACTCAGCAGTACCCCAGCTATATGGCGGTCAGTAAATAATCGAGTCTGGACAAGACAATACAGCGATCAAGAGCATGAGCATCGATCTACGCAGTTGGGATACGATGACTCGGCGTGACGAGCGAACGCTTTAACCACTAGGCTACCCTACCACCCACTTGGTATAAAGCGGACAGGGGATCGAACTAGTCTGACTCACAGTTCTTGTACCACATTATTACCCATCCAGCCAACTCTTTGTGCAATGCCATGCTGAAATCTATGAATTGATATCAAGGACCAAAGGGAGACAACTCACAGATTGAAGTGCTACCACGGAGGCCCCACTGGGCCCTGTATTTCTATGTTACTATGGCATTGCGTGTATGGCCATACTTAGTTCTATAGATCATTTGTATCCAATATTGCCGCGAATTTACTGTATACCCGGTATTCTATGCTAACACTGACTATCTTGTTCCAGGTTTGAGTACAGCGAGGATTGGTCACAAGTCGGAGATGATTTTGACCGTGAGGGACACGGAGCACGTGCAGTACAATGGAAATGACGTCAACGTGAGAGCGTGGCTGATATACCAGAACGAAAGCCTCCGGTACGTTGAAGTGACGCCCGTATCTGGATGCATTTCATTTACGGATTAACTTTCAATGAATATCGTAGGGTTGACTAACGAATTCCCATTCATCTATGTTTTCATCCTTTAAATGTTGTTTCGGTACTGTTGCCATTTTCAATACGTACTAATACCAGAGCCGAAATGTCTGTACTTTACCTGAGACCAAGTTAGAGGGAGAGACCAAGTTAGAGGGAGATGGCCGAGGCTTGGGATCGTTTTTGACATAATCGTTGGAGGATGCGTGTTTCAAAACAACCATCAAAACAAAACATTAAAAAATATACTCGAGGACCATTTGATCTCCCCCCAGTTTTTGGGAAGAGATGTTATCGAAAAATCCCAAGTTTCACCATCCTCACCCCACCCAAGAATATGAAGTGTACCCTAATACGTAAGCCCTTGAGCGTAACGTCGATGTCGACCTCACCGTCATCACCTGGACTATTGTGTAAACACTGATTGCTGTTCTTCCCTCCACAGAAGCATTCCTGTGAACATCTCCTGCAAGAAGGACGGAACTCACCATCTGGCCTTCACCCCGGTACAGAAGGGCACGCACTTCCTGCACGTGGCAGTCAATGGGCAGCCCGTCAAGGTAGGACAAGTTTGGACTCAACTCACGACCTTACTGCCCACATATGTATGGTCCGTGCCCAAGTAAAACTACAACCTGCGGCCCTGCTGTGGTAGATTAACTGTGGTCATATAAAACAATCGGTTGTTACTTAACGTCTATTGAATAGTATATTTGTATGGTTAAAGTATCTGTAAGGGCTTTATGCCATTCATACCGATCCTATATATTTAATGCTGAAAGTGTTTGGATATTTTATGGGTACAAGAAATGAACTGGTTTATTCTTTCATCCAATGTATGGAGAAACTTCATTTTTTTTATAAAACAAGCGAAACATGCATCTGAAACTGAATAAAAGTATCTTTAATAAATAGAATAATGTATAATTACATGTCCCCCTACAGGACAGCCCCTTCAAGTTCAGCGTGAAGGCAAGATGGCGGGAACACAAGGGTGTATGGCAGTGCTGTACCTTCTGTCAGACTGGAGGGAAGAGGGACGTTGCATGTGGATGCAAAGGGGCAATGCCAGGTGAGCTAAGCTTCAATTCCGACTAACCGTTATGTCTGTATACGAGACAACAGTGAATTCCGTTGCTCATATTGTAAGAAGAAAACAGCGGGTTGTCCTTTTTATTGCGTACTTTAGTTGGATCTAATGCAAACAACAAGTTATGGAAATGGTCGTAATTGGAGATAATGGAGTTTTTCGGGGCTTTTTTATACCGCTATACAACAACCAATAGTTATGTCTTTATGCAAGACCAATGTTAGCTCAGATGCTCTATTGTAAGAAACACCAGTGTTTTAACTTAAAATTTACGCTGGATCTAAAGCAAATATAAAGTTATTGTGAAAGTTGTCATAATTGGAGATAGTGGAGTTTTGGGGGGATTTTTGTACCGCTTTACAACAACCAATAGTTATGTCTTCATGCACGACCAGTTAGCTCAGATGCTCGTATTGTAAGAAACATCAGTGTTGGCCTTATTAAGGGAAAACTTACGTTGGATCTAAAGCAAGTAAAGGGTTATTGTGACAATTGTCATAATTGGAGATAGTGGAGTAATTCCTTTTGCTACCACTATATATATTGACTGATCGTAATGTCTTTATGCAAAACCATAGTAATTTCAGTTGCTCACATTGAGAGAACCAATAGTGTTGTACTGTGCAAAAGATTTAGGAGTCACTGGTGTAATAACAGCTATATGACAATGTATTGTGGATGTTCCAGGTGGGTTTGCCGGCTGTGGGCATGGACATGGCAACCACCCTGGCGGGCCTCACTGGTCCTGCTGTGGGAAGATGGCGAAAAACTCAGAATGCTCTGTTACAAGCAGACCGTCTCCGCTCAGACAGGTCACCTTATGAAGGAGGCTCGGGTGATCTCTGGGACGCACTCGTCACACTTGCCACGTTCAGCAGCAGCAGCACAGGAACCTGGCCACGCCCTGCCCACTCCACCCAGGCGCCAAAGGCAGATGACCATACTAACAGGCCACGCCCTGGTGCTAAGGGCAGATGACCACACTAACTAGGCCACGCCCAGGTGCTAAGGACAGATGACCAAAGTAACAGGCCACGCCCTGGTCCTAAGGGCGGATGACCACACTAACTAGGCCACGCCCAGGTGCTAAGGACAGATGACATCCTAACTTGGCCATGCCCTGAAGCTGGTGGCAGATGACCACACTAACTAGGCCATATCCAGGTGCAAAGGGCTCATGGTCAAATGAATTTGGCCATGCCCAGGTACTAAGAGCAGATGACCACATGAAGTTGGCCACGCCTCAATGTTATGAGGTATGAAGGGACAAACCTGGCCACGCCCAAGCGCTCACAATGGAAGACAATATGAACAAAAAATGGCAAACTAGCAACTCTTGGTTGAGAAAGCCAGCCACGGATTATCAAGTGCCGCCCTCCTGTCCTTGTTCAGAGAGCCACAGGAAGAAGCCAGTATCAGATCATCAGGCATCCATCTTGTTCTCAGAGATGTAGCCTTACCAAGCCACATGGCTGATTGTCACACAAATAAGTCTACTTCTTTGAGGAAGCTTATCAAGCTGTGAAGTGGACGACACACACCAGGCCGACTCAGGATGACCAGCCAGATACGATCAACAGACACCAAGCTAGCTCAAGCTGATACTAAGCCAGGCCACATACGGCCAACACCAAGCCAGCTGAGGCTCATTGACAACAAGCCAGATCACGTTGCTTGTGGATAGACACCAAGCAGGATCACGCGAAAAGATGGCGTTATGAAGATGACTGACAGACAACACACGGACTCATCTCTGTCAGACGCGTGGGCAACAAGATAATCACCACATACTACCGGCAGACAGAGAGTTATGGCCACAAAAGGTAGTTCCAAGTGACATCGAGACTTGCCAAGATTAAAGAGTATCATCACGAACTGACAAGTCATTAATGACCAAGCACACAATCAACTGATTGAAATATATTTTGTACAAATAGAATTTCAACTTGCATTTATTTTTTGTTAGACAAGTTAAAAAATAAATGTGTCAACGAATATACATATATGTGTTTTGTTTGTCTGTGAAACAATAAAACAACGATATCACACAGATAGGCCCCAAGTGAGCAATATTACAGCTATAAATCGCACAGACCTCCATTGAGTAATAGGGCAGCTATATCACATATTCCTCCAGGGAGCAATATTACAGCTATATGTCACACAGACAGACTTCCTTTGAGTAATGGGGCAGCTATATCAGATAGGCCCCAAGTGAGCAATATTACAACTATATATCACACAGACCTACCTATATTGAGTAATAGAGCAGCTATATCATATAGGCCCCAAGTGAGCAGTATTACAGCATTATCACAATGGCCTCTACTTGGTAATACGACAGCAATGTCACAGGCGCCGACAACCACATAGGCCTGAACTGACCAAAATACAACTATATCACATTGGCATCTACTGAGCAATATCAGATATACATCATACTCTACTTTATCATACAATGGGTATGTTTCTTGGTAAGATAAAGCCAAAGGATAAAAACGGTATCCGTTGAGTTTGGGTCAAAAGCTGACAGAGGTATGTCAAATATGAAAAATCATGTAGGGACGACTCACAGGTTTTACAAACAAACATGGCGTCGCCCTTGTCAACATAAACCATCGGAATATGGAGAAACGTCTGAGACAATTGTAATCATTATCAAAACAATCATCTAAGATACTGAAATATAGTGTCTTTCTGGGCCGTTGCCGAGACATTTTACATGTGTGGGCAGCTTTGAAGATGCAAACAACGAAACAGGCTAGCAATTCTCGAAACGTTCGTAGCCCTACGAACTTCTTAAGCCCATTCTTAACACACTGGCTACGATCAAAGTTAAGAATTCTTAGGGCTATGAACGTTTCGAGAATAAGGGCCCAGATATCGAGGACACCAGTTTAACCGAGCCGGGTCGATCTGTTTCCATACATGTGCTGGTAGACCTCTGCAGTTTTGTCCCTTTCCCAAATTTAAAACAGTTTGACTGGTCGATATATGGACGAATATTGTTAGTTTGTTTTATCTTGTTGCTGTATGTACTTCTGACTACACTTCGTAAAGTTACGACCACATGATAGGTACGCAAGAACGGGACGTACCATAGAGAAAGGTTAGAGTAGCTTCCCTTTGGTAAAGGGAAGTTACTCTAGTGGGCAGAAAGGTTAGAGTAGCTTCCCTTTGGTAAAGGGAAGTTACTCTAGTGGGCAGAACGATAAATTACCGCCGGAGGCACATTAAGATGTGTTACGCCACTGTCTAAGAAACAGGTTCAGCTACATTGACTGTTGCACTGGCCGGCTGGCACGTCACTGAATGTCTAACGTAAGATATTTATGCACACATTCCTAGAAAACTTACAATGTTTATTTTATAGTTGAAATATGTGGTTTTCAAGAAGTTATAAATGCCATTATGTGATAAAGAGGTTATATAACTTGCGTGTTTTGGGATAGCGAGTCGTGATAAACTCTACTGTATACATCACACTATCTCCGGTCAGAATAATTTCAGGTACCGTATTTCCTCTAATAAGCGCCCGGGCACTTATTTTATCAACGGACTTTCTGGGTGTAATTACCGTGTTGGTGAACTGCTTTACCCTGGCGCTTATCAGAGGAAATACGGTTTATCATATAGGGGCCTCCCGTAGTCAGAGTATGTTGTATTCACCGGGGCTTGTAACGGAAACAGACTAGCATCAATGTATATTTTGTCATGATTACGGTCTTAGCACTTTATCCTGTGTCCAGGAATAACAAAGCTTCTGGACATCGGTTTCATGTCTGCCAGTTTCTAATCAGAAAGACCTGTCGACATCAAATCTGGAACATCATCCAGTGATTCATAGTGTGTGTCAGGGTAATCAGCCATCTCAGAACATCATCAACTGTCCTAACCACATCAAGTCGGACAATGTAGATATATTTTAAAAAAACCTCCAGGACTTCACCAAAAGAAAACTGGCAGAAGCAGCTCAAGTCCTTGACACAAGCGCTGAAACAACATCCCATCCACCTGCAATGAACTGATAAAAACATCAGAGCAGAGCACTCCAGCCATCTTTGCTAATTAATCCTTTTAATTAATCCATTAATTGTGTCCTGCCTCATGAACAATGGCTTCCTCCTCTTGTTACAGCATTATTACTAGTATGCATTGTTGTTGTTAATCTCTTTGATATATACCTGAAAAGGTCATACTATCTTACTTAATCCCTGTTAGATGTAAATAAACTTCAAGTACACCATTCCCAACCAGTGTCACACAAACAAATTAATCCACAAGTGCTTGAATAAGTTACTTTATTTACACAATAACTTGCACTGTTATACAGAAATCAAACAGGAGAGTATGTACAAACTATTAACACTGTAGGTGTCTTGACAAAAGACTAAACTTCATCAATAATAAAACGCAAGTTGAAACAGTAATTAAAGGAGTCAAACGATACAGTTTAAAAAATTGACATATAAAATGTGAACCTATTTAAGTCTAAAACATGAAATGTAAAAAGACTGAAACATGCAAAATATAAAATATAGGTGATCGTTTGCTTGCATCACACACATGTCCAAACAGGTGAGTGGACCTGAATTTCATTTGTAGTGTACATGACAAGGACCTTCTTTGATGGGCATTTTAGAAGTCGAGTTGATGAAGAATAATGACAATTATTATGGATATACAACTTCTTTTATTCTGTGGAGGTGCGTTTCGACATAGATTCTAACGTGCTTGACAACGACATTAGAATCTATGTCAAAACGTCACCTCCACAGAATAAAAGAAGTTGTATATCCATAACAATTGTCATTATTCTTCATCACAAGGACCCTCAAATTATATATCAGGAAGGACAGACCAATGTTTGACAGCAAGAGTGAGCGAGTCCGCTTTTAGCAATATTCCAGCAAGAAATGGGCTTCACACATTGTACCCATGTGAGGAATCGAACTCAGGTCTATGGTGTGACGAGCGAACGCTTTAACCACTAGGCTACCCTACCTCCCTTTTGACAGCAAGAGCAACAGTTGAAGCCACTACAGTGACAGCAGGGAGCTAGGTCGCATTCAGTCATCTTCCAGTCAGTATTAAGCTCGTTTTCATGACTACCAGTGGATATGAGAGGGAGAGAGGACCATGTTCATTTTCATAAGTGGTTTGATAAGTGTTAATTAAACTTTTAAGACACTGGATATACCAGTGGGTATATGAGAATATATTCTGAATGGGTGATGGAAAGGGTCAACAGTTACTAAAGTTTTGAGTTCTGACATTGGGGAGATACTCTAATTTTAGGGAATAAGACATCCTTCCACAAAGCGATCTTTGCACTGAGATGATCATGGCTCCCACACTTAAACGCAGGCTTACAACTCTCCCTAAGACAGCCTTGTGGATTAGACCCAGTTGAAGTTGTCCACATCTCTGTCTTGGTAAAATATATTTGAGGCAGAGAATTCAATTGTGCTGATCTAAGTCCAAATGTGTAACACTGTACAGCTTCACTGACCATATTGCTCTAAGCACAGTGTTGCTCTAAGCACAGTGTTGCTCTAAGCACATTGTTGCTCTAAGCACATTGTTGCTCTAAACACATTGTTGCTCTAAGCACAGTGATGCTCTAAGCACAGTGTTGCTCTAAGCACAGTGGTGCTCTAAGCACATTGTTGCTCTAAGCACAGTGTTGCTCTATGCACAGTGTTGCTCTAAGCACAGTGGTGCTCTATGCACAGTGGTGCTCTAAGCACAGTGGTGCTCTATGCACAGTGGTGCTCTATCGATGCACAGCGATGCTCTAAGCACATTGTTGCCCTAAGCACAGTGGTGCTCTAAGCACAGTGTTGCTCTAAGCACAGTGATGCTCTAAGCACAGTGATGCTCTAAGCACATTGCTGCTCTAAGCACATTGTTGCTCTAAGCACAGTGGTGCTCTAAGCACAGTGATGCTCTAAGCACAGTGGTGATCTAAGGACAGTGGAATTGAACCTACCTGTCATGTGGTACAAAGCGTGTAGTTTTGAGAACAGTTATTTTGCACTAAACACGATCATGCTGCACTGGACAGAGGTTGCAGTTGTGTTGCACTAACCCTAGCTATGATTCACTAAGCACAGTTGTGTTGTTGGGCAGATATTACAAGTGAAATACTACATACATAGGATTCAGCCTTTCAGCCTCTCATCCAAAGGAGATCAGTGGTTGCCCTGCTTGCCCTGCTTGCCAGCCCCACCTGTGCAGACTGAATAACACTGAATTCCTTCATGTACCATGTCTCCCAATCCCAACTATATAAATTGAATAACACTAAATCATGGACTTAGCTTAAAATAACAACTCGTCCAATGAAAACATTTTTTTTAATACATACATCAGAGAAACACACGACTCAAAAGGAGCTAAAGAACACTTGATTTTGTGTCATTTCACAACGGATAATCTGTCGTATGATTACCAATATGCATATGAAAAAACATCAGATCTACTTTTACTCCTTTTTAGTTGACATCGTTTCATCATAACTATAAAACAATAACCGAGCTAAACTCAGGTGGAAATTGACACAAACATAAAGAAACTGATTTGATCATTCACAAAACTACAAATTAAAGTGATGGATCGATATACAATGAACATATATGAACATAATCTCTGGAATTAAAATACCACGACAGATCCGCCTAGGTGTGTCTACAGTTTGTCACACGAGTACCTACATCTATCAAACATCGGTCAAAACTACACTGTGATATTGATACATCCTTAAATCTTACTTTGATACAGAATAATAAGGTCACTGGTATATTTTACACAGAAAGCAGTTCCACATTGGCTGGCTATTTACACTTGTGCATATATACAGCTTTACAGTTTGACTTGTATGTTGCCATGGTTACAGACAATATCTACATCACTCGCAGATTATTTCATCACTGTTATCACATTGGATGTCAACTCTCCTCACACAGAGTAGCGTAATGCTCTGTGAGCCGGAGAAATCACTTAAGGGACCATTAAATAATTTATGGCTAGCTTTTTGTTCTGGAGAGCTAGGGGAGGTCAGCAATTTTGTACACACATACTAGGGGTGCGGGTTGGGGTGGGATGGTGGTGTTCCAGCAATTTTGTACACAAAAATATGTTTAAAATTATGCTTAGAAATGGGGGGTTTGTCATTGATTTTGTACATCACATGCAGGGGGGTTGTCACATATTTTGTACATTTTATTTTATTTTATTTTATTATTTTTTTGTGGGGGATGGGGGGTGGGGTTGTCATTCACATTGTATCTGCTTCTCCATAAAAATGATCATCACCCCCAACCTAGCCATAAATTATGAATGGTCCCTAAGCAGAGAAACTCAAAATACACATAAAATCAAATCTACTTGAATAGCTTGGATGATGGGGATATGTGAGTGAGTTGGGTTCTATGCTTTTCTGATTAGTTAGATCACATGTCAAATCTATTGGGATATCTTAGATGCTAGGTATTTGTGGGTGAACTAGGTCTTAACACACCTTGATCAGTTAGTTTGCATGTCAAACCTATTAGGATATCTTTGACGACAGGTATTTGTAAGCGAGTTAGGTTTAATGCCACTTTGATCAGTTAGGTCACAACATGTCAGCTTGTAGTGGGAAAGAAGCCCAATGTGGTTCCGGTCTAAGATGTTTATCACTAACTCCTGAAGAATCCAGCCACACTGCAGGCATATATCACAACAGTGAAGAGCAATATCAGCATGATCAAAACCATCAACACTGATTATTGTTCATCAATACCCTAAAAAGGGTTGAAAGTCTCTGGACTTAATAATACAGCATACTTTCCCCGTGAATATATTCTTGCATTCAGAAAAGCTAAAGAACTAAACAAAATTCCAGCCATTTCAAAATGGTGTCATTAAAATTCCCCATCATATCTACCCCTGCCACAATATGATCTAAGCTCTCTGGCTTCATCGTAAATCCCATTAGATCACAAAATCTAACAGCTTTGTGGAATAGAACCCTTGTCTTCAGGCAAACACTTTACCCTCTGTGCTATCTGAACTTTAATAGTAACAGATGAGGTACAGGAACACAAACTGAAGCTGTCCCAAAGGTCAGGTTCAGTTTATTCATTTCTCAAAAATATTGTCAGATAATTGTGACCTACTTAAATCACATTTTTGTTCACTTCATTATACAGTATTAATTTATTTAACAAATAATAAAAGAATTATCACATGAATTTCAAATTTCCATATGATGATACTGGCATAATTTCTATTCATCCCAGGGAGTAGTAAAGCATAGTTACCTAAATGTAGTTTGTGCAGGCAGTGAAATATAATATACACATAGATAAAATAGACTGGGAGGGGACGATACACTGACACAGCAATCAATTATAATACATGAATAAACAGTACCTGCTCAGAAATTGGTCAAATTCCAGCAATATCATGGCGGGGACACTGGGGCTTCACACGTTGAACACACTTCAAAAATGTTCAGATTCACAAAAGAGTACTAGAATTTGTACTTTACTGAGAAAGTGTAATCCCAAATAGAATATGTTACAATGATACACAAAGATTCCACTACCATAGACTGACATATCAATCAAAAATATACAAAAATAACATTTCTTACATAACTTGAAAACTTTACAATAAAACTTCGAAACATTTCTGAGTTCGCAATGTTATTGAAAACAAGCGATTCTCGGACACCTGCTTGACGGCGGGTCCACTGCTTTATTGTCAAAGAGCAAAAGTACCGATGTTCGAGGAATTCATGAAATAAATTGAATAAACTAATGAATGAAATCAACAACAACATTCATAAAAGTTGTCAAGCGTACATATAAAATATCTATTTCCATCTTTTGTGCGATCATGTAATGTAAGTCAAGTCACTGACAAGTGACTTCTCGCTCGCCGCCTCAATCTTCACCTGCGCTCGGACCACGATGTTCAATCTTGAAAATATATACATGAAGCATTTTTGTCACAGGTCATAGCCTACTTACGCGATAAGTCGAATCGTTCCATAATTTGCATTATAGGTAGCAATTTCTTACTTAATATGTTCAGAATAGCATTATTTTACCCAAAACTTTGTCTAAATCTAAAAGTTTTACCGTTTCACGAGGGCGGTATCCATTGCCGTAATATGATTGGCTGCCTTAGGTCATGTGTCTGATTTTGACCAATCACGACCCTATATAGCAGACTGTATGAGAAAAAGCGTCATTAGAAACCAATCTTTATCCAATAAAATCGCTTCTTACAACTGATTGATATCACACTGTGTCTGATGGCATCTTAAATGCATAGTGACATTGACACTGAGTTGACATGATCGGCTCAATTATAGTTTACAATTGGTGTTAGTCGCATCACAGGTAAATAAGCGGTCACCGCTAGACCAGCGGTCTTGGCCAAGCGGACTTCCTGCTAAGTAAATCGACAAAATACACAAACCAATCAACGGAATGTTTATTCAAGGTTTATTGGCCAAGCGGACTTCCTGCTCAGTCCGAATTATATAGCAATGTTTTTACATGTAACTACCTTATCGGGCCGACACTTTGGTCCGAAATCCGAAATAATGAGAGTCCGAGATACAGAACTTTTTTATTATGACAACAAAGAAGGATTACGTCGGGACCGTGAGTTCAGTCCTGTTTATACAGCAATCCGAGAAAGACAGAGTCCGAGTTTGACAGAGTGCACTGTAGTTATCTTACACAGTTCATGCCTCCTTCTTTCAATTCCTGAATGGAAACACTATCTAACCTGTTTCCAGCTTTCCAGAGTGAGTGAGTTTCATTTTACGCCACTTTTAGCAATATACCAGCCACATCACGGCTGAGGACACCAGAAATGGGCTTCACACACTGAATCGAACCCACATCTTCTTAGGAGTGACAAGCGGACGCTTTAACCACCAGGCTACCGTACCGCCCCTCCACTCAAAAGAAGAAATGCAGAGTGAGAGATAGAGTAAGATTTTAGATATTCCCAGTCTGTTAACTGTGTCTGTGCACAGTGAATGCAGTACACCATCAACACGGTACTTTCTATAAAGATCATACAAAGATTGTGTTATTTCTGTATCATGACCTTGTGTATCGTCCCATCCCATTCAAATAATTTACATGAACTTGTACAGTGGTACATTAAGATGAACTGCACAACATTAAAATCATGTGGTCATTGCACTAACAATATACAAGTGTTTCCTTGTGAGAACTTCCATGTGGACAGCACCTCATTTCTTTTACCCATCCCCCACTCTGTCTCCCGGCCCCTCCCAACCCCACATCCCCATATATTCTCGTTAGTAGCATTCAACTTTTCAGGTGTTACCTTTGAATTCACAGGTTTAAAGATTCACAACAGAAAAATAAAAGTAGTAAAAAATTCTGAAAAACACAGTTGGAACATTTTTGTTAAACCAGTTGAATTATGTGTGAGTGAGTGAGTTGGGTTTTACGCTGCTTTTAGCAATATTCCAGCAAAATCACGGCGGGGAACACCAGAAATGGGCTTCACACAATGTGCCCATGTGAGGAATCGAACCCGGGCCTTCCACATGACGAGCTAACGCTTTAACCACTGGGCTACCCCTCCGACCCAGTTGAATTTATGACTGTAAAAGCATACGTAAGATCAGGGAATGATTTCTTTCCCACTGTAAAACACTTTCACTGTACGCTCAAACTTGGTGTGGGTTACATTAACATTGTGTATTGTGACAGAACCATGACAGACAGGCCACATCCTCGAACCACTAACTCACCGCTCCAGGTTACATAGCCCACATATTCTGGTTAAGGTCATAGTCAAATTGCAAGGAAATATCACATTTGCAATATCAACAAAACACATGCATTTATCATCAATGAAACTAAAAAAATTAAAAAGATTGTGTTAATACATTTAAAATCAATACAAAGTGACACTATCACGTGACATGATCTTGAAATACATCCTCCTTACAAAAGGGAGTCAACATCAAAGACTGGAGCAATTTATTTTCAGTTTCATTTTTAAATATAGGGCAACTTGTCTAAGTTTCATTTTGGTTTTTACATGGTTTTTCTTTGACCAGACATTTCACTAGAAATCCAACACAAATTTGGCTGACAAATAACCCACTTCAAGAAAGAATCTATTCTCTCAAACAGATGAGCATTGATTCAATGTCACCACAGTTACAGCAAAAACATGCTGAACAATGTATTGGAGGGCCAAGCATAGAGGGAAGAAAGAACGTGTAAATATGTAGAACTTAAATTGGTTGCTTCGAGCTCATGCCAGTTTGTACTGGTTTCAGCTGCCTTCAGCCGCTTGCATTGCCGTCCGCTCCACCAGGAAATCATACTGGTACTGAAGAAAAGAGAGAGAATTGTCAGTCACTGAGTGAGTCTGGTTTTACGTCACTTAGCAAGATTCCGGCAATATTACGCCAGGGCACACCAGAAATGGGCTTCACACATAGTAACCATGTGGGGAATCAACCCCATGTCTTTGACGTGACGAGTGAATGCTTTAACCACTAGGCTACCGCACCATCCCATCAAGGCAAAGGGATGTAGGAAATATTTAATGCTAGTCAGAAACATTCCAGCTGTATCACATGGACTTGTAAAACATGGACTCTGATTAACAAGTGGTCTGCAGCATGAGAAATAATCCATGAAATTGGGGTGTTACAGTCTCATAGCCATTGTAACATCATTTTCTAAAATTCAGTTAAGTTTCCCTAATCTCATTTAGTCAACTCTTCATACTGAAGTCTCATTTAGATCATTGATTCTCTTGATGCTGAACAAGTGGAGGGCCCATGTTATGTCAATTGGTTTGCTTCGGAGCTCTTCATACTGAAGTCTCATTGAGTCAATCTCTTCATACTGAAGAAAGAGAGAGAATTGTCAGTCACTGAGTTAGTCAACTTTTCATACTTAGCAAGATTCGAGCAATATTAATGCCATTTTACACCAGAAACGGGCTTCACACTGCATGTCTTTGACGTGACGAGTGAATGCTTTAACCACTAGGCTACCGCACCATCCCATCAAGGCAAAGGGATGTAGGAAATATTTAATGCTAGTCAGAAACATTCCAGCTGTATCACATGGACTTGTAAAACATGGACTCTGATTAACAAGTGGTCTGCAGCATGAGAAATAATCCATGAAATTGGGGTGTTAGTCTCATAGCCATTGTAACCTCCTCACACTCTAATCTCATTTAGTCAACTCTTCATACTGAAGTCTCAAGTCAACTCTTCATACTGGAAGTCTCAGTCAACTCTTCATACTGAAGTCCCATTTAGTCAACTCTTCATACTGAAGTCTCATTTTAGTCAACTCTTCATACTGAAGTCTCATTTAGTCAACTCTTCATACTGAAGTCTCATTTAGTCAACTCTTCATACTGAAGTCTCATTTAGTCAACTCTTCATACTGAAGTCTCATTTAGTCAACTCTTCATACTGAAGTCTCATTTAGTCAACTCTTCATACTGAAGTCTCATTTAGTCAACTCTTCATACTGAAGTCTCATTTAGTCAACTCTTCATACTGAAGTCTCATTTAGTCAACTCTTCATACTGAAGTCTCATTTAGTCAACTCTTCATACTGAAGTCTCATTTAGTCAACTCTTCATACTGAAGTCTCATTTAGTCAACTCTTCATACTGAAGTCTCATTTAGTCAACTCTTCATACTGAAGTCTCATTTAGTCAACTCTTCATACTGAAGTCTCATTTAGTCAACTCTTCATACTGAAGTCTCATTTAGTCAACTCTTCATACTGAAGTCTCATTTAGTCAACTCTTCATACTGAAGTCTCATTTAGTCAACTCTTCATACTGAAGTCTCATTTAGTCAACTCTTCATACTGAAGTCTCATTTAGTCAACTCTTCATACTGAAGTCTCATTTAGTCAACTCTTCATACTGAAGTCTCATTTAGTCTAGTCAACTCTTCATACTGAAGTCCCATTTAGTCAACTCTTCATACTGAAGTCTCATTTAGTCAACTCTTCATACTGAAGTCTCATTTAGTCAACTCTTCATACTGAAGTCTCATTTAGTCAACTCTTCATGCTGAAGTCCATTTAGTCAACTCTTCATACTGAAGTCTCATTTAGTCAACTCTTCATACTGAAGTCTCATTTAGTCAACTCTTCATACTGAAGTCTCATTTAGTCAACTCTTCATACTGAAGTCCCATTAAGTCAACTCTTCATACTGAAGTCTCATTTAGTCAACTCTTCATACTGAAGTCTCATTTAGTCAACTCTTCATACTGAAGTCTCATTTAGTCAACTCTTCATACTGAAGTCTCATTTAGTCAACTCTTCATACTGAAGTCTCATTTAGTCAACTCTTCATACTGAAGTCTCATTTAGTCAACTCTTCATACTGAAGTCCCATTTAGTCAACTCTTCATACTGAAGTCTCATTTAGTCAACTCTTCATACTGAAGTCTCATTTAGTCAACTCTTCATACTGAAGTCTCATTTAGTCAACTCTTCATACTGAAGTCCCATTTAGTCAACTCTTCATACTGAAGTCTCATTTAGTCAACTCTTCATACTGAAGTCTCATTTAGTCAACTCTTCATACTGAAGTCTCATTTAGTCAACTCTTCATACTGAAGTCCCATTTAGTCAACTCTTCATACTGAAGTCTCATTTAGTCAACTCTTCATACTGAAGTCTCATTTAGTCAACTCTTCATACTGAAGTCTCATTTTAGTCAACTCTTCATACTGAAGTCCCATTTAAGTCAACTCTTCATGCTGAAGTCTCATTTAGTCAACTCTTCATACTGAAGTCTCATTTAGTCAACTCTTCATACTGAAGTCTCATTTAGTCAACTCTTCATACTGAAGTCCAATTTAGTCAACTCTTCATACTGAAGTCTCATTTAGTCAACTCTTCATACTGAAGTCTCATTTAGTCAACTCTTCATACTGAAGTCTCATTTAGTCAACTCTTCATACTGAAGTCCCATTAAGTCAACTCTTCATACTGAAGTCTAATTTAGTCAACTCTTCATACTGAAGTCTCATTTAGTCAACTCTTCATACTGAAGTCTCATTTAGTCAACTCTTCATACTGAAGTTCCATTTAGTCAACTCTTCATACTGAAGTCTCATTTAGTCAACTCTTCATACTGAAGTCTCATTTAGTCAACTCTTCATACTGAAGTCTCATTTAGTCAACTCTTCATACTGAAGTCCCATTTAGTCAACTCTTCAAACTGAAGTCTCATTTAGTCAACTCTTCATACTGAAGTCCCATTTAGTCAACTCTTCATACTGAAGTCTCATTTAGTCAACTCTTCATACTGAAGTCTCATTTAGTCAACTCTTCATACTGAATTCCCATTTAGTCAACTCTTCATACTGAAGTCCCATTTAGTCAACTCTTCATACTGAAGTCTCATTTAGTCAACTCTTCATACTGAAGTCTCATTTGGTCAACTCTTCATACTGAAGTCCCATTTAGTCAACTCTTCATACTGAAGTCTCATTTAGTCAACTCTTCATACTGAAGTCTCATTTAGTCAACTCTTCATACTGAAGTCCCATTTAGTCAACTCTTCAAACTGAAGTCTCATTTAGTCAACTCTTCATACTGAAGTCCCATTTAGTCAACTCTTAATACTGAAGTCTCATTTGGTCAACTCTTCATACTGAAGTCTCATTTAGTCAACTCTTCATACTGAAGTCTCATTTAGTCAACTCTTCATACTGAAGTCCCATTAAGTCAACTCTTCATACTGAAGTCTCATTTAGTCAACTCTTCATACTGAAGTCTCATTTAGTCAACTCTTCATACTGAAGTCTCATTTAGTCAACTCTTCATACTGAAGTCTCATTTAGTCAACTCTTCATACTGAAGTCCCATTTAGTCAACTCTTCATACTGAAGTCTCATTTGGTCAACTCTTCATACTGAAGTCTCATTTAGTCAACTCTTCATACTGAAGTCTTGAGTATGAAAACGAACCATAAACAAATGGGTTATGGAGCGTGGATGGATCCAAAGTCACATAGCACTAAGACTAACGCCACCGTAACCCCTGCAACCCCTATATGTAAGTGTGAAATGTGATACTGATATTTATTTTTATTCAGGCAGTGACATTAGCTAATGATTCCTCATACCTCAGTTTCAACATCCATCATAGACTTGTATTTGATCACCGGAATAGTTATCTGCAAAAGACATCAATAACAATTAGTGGTCTTCTTACACAACTAGTCAAAAATATTACAGCTACATCACAGTGGGCAAAGGAACATGACAGAAGAAGACACAGTTAATGGGATACAGTGTTGATTTTTTTCCATGCATACTACTCAAAAATATATTGTTTCCATAATACCGACTCCCCAAGAAAATGTTGGGCATTATGCTTTGGTGTGCACTTAACTGATGAAAATGAAGAATTTGCCAAATTTGGTGCATGGGAATATTAAGGAAATCTTCAGTTTATGCCATTGTTTCCATAAGCAATTGCCAAGCATCAAATACATCAACATGCTCAATGACACCTGCTAAAAGAGTTTCTCTTAAAGTTTCACAGATTTAATATACATACATCATTTGTCTTCAACCGGGAGTTGAGTTGCCAGGGCACTCCATTCAAGGCTGAAAGAAAAAAACACACAATCAAACCACCCAGAGACAGCTGCTTAAAAGTGTGTGAGTGAGTAAGTTGGGTTTAATCCTGCTAATACACTCCTCAGAACCTAAACAGAAACCTTGCTCCTAGTTTAAGAGAACAGTTTTTGTTTGAACAGTATTCTAATTATAACATGAAGTGATAGGTGAGTGAGTGAGTATTGTTTTACATCTCTTTTAGCAACATTCAAGCAACATCACGGGAGGGGACACCAGAAATGGGCTTCACACACTGCACCCATGTGGGGAACAGAACCCGGGTCTTCGGCATGACAAGCAAACAATTTAACCACTAGGCTACCCCACCGCCCTGCCAGTAGTGATGATGGTGTTGGATGTTTACTACTTTGTGAAACCCACAAGCAGGAGTATAGTGATCAGTAACCCCAAGACACAATCAAAACAAACCAGCATTCAAACCCAAGTCTTAAGTTCTTGGGCCCCGTTCCGCAAAGTGATCGTAGGGCTAAGATGATCGTAACTCCCATACTTTAACATAGACTTACGACAGTCGTAGCGCTACGATCGCTTTGAGGAACAGGGCCCTGGGCCTAGATTTCCGAAGCTCTCTTAGTGCTACGATAGTCGTAAGTGCCATACATTAACATTAACTTACGACTGTCTTAGCGCTAAGAGAGCTTCGAAAATCTAGGCCCTGGTGTGCCAAACTGATGCAACTCTGCACAGTTGAGTGTATCTGTGTGCAAGGGATGCAACTCTACAGCGCCACCGACTGGGTTTACATACAGCAATTCTTCCAGCTATATCATTGCATTCTGTTATTAAACCTGGACCAGACAGCCCAGTGATTAAGTAATATTAAAAGCTAGCATTGATCTGCAGATTCTGTGACAAGCATCAACCAAGTCAGTGACTACCTGGATCCCATTAGTTACCTCTATACAATTATTGACTTGAGAACATGAGAGGTGAATATCACATGTCCAAGGTCGATAAATCATTGGATCAACCAAACTGGAGTCAATAATAGTTTTATTATATAACAAAAGTACTGAGTGAGTGAGTTTAGTTTTGACCGCACTCAGCAATATTCCAGCTATAATGATATGTAAATAATCGAAGTCTGGAAAAGACAATCCAGTGATCCACAGCATGACCTTCGATCATAATTGGGAACCGATGACATGTGTCAACCAAGTCAGCGAAGCCTGACCACCCGATCGCGTTAGTCGCCTTTTACGACAAGCATAGTCGCTTTTTATGACAAGAATGGGTTGCTGAAGACCTATTCTACCCCGGATCTTCACGGGTCACAAAAGTACTGAATACCTTGAATACACAGTCATGAATCTTCATGGTGTCGTGTCGTCTGCCATTTTGATACAGATGGGACGTAACTCTAAACCAATAGTCACAGGGACGAAGCGATGTCTATCGTTTCCCTATCTAGGGTGATGCACGGAGTGCGGAGTTCACAGCTGGAATATCCCAAATCTATTTTTACCCATGGGAGGTGCTTGGATTGTTATATCAACCTCTCGCGACGTGGCGAGGTTGACATCGCCTAGCGTCAAAGCTGTCATGTGACCAAGTGGGCTAATCGGAAGGGCGGAAATCTACCCGTCATATAATAATTAACATTGTCGACTTGTGAGTCTTGTGGACTCTCAGTAACTGTGATTGAGTTGAGGGGTACTGTACTGCTAGCACTAGTTCAGCAAAACGGGACAACAAAGAAATCATTAACATATTGTATCAGACTGGATCCATGTCTCCAGGTTGAGAATAGTTTAACCAATACACAATCCATTGACCCACCTCAAGAATATACTGGGGGCTGTGGCTTAGTGTTCAAAGCATTCATTCGTCACTACGAAGGGCCTTGTTTGATTCCCACATGGGTTCAATATGTGAATCCCATTTCTAGTGTCCCCTACCATGATATTGCTGGAATATTGCTAAAAGCGGCGTAAAACCCAACTCGCTCACTCAATAACAAACTGACTTACGGTTGATGTGAGTGAGGGAGAGCTGAGTGGTGAGAGTGCCATGCTTGTGTCCGTTCACGGCCGGCTGTCCACCTGGATTCATCTCGTATGGCAGTGACGACCCCAGCGCGGTTCTGGAAGTAGCAATCATTATCATCAGCTGTCTAAGACTCATGAATAAGACCAAATCTTGAGAGCAGTTTGTTAACTGACACTCCCCAGCAATATTCCAGGTGATAGGACCCACCTGTGCATAATCATTGAACTCAAGTCTGGACAAGATACTATGTGATACAATGATACAAGATACTATGTGATACAATGATACAATATACTATGTGATACAATGATACAAGATACTATGTGATACAATGATACAAGATACTATGTGATACAATGATACAAGATACTATGTGATACAATGATACAAGATACTATGTGATACAATGATACAATATACTATGTGATACAATGATACAAGATACTATGTGATACAATGATACAAGATACTATGTGATACAATGATACAAGATACTATGTGATACAATGATACAAGATACTATGTGATACAATGATACAATGATACAAGATACTATGTGATACAATGATACAAGATACTATGTGATACAATGATACAAGATACTATGTGATACAATTTCATGCATCAACCAAGTGAGTGAGTTGACATCCAATACCATAGTTGCCTCTGATGACAAGCAAGGTCTGACCAAGATTATCACAGGAGTAGGAGACAAAAGTCATAAATGACTAAAATCAGTTATCCTAGAAGTTTATGCTGGAACTGTGCATACATTAACACAATTTTTTTCCCAAACAGGGGATACAGATTAATGTATGCAGCTTTGGGATGTATCCACTTACAGACATCTCCCCCACAACTAACAGAATGGTTTTGTTTTAATTATTCCCGAAAACATGTGAGCAAAAATAGAATTAAATTGAGAGTAAGTAGTTATTTGCCTGACAATGAGTGACAAGTTTCTTAAGAAAAGAAACCAATTTTCTCAAAACATAAGGAAGGGAGATAACTCTGAAAGTTATTATTCAAAGAAGCACCTTGTCCAGAACACAAATACATCCAAAACATCCATATAAGTCTTTCACAGTTGTTACATTACTGCAGTTTCTGAATATAAAGAGTCTCTAAAATATTTTCTTTTCAGAGACTAGATGTTAAAGTAGGAAACCCAGTTGTTCTTAAGTTGGGCTTTTGTTATTTATCTCAACCAACCACCCATGGAATCACACCAGAAATGTCATTTGTATTTCATCCAGAGAGACACACTCCACTTACTCCCACTAGTCATGCTTATACAAAGGTTACCAGCAATCTGTATCCAGCCCTTCTTCACCGCTAGCTCTCATACAGGGTTCAGCATCAGTGTTAATGTTTTACATAATAATAATAGATAATAATGGCTATTTATAAAGCGCCTGTTTGCACACACTAGCCTGTGAGACGTTTGAAGGTTAACAGTCACATGACTTATCCCGCGGGGTGCCATTCACTGCTGATGCAATTTATGAAAAAATTGACTTGCCTAGGGTGAGAGAACATGTGCTTCATTGTTGGGCAGGACTGAAGTCCTAGAAACTCTCAGGAGTCAAGCTGTCAGACATGGTCACCCATCCAAGGACTCTTCTCGACTAACGTTGCTTAACTTCAACTGATTTGTGGCCTGGGCTCTATGCACAAGACATATTTGTTAACAACTGCCATAAAAATAAACACAGAATGAAACTCACACACTGATGGTCCCTGACCCTCCTCTAGCGTGTGGCATTGGGTAGGGGAGCTGGCCGGAGAGATTCCCCTCCGTCTTTGTCACCTTCCCCATCTTGAAGCACATGGACAAGTGGTTTAACTCTCTGAAACATGGAAACAACTCAATATAATGTCATCCTTACAGGCCATTTCGAAAAAGTCAACATAGGATATGTCGATAAAAACATATTTCCAAAAGTGTTGAGTGTTCTCACCATGTAAGGGGGTGGTTGGTTAGCCTACTGGTTATAGCGTTCGCTCATCACACTGAAGACCTGGGTTCGATTCCCCACCTGGGTACAATGTGTGAAGCCCATTTATCATGTCCCCACTGTGATATTGCTGATATATTGCTAAAAGCAGAGTAAAACCATACTCACTCACTCACTCTCACCCTGTACACAAGCATCTTACCCAACAAATGTGTAGCCATTAGGAGGCTTCCGCGTCCCCTTGGACATCAGAATGAGTTCTGTGATGGCGTCATTAGTCAGTGTTTGGTTCATCAATCGGATACATAACAATCTCTTCTTCAAGGCTCTTTCTCCTGAAATGCAAACAATCGCAGACTCTGGTATTATTGCTCACTGTGCCAGCTGCCAAATACACAATGGTACCTTTTGTTACAACACAATTTCCAGCTGGGCAGTGACAATATACCACTCAAAATAAGTTAAAGGAATTTTGATATTGTCACGTTGACTGAAGCATGTATAGTTGATCTGCCATCATGGCTGCTGGGTGGATTTTGTAACACACAGCCTTCAAGTGAGGGTGTTTTTTAAACTTGTTTTGAGTAGTATAATATTATAATGAATGCACTAAAAAAATAAACACTCAAAAGATTTGTTTGTTTGTTGTTTAAAGCGACACTCAGCAATATTCCATCTATATAGTGGTGGTCTGGAAATAACTGAGTCTGGTCCAGACATGAGCATCGATCCACACAATTGGGATACGATAACATGTGTCAACCAAGGCGGCAATCCTGACCACCCGATCCTGTTAGTCGCCTCTTACGCCAACAGTATTTGCCCTGACGCAGAAAACCTGCGTATTTAACGCACAAATTATCTCACATATGCAGTAAATTCAGAACCTTGTGTCATTGTTGATGCAATGCTACTGGGCCCTTAGTTCAGATAAGTTAAACTTATAATTTGCTGTTGTTTAAAACTACTTAGTTTAATGTTTGCCAGTTAACTGCTCCGTGCTGATTAAATACCTGACCTGCCTTTTCTTGGTTTTTTTAGATATTAAACAATCACAGTTGATGTCTTGATGAAAGTTCCATACTGAGTTGACTCCCATGACTCCCTCTCATGACACCAGGGAGTCATGATGACTCCTAAATATTTATGCCCAGAAACACTGCGCCAAGCCAGACCTGCTGAAGACCAATTCTAACCCGAATCTTCAAGGGTTACACTCAATAGAACTTGAAGGACACCTAATTTTCCTTATATGACTAAAGTTAATCTGCCATGGCAGGGCTCGATTTAGTGCTTTGTTACTTGCACTGGTGCAACCCAATATTACAAAGTGCAACCTAGTTATTAGTCTAACTTGCAGCTGGAGCAGAGTCAATTTTTGAGTGGGTAAACTTCTGAATAGAAATCTAAATAATTAGCAAGTGTCTTTCATTACATGTATATTGCAATTAAAGCAGTGCAACTGGAATTTAGCCGGTGCAACTAGGTTGTTATCTTAGGTTGCACCTGGTGCAAGTAGGTTAACATCTCTTAAATCGAGCCCTGCATGGCTAGTGGGCATTGCCACATACAACCTTCCAGTGGAGTGTTCTTTAACTTGATTTGAGTATTAGATCATCAACTCAAACTACAGTTTGTAATAAATACATGAAACTTGAGTCACCTACATTATGGAACCAAGCCACCTGTCCGTAGATCAGCACTTAAAAAGCTGACTGGCATCAGTTAACTATGACAACTTACGTGTATCCTGTGTGAAGTCCAGAACGGTGAAACCAGGAGGAACTGGATCCTTCTCATTTATTATCACAACGTCAACTAACACATCTTGATTCTGTAATGACCAAAACAAATACATCATGTTGATATATCTTCCAAAAGACGTAGTACTGACATGAAACAATGCAACACAAAAGCAAGACGGATATAGACTTTCATGAAATTCATTTGAATACCGACATGTTGAAAGGAAATAGGTAATCATATGCAAATATTAACATTAATAACATTGACATAGAAGTCAAACATGTATAAGTAATGTGAGTGAGTGAGTTTAGTTTTACGCTGCACTCAGCAGTATTGCAGCTATATGCCAATGGTCTGTAAATATTAGAGTCTGGACAAGACATGAGCACCGATCTATGCAATTGGGATACAATGTCAAGCAAGTCAGCGAGCCTGACCACCCGATCTCGTTAGCTGCCTCTTACAACAAGCGTGGGTTACTGAAGATCAATTCTACCCGGATCTTCACGGGTCACGTATACGTAAAATATGTACAGATAATGTTAGTGCTGGAGCAGCTGATCAAATAACTGTTGAATTGTAATGATAGATGTATTGTTGATTTATTTCTAAAAAATTGACTTGCACCTGGTGCAAGTTAGACAATCAACTAGGTTGCACTTTGTAGTCCTTTTAATGCTGTTGCATTCACACCAAGCAACTAGTCCTGGACTGTGAGAGTGAGGTGAGAAGAAGTAAACATCTTAAGATGGTACATTGGTTGTCCTCACAGACTAGTATTCCTTGGCTAACATTCTTAGCCAGTTTTCGAAGATCCTATTTTGATATAAATTTGGATATGAACAAAACTGTAAACATTAAACCCAGTAAACTTTCTTATAAGACGAGTATATAGATGGCACCTTCTTGTTTATTAAACTCAATAAACAAGAAGGTGCCATCTATATACTCGTCTTACATATTCACCAACTTCTTAAGATGGTACATTGGTTGTCCTCACAGACTAGTATTCCTTGGCTAACATTCTTAGCCAGTTTTCGAAGATCCTATTTTGATACAAATTTGGATATGAACAAAACTGTAAACATTAAACCCAGTAAACTTTCTTATAAGAAGAGTATATAGATGGCACTTTCTTGTTTATTGAGTTAAATAAACAAGCAGTTGCCATCCATATACTCGTCTTACATATTCACCAACTTCTAAATGCCTCTCAAGAATCTGAGTAAACTTTATTGTCTTTTTGAGCAAGATTAGCCACAAACTAGTTAATAAGGTTTACTGTAAGGCAGGGGTGGAAATAACTTTAAAATTGCTAGTGTACTCCGGTACAGTGGCACATGTAAAATCACTTGCTCTGATAATTTTTCCACTATACCGGCCGTTTTCTTGTTGATTTTTAAATAAACAACATAATTAATATTGGAAAGTCAACTGGACACCGGTACAGTGTGATATACAAATTTGCTTGCCCGACAGAAAAAAACACTGGACTCGGGCGTCGGGCAATGGGTTATTTCCACCCCTGTAAGGTTTAGCTGTAATGCCGAAGCCAAGACCCTACAACCTGGGTATCCGAGAGACACAACCATGGCCTACAATAAAGACATGTATGTCTTGGTCGGGCCGATAGATCTTGTTCGCGTTTTCTATTATTTTTATTATATCATGCTAATGTTAGACAGAACAAAATAATAAACTTTACAACTTGCAGAATACAAGGTTAATCCTTTGTAATCTCTTTAGAGCAAATGACGAAGTGTGCAATCCATGATCAAGGAACCTGTTTATTTACGACTGGCAAGTAAATACCACGCTATGGGGATTTTACCGGACGCTTTAATCACCCCTTGCCGTGTTCGCACCTGATCGTGTTGGTTCCACAGTGACGGATTTAATTTGGGTCAAGCCCTTCACTTTGTGCCGCAGAGAGCACCCATCTAGCGAACAAGAGACAGTTGGCTGTCTCGCGGACACGTTTCGTCTCTGTTTACATGAGTCTTCTCGACTAGGCTTCCAAAACACCAAATTTCTAAGGCTGTTACTGATTCCTCACCTCTGCAGGGACTGTCTTCTCTACACACAAGTATCTGGTGACTCGCCGACCAAATATTCCGTCCTTCCACAAGTCCGCCTCCTCCGCCCCATTGAAGGTTTTCTCAATCTATAAAAACAAGAGAAAACATCAAATATCCATTCCACATCAGGCCAAGTTCCACATGTTCTCCTGCATGGTTTGCACTGAAAAGGCCTGTTTTGCACCAGTCCTACTGATCACAGTGTCTTGAAATATTGTTTTAAGCAAATACTAGCGATGTGAGATGACATACTAGGGATGTCACGATACAGCAGCCTCACAATATGATATGTATCTTGATTCTGTGTTCATGATCGATACATATCACGATACTACGATATTTTGCGCATAACAAGCAGCCATTTCCTGGATGGCAAGCTCATACCATAGCTTACCTGTCACCAATTATTTTGGTATAGATATTACTAGAGAAGGGAAGACTGACTATCACCCAAGTGTCCGTCAACCACAGTCTAGTCAAATTTGATGTCCCGTCTAGCAAAATTACCAGAGAAAAATGTGGTAAACTTACTTTTTATAATATCCTGTTTGTATTTAACAAAAAATGTTTCATATGAAACATAGGTGCAACATCAAAATAATACTTTCAAAATAATACTTGATATATGTCAAAATAGTAATCGATACTAAAATATTAATTGTGGATTGTATTGTGAAAGTGTGCTGGTGATGCACCAGTGAATCAGCGAATTGTGACATTACTAATGTGAGAGGTAAAATCCCATTGGTCAGTAGGATAGGCCTGGTATTAATGTACTACCATTGAAGATTAGAACTGGTCTTCACCAACCCATGCATGCTGTATAATTTGTTTCTTTCTTTGTTGTTTACCGCCAGCCATATTCCAGCTATATGGCGGCGGTCTGTAAATGATCTAGTCTGGACCAGACAATTCAATGATCAACAGCATGAGTATCGATCTGCAAGGTTGGGATATGATGTCAGCTAGTCAGTGAGTCTGACCAACCGATCCCATTAGTCGCCTCTTACGACAAGCAAGAGTTGCTGAAGACCAATCCTAACCCGGATCGTCAAGGGTATACATACTCGCGATGTGAGAAGTGAAATCCTTTTGGTCAGTAGGATAGGCCAAGTGTTAATGTACCACCGGTGAACATGGGGATTTGTCTTCAGCATGCATGTTGTAAGAGATGACTAACATGGCTGGGCTGTCAGGCTTGCCAACTTGGCTGATGCACGTCTTTGTATCACAATTGCATGGAATGATTAATTGTGAAGATTAGTGCTGAATCAACGGATTGTCTGGCGTAGACTATAAAGCTGGAATATGACAGTGCAATATTAAACCACAGTTTTAAACAACAAACAAACCAAAGTACTGTTATGTACAACAAAAAACAAAGCATTCATCAAGTTTCCACTCACCACAGTATGATTCCCTGGACATTTGGCAATGTCAGTGACGATGCAGACTGACACGATGGGAAGATCATTAGCCATTGAAGCAGGCTCACTCTGACCTGAAACAGGAATATACATCAATATTAACTCATCTTGTTTACAGCGTAAAGTCATGGAGACTGACAGCCGACACATGACTACCCTCATCAATGATCATCTATATGTTACAAAAGTACAAGGGTGTTTCTTGATGTTAGAGCTTGAACTGGCTTTGATTTTGAGTTGAGAAATATGTATGTACATGGAAACACAACATATCAGGTGGTTGGTACAGTCTGTATTCAGATTTTTGAAGAGGTACATTTCTAAATATTTATAAACGTAACTGGGTTACATATCTGTAGTGCCCATGATGATGACCCCTTTATATGATCTGTTCACTAAAATAATCAAATATTTCAGGTAAATCCATACTTGTTGCTACCAGAATGACCCAAGTTTCATAGATGGGTATTAGCTAACCCACAGACGCTTTTCTTTTATGACATGGGCCCTGAATATATCCCAAAGCAAGCTGAATTCGACATTCTGGTGTTTTTGATGATTGCATTGCTGGCGTTATATTGGGGGAGTACGTGCACGATCCGTTAGCACAAGCAATTTCATCGGCAGGGCGGATGCCCTGTCACTGTCGTGAAAAGTTTTATTGACAATTGAAAACTGGAAGTTAAGTTGTTTAAAAAGCAAACAAACATCAATATTATTTACCTGAGATCGTTAATACCAATTCAGATGCAAAATCAATTGCCTTTATAACAAAAAATAGCAAGCGAAAATTCAGTAAGATCATTCGTCTGCTGGTGACAGGCAATATTTAAATAGAAAGCCACGTTATCACAACTCTCCCTCGCAGTGCAGAGCGAAAAGTATTGCTCATCGTCGAAAACCCATACAAAATCCACGGATGTGGCGAACGGCAACAGTTTCGCCGATACGATGTCATCAACCTTATTTTTGTAGGAAACACTTGATATTTTTGTGTGAAATAGATGAATATATCGTTTATCACCCAAGGTTAGTAAACTTACAACTTCAAATGATATTACAGATAAAAATTACGTTTGTGTCTTACATCGTCGAAAACCCCTGATACCGGGATACAAACAATCAATCTAGCAACATATAACAAAGTTCGAGATCCTGTCTTTGAGAAAGTATCCATGTCATTTCCTGTGGGTCCTTCCATGTGTCTATCAGTATCATCACCAATAACCTTACAACATTCCTGTGGTGACTCAATGTCATACCCCGACTCAACAAATACTGTTTCAAACCTTTCTTCTGTTTACTGTTGGAGTGAGAGCGGACCTTCAAACACAAACATTTCATCTTGATTCCATTCGTACTTCTTAACCACACTCGTTCACACAGTGAATTATATGCCCATAAAGGTCATTATAGACATTATATGATCTTACCTATTGAAAAATCAACGATAATCAATCGAGTAACAGCTGTGAAATGTTCATTCGTGTTTGGAAAAAGTCCTTGCTCAATACGCTTCTAAATAAAGATCGTAGGACGACTTCCGGGTAAAGTTTTCTCAAAAGTTTGACCGAACATGAAACGAAATCATGCATGATTCCTCATTTCCAAGACTTCCGCCCGCATCCCCCCTAAATTTTAACAATGAGGAAAAATGTCTTTAAGTGCCATTTTAGAAGTTGGATATGTCTTTCAGTAAGTTAAGATACAATTACAGAAAAATGTTAAAACTCACTGCTATCAGATGAGGAATTATATTCAGGTGATATGATTTGACCAGAATGAAATTTAAGGGGGGATACGGGCGGAAGTCTTTCCTGTGTACAGATTTGATGAACCCCGCCCCAAAAGAAAATAGAAATCATCACACATACACACCATCCCCAACCCCAGCCATTAATCAGGAACGACCCCTAAGCCATTTATAAATATATATAGAGACATTAGATATTTAGCATTTTCTGAACGTATTATATCCAATTCTAACATAATTCTTTGGCGGGGGCATTAACACGTGTGCTGGCAAGTATAAATGCATTAAATCGCGCAGGCCGGAGTTTTTTTTAAGTAATACTACATGTGGGGATTCCAACTTCGAACAGATGCCGTACGCTTGTCAGCATCAGTAAAACAGGGGGCGGTGGGGTAGCCTAATGGTTAAAGCGTTGGCTCGTCACGCCGAAGACCCGGGTTCGAATCCCCACATGGGCACATTGTGTGAAGCCCATTTCTGGTGTCCCCCGCCGTGATGTTGCTGGAATATTGCTAAAAGCGGCGTAAAACCAAACTCAGTCAGTCAGTAAAACACGAATGGATCGAAGTTCATACTCGATGACCTAGTTAAGATCATGATCGTATCATGACGATTTGTGAAGGTTAGAGCTGACTTTCATCTATCCTTGACTGCCGTAAACGAAGAGAACGTTATCGGTTGGACAAGCTCACTCACATAGTTGAGTGAGTGAGTGAGTATGGTTTTACGTCGCTTTTAGCACTATTCCAGCAAAAAATGGGCTTCACACATTGTACCCATGTGGGAATCGAACCCAGGTCTTCGGCGTGACGAGCGAACGCTTTGACCACTAGGCTACCCCACCGCCCCTACTTAGTTGAGAGACAATGTTTTCAGATGTTCTCATAATTTCAGTAAGTGAGTTTAGTTTTACGCCGCTTTCAGCAACATTAAATGCAAAAACGGGGGACTCGTGACTTCAGAGAGCCCTGTATACAGCATAGTCGTGAAAGAATAAAACTATACAACAGATTAGCTGACGAAGCTATGAACTTCATTAGCAACATTCTCGGAGTCCTATTGTACGGCGCAGAATTCTGGAAAATATCCCACATCTGCAACAAACTTGATGTATTCCAAACCAGATGTCTCTGAAGAATACTTCGCATCTTCTGGCCAATCACCATCTGAAATGAAGAACTGTGAAAGTGCACGGACACCAGCCCACTGTCCCTCGAGATCCAAAAGAGAAAATGGCGTTGGGTCGGTCATGTCTGCAGGATGCACCCAGATTTCCATACCAAATGTTGCTATGCGATGGACACCAACAGGAAAAAGAAACAGAGGACGTCCACAGGTGACACGGAGAAGATCTATGGAGCAGAGATGAAGGACGCAGGGTGGACCTAGGGACAAGTGCAGCAATGGGCCCAGGATAGACTGCATTGGAAAACCCTAGTATCGGCCTTATGTGCTGAGAGCACGAAGAGGATTAAGTATAGTATGACCAGAAATTATTGAGAATTTTAGGAATATGTGTAATTGGATTTCTAGTATAAACAACCTTGACCAGCTATCAAGTGCTTGGTTTCGTTCAAGAGAGACAACTCCGTTAATCCTTTTTCATTAGTTTGTGAAGAGTTATCCCCCTTTGTTTACTTGCTAGCAGACGACATTTTCAGTATGGATGATTTAGAGAAGAGGAAGTTGAATTTAGCGTATTATAACAAGGACATCAGAACAGCTAAAGTGATTTCAAGTAGAACAGGCATCCCTTTGTCCACTGTTTATCGTGTTTTGAAAAATATTGCAAATGGATATGGCATTGAGCACCAGGGAGGCGCAGGTAGGCTCAGAAAATTGACTTTCGGTGTCAGGAGGCGGCTTGGTATTCTTGTTTCTAAAACCGAACAAAGTAGTTTAGCTGGATATGATTGATAGAGGAAGTGTGGCTGTCTGTAAGGAGACAATTAGAACTGAGCTGCATGCAATGGGTTGGCAGAAAAGTCGAGGAATTCCATCACTGATCATGAAACCTGAACAAAAGGAGCGAAGGTTGAACTGGTGCTTACAGCATAGAAATTTTAACTGGGACAATGTGATTTTCTCAGATGAAGGTTCTGTGTGGCTGGTTACTAATACACTGAAATTCTGGACCAAACAAACTGAAAAACCTTTGTATCAGAGCCCAAAGTACAGTCCGAAATTTAACGTGTGGGGTGGCATATCAGTCTTAGGGGCAACGCCCCTCTGTGTATTTGAAGGGAATATGAACAGTGAGCGAGGGACATTTACTTCCATCTGCTCACGTGTTCTATGGAAATGTTTGGATTTTCCAGCAGGACAAAGACCCAAAACATCGTTCAAAACATTCACAGGCCTGGTTTCGGACCCAAAATATGACATTATTAGATTGGCTTAGCTAAAGCCCTGACCTAAATCTAATAGAATATGTTTGGAGACTTATGAAGGAAAGTATCAAGAAGAAAAATCTGACAAATATTGCTGAAATGAAAGAAGAGGTGGTCCGATATTTGAACAGCATGGACCACGACTTTCTAACTTGTTTGATCAGTAGTATGCCCCGCCGCATTGAAGCCTGCATTGCTGCCCATGGTGACTTGACAAAATACTAACTGTTCACCTGTCTTTGAATTTTGAGTTATGTTCTGCTAATATTCACATTTAATACGTGAGTAATGAGTGAAAAAAAAAATACAATCTTTTAATTCTCAATAATTTCTGGTTGTACTGTAAGTAAGTATTTGTCTACATCATTCGTGTCGGTTACGACTAAGTGTTTTACTGAGCGTGCGTGCCGTTCGTGCGTAGCTGTTTGTATCTCTACGGGGAGCAATATGATTTACATTGGTCCGTGCTAAGCCAAATGTATATGGAATTATAACGTGTACAGACTAATCGGACTGACAATGAAATGTGGTTTCATATATACTCATGGAAACAAATAAGGGAACACATGACAGTACAAGTGTTCCTAAATTCTTTTCGAGGTTTCTTCACAAGGTATGTATTGCACTGTGGGTGAAATTCTGGAAAAGAATAAAGGAACACTTGTACTTTCATGTGTTCCCTTATTCGTTTCCATGAGTATAAAGATGTTGAAACAATGTTGATGTTTTACATCAGATATAACACGCGCTTTCAACGTCAGATGTAAACGTGGCTATGAAAGATATATGAACACTTACTGAATTTCAGCTGACAACATTGATTACCTGCCTCTCAGACACATGCGTCTGACCGAGTGCTTGGTCTCAAACCAGTCTGTCCCAATAACAGTGTCCTGTTATCGTCTAACACCTATACATGTATAGTTTTCCACAGATATTACTTTATAAACACTGAATGTACACGTGAATGGGATACAGGCAGTGTAAATTGGGGGCGCGGTGGGCGAACTGGCTAAAGCGCCAGGCTAGTGATCCAGCGAGCTTGAGGTGACGGGATCGAGCCCACCTGTGACCGGGTGTAAAAACCTTGGAGTCAACTTTGTGTGCAGACTCTTTCAGTGTTGTCACAACCCCTAGTGTACAGTACACAACCCTGTGCACTTAAAAGAACCCACGAATCCGTAGGTATATGACCAGATGGTGGCCACATGAATACGTGCAAACACCCAGTTGCGGGTACAGCAACGTGCAGTGAACTTGGACAAAGTACTGTGACTATGTGTCCCAGTGCACCCAGCTGTGAATGGGTACCTCGTAAGGATGGGAATTCCACAATAACTCGGTGCGCCTAGTGGCTGCAAGAGTTTGTATGCTCCCCAGGGAGTTGAGATTGACAATACGATGTGCCGTTGAGATTGACATCCAGTGAACGAGGGAAAAACAAAGCGCCTTTGAGCAGCTGAGCGGAGCTGGATATCGGCGCTATACAAATGTATATATGATATGATGATGATGATGATATATTGCTAGCTCCATTACATGTATAGAGACTATACTGAGTCTCTATAACATGCATCTCGAGACCTCCAAGTCCTACATTAGAATAATGTTGTTGACTTTTCCTCAGCCCTCAACACCACCCAACCTCACATCATGGTAAGAAACTATGGGAGTGAATTCACAACTGATCAGATGGATCGGAGATTTCCTCCATGCCAGATTTCAGTGTGTGAAAGTTAACGACAGTGTCTCGGCCAGGGAGGTTACCAATACAGGAATGCCGCAAGGTTTTGTTATGTCACCTGTACTGTTCACTATACACCAATGACTGCACTAGCGTAGACAATAACTGTATAAATGTGAAGTTTGCTGATGATGCAGCCATTGTTGGTAAGATGTATGATTCCGAATCAGAGCGACGATACAGAGATAATTTGTTTAAGTGGCATTCTAGAAGTTGGTAGTATACAGATGACTAAACTTGACTTTATGGATGATCAACTTCTTTATTTTGACTTCACAATAAAGAAGTTGATCATCCATAAAGTCGAGACAGAAATAATGTAGAGAATTTCACATCATGGTGTCTGTCAATTTATGTTGGAGAGTAATAAACTGGACAATACACTCGCTTCCGTGAAATACCACTTTTATATAACTCGTGAAAGATTTAGATTCAAAATCGCTTTCGCTCGTTTGATATCAAATCATTAACTCCTTTAATAGCAAAGGTAAAACACGGATTGTCGTTTAGTATCCTCTATGTCTTAGTGCACATACGCTATATTAATTCTTTGTCATTTCAACGGCAGTGGGTAACACATCCTACATAAGCATTGTACTTGGGCAAATATCACTTCATGCACACCCTTGTAGTGTTTCTCATTATCATAAGCACTCATCCTGTACAGACAACATATGTTTTTCATCTTTCCCTAATTCATACCAAACCTTCAATGGCACATGCAAGAATATTTATAGTTGTGAACATGAGCTGTGTTATGGATATGACGTTTTTGCATCATACTTACAAAACTATTTCAAGTCGTCATGATTGATACTTAAAATGCTTTTCAGATTCTATGGCATTCAAGAGAATATATTCAAAAGTTTATTTTGCTTCTGGTAAATATGAATTTGAATTAGACCCATGGTAACACAGACCTTCTTCTGGGGTGATACAGAGGTCAACTTGGGGTGGTGGGGTAGCCTAGTGGTCAAAGTGTTCGCTGGTCACGCCAAAGGACTGGATCAAATCCTCACATGGGTACAAAGTGTGAGGAATATTTCTGGTGTCCCCTGCCATGATATTGGTGGAATATTCCTGAAAGCTGTGTAAAATCCAACTCGCTCACCCTCGAGTCAACAGCAGGTCAGTGCCTTCAATACCCAACACTAATGCTGATAGGAAAAGACTAATCTAATGAGGATGGGAAAGTACAGACAAGCAAATACATGCCTTACATTCACACACACCCTCCCCCCTTGCATGTCATGTACAAAATCAATGACCACCCAATTCCCATAGTTTTAAGCATAATTCTTTAATATTTTTATGTACAAAATTGCTGACCGCCCTAGTACTTGTCCAATATTGGTGACCCCCTCTCCCTAAAATCATTTTTCTCACCTCCGTAAAATCATTAGCTTTTCATAACTATTGTCAATCTTGGATACAGATCATCTATAATGAAGTATGTTCTTGTAACTACCGAATCAATATCACCACATGAGTTAAGCTATTCCAACAGCAAGAGGCATGCATTTCCCCTGGATTTATGTCTCATAATGTTAAAGGGACTCTGGTAATTAAAAGTAAATATTTAATATGCTGCAATAATTAAAGCCACCATGTTTGATTTTGTTGTTTCAGTAAACAGGAAGAAACAATCATATATAAAGAATGTTTATTAAGTCATGATGATTCCTGTACATCACATGTGCCCTCTGAGCCAGGTGCCCTGGAGTTTTCTTCTCTCTCCATCCTGAAGAGTTCCGCCTGTGCAGACAGGTGCTGCCTCCTGTGCTGGAAGTGTTGTTGTCTACCCTCTTCTTCTCCACCTCTGCTGGAAATACCCAGGGAATACAGTGTATTATCAGGTCCCAGGGTCAGGGGCAGGTGATATACATTAGGGGCCAACCAAAACAACATTCCCAGGGATAAGCATGGGCCAACCAAAACAACATTCCCAGGGTCAGGCTGGACAACTTAGAGACCACCAAAACACTGATTTCTAGGGTCAGGCTGGAAATACCCAGGGGGAATACAGGTGTAATAGTACACTGTACCAAAACAACATTCCCAGGGTCAGGCTGGAAATACCCAGGGGAATACAGTGTATTATACAGTAGGGGCCAACCAAAACAACATTCCCAGGGTCAGGCTGGAAATACCCAGGGGAATACAGTGTATTATACAGTAGGGGCCAACCAAAACAACATTCCCAGGGTCAGGCTGGAAATACCCAGGGGAATACAGTGTATTATACAGTAGGGGCCAACCAAAACAACATTCCCAGGGTCGAGGCTGGAAATACCCAGGGGAATACAACAACCAAAACAACATTCATACAGTGTATTATACATTAGGGATGACCAACAAACAACATTCCCAGGGTCAGGCTGGAAATACCCAGGGGAATACAGTGTATACAGTGGGGGCCACCAAAACAACATTCCCAGGGTATGGAAATACAGTACAGGGGCCAACCAAAACAACATTCCCAGGGTCAGGCTGGAAATACCCAGGGGAATACAGTGTATTATACAGTAGGGGCCAACCAAAACAACATTCCCAGGATCACATTCCCAGGGGGCTGGAAATACCCAGGGGGGAATACAGGGGATACAGTGTATTATACAGTGTACCAGGGGTATTAGGGGCCAACCAAAACAACATTCCCAGGGTCAGGCTGGAAATACCCAGGGGAATACAGAGTATTATACAGTAGGGGCCAACCAAAACAACATTCCCAGGGTCAGGCTGGAAATACCCAGGGGAATACAGTGTATTATACATTAGGGGCCAACCAAAACAACATTTCTTTTCAACTTTTCCATACCAGACGGTTGTTTAACATAACGTTCTGAAAAATTGTGTTATGGGTAAAAGATAAATTTTCAATTTTTAATAAAAAATTCATATCCCTGACTGATAAAATATCCAGTCTCAAATGCCAACCCAACAACAAGTGTTTCTTACACGTGTGAAAGCCTATAATACAAAGGGCTCACACCCGGACTGTCGAAAAGCAGTGGAGTGGATCAATGCTCTAAAAACACGTAATACCCGAAACATCGAATTTATAAAATTTCAGTTTTTGACAGTCCAGGTGGACAGCATACAGAGATGACATCCATGTTTTCTTGTGTATGTTCCTGATTTGTTAACAGAAAATAGCAGTACAGAATGGTCTTGTTACTACCCTGAAACACATAGGTGATATTAGCTCTTGATAAGTATGAGGTTACTAGACTGACTGACTGACTGAGTTTGGTTTTACGCCGCTTTTAGCAATATTCCAGCAACATCACGGCGGGGGACACCAGAAATGGGCTTCACACATTGTGCCCATGTTGGGATTCGAACCCGGGTCTTCGGCGTGATGAGCCAACGCTTTAACCATTAGGCTACCCCACCTCCCCTGAGGTTACTGGAACTTTAAGACCAGCTATGACAACTTCAATGAGGATTCAATCTCGGACAAATTTTTTGCAAAGCCTTAAAACCATATAATGAATTTGCTGTTTTCTGTCAGTTTACTGTACTTTATTTCCCAAATTTTCCGCAATGAATTTTCATAGTATATGAGTATATTTTCTACAATGTTTTAGCTTCTTTTGAGCCAAACTTAGTTGCAAAACATTCTCTGAGCACATATTTCACTTACTGTGTATGATTTGAATATGCATCCCGTTAATACATTTTCTTGCCTCACAGTTCGCTTATTACTGTGAATACGACACATGAAAATGGGCTTTTCTGCCAATTTTTTTTTAGTATATTCCACTTCATCATTTAAATGATGTATTGCCCTCGATCTCGCAATACAAAATTTCACACTCATTTCGTATAAGTCATATGACACACTTGCTCGTGTAATAAGTTCTCTATATATTCTTGCACCTAACATACCTGTGTGTTTGTTTGTCGCCTATGACCAGGTGCTGGAAGTGAGTGTGTATGTCTTCCTGCGACAAAGTTGTGGTGACATCTATTGGCAGGAATACTTCACGTGGCTGACCTTCACCCCTGCGAGCCGACACAAACATTATGTTCAGAGCCTCACAGTGGTGTAGTTCCACACTACGCCATGTTTTTGCTGGAAGAAAGAAAGTGAATCTAGAATTTATTGACTGATTGACATTGTACTTGGCAATACTCCCACGAGATGTGGTGTCAGTAAATAATCAAGTTTCAACCAGTCTAACCAGCGACTAAAGTACTGTCGGAAAAAGACAAAAAACTGTTAACATTTAGATCCACAATTTATGTAGTTAATCTGTGAAAGTGTAACATATCTGTTAAACTAAGTTCGGACTAACAACAGTCTCGGTGGTAGGGAGATAGGAAACGTAAAAAAGGGACCTTACAGAGGAGAGATTAGTGCAGAAATGAGCAATGTGGGTTTTTTCTAAGTCCAAGTTGACTTATTTGGAACAGACCTTGGCTTTATGCAAATTAAAGTGCGATGACAAAGGACACTTTTTTAAATGCCCATTTGGAAATTAGACGTAGCTTCATTTGAAACGATAGCCGACGTGCAAAATAATATTTTTACTTGTGAAACTCTTAAGGATGCAACTACAGTAGTATAGGGAATAGCGGTACGGGATCGCATAGGTACACCATGCCTAGAAGCTCCATACTAGCTAATTCGGATCCCACAGCCACTTAAAAATTCAAGTTTTACACAAAACTATATCGGACCACTTTTCGTCTCCCGACACAAGTGCACTTTAATTAGGGATATGCGTGTGTATGAATATATATAAAAAAAAATGCCAGGAACCAAGCTATCTCTCGAAGCCTATGCCGAGATCCAATCAAGTCGTTTGTCCCCTTCGGGAAGCAAAGAGGAAGTACCACATATCACACATAAGCCAGATATACACGAATCCAAGGTGGTATAGACCCCGACCCACAGACAACAACTTCCAACATGACAGAAGTCTTCGAGACCCTGCTGGAGAAGTGTCCCCATGTGTTGCTTTCCGACCGAGAGAAACAAATCCTGGAGAAATCGGGACACCTTCTACGAGCGCTACCAGATCCCTCGCCAGTTTCTCGAACTCTATTTGCTGTGCTTTCGCCAATTCGTAGATGACAAAATCGTAGATTTCGTCTACATCTACCCACCCGAACCGACCCGCAGCAGGCAAACTGCCAGGAACCCAAGGACAGACACAACCGATGCACCGACTGCCTCGCCGCTCTATATCGGAACTGCCCACTCTCTTCGAACCAGACAACTCTACATACAAGTGTGGCGCCATCGACCATTGCATCGGCAGCAAGAAATGCAATCTCTGGAAAAACAAAGCGATAGTCTACACACCCCAGGAGCGACTCCCACTCGAGGTTCCGGAAGAAATCGCGATCCCCTACTGTCTCTCGAACATAGAGAACCTGTACGACAACAACTGCCTCTTCTGGTGCCTGCGATACCAACACCTCCTCGATAATTTGGCGGACAATTGTCCATGCTAGAATGATACTTGTATCTTCCGGCAGCTATCAGGAAAAGCAGAGCCACCACGGGGACGAAACAATATTTGGCATACCCCCTTGCCCAACTACGGCGGGTCCAAGGATATGGAAGTGGCAGCCCCTCCGTGCAACGAACACCGGAAAGCTGCAGAAGTTCCGGAAGGAATCTACGCGTGCAAAAAGTTTGCTGTAGTGAAATACGAAGGGAAGAACTGACTGTTGCTGCTACTCGATTCGCCGACTGGAGAAACGATTCCAGTCTACGGCTACAAGATACGAGAAAAGGTTCGAGACGCCGGCAGAATAGAAAATCTACGGTTGGTGGTTGGACCGTTTCTGTGCAGGCTTGGCAAAATCTGCCACTTGCCCATATCAAAAAGGAAAGACGATCGAGAAGTCGAGTTGCTGCTCCCAGAGACTGAGCGGGAATAGCTTCTATCAAGAAAAAAACCCAACAACAAATAAAGACACACACACAAACGCACACACCCACACGATGCTCTTCGAAACAGATGTACAATATATATATATTTCCAATTGCAAGAAAAAATATCGCATCTCTCTCAATATTTTTTTTGTACTCCATATAGTGGGGGTGCCCGGGGTGGACCGTGGAAACTGGTTTGGGCATTGCTGTCTTGGGCCTGTCTGTCGACCGGTATGTGGGCCGGTGTGCTGTGCTTCCAGGTCTTGTGGATGACCTTCCAGACAAACAAGGCAGCTATCGAAAGGTAGGTCCACTTCTCGATATCCAGATGCGTCTCTTCTTGTTCCTCCTCGACGCTTTCTATTTCCTCCTGGAGTTCTTCAAGAGGGGAATCGTCATCATTGTCCAGCCTAGACAAGATGTTGACCAACAAATTCTTGGTTTGCTCCACATGAGCCGACAACAGCGTGTTTTGCTCCGCACGAGCTTCGATCTTCCCCAGATGATCGTAGAAGTCCTGGACTGTCGGATTTGGAGCTGTCTCACTAGCGGGCAAGATGGTCGACGGTTCTGCAGCAGGCAATATGGCTGTGTTGGAGGGCAATGTTGGACTATCTCGCCGGCAGGCAAGAGGGCGAAGGTTCTGCAGCAGGCAATATAGCTGTGTTGGAGGGCAATGTTGGACTATCTCGCCGGCAGGCAAGAGGGTCGAAGGTTCTGCAGCAGGCTCTCGCCATAGCTCGTACAGCCTTGTGGACCCAATACCAAAGCACTATTTTACCTAGCTTGCTGGGAGCAGACCGCTAAGGGAGCGTATTTCTTGGATGTGGTCCGAAGACAAATCTCTTTTTGGTGGCATGGTTGTTTTTTCCTGGGTATATATATCCCATACTTCCCGTATGTCTATATGGAAATCCAAATCCTATCCCAATCCTCTCCCATTTTTTCATCGGAAATCCCATCCACTCCCGGAAAAAATGAATGTTTGAATTTGAACGAGGCCATTCAGTTAAAGACTTGTACTATTTCCATAAAGTAAGGACAATCTTAAAATTCCGACATATAACAGAAAAAAAAATACACAACCCCTGAAAAAAGGTATTCACTGCCCAAAATGTATTTGGTGATCTTAACTAACACAGACACCAAGGCTTCCAGAGTGAGTGAGTGAGTGAGTGAGTGAGTTTAGTTTTAAGCCGCACTCAGCAATATTCCAGGTATATGGTGATGGTCGGTAAATAATCGAGTCTGGACCAGATAATCCAGGGATCAACAGCATGAACATCGATCTGCGCAATTGGGATTCGATGATGTGTCAACCAAGTCAGCGAGCCTGACCACCCGATCCTGTTAGTCGCCTCTTAAGACAAGCATGGGTTACTGAAGATCAATATTCTAAGCCGGATCTTCACGGGTGTATGCAAATGAAGTGCATCTGCCAAATCAGTAAGTATAATCACCTCATCCCATCAGTCACCCCTTACCGCAGTTAGGACAAGCATGCTTTGCTGTAGATCAATGCCAAACCTTAGCTCGAGTAAGTGATTTTATTGACATCGTTAAAGCCAATCAAAAACTATTTCTTGTTTTTCATGATTTTTGGAGGTGATATGTGTTCACCAGTTTACAAATCTATATCAGTAATCTTAATTCTAATGTACTTGACCATTTGTACCTATTGACCATTCTGACTGCTCCCTGTGAAGATCCGGGTTAGAATTGGTCTTCAGCAACCCATGCTTGTCGTAAGAGGTGACTAACAGAAATGGGTGCTCTGGCTCGCTGACTTTGTTGACACATGTCATTGTATCCAAGTTGCAAAGATTGATGCTCATGATATTGATCACTGGATTGTCTGTCCAGATTTTCAGTGTTGTTCATGTACATCATATAGTTTAGATGTGAAGTGGATATCAAACAGAAATTTATGGATTCCAGGAGTCAGTCAATAATTAAGTGTTATTGGGACTCAACCCCACAAAAGTACTAGAATCTGTACTTTACTAAGAAAATGTAATCCCTAATATCACACATGTAACATGTGTGAAGTACTAAAGCACCCTGACATTCGGAAGCACTGTACACAGTCATAGCTGAATACCTTTCTCTCAACACATTTCAGACCTTTATCATCTCAGTGTGTTACCTTCACATAGATCCATGTACACTTGAAATGCGATATTCACTTGGTCCTCGTTTCCTGGACATGTCTGCAAAGCCTCCACTAGCTGAAACACAACAAAAGCTGTAAACAAATACCTTAAAGGAGGAATTGCAAGGGCAGCTGGCAGGCCAAGCCAGTTATATTCAGGACCCTCAAACTCAACTAGATCATGTGTTATGTATATCATTGTAGCAGTTAATATCCTAATTTGTTGAGAGTCACACACAGTATTATTTACATGGTCTAGACCTAAGCTGAACATACTAGTGTTGGGAATTGGTTTAAATCTCATAATTGATGATTGGTTCATTACAACCGATCAATCATCAAAAATAATTGGTTAGCGTCATTTATTAAATTTTTCTGGTTATGTTTGTTAATGCACAAAAAATAAAGAAAAAACATGTAGTTCTTTCGTTTTTTTGCAAATTGCACAAAACGCATTTGCAAATTTCACATCTTTGAAGGATGACTAGTATGTTAGGAACATGAACTTCATGGAGTCTTTAAAATAAATTCAATCAAGTTGGAAGAGCTTGTAGTGCTAATGAAATGTAACAGAAAAAAACAACCTGGTGAAAAATATCGTTATTGCAAACAAGTGTTCCAAAATTGTTTGTGTTCGATTATGAGAAAACATGATCGATTGATTGGTTGTTTTGTCATTGTTTCAATTAATCAGACCACCACTAGAACATACAGCATTATCTTGCCTCACACATAAATGTCTTTTTCTGATTGGCTGAGTGCTCTTCCATTATTTTCAATGTACCCTGCTTACAAGCGAGTAACATTTTCTATGTACCCCGCTGGGAATGCCAAACTCATTTCGTACTTCGTAGTAGTAATTCTTTATCTCGAATAACATTGAATCACTTATGATGTACGGAAATTACCAATGTTTTGCGAATGCCAATCGATGGAAGGGAGATAACTCTAAATTTGTTTTTCATGTCGTCTTGTCGTCTGGTACTCCAAACTATGATCCGATATCCGTGCTTCAAACAGTTCAAAATTACCATTAAGGTGTTCGGTAAAATAAATACAGGCTCAGGGAACATAAACACACATCGAGGGTACATCAGCCAATGTCCCCCTTGAGACCAGTGAACAACTTATAGTGTCACTTAAAGATGTTGTTAGTTCTACATATACTGGACAAAATAAGTTAGGGATATTGGTATTTTTATGATTGATATTTTATCAGTGTGTCAATGAATAAATAGATCATTATTCATAATTTCAAAAATTTACATAGATCCCTAACTATTTTAGTCCAGTATATAAGCAGACTGCACTCTTATGCATTATTGGTTAAATCCATGAAGAACCAGGTTTTAATTACTCTTCCACAACCCAAGCTTGTCAACATGATCGGGTGGTCTGGTTCGGTGACTTGGTGACAGCTATATGGCGACAGTATGTAAATAATGGAGTCTGGACATTTTCAGACAGACTGCATCATCGATAGGTCTTACATTAACTGGCCACTATACTCTAGTGTCCATTTTCTGCAGAAGGTGAGACACATGTACAGTGTGCGAAATAGCCCGTGGCTAGTAAAAATCCATTTGGGACAATAAATCTTCACAGTCACTGGCTAGTGAATTTTCAGGGGGTCATTTTGTAAATATATCATTCTCTCCGACTTGTTAAGTTATAATACACTTTAAAATCATCCAAGATTATGGCCTGATCAACATGTTCATCATATTAGCATCTTAATGATGAAACCTGTGTCATACTGACAGTATCATATTCTCATCTTTGCTTAGTTTCTACATTCAAATTTAGGGCTAGTGAATTATTTTGTGGGCTAGTAACTTTCAGGCATAGCTAGCCCGACTGGCCAGCAAACTTTGGAATCTATTTCGCACACTGCACACATAAAAGTGAGTGAGTAAGTGAGTTTAGTCTTATGTCACGTTTACTAAGTTTTAGCAATATTCCAGCAACTTCACGGCAGGGGACACCAGAAATGGGCTTCACACATTGTACCCAATTGAGGAATAGAACCCGTGTCTTCAGTGTGACGAGCGAACGCCTTAACTACTATGACACACCACCGCAAAGACATAATATAATACATTTCAAAGAATGGGACATAACAAAGTGGGGCTTGCATACTCCAAAGATGTTGGCACAGAAACGAGAGATGTCAGAGATCTTTTATACTCTATTTTCCACATGTTGAGACAGACCGCCTCCGTGGTGTAGTGGTTAGAGCGTCCGCCCGGAGAGTGGAAGGTCGCGGGTTCGATCCCCGACCCCGTCATACCAAAAGACGTTAAAATATGGTACTTGTTGGTCCCTGCCTGGCGCTCTGCATTAATGGGTACAACAAGGACTGGTCGGCTCGGAGTCAGTATAATGTGTCCGAGTGCATATAGACAAAGTGGTGTTTCAACAGTCTGAATAAGCATTTTCAAGACTTTATATAACAGTTTCTTTTGACAAGACTTTCTTCTACATGATGACCTAATATCAAATAATCTATATTACACTTGGGAGGACTGTATTGTTTGTTTGCTGTTTGTTGTATAATGCACCACTATCCCAGAATGGGGATAACGATGACAACCAAATCAGCGAGCCTGACCACCCAATCCCGTTAGTCACCTCTTATGACAAGATTGGGTTACTGAAGATAAATTCAAACCCTGAATATTTCGGGTCTCAGTGCATCCATGGCTCTTTCTAAATCTTGACCAGTCACGATATGGCTGAAATATTGCCGATGTGACGTTAAATAATAACTCACTCACTCACTCACTTGACCAACTGAGCCAAGTTTTACTCCACTTCTAGCAATATTCAAACATTTTTGCAGCATTGGACAGAAGAAAGGTATCTCACACATTGAACATATATGGGGCATTGCAACCAGGCCTGTAGCATGACAAGCAAACACTTTAACCACTTGGCAACCTCACTGCCCTATAATTTCTGCAGAGTAAGGGATATAGGAAATAGCCACAGTAGGTTAATAGGATAATGTTCACTAATCTCACATCACACATAACATTCTTATAAACCTGGGCCAAAGTCCAAATGGAAATTTATACTTATCAGATTATTGGGTACTGGTCATCCATTTTGCTTCTAATTATAGATGATCACGGTGACCACAATATCCAAACATTATCAAACTCTACTTATTCATAATCCTCCACTGTAAAGTATGAGATCAGGATAGCAGGGTGCGCTTATATCAGTATCATAGTAATTATTATTAATGTATGCTGATTGTACTCATTGCAAAAAACGTTTTTTGGTTACTAAAAGGTAAAAAACATTCCACATGTGAACTGGTGAACAGTTAAATATCATTATTGTAACTGAATTATCTTTTTTGTGATATCATAGGAATTGCATTCATGAATATTCAGGAAAATGCATATTGATCTTTGATTAAACTCTTGAAGCTTGATCTCTTGCTCAAGTAAGGGAAAACTGGCAATGGCAAGCCCAGAGGTTGCAGCTAGCATATCATGCAGTTCCGATCTGGCTAAGAATTGTTTTTCAGCATCTCATGCTTGTCGTAAAAGGCAACTAACGGGATCAGATGGTCAGGTTCACTTACTTGGTTGACACATGTCACAGTATCCTAATTGGGGTAATCATGCTTTTGATCACTGGATTGTCGACTGGTTCAGACTTAATTATTTACAGACCACCATCACATGGTTTGAATATTGCTGAGTGCGGCGTTAACGAACTAACAGAACTAACATTCATATCATATCATATCATAGGAATGGCATCGAAAAGTTTTTATCTATCTGTAGAAAAATTCAGTCAAAATAATATGAATGTAATCTTAAGTTTTTGATAATTGATATGCATCACATTCTACCAAAAACAACATCAACTGTAGCCACTTTGTTGAACATAAACAGCTTAAAGAATAGAAAATACATGTACATGTATGCATATTCAAATAAAAATATGATTCCGAAGAGTATCTAGGCCTCCGTCAAAATACACCATGTGGTAACGGACTTAGAGTAATGCACTTAATTTAGTCTTCTTTTCCACTTGATATCATATTCATTTCAGATCAGAATTAGTTCAGGCTTTGTGGAATAAATGCAACAGAAAGAACCTTTGGATGTCGATAACCTTTCAATGGGTCCATTACGTTATGATTCTAAATATGGTCCAATCTTTAAATCAAGCTGGCGACGGGCACCGGTTCAAGCACGCATGCTCATGCAATACCATGGAATTCCCTTGAAACTATTAGCTAAACAACTTCTTGTCTATATTCACATTTATGTTTGTCATTTATAAACAAAACAAAGTTGCTATCTTGAAAATTATATTTAAAAAATATACACTTTGTATTTCGTTTTATAATAAAATTATTTATTATATCCCACCATATGTTAGACGGATTGAATAATTACACTTACCTTCATTTGTAGATAGTTGTTACATAAATATAATGTACAAAAGTTTATCTAAAAATATCCAACCAATCACTAAGTAGCGGACGCCTGTCAGTTCCTAAAATAAGCACATGACGTTGTTGACAGTGTCTATTAATAGAACCTAAACAAGTTGCTGCGGTGTTGTGCAAGCTCTGTATATAAGCGAACGAACATTTTAGATTTCTGGTCATTTTAACGCCTCTTGGCGGACGCCAAGGTCCGAACATACATTCCGCAAGTACAACAGCTTGTCAAAGGTGCCGAACATTTCAGTTTAAAATGCTGTCATTCGCGGAAGGCAGTGTAGATTGGCCTATAACTTCAAACGGGTTCGACAGAAATGTGTTGTTCCGACATTTTGGAAGATCCATGTCAATGCCTTCGGAAAGTTCGTCTGATCGATCCGAGAATTCTTCACCCGTTGATGAAATCAAGTTTGAGGACGTATTTTGTCCACAGCCAGAAACTCCTGTCAGGAGACTGTCAATCCAAGAGAAGAAAGCAAACAGAAGGCTTAGAGTAGAGGAAAATCGCGAAAAAGTTATGGAGTTGGAGAAATGCGTTGTCGGTGAAAATGAAAATTCAAAGGACAAGAAAAAGGAAAAGAAGAAAAAGAAATGGAGTAAAATGGAATTGTCTGACTTCGGATTCAACATGTCTCTTCTTCCCAGGCCAACAAAAACTTCCCATATCAATGATGAAGAAGTGCACAGACTGCTCGAAGAAATTGATCAAGAGTATTTGACTATGGAAGAGAAAATCACGCCATTTGAACATTTGCAAAAGTATGAAGGAAAGAAGTTAGAAAATAAATATTTGCGTGAAGATAGAGACAGAAAAATAAGAAAAGCCCACAAACAGATTAAGGACAAGCACTGTAAAAATGTTTTAAATAATGAAGGAAGAAAGAAACTGTATGTTCATCACAGAGTGATTAAAAGAATGGAACTGGATCCCTATAGAGTACAGCTCCATTACCCAATGCCTCCAAGGAAGAGTCTGCGTGATAATCCTCAACAATATACCGATACTAATAATGACAGGAGCAGACCTGCACCAGTGCAGAATCTAAACCATGCTTTGCATAATGGTGCTGTGCCTGATGATCTGCCAACAGACTTGATATCACTGCTCATTTCTCTACAGCATCGTGACCTGTCACCAGAAGATTATGAAACTCTTCTGCGATTAGACGAGTCGGTGGCACCAAAGACTGTAGCAGAAGATATCCTTGGGTCTTTCAAAACTGACATTGTTGATGCGGAAAGTGCTGGTGAGATGTGTGCTGTGTGTATGGATCCGTATGAAGTGGGACAGACAAGGAAGTTTTTACCGTGTGATCATGTGTTTCATGACAGTTGTATAGACATGTGGTTGAAGAACTCCTCCATGAACTGCCCTCTGGATGGTTTGTCTGTGAGCAGCTGATGTCATTTCGTTATATGTTGTTAATCTCATCACTCTCACACTTCCATCAACTTGCTGAGTCAAAAAAGTTTGTTACTATGTCATGAAGTGGCAGTTCTTTTGACTGTCATTTTGTTATTAAATCATTTATATATGTATTCATTCTGGTATGTTTTTTTGTTCTATGATTTTGATTCACTGTTACCATATTTTCTTGACTAATGTGCGCATCAAGTATAATGTTCACCCCTCTTTAGGGGATTCAGAATTTTGGTATATAGGACCCTATGTCACACAATGATCTTGACCATGCTTTTAGTAGACTGACTTTAGTCATGGTTCTGGGTCCTGTTTCACAAAGTTATCATAGTGCTATGACAGTCATATCTCTTATATTGTAATACAGGCTTACAACAGTGTGGGAAATAGTATCCAAATTTTGCTAGCCAGTCGGGCTAGCTATGCCTGAAAGTTACTAGCCCACAAAATAATTCACAACATATTTGAACGTAGAAACTAAGCAAAAGATAACAAAAAGGAGAAACTACCATCCAAAACAAATAAGAAAACATATGTCTGAAATATTTTGTTTATGCTCAAATAAGTCATCATGAAGCTGCTAATATGATGACCATTAATATCAGACCATAATCATGCATGATTTTAAAGTGTACTTTAACATAACAGGTCAGAGAGAGTGACATATTTACAAAATGGCCCCCTGAAAATTCACTAGCCTGTTGGGCCAGTGACAGTGGAGATTTCCTGGCCCAACTGGATTTGTACTAGCCACAGACTCATGGGCCAGTGGCTATTTCGCACACTGCTTACGACAGTCGTAGCACTACGATAGCTTTGTGAAACAGGGCCCTGATTTTGTTTTGTGGATCGGCCATGTGGCAGACTGGTTCAGTGGTTTCAGTATGATCCAGCTAGATGTACATCATTACACTCTTGGCAGCTTATATGATTGCTCATGCTATCGACCACTAGTGTATCTGGTACACACATGCAGTAAGATGTGACAAACACCATGGCCAGTTTGATGTAGGAAGAATACATGAATTGAAGCAGGTCGTGGGGATCAAACCCACAATCATAGGTAACTCTGCTCAGTGAATCATGGTGAATATACCTCATGCTATCGACCACTAGTGTATCTGGTACACACATACAGTAAGATGTGACAAACACCATGGCCAGTTTGATGTAGGATAAAGACACCAAGTGACACAGGACTTAGGGTTCCAACTTACAATCATAGGTAACTCTGCTAAGTGATTAATGGTGAATATACCTCATGCTATCGACCACTAGTGTATCTGGTACACACATACAGTAAGCTGTGACAAACACCATGGCCAGTTTGATGTAGGATAAAGACACCAAGTGACACAGGACTTAGGGTTCCAACTTACAATCATAGGTAACTCTGCTAAGTGATTTATGGTGAATATACCTCATGCTATCGACCACTAGTGTATCTGGTACACACATACAGTAAGCTGTGACAAACACCATGGCCAGTTTGATGTAGGATAAAGACACCAAGTGACACAGGACTTAGGGTTCCAACTTACAATCATAGGTAACTCTGCTAAGTGATTTATGGTGAATATACCTCATGCTATCGACCACTAGTGTATCTATCTGGTACACACATACAGTAAGATGTGACAAACACCATGGCCAGTTTGATGTAGGATAAAGACACCAAGTGACACAGGACTTAGGGTTCCAACTTACAATCATAGGTAACTCTGCTAAGTGATTTATGGTGAATATACCTCATGCTATCGACCACTAGTGTATCTAGATCTGGTACACACATACAGTAAGCTGTGACAAACACCATGGCCAGTTTGATGTAGGATAAAGACACCAAGTGACACAGGACTTAGGGTTCCAACTTACAATCATAGGTAACTTGCTAAGTGATTTATGGTGAATATACCTCATGCTATCGACCACTAGTGTATCTAGATCTGGTACACACATACAGTAAGCTGTGACAAACACCATGGCCAGTTTGTTGTAGGATAAAGACACCAAGTGACACAGGACTTAGGGTTCCAACATACAATCATAGGTAACTCTGCTAAGTGATTTATGGTGAATATACCTCATGCTATCGACCACTAGTGTATCTGGTACACATATACAGTAAGCTGTGACAAACACCATGGCCAGTTTGTTGTAGGATAAAGACACGAAGTGACACAGGACTTAGGGTTCCAACATACAATCATAGGTAACTCTGCTAAGTGATTTATGGTGAATGTACCTCATGCTATCGACCACTAGTGTATCTAGATCTGGTACACACATACAGTAAGATGTGACAAACACCATGGCCAGTTTGATGTAGGATAAAGACACCAAGTGACACAGGACTTAGGGTTCCAACTTACAATCATAGGTAACTCTGCTAAGTGATTTATGGTGAATATACCTCATGCTATCGACCACTAGTGTATCTGGTACACACATACAGTAAGCTGTGACAAACACCATGGCCAGTTTGTTGTAGGATAAAGACACCAAGTGACACAGGACTTAGGGTTCCAACTTACAATCATAGGTAACTCTGCTAAGTGATTTATGGTGAATATACCTCATGCTATCGACCACTAGTGTATCTGGTACACATATACAGTAAGCTGTGACAAACACCATGGCCAGTTTGTTGTAGGATAAAGACACGAAGTGACACAGGACTTAGGGTTCCAACTTACAATCATAGGTAACTCTGCTAAGTGATTTATGGTGAATATACCTCATGCTATCGACCACTAGTGTATCTAGATCTGGTACACACATACAGTAAGCTGTGACAAACACCATGGCCAGTTTGATGTAGGATAAAGACACCAAGTGACACAGGACTTAGGGTTCCAACTTACAATCATAGGTAACTCTGCTAAGTGATTTATGGTGAATATACCTCATGCTATCGACCACTAGTGTATCTAGATCTGGTACACACATACAGTAAGCTGTGACAAACACCATGGCCAGTTTGATGTAGGATAAAGACACCAAGTGACACAGGACTTAGGGTTCCAACTTACAATCATAGGTAACTCTGCTAAGTGATTTATGGTGAATATACCTCATGCTTATCGACCACTAGTGTATCTGGTACACACATACATGCTGCAAACTGGAACATTTGAGCCAGTTTCACACATTGTACCCATGTGGGGAATTGAACCTGGGTCTTCAACAAGCGAACACTTTAACCACTAGGCTACCCTACTGCCCAACCCTGCCTCAGAATCAATACTGAAACACGCATGACTAATAATCTCTGTAAATTAATTCCTTGTCTGAAACATCAAATTAGGGTAATAATTAACTGTTAAATATTGTTACCTCAATCACTGTCAAGTCAATACATGGCGTAAAGGGATGTTTCTAGTGAAACCATGGAGTTTAATATCAACTTCAAACACTGCAAACCACTGTAAAGAAACCTAAAATCTTCGGTTCAAATGCCTTTTTAATCTTTATTATGTTTCTTCTTTTTCTGCACTCATTTATTTCACCACTGGAATATTGCTGAGTGGGCATAAAACTCAACTCACTCATTTATTTCACCAAAGTAGGAGAAAATGTGCCTCACCTTAACCTTTCCTCTATCATCAATTTTTACGGTATATATAGTGAGAAATATTCCTTATTCAAATGAAAATGCTAAACAACTTCTATTCACTTCTTGTTTTATTACCAACGATGGAGTCACACAGGGTAGGGAGGTATGCAATGCTCACAAGACAATCAAACACACAAGATTTACCTCCCTTTGTGCTTTGATTTAAAAATACTGTTCATTGTAAAATATTTAAAAACATTTCATTTTAACAATCACTACATTGGTTTTATTATCATTGTCAATATCTGTCATTAAATTCACAAAAAGCACGCACAAAATCCTTTATTAAAATCTCATGTAGACCAGCAAGTACATGGAATTTGCCTTTCTCTATGTTCTATAAAACTGTAGTTTTATACATATTTATTATATCATACGTTTATTCACGTCCATGATTTCATTAAAACATGTACTTGAGTATACCAACAGAGTCTATCAGTCCATACATTGGTTAAAACAGTGAGTAAAATATTGCACCACTCTGGCACTATTACAGCCACAAGAGATGACAACAAATTAATAGTTTACTAAATAAAAATATAACAAAATAAATAGAAATGTGTCATGATTAGAAATATTAGGTGTGACCGAGGGTGTCAGTTGTAACCAAGCACCACATCTGACCGACATCAGGGCCAGCCGTTCCTCTGGAAGTACAGCTGATCCTTCATACACAGACTGAGGCAGGGTGACAATACACACTCTCAAGTCACATTCGTCACTGGGATAATATTCGGTACAATGTAGACATACTTTCCTACCTATTGTTCCTCCCAAAGCACTCCCCACAACCACAAGAAAAGCAAAGGAAGATAATATATTTGTTTTGCTGCTCCATTTTTGACAATCTCCTAAGATCAGAACCTCCTGTCCCTGCTACACACAGCTTTTGTGTAGAGACAACAAGATCTGATTTAAAAAACGTGATCTACTGAATAAAAACTGCAATGTTCTGGCTGATTATGAAGGCAGGATGGTAACCAGTTCCTTGGCAAGACTCGCAATTTCTTCATATTTCTTGGTCCTTGATTTCCAGGAATCTGGGATGCTGCTTATTCCATTCTGGGAAAAGTAAAACGTGAGTTAAATACAATAATGATTTAAAATGTTTTTATACTGCTCTTATATTAAGGGAGGTAAACTGAGGTCTTTTGTGAAACATGTTTCCCAAAAATTGTTCCATCTATATTTTCCATCAGTAACATAACATAGACTTAAATTAGGCAGGTTTGCTTGAATTTGCTAAGGCTTAAAATGAACTTGAAAAGGCTTTTGTGAGTACATATGAATTTGTCACTTCGTAAACTGTAAAAAATCTTTAATTGAATCCACTTTGAATCCTATCAGAAATTTGAACCCACACCCTCCGAGTCAGGTACCAAATCACCAGCAACCTAACCCACTCCACCACTGCGGGTTCCACAAAATGGAAGAGTGACAACTGGTAGTCTAGTTCACATACTTTGCATACCACTCTGACAAGCGTCCCAAAATAAGTTACACTGAACTCAGTATTTGATAATAACAAGGCCGCTGGTAGCGCTGAACTCAACACTGCAGGGACATGCTCAAAGCGCATAATGGACATTATTACCTGGATAACCCAAGCTGCCTGTGAGGTGCTAGAAGGTTAGTAGTCATATGACTTATCCCACCGGGTACCCATTTTCTGCTTGGCAAACAGAGGCAATTTTGAACAAACTCCCTTGCCTAATGTGAGACCAAGTAGAAGAATTTCTTCCCCATTAAAGAAAACAAAATCACAGTCATTTCTGTTTCACATTGGTGTAGAGTCTGGTCACCCACGAAAAAAGTAATTTAGTTAGCCAATAATGAGCAATCAATCAACGTATTGGCAGTTAATCCTTTGAAAGAAGGACATTGTTTTTACACATTCACTTTACGACAGGGTGTATTCAGTATAGATTAGTGAATCTACATACATAAACATTACCTTTAGACAAATGCGCCATGCAAGATAAAAGTAATTAATCAATCAGCGTGTTATCGGTAAATCCTTTGATCAATGTTTCTTTTTTTAACTCGGCTGATAATTCATGCTGCTTCACTTCCATGTGCATATTACATAAGATGTAATACATTTGCCACATCAGACCTTACTTTATAATGTTGAGTATTTACTCCAGACACGAGTAATGCCAAATGAGAACCGTTGTCGGGTAATCTGAGCGGTGTTACCACTTATTATACCTGTTATGAATTCATTAACTGACCTTCAAGTGAATGATGACAAATAACATGTGTAGGTTTATACCACCAAACACGGGTTACAGCAATGGAGTAGGAATTGCTGTGTTGCTTGCAATTTTAATTGCCTGAAAAAACTTATGGGCCGACACTGTTTTGATGATACGAACGGAACTTCATTGTTGCATAAGAAATACATATAAGCATTTACTGTGTGCTTAAGTTAAAAACTGTATACCAGTATATCTATTTCCATAAGTAAAATTTTCATATTTTTGGGGTTGTTTAGTTTTCGGATTAAAATAATCAAATGTGTGTTTTTAATATCGTAGGTAATAGACATATTTTGATAGGACATGATTAAATATCGAGGTAAAAATAAAGAAATAGGATCAAATTGGATCGGTCACTATACCATCCAGGCATTAGAAAATCCGAAAAGCCTTCACTGCTGGAATACTTTATTATAATCAGACAAGAACCACGACATCTGATTGGCATCCACCCTTCCTTATGTCCCACTGTTTAGGTTGAAGAAATTCTGCCAAAGTTGAACAGGAGCCCAGTCCCCGTGTCCATCACGGTCGAGGGAGCAGGTAATGACGAGTTGGCAGATACATTTCGTAATTAGACTGTTGGCAAGAAACATTAATCGCTCTGAATCAGTGCCCCTTTAAGACTAGAAGAGTAACACAAATTGAATCATCAGGTAAAGAAAGCCACATTCACGTCTATTCACCTGTGCTGCAAAACACGCCCCAATGAATCCTCCACGTGAAGCGTTGCAGCCTCCTACTCTCATGGTGGTGTGGATGGCGCCGACGTAATCGGTACCCGTCAACACGCCGTGCAGGGCCGACTGGAAGGCCCCTGGCAAATCTGGAAACATTGTGAAGTCACATGATGCTATCTATCATTGGACAATGATGTACAAAACTATGCATTCACTTTTGTATAACAATTCAGCATGTCTTTAGTGATGTGAGTCGGTGCTAGTTGCTGACAGAAAGTGATGTTACGAGTATTGATAACCACGATTCAGTGGAAATATGCCATGATAATCTCGAACCAGAGGTAACATTCCCATGTAACGTAGAACCAGTGGTGATTCAACCTGATAATCTCGAACCAGAGGTACCATTCCCATGTAACGTAGAACCAGTGGTGATTCAACCTGATAATCTCGAACCAGAGGTAACATTCCCATGTAACGTAGAACCAGTGGTGATTCAACCTGATAATCTCGAACCAGAGGTAACATTCTCATGTAATGTAGAACCAGTGGTAATTTAACCTGATGATCTCGAACCAGAGGTAACATTCCCATGTAATGTAGAACCAGTGGTAATTCAACCTGATAATCTCAAACCAGAGGTAACATTCTCATGTAATGTAGAACCAGTGGTGATTCAACCTGATAATCTCGAACCAGAGGTAACATTCCCATGTAATGTAGAACCAGTGGTAATTCAACCTGATAATCTCGAACCAGAGGTAACATTCCCATGTAATGTAGAACCAGTGGTGATTTATCCTGATGATCTCGAACCAAAGGTTACATTCCCATGTAATGTAGAACCAGTGGTAATTCAACCTGATAATCTCGAACAAGAGGTAACATTCCCATGTAATGTAGAACCAGTGGTGATTTATCCTGATGATCTCGAACCAGAGGTAACATTCCCATGTAATGTAGAACCAGTGGTAATTCAACCTGATAATCTCAAACAAGAGGTAACATTCCCATGTAATGTAGAACCAGTGGTGATTTATCCTGATGATCTCGAACCAGAGGTATCATTCTCATGTAATGTAGAACCAGTGGTAATTCAACCTGATAATCTTGAACCAGAGGTATCATTCTCATGTAATGTAGAACCAGTGGTAATTCAACCTGATAATCTCGAACCAGAGGTAACATTCTCATGTAATGTAGAACCAGTGGTGATTTAACCTGATAATCTCAAACCAGAGGTAACATTCTCATGTAATGTAGAACCAGTGGTAATTCAACCTGATAATCTTGAACCAGAGCTATCATTCTCATGTAATGTAGAACTAGTGGTAATTCAACCTGATAATCTCGAACCAGAGGTAACATTCTCATGTAATGTAGAACCAGTGGTGATTTAACCTGATAATCTCGAACCAGAGGTAACATTCTCATGTAATTTAACCAGAGGTAACATTCTCATGAACCAGAGGTAACATTCTCATGTAATGTAGAACCAGTGGTGATTTAACCTGATGATCTCGAACCAGAGGTAACATTCTCATGTAATGTAGAACCAGTGGTGATTTAACCTGATGATCTCGAACCAGAGGTAACATTCCCATGTAATGTAGAACCAGTGGCCATTTAACCTGATAATCTCGAACCAGAGGTAACATTCCCATGTAACGTAGAACCAGTGGCCATTTAACCTGATAATCTCGAACCAGAGGTAACATTCCCATGTAACGTAGAACTAGTGGCCATTTAACCTGATAATCTCGAACCAGAGGTAACATTCCCATGTAATGTAGAAACAGTGGTGATTTAACCTGATAATCTCGAACCAGAGGTAACATCCCCATGTAACATAGAACTAGTGGTCATTTAACCTGATAATCTCGAACCAGAGGTAACATTCCCATGCAATGTAGAACCAGTCAGTGGCAAGGCTTACGTCAGTCTTTTCTGAATTTCTCGGTGACAACCGTGTAGTGCTGCTTGTCTGTACAGGCCTTGACCTCTTTGAGGAAACCAACAATCGCCCGATCGAGGTCCTGAGGGGCGTTTCTGTGGGGATCCTCTAACTGGGTGACAACCTCCTCAACAACATTCGGACTCGGTCCATGGAGAATGTAGGATTCAAGGATTCTAAAACCATACATCACATTTTGTGAATTTGTTGTTAATAAAAACTACCAAAAAGAAATATATTTTGTGGACAAGGTGTGTGTGTTTGTGGTGGGGGTGGGGGTGGGGCATTCTTTAACTCAGTTTTTGAAGGCGATAATAAAATAATATGTTATTATGAGAATGAGTTTGTTTATCGGGGAATGATAAAAATATTCCTTTCAAAAGTACAACAGCATATATTAACATCTACATATATATTTGTACTTCAAAATAGGACAACGTTTTGCAGGCTAACAGACAATATTGGAGATTGTAAACCAAAAGTCACTGTGTTCTTTAATCTGATTGGTTGAAAAACGTGATCAAATGGTATTTGATTCCCGGCAATTTTACTTTGTATTAATACATACAAACATCGCTCACACTATTGTATTGTTACGTCGTCAGCTGTGATGACGTCATTAAAATCATATTGTGACGTAAAGTCCGAATGACGTCACAAATGAGCAGTTCCAGATTCTACCATGGGAGACAGCCGAAACGGCCGGCTGATGACATTTCACTGCTGTACCCGTACTCGATGTCAATGAGAGCAGACATGAAAAACGTGTGTGGACCTTTTGGTTTACTTTTGTGTTTACAATGTAGATAAACATCATGTGTTGGCGAATTTCCAGGTGTTATTGAGCATTTGAAGCACGGGAATATTTCATTTGAAACCCCCGCTGACGCCGTCGGTTCCAAATGAATTCCCGTGCTTCAAATACTCAATAACACCCGGAAATTCGCCAACACATGATGTTTATCTCCTAAATCAAAGCCCTGAAGTCACCTTGCGGCAGCAAGACCGATTGACACAGCTGTGTCAAAGTTCTGGGTTACACGTAAAACATCTTCAACTCGAGTTAGCATCTCAGGCCGACCTGCGTACAGCGCCACTACAGACACTATCCGCAACACACAGTCAATCTGCTCATCAGTCTCTGATCCTGAGGAAAAGAAAGAAAAAAATATTTGGGAACTTTGGATATTTAAGTTAGATGAAGGATTCTCTTTAGTACCGAAACACAGACTAAAAACAATGTACACTGTTGGTAATTCTAATCAAAGTTTCAGCACTTAACATGAAAGGTCTAAAACTTGGTTTCAGAATGAACTAACCCTAACTTTAATAGACATATGCATTTATATCTACAGTATAGACTCACATACAGAAATATTTGTACATGGAAATATTTGCCAATACTGACTTTTCCTTTAACATTTAAGTATGACAAACAGTATTTTCCAGTCTAACAGTCTGTAATTCATGACAATTTACTAGAATTATACACCCTTATCCTTCTTTGCCCCATTTCTGTATAAAACCAATAAACTGCTAAATGCAGGCAGATATTCTGTCAGTATTTTGTATTATCTGACAAACACAACAATACCTGTTTCTTCCAGTTTGTTCTCGAAGTTCTTCAAGAAGTGTTTGATACTGGCATGGCGCCATGGTCCTTTCAGTGGAAGGTCATCTGAGGTCACTATAAACATGATAAACACCATTACATGGAACAACTGTAGTGAGTGAGTGAGTTTGGTTTTTAGCAATATTCTAGAAATATCATGGCGGGTGACACTAGAAATGTGATTCACACATTGTACCCATGTGGGGAATTGAACCCAGGTCTTCAGCACGATGAGCAAATGCTTTAACCACTAGGCTACCCCACCGCCCCCATGACATAGAACTGTGGAAAACATACACCGGCATTTATTTATATTATACAAAGAGAAACAAATAAAGGAACACAGGAAAATTCAAGCGTTCCTTTATTATTTTCCAGTTTTCATATCCACAGCGCTATTCAAAGCTGGTGATGAAAACTGGAACATATTAAAGGAACGCTTGAATTTTCCTGTGATCCTTTATTTGTTTCTCTCAGTATATATATCGGATGATGGCCTTGTGACAAAATTGTGTTCAATCATGGAAAATTGTGCTTCACTACATTGTCATCTCACTTGTGTTAAAAGTACCGGCAATTAAGTGAATGGGCTGATGTTGAAAACTCACACTTCTTCTCCTTCGTTCCGGCAGCACTCTCATAGTCTGACTCAGGTCCAAACCTGTCATAGGTGGCCTTCTTCTGGTCTTCTACATCAACACCTGTCAGGTGAGATTGGTACAATGGTAAATACATAGATAATATTTGGCTGTGGTCTTCCATATCGACATCCGTCACGAGGTGAGGTGAGGATAAATTGGGTTTAACGTTATGCTTGACGACATGCATGCGTGTGTATGTGTATCTGCTTGTACTAGCCCAGACTGAAGCTGGTTTTATAGTGCTAGCCCACTGAGATATCATGCTGCAGTGAAGCATGAATACCCCACTCAGACACATTATACTGACTCCGAGCCAACCAGTCCTTGTTGTGGTCTTCAATATCGACATCTGTCATTTGAGACGGCTGCAGTGTTGTGGTAAATACATAGACAATTTTTGGCTCTGATCTTCTTATGATCTGTTTGATTAGGATTTTTTTATTACTTAATCCCTGTTCATGTATATAAGTCTGTTCTGTGCTGTAGTACTTCACTCTTGCTTGACAACGGTATAAGAATCCATACCGAAACATCGCATCATATATAATAAAAGACGTTGTTATCCATAAACAATCTTACTTTCTTATCTGATCTTCTACATCGACATCTGTCAAGTGAGATGGATACAGTGGTTAAAAACAGATCATATTTGGTTGGGTCATTTAACATTATTTTAAAACAACCCGAGTACCAGAGGTACACAAGCTCACCTTAAAAGTGGATCTGTCTCAAAAATATTTTGTAAATTTTAACTTGGGTCTTTCTCACTCTTCTTTTAAAAATCTTACTGACATGAACAAATCTGGATGTTACTGTGTTGCTACACATCATAGCATTATCTCAGATTATTGGAACTATAGATTCTTAAAGTCTTTTTCTTAAATGGATTTATTTTTTCCATTCAAAAAAATATAAACATGATCAAAAGTACTGTTAATGTGACTAACATTCTCTTGAGATATCAATACAGTGTTAAGGGTTTTAACAAACTATGCAAGATTTAAGAAAATGCACCGTTAATTAAATAATAATGACTCCCAGAATACAAATGGATATCAGCAATATGGACAAGTCGGTATTATGAACTGGGAGGTTAGGTTTGGTATGCGTTGAATTGTCTCACAAATATCAAAACAGTGAAAATGGGTACATAGATTCTATTCTCAAACATAATAAACAATACTAACAAGTGCCCACCTATATCTGCATTGACCAGCTGTAACATCTCATGTCCAGGGAACAGCTAGCTGCCCTCTCTAACTTTGTCCAATTTAGACTTATAACCCTCCAGTAAAGTCACTCTGCTGAGTCACCAGCGTCTCCTTTTAATGAGTAAACCTCTACGGGCAGTTTCATGGGCATTATCCAAGAAATCCAGAGGACTTTCTTCAGAACTGCCCTGGTCCCCGGGATTTTCTGAGGAATTGCCCAGGGATTTTCTGAGAAACAGCCCTTGACTTTCAATAATTTTACTTGTACAAGCTTTGACTACAATCGTAAAATATCACATTAATGAAAAATTCCAATATATACTGTACTGATGCCTGGTTTCAGACCTGCAACCCTTCGCTTACTAGCTTGGTGGTTGTATCCACTAGGCTACGAAGGATCGCTGTGGAGAATGAGATTGTTTGTCATCATGTGTTCCTCACAAGCCGGGTAGTGCGGGCAGCGCGCGTGCAAGGACATGAGTAGCACATGCTGAGCACGTGCATTGAGCATGCAAGGCCAGGTATCGGCTGCCAGTCACATCCCAGTTGATTTCAACAGTAAACACCAAATATTAAAATTATTATATGTAAAGTATATATTTGGTCGGTTCATAAGATGGATAAAAAACTCCTACTCTGTTTTGTTTGAAAAAGAAAGCCCCTGGCCTCGGGAAATTGGTTCAGGCCTATGGGACCTCCCCAATATCCTTCTGCTGCGGGCTTACTTTTCAAGTCGGTTTTGATCCTTCACATCAAGTTGGGAGTCATGAAAGAACGTCGTTTTATTATGAAACATTCATCACCATTCACCCCTTTCTGTCATTAAACTTTCCTGGAATAACAAGAGTGGGTTATGAATGATCACGAAAGAAACAATGCTTAATTCACCATTGTTCTTTTAATTGTGTAAACTTGGAAGATAATTATAACATCTCTACCCAGCATTCAAATTAATGTCAGTCCTTAGGCCCGAAGCCGACTGAAAAACACTTGGACCCACAGCTTTTGTTTTCTGCAGGTCGTTTTGGCTGACAACGTTTTCATCCCCAATAACTAAGAGTATTAGTTTTTAGAAATATCATTCAGTAATTTCGAGCTTAAATTTCTAAATTAGACCCTTTAACTCAGTTTGTTATTTGTCACACTTTTTTTGTATGCTGAGAATTACTTATATTGTAGCTAAAATATAGGGCCTACACATTCTGATCAGGACCCACAACTTGTTATGGTTCTGGGTCCTTAGGGCCTGCAGCTTTTCAGGGTTACTCGCAAACAAATACAGTATAAACCTGATAAGTAAAATTTCAAGGGACTCGCCAAAATTGTTTACTTATCAGGTATTTTACTTATCCAAACTTATCAAAACCCGGAAATGACGCTAGCGAGCTGTAAGTAGGATGTGTGTTTAGCCGAAGACTGACACGTACCCCTCTTGTCGGATTATGTGGTGATTGCTAATTTAGTTTTACGGCTGCTTTTGTTAAGGAATTTACTTCCAGGGACCGTGAGAAGACGTTTAGTTAAGCGGTATTGTTTACTTATCCGAGTTTAGTTAACCGGACTCTAATAATGATAATTAAAGAAGAAATTTGCCGGACCAAAAAATAGTATTTACTTATCCGGTATGTTTAGTTAAGTGGTCTTTACTTACGCGGTTTCCACTGTATGCATTTATTGTGCACTGGGGCTCCTTTAACGAAGCAACCTTTACTTAGGTTAACCTTAACTCCCATTCTTTAACATTGCACTAAGGTTACCTTAGTGACTTACTCACCTTAGTGCTTTGTGAAAGGAGGCCCTGATCACCTGAGTGTCCTTTAGTAGTTTTTGGAAGTTGTTGCATACTGGCAAACAAATCTTCATCATATTCATATTCCAAGCATGAATGTCAGCCATCCAAGTGTACGCAAACTGTGACATATTGATGATAAATATGTTCATATTTGTCACACTATCAAATCATTTGACACAGAAATGTGATATTGTCAAATACATTAATTACCTTGGCACTGAACCAGTGATTTCAATATGATGAAGGATTGGTCACCATAGCAACTGTTGAGGCCTGTTTCCAGGCAATAGAAAGGGTTGGCTGATGGTGTCCAGAATTCGATATCTTCTCTGTCCTTGATAGTGTCATCTAGCTTATCTTTATTGTATATCCAGTGTAGGGGCTGAACTGAAATACAGAATGTTAAATTTGTTTGTTGGTTAATGCTGCACTCAGCGATATTTCAGCTGTGTAGCAGCATTCTGTAAATAATCAGCATCATGAGCATCGAGGGCGGTGGGGTAGCCTAGTGGTTAAAGCGTTGGTTCGTCACACCGAAGACCCGGGTGTTCGAATCCCCACATGGGTGCAATGTGTGAAGCCCATTTCTGGTGTCCCCCGCCGTGATGTTGCTGGAATATTGCTAAAAGCGGCGTAAAACCAAACTCAGTCAGTTAGTCATGAGCATCGATCTACACTGTGTACACAGAAGATGTACAGATTCATATGTCTACAGAACAAACTGGAAGTAGAAATTTCCAAATTCATGTCACAGTTCGAACTAATGCTGTGTCTTTATTGAGTTCCTGCATTGCAGAAAGGGCCTAGGTGGAAGTGGAAATAATGAGACAGACTATGTGGGTGAATACATTTCTACTAAGGTCTTCATAACATTCTACAATAAGTCTGATCCTGAAATCAGCTTTCGCACCTGTCTTCACAAACTACAGCCTACACGATATCTAAATCTTATTAGAATTTTGCAATAAGTCAAAAAAGATCGTGTGGTAAATTAGAATAAAATTCCTATTTCCTGTAAGTCTTTGATTCTATTTCTTTTATAAAAACATGCTTTTTCACACAGACACGAGAAACAAAATGTATTTGGGCTGACCTCATGACAATGCAATATTTTAAACAGTAAAGCTACTAATAGTTGACAGGCAAAACATGAGATCTTGTGGTAAATTAGAATAAAGTTGCTATTTTCTGTAAGTCATTGATTTTATTTCCTATTTCAAACTAACTTCAATGTACATTTAGATTAAGACGATGCTTTTTGACAGACATGAAAAAAAAGAATATGTTTTGACTGATATCATGACAATGCAATATTTTAACAGACAAGAAAATAATACGTGACAGTCAAAGGCGCATCCAGATAGGAGTTTCAGGGGTGCGCATCCACCCCCCCCCCTTTTTTTGACCAGTAAGTGTATTAAATGACCATTGAAATTCTTGTGAAAACGGGTAAAAATGAACTGTACCTGCACCCCCACTATCAAAAAGCTGTATCCGCCCCTGTGACTGACAATACATGCGATCAAGTAGATATACACATTTAGATAATAAGAGTCGTCTCGTCCAGTGCTGACCACCACTTGGGGTTAAAGGTCAGATTATTTCCGTGGCTACGTAACGACGTAAAGTTCACTGTCTTGGATCGAAGTGCAGCGTGCTTTAATGGTGTAATACTCACTAGCTGCATCAGCAACAAGGGCACCGACAACAGCTGCCTCCCGCCTCTCTGACACTGTCGCCATGATCAGCGGACGCTCATCACGACTCAACTCCAACAGGTATCTCCCAGCTGCTGTCAGCTTGTGATGAATGTTGATATCGTTTGAAAGGGGACGTAACTCTGTCTTGCACTGTGTACATTTATGCAAGTCACGATAGGTCAGCTATATAGACTTCATACACAAAGATATATGGTACATTTATAGATTCATCTTTTACTTTTTTCCTTGCTAATGAGTCAAAGAAGTTATTTTTTAAAACTCACGTGAAATGCACACAATATTATGTAATGGTAGATTGAAAAACTATATTTTGTCTAGTATAGATCTGTAGATAAACTACTGAACAGGATTTTTTTCTCCTCTGAACTGAAAGTATGCAATGAACCTATGTGGGGTGTAAGGAACAAAAGTCAATTCAACATGACTGGGGATATGTCATATCCTGATGACGTTTAATATGAATTTTTTTCTTATTCAATTTCATATTGGAAAGTTAGAATCTATAGTCTACACTCGTTTCTTTTCCCCCATTATTCTAGCTATTGTTTTGAATTCCATTTTTGGTGTTTGTTTCATCAGTATTCAAGCTCTTGTTCAGCTCTGTACAGAAACTGTCTCGACTAAAAGACATTTCATGGGGTATTTTTTCACTTATTTTTAGTGAAATGTGTATTGTACATATCTTGACAATTACAATGATGTAAACTGGTTATTGTTATTGTTGGTGCTCGGACAGACGTTGTATATACAAGAAAGCCCAAGTGTACAATGTATGCTGCCATGTTAATTCAGGTGTATACACGTGTTGTTCTCATACATGTTTTCATGCTGTCATGACAACCCAGGTATATATGCAGAATGATTCGGGTGTCATGGTAACCCAGATGTACATGCATGTTGTCATGACAACCCAGGTATACATGCAGGATGTTAGGATATGTCATGGTAACCCAGATGTACATGCATGCTGTCACGACAACCCAGGTATATATGTAGGATGTCATGGTAACCCAGATGTACATGCATGCTGTCATGACAACCCAGGTATATATGCAGGATGTCATGGTAACCCAGATGTACATGCATGCTGTCATGACAACCCAGGTATATATGCAGGATGTCATGGTAACCCAGATGTACATGCATGCTGTCATGACAACCCAGGTATATATGCAGGATGTCATGGTAACCCAGATGTACATGCATGCTGTCATGACAACCCAGGTATATATGCAGGATGTTAGGATATGTCATGGTAACCCAGATGTACATGCATGCTGTGTAGGATGTCATGGCGACAACCCAGGTATATATGTAGGATGTCATGGTAACCCAGGTGTACATGCATGCTGTCATGACAACCCAGGTATATATGTAGGATGTCATGGTAACCCAGATGTACATGCATGCTGTCACGACAACCCAGGTATATATGTAGGATGTCATGGTAACCCAGATGTACATGCATGCTGTCATGACAACCCAGGTATATATGTAGGATGTCATGGTAACCCAGATGTACATGCATGCTGTCATGACAACCCAGGTATATATGCAGGATGTTAGGATATGTCATGGTAACCCAGATGTACATGCATGCTGTCACGACAACCCAGGTATATATGTAGGATGTCATGGTAACCCAGATGTACATGCATGCTGTCACGACAACCCAGGTATATATGTAGGATGTCATGGTAACCCAGGTGTACATGCATGCTGTCATGACAACCCAGGTATATATGTAGGATGTCATGGTAACCCAGATGTACATGCATGCTGTCACGACAACCCAGGTATATATGTAGGATGTCATGGTAACCCAGATGTACATGCATGCTGTCATGACAACCCAGGTATATATGTAGGATGTCATGGTAACCCAGATGTACATGCATGCTGTCATGACAACCCAGGTATATATGCAGGATGTTAGTACATGCATGCTGTCACGACAACCCAGGTATATATGTAGGATGTCATGGTAACCCAGATGTACATGCATGCTGTCACGACAACCCAGGTATATATGTAGGATGTCATGGTAACCCAGATGTTCATGCATGCTGTCCACGACAACCCAGGTATATATGTAGGATGTCATGGTAACCCAGATGTACATGCATGCTGTCATGACAACCCAGGTATATATGTAGGATGTCATGGTAACCCAGATGTACATGCATGCTGTCATGACAACCCAGGTATATATGTAGGATGTCATGGTAACCCAGGTGTACATGCATGCTGTCATGACAACCCAGGTATATATGTAGGATGTCATGGTAACCCAGATGTACATGTATGCTGTCATGACAACCCAGGTACCGGTATATATGCAGGATATTAGGATGTCATGGTAACCCAGATTGACATGCATGCTGTCATGACAACCCAGGCATGTATGTGTGTTGTCCTGGTAATCCAGGTTTATACACACATGGTCATGATCACACAGGAACGTCAGTGTGTTGTCATGGTAACTCAGGTGTATGCTGCCAAGTTATCCAAGTTTTGCTGCCTTGTGCCTTGATGATTCTGATGAATTAACAATTTCCCTAGCTCCACTCTGTACAAGGTGTCACCAACTGCATGATAGTCTCGATGAGCTGAAACCTGCAAAGCTTTGAATGGATAACAGTATGCCATGCTTCATACCCATGTGATGGAAAAAGGGCTGTTGGAAAATAAAATACACACTCTATTTTAATTTTTTATTTCTGAAAAGTATAGTGTGTAACAAAGAACAATAAAATATATTCATATTAGCATGATAAATATTGCACTAAGGACATAGATATGAACTCTATAAGCTGTTCGTCTGGAATATTTACTGTCATTTTGTCATACTGAAAATCGAAAGGGAGCAGGATAATGAAGACTAAATTCTTGAGCAATATTTCGATTGAAAAGCGATCTCCTCAAACAAAAACATAATAGTATTTGTTTTCAATACCGGTAATTGAATCACCCACTGTCTGCTATGTCCCTGAAGAATGTTTGTCTCATTGTTACAATAATGGATTCAATGATCAGACGTCTCTTGCAAGCATTCATGTTCATAAAGTTTGTTTCAAAAGCACTATGGGTAAAATAGCAAGCAACACACTCCGAATAACAGACTACATGTTTCTGGTACCATCGTCTGGGATAATAATCCCTAATTCCTCACTGCCTGTAATAATAATAATAATAATAAGTGCATTTATCGCGCTATTTTCCTTCCGTTGAGGTTGTTCAAAGTGCAGGTATCAAGGATAGTACTTGGAGAAGAGATGGGTTTTAAGTTTGGACTTGAAGACAGCTAAAGATGGGGGAGGTTTTGATATCAAAAGGAAGACTGTCGCAGAGAGAAGGAGCACAGAATGAGAATGATCTCTGGCCGAAGGATTTGAGATTGGTCCTGGGGATGGTAAATAAATGTTGATCATTGAAACTCAGGTTTTATATAGATTCAGATTATATTCTCCAATAATCTCATTGTCTTTAACTGGGATACATAAGCTGAATACCGTCACCTGTAACTCTGGTAACACTGGCAGGGATACAAAGCTTCAATACTGTCAGTTGTAACTATGGCAACATTTCATACAAGAACCATCCATTGTATGTAAACATCATCCCATAATCCTCACTTATTTTGTTGGCTCATGGATGGGCCTGTTGGTCCCAGTAGGTGTTTTCTTACAAATTGAACAAGTTCTAATAAAAAATCTGATTTTAGGCAAAATGTCTCAAATATAAATTAATGGTGTGACCACGTTGTTTCTAGAATATGCAGATTGGACAACAGAGTATCTGAGGTCTGCATTTGATTGGACAAGATTTCCTATTCCTATCCACAGGCAATATCTCTGATGACTCTATGGTAATTGCTGGACAGGAAATGTGTTGAAGGACATATTACATAAGTTTGATAAGCTCTTCAGCCAGGTTCTTGATTTCGGTGTAGTGATTTGTTCGAGACCTCCACGACTCAGGAATGCTGTCTAAACCATACTGAAAGGAAATAAATAAAATAGTTGTAATAACTGTCAATTTTTAAACACACATGCAATTTAAGTCTGGAGCAGGGAGACCAGTAGATTCAAACACAAGACAATTCACATACAAAGTGGTCAAAAGTAACTTATGTTATATTTGGGGTTACACTCTTTCAGTAAAGTATGTTGTTTAGGTAGAATACCATTTGGGATTTGAACAAGTTGGAAGTTGGAAAACTTCTAGTCTAGATCACATACTTTGTGTACCCCTCAGACAAGTGTAAATAATCATGGCTCCCACGGCCAAAACTTATGAATACACAATACCATTTGAAAAGTGGTCAAAGGTGACATATATTTGGGATTACACTTTCTCAGTAAAGTTCAGATTCTAGTACGCTTGTTAGGTTTGGTTTTGTACTTTTGTTAGGATGATTTACACTTGTCAGAGGGGTACACAAAGTAATATATTTCAACACCAACCTGTGCTGCCATACAGGCGCCGATGTAGCCTGATCTGGAGCAGTTACCTCCCCCTGCTCTGCTGGTGGTCCTCACTGGTCCAGTGAAATCACTGGCATTGATAATGGCATGGATTGCCGTCTGCCATGCACCTGGCACCGCTGTCAGGAAGAGAATAAAATACATGGTAGTTTATGTGTTGATGGATCTGGGACCTGGGCCCCGTTCCTCAAAGCAATCGTAGCGCAAAGTTGATCGTAACTCCCATACTTTAACATAGACTTACGACTGTTGTAGCGCTACAATCGCTTTGAGGAACGGGGCCCAGGGGCCCATTCCTCAAAGTGATCGTAGCGCTAATACTTTAACATAGACTTACAACTGTCATAGCGCTGTGATCGCTTGAAGGAATGAGGCCCTGATCCACAAAGACTTGTAACATTACAAGCTATACAGTAAACTACGTTCCTAACATATGCTTAGGCCTAAAAAAAAGCGTGTGGTTCCAATTTCCCGACCGACCCTAAATATTCCCACTGAGCCTAACAATTTTACTCACCACATAATAAATTAAATATATTTTCTGACACATGAGTAATGTAAAAATATTTTGAAAAAAACACACAAAAACTACCTACCTACCCTAGTTCTGAAATGTAGGAAATCGGAACATTTATTTTTTTGGGCCTTATAACAAACTGATGGATATAGCTATTTCACATATTTGGGGAATCAAACCATATCCCTTCATGAATTCAAATCGTTATTCGCCATCACTAGAATTAAATATTCATGAATTGTATAAAAGTAGGGGTCCTGATTCACAAAGCACTTGTAGCATTACAAGCTGAATTCTATTTGTTATTCACTATCACTATAACAGAATGCCCACACATTTTATTGAGGAATGGTTTACTTGAAATTGTGTTGAATTTGGGTGTTATTTATTAAAGCCAGATATGCAGAAAAAAATATATCATAGACCAGCATGAAAATAGTCAAAACTCTTGCATATCTACTTTGACCATACGTCATCACTGATCCCTTGACAGTTTCGACAGGTCTAAAAATTATCATTATACAAACTACAATTCCTCCTTATACACTGCAATGCCTACAACACAACAATGCCTATTGCACTACAATGCCTTATCCACTACAATGCCTTATCCCCTACAATGCACAGTACACTACAATGCCTTATCCACTACAATGCACAGTACACTACAATGCCTTATCCACTACAATGCAATGTACACTACAAGTATCCACAGTACACTACAATGCCTTATCCACTACAATGCAATTACACTACAATGCCTTATCCACTACAATGCACAGTACACTACAATGCCTTATCCACTAGAACACTACAATGCACAGTACACTACAATGCCTTATCCACTACAATGCACAGTACACTACAATGCCTTATATACTGGTGAACACTACAATGCCTTTATCCACTACAATGCACAGTGCACACTACAATGCCTTACTCCCAGAACACTACAATGCCTTATCCACTACAATACACTAAATGCCTTATCCACATGCACAATGCACAGAACACAATGCCTTATCCACTACAATGCACAGTACACTACAATGCCTTATCCACTACAATGCACAGAACACTACAATGCCTTATCCACTACAATGCACAGTACACTACAATGCCTTATCCACTACAATGCCTTATCCACTACAATGCACAGTACATACAATGCACAAGCACAGAACACTACAATGCCTTATCAGTACACTACAATGCCTTATCCACTACAATGCACAGTACACTACAATGCCTTATCCACTACAATGCACAGAACACTACAATGCCTTATCCACTACAATGCCTTATCCACTACAATGCACAGTACACTACAATGCCTTATCCACTACAATGCACAGTACACTACAATGCCTTATCCACTACAATGCACAGTACACTACAATGCCTTATCCACTACAATGCACAGAACACTACACTACAATGCACAGTACACTACAATGCCTTATCCACTACAATGCACAGTACACTACAATGCCTTATCCACTACAATGCACAGTACACTACAATGCCTTATCCACTACAATGCCTTATCCACTACAATGTACACTACAATGCCTTATCCACTACAATGCACAGTACACTACAATGCCTTATCCACTACAATGCACAGTACACTACAATGCCTTATCCACTACAATGCACAGTACACTACAATGCCTTATCCACTACAATGCACAGTACACTACAATGCCTTATCCACTACAATGCACAGCACAGAACACTACAATGCCTTATCCACTATCCACTACAATACAGTACACTACAATGCTACATGCACACACTACAATGCCTTATCCACTACAATGCACAGAACACTACAATGCCTTATCCACTACAATGCACAGTACACTACAATGCCTTATCCACTACAATGCACAGTACACTACAATGCCTTATCCACTACAATGCCTTATCCACTACAATGCACAGTACACTACAATGCCTTTATCCACTACAATCCACTACACTACAATGCACAGTACACTACAATGCCTTATCCACAGTACACTACAATGCCTTTATACACAGTGCACTACAATGCCTTATCCACTACAATGCACAGAGTACACTACAATGCCTTATCCACTACAATGCACAGTACACTACAATGCCTTATCCACTACAATGCACAGAACACTACAATGCCTTATCCACTACAATGCACACTACAATGTACACTACAATGCCTTATCCACTACAATGCACAGTACACTACAATGCCTTATCCACTACAATGCACAGTACACTACAATGCCTTATCCACTACAATGCACAGAACACTACAATGCCTTATCCACTACAATGCACAGAACACTACAATGCCTTATCCACTACAATGCACAGTACACTACAATGCCTTATCCACTACAATGCACAGTACACTACAATGCCTTATCCACTACAATGAACAGTACACTACAATGCCTTATCCACTACAATGCACAGTACACTACAATACATACATACAAATATTTGTAAAGCGCTTTTTATCAATCTAACAGTACACTACAATGCCTTATCCACTTCAATGCACAGTACACTAAAATGCCTAAACAGTTTCAATGCCAAATACACTACAAATACCTAAAATTATGTCTACAATACCCATCGCTCAAATGATGTACCCCAACAATGCCATGTACATAAGAATTCCTCGACCAATACAGTTACTATTCCAACAATCAAATGACATCAATATCTGTAACACCTAATATCTTTGGAATCTACACACATGGAAAATTTAATTTGTACTTTTTAATGTTTAGTCTCTCATAACTCCAAAAGGAGTGGCTCATTTTAATAACTTAATATACTGTTATGCATACTTGAGGTGAGACTATAATAAACCATCTGTTTGTCTGTCTGTCTGTCTGGAAGGTCAGGTCTTCAAACGGTTTCACTTTTTTCCCAAGCACCCAACTTACAACAAGCTCTGCCAAAAGCCTTGGCAACTTCATTGTGGGGTGTGTTTTTCTTCTTTAAGACCTCTTGTAGTTTTCCCGCCTGGTCGTCAGATAGCTTGGATGACGTCTGCTCCACAGCATCAGGGCTCTTCCCATGGACGATATAGTATTCCAGCAACCTGTAGGCATTCAGCCTCATCAATCTAGTGGCTCAGAGCACATAGATATATGTCAATCGTATAATTAATCTTTTTTGAACAAGATCAAATTAGTAACAGTAACATGTCTCTAATTAATCGGATGGGAAAATACTCAATTTATCATAACACATATTCTGGTACCTTGCTGCTGACAGAGAACAGGCAACAGCTACTGGGGCATTATGGGAGATTCTGACGACTTCCTCCACCTTCTGCAACATATCTGGTTTCCCTGCATAGAGAGCTACCACTGGAATAGATCTGATCACGCAGTCCATTTGGTCGTCACTGTCGGAACCTGAAAAATAGTCCAGCACCACTCACTGCCAGTGTAGCAGGCATGGAGTCATCCTGCAGATGACATCCTTACATTGTCAGCTTACTACAGGGTTGACCTCCTTGGTCATGTGGACAAGGCGTCCAACTTCAGATCAGAAGGTATGTGGTTTGAATCCCAGCATTGGAAAGTTTATATTGGCTACACCAGGTACAGTTAGCATTTACAATGTCTAGTTGCTGGTTAGTGTTGGGAATTGGAAACAAAAACCCCTATCGATTATCGGAGGACTTGAGGTGAACAATTATCGATTATCATCGAAATATATACATTTTTAATGAATAATAAGGATATTTTCCCAGGTTTTTTCTAATTAATGTTTGTTTTATAACTAATACTGTCATGCAATGAAATGCACACATGCAAGAAAGACACTGGAATTGTAATTAAACAACAAAAGTGGTTAAAATTGTACAATGCGCATAACGTTACGTTCTTGAGCGCATGTTTGTTTCGTGAATATTCATCAAATTTAATGGTTAGCTTAATTCATTCAGGTGTGTTATTCTAAAACAACCAAATTCCGATTAATTGAAAATATGTTTTCTACAATCGATCATCATTTGAAATCCTTCTTTCGATCGATTTTCGATTATTTTTGATCATCGGAACACCTTTAATCTCTTTTGACTCCGAACTGCATAACTCTAACCTCATGTCTACTCAGGACAAAACTTTTGAGGTCAGGCGTGTTCATTAAAATTCCAATATTTTTTCAAGGAGTGTTACCACAGGAAACAAGTGAGCATGGTTTTATGTCGCTTTTAGCAATATTTCAGAAATATCACACCATATATGACCTTCACGTACTGTTCATACTCTCTGACAGGTTGTGTTGTTCAAACAAGATGAAGGTGTTACAGAATTTTTTTTAATGATGTAAAGATAACTTCAACTGGTTAGTCATCAAATGTACAGCATATGATTTTCAAAATTTGAAGTGATTTCTTCTTTCCTATCTTTCAGAAAGATTTATCCTTTCATCACAGACCACAAGCCACAATTATATGACCTGTGTTGGCTTTTCCCTCGCTGTATTTCTTGAGGAATTCCCGCACACTTCCGTTCCTGTACGGTCCCTTCAGACGCTTTGCCCCTGTCTTTTCTGAAATAATGACACAGCAGACATGAAGCTTATCTGTTCAAGTAAAGGGAACGACTATATGATACTCACATGGTCGCCTGGGATTCAATGACCCCCAAAATATTGTCCAAACAAAAATACTTGAAAAATATGCTTCAGACAATTGAAAAACATCATCTTCTACTAAATTACAATATCTAGACTTGCTAAAGGTGTTATTTCTTTCTGAAAAGATATTTATACTTCTAATTTTGATCAAAACAACTGGTTTCAATTCTGAAAAGAAATATAGTCTCCATACAAACTTCCCAGCTCCCCACCTTTCAATATCAAATGGTTGGTGAAAGGAATGTGACAAGAGTGAGTGAGCTGGATTTTACGCTGCTTTGAGCAATACTTCAACAATATCATGGCGGGGGGACACCAGAAATGTGCCTCACACAATGTACCCTTATGGGGAATTGAACCTGGGTCTTTGGCATGACGATGCTTTGAATGCAACAAAAAGTTCCCGAATGAGACAAGAAAGAACCATTGTAAATATTACTGAAATAAATTTTCAGCACGACAAACTTAATGATTTCTAAGGAGATTGACAATCAACATGCAACAGAAATGTTATCTTCCAACTCACCCTTTTCTTGTACAGCCTTTTCATACACCGACCCAGGCCCAAACACTTCAAACAAGGTTTTCTTCATTGCTGCCAGATTAATCCCTGATTTAAAATACAACATTATTAATTACAATGAATATACCAAATACAAGCGATGTATTGTGTATACGTCACCATGACAGGCAGTCGTTTCCTTCTTCAGCCGCATGACACTGTAACAATGACTTATATTAAGATTGACAAGACAGCCCTGCACAAACTATATGGAGTGAGTGAGTGTGGTTTTAACAATATTACAGCAATATAATGGCAGGGGACTCCAGAAATGGGCTTGGCACACTGTACCCATATGGGGAATCAAACCTGGGTCTTTGGCGTGACAAGCGAATGCTTTAACCACTAGGCTACCCCACCACCCGCTGATTACAGTGAAATAGTGCTATTCATTACACAACAGCCCAAATGGAATAGTGAGTCAGTGAGTGAGTTCAAATTTTATGTCGCATCAGCATTGTTATAGCCATAACCAACGAGACCAAGTTCACACATATACACAAATCCATTCTTACACAAAGTTACACTCCAAAGCAAGATCAGTCGCTAATGCTGAATTGTAACCCGGAATTCCCACTTTGGCCCTGATCAAGAGACAGTGACTTCATAGGCGGATCCAGAAGTGTGTGTGTGTGTGTGTGTGTGTGTGTGTGTGTGTGTGTGTGTGTGTGTGTGTGTGTGCGCGCACACACCCCTTTTGTGCTGAAAGTTTGTTAAATGACCATTGAAACTCTGGTGAAAATGAAGCGTGCACCCCTCCTTTTCTCAATAGTGTACACACCCCCCCTTTCTCAAAAAGCTGTATCCACCTCTGGGCCTAGTGACTGAGATAAAGTACTTGTCAATTTGGTCCTTGCCAAGTTCAGTTTTAGCACCACTACCCTCCATTTACGCAAACTGACACTTATAAATTTACATTTTAAGGTACGATTCGTTGTGTTTGTTGTTTAATGCCGGACTCAGCAATATTCCAGCTATTTGATGGCAGTCTGCAATTAATCGTGTCTGGACCAGACAATCCAGTGATCAACAGCATGAGCATCAATCTACGCAACTGGGATATGATGACGTGTCAACCAAGTCAGCAAGTCTGACCATCCAATCCCGTTAGTCGCCTCTTATGACAAGCATGGGTTACTGAAGACCAATTTTAATCTGGATCATCACAGGTAGAGAGGTATGATTATAAAAAAAAGATTCCATTCTTGTTTTCTTCACTACCTTTATTGGTCACAAGGGACCTGAGAATGACCAACTCTTGGTCACCATAGCAACTCTGCTCCCCAGTTTCAACCTCATAGAAAGGGTTTGATGAAGGGGTCAGAAACTCAATCTCCTCCTTTCCATCAATGATGCCTTTCAGTGTCTCATCATTGTATATCCAGTGCAGGGGCTCCGCTGTAACAGGCAACAGTAATGATGATCATAATAGACATAATAACCATTAAAATAAGAATGAAGGTAATATGATATGTCACTCTTAAATGCAATGACTTCTTAACTCAAAGGATTATGTCTTATAGATCTAAAATGAAAGCACAGATTTATTGTGGTGGGGTGAGTATATGCCTCGTATATCACTGTCACCATGCAAAATGCCTTGGTTTTTTTCAGTTTTCCACAAGGACTGGGTTCTAGCTTGTTGTTTAATGCCACTCAGCAATATATCAGCAAAAAGGCTATGATCTGTTAATTATCAAGTCCGAACCTGACAATCCAGAGATCAATAGCATGAGCACTGGTGGTGGTTTTCACCCAATTGTGTGTGTGTGTGTGTGTGTGTGTGATTGATAGCGTTAGTAGCGCGTGTCATTGATTATGTATATGACATGCAGGGGAGGGTCCTTCATTGTTGTACATGCTTCTATACATTTAAGCATCGCACACACTCCCAACAGAGAGAGAGGGGGGAGAGGAGAGAGAGGGAGAGAGAGAGATTATGAACACTTAAAGCGTTGGCTGGTCAGTCTAAGACCTGGTCCGATTCCATATGGGCACAATATATGTGTGAAGCCCATTTCTGATGTCCCCCGCCGTGGTACAGCTAAAAGCGGCGTAAAACCATACTCCAATTAACGCAACAAAACAATGATCGATATCACGGGCAGCGATTGATTCAAGCTGAGTCATGATCATCGCGCTTCGCAACAAATCCATCAAGATCTGTCAAATGAGGCTAACATGAGTGAGTGAGTATGGTTTTATGCCGCTTTTAGTAATATTCCAGCAATATCACGGCGGGGGACACCACACATTGTACCCATGTGGGGAATCGAACCAAGGCTGACAGTGAAAGCCGGTAGTTGAACCGTGGCGGCTTGTTCAAAGGCTCACTCACATATAGCATATAATGCCTTGTCATTCGTTATCAATACGAGCTAAAGAAATCGTTTACCGGCTGCATCTGCAACCAAAGCTCCAATCACTGCTGCACAACGCCTCTCGTCAATGGTCGACATCGCTTCGGATTGTTCCAGTGACAGGAAAACTCACAAGATCAGATATACTGCATTGTCATTCCTGTTTGCACGTGGTGTTAGTTTTCTAAGGGAAATAACTCGTAAATTCAGAAGGTACGCTTAACCTCGAGTGGTGTGGCAGATACGCTCAGTATAATGGATTTCAAAGTTTCATCTATTCTTCGACTTTAAATTATGTCTTATTGGTAATCGCTGCTAAGCCTATTGCAGGTATGAAGGCTTTGAAGTGAAACTGACCCATGAAATCAGCACAGAAGCAATCCTAATTAACTTCCGTGAAAGTCGTTAAGGAGAGAAAGAGCAGCGATCTGGATCCCAGTGAAATAAAAATCCGAAATCGTACATATCACATACTGTGAAAATATCTAATTATGTCGTTTTTCAATACAATACGTAATACCCGATCATAAATGGCAAAAAGAAAATCGTAAACATAAAATTGCTAACATTTATAAAATGAAAAATGATGTTTGATAAAATGACATCTCTGAGACATAGTATATAACTAAAACAAGACAGTTATTCATATTAGAAATATAAAATTATTTTGTAAAATTATTGAATTAATAAAAAGACTGGAAAAAATATGAGGTTGATCATCATGAAATATACAGGTTACCATGATGTTCCTCATCTTCAACAGACTGGGCTCGGAAATGGGATATACGGGTCAAGACTAACTTAGAATATATATAATTTAGATAGTAACAGATAACCCTATTAAATTTTTTAAATAAACAGATGAGATGCAGAACCTGCTATAAATCTGTACTTTGTTCAGTTTAGGGCTTTTGCATTACAGGTAGGGCTTGGCGGAAGGGACAATTAATATTGTTCAGAGAGTGTGAAACTACATACGTCAGCAACTCGTGTTTTTCTGGGACGTAATATAGCAATCCTTGCAGTTTACGGAAACAGGCGAGTGGTGACGAATGCAGAGGCTGCCATCCCTCGCCTCCGGCAAGAAGGAGTCCCGGGTCAATCGAAGATTCAACATTTAAAAATTATTAGAGGTGCACATACAAAAATGATCCATTATATGTCTTATTTTTCGATAACTTCACTTCAAATCGCTTCCTCTTATGTCCATGGAACGTGTTCTGTGGGTAGTATTTGGGATTCAGGAGCGAGCATTGTGACATACCGAGAGCAACACATTCATTACAGAAGGTGCCCGTGAAGATCCGGGTTAGACTTGGTCTTCAGAAACCCTGTCGTAAAAGGCGACCAACGGGATCGGGTGGTCAGGCTCGATGACTTGGTTGACACATGTCATCGTTTTCCAATTGCGTAGGTCGATGCTCATGCTGTTGATGCCTAGATTGTCTGGTCCAGACTCGATTATTTACAGACCGCCGCCATATAGCTGGAATATTGCTGAGTGCGGCGTTGAACAACAAACAAACCAACCAATCACACATTGTACCAGTGTGGGCAACTTAGTGTTCGGCGTGACGAGCGAACATTTAACCACTATCCTATCCCACCTATTATGTATCCAACTAAATTAAACGGCGAATGTTCATTCATTTTGAGATTTGGGCATACATGTATAATATACATTCGTATATGATAAATTGATATTAGACATGCCTTTTGTATATTGAAATTGGGATCGAGGTTTTCGAAAATATTGAAGATAAAATGCAACAAAAAGCTCTTTAAAAAGTGTCAAATGATATACAGCACATGTAAAGGAAGGTTCTCAGAATTAATAGAACTAAGAGTGTCATCATCATGCTTAATGTGTTGACAAACGTGACACATCGTGACATACATGTACATACAATCACTTCAAACAGCTCTAGCAAACATCAGTTGACCAACCTCTCACAATGAAAATGACAAACATGAAGCACTCGGTCATTCAATATCGTGTGTACCCTCCTCGCGCTTTCAAGACACATGTGCACCTTGTTCTCGTGCTATATATCAAGTTCATAAAGAAAGCTTGCGGAATCGCATTCCATTACTCTACTAGAGCTCTGCGGAGTGTCCACACGTCGAGTTCACCCCAGGAATGCTCAAATGGTTTGAGGTCACAGGGGCGTGTGACGCTTAGAAACAGTGTTAGAAAGACATATAGGTACATAGACCCTACCCTAGTACTATATACATGTATAGGAATGGATGTAACGACGGAACCACCCCCTCCTCAATCAAAGTTAGATTTCACCACGTAAACTATTTTTAAGGCCCCGTCGAGGCCTACGGATCGAAAGCGAGATGATTTCCCTACAAAATGATGTCAAGGCCATCTATGGCCAAGTATGATTGCCGATGGTTTTGGAGCAAGTGCCTGCTTACTGTCGAGGAAATGATTTGTAGATGTTGAAATAAGTTTTTAGACACGTGGAATGCCTCTCCCGATCGAATCTTGCCCTACATAGGTGCTGTCAGCGTGGCTGGAATTAATAAACGAATTTAAAAGGTGAGTTTTCGCTGTCTTGGGTGATCCATGATTTTGGCTTGGAATTGCGGACGTAGCTGTTTTCGGTGAGTCGTGGCGTATAACTTTTGAAATAATGATCCGATTGTGACCATTTATAGCTCATTTTGTAGGGAAATCATCTCGCTTTCGATCCGTAGGCCTCGACGGGGCCTTAAAAATAGTTTACGTGGTGAAATCTAACATTGATTGAGGAGGGGGTGGTTCCGTCGTTACATCCCTTTCCTTTTATATAGTACTAGGGTAGGGTCTATGTACTTATATGTCTTTCTAACGCTGTTTCTAAGCGTGACACGCCCCTGTGGTTGAGGTCTGGCGAGCATGCTGGCCACTCCATCCGCTCTGCACTCTGCTGCCTAAGGAATTCCGTGAAAATGCTGGCTCTATAAGGCCAAGCGTTGTCGTCTTGCAGTAAAGAGGGTCAACCATAAAAGCTATGCATAGCTTGCAGGAATGGTACTGCTATAGGAGCCAGAATCTCGTCCCGATAACGCTGTCCGGTAAGATTACCATCGACCATGTGCAGTGGAGTACGTCCAGTATAGGAGTTATCCCTGCCCAAACCATGACCGACCCCCCGCCAAATCGGTATTGCCAAATCGGTTATGCGTGGCTTTAGTTGCAACTGTGATTCGCTCTCCGTTGCGACGATAAATCCTCTGCCGACCATCATGAAAGGGCAAAATGAATCTGCTTTCATCTGTGAAGAGCACACGAGATCACTGACGTTGATTCCAGTGGCCATAGTCTACTCCATCTCAAAAGCGCCTGCCTGTGACGTGGTGTTAGTGGTGGACGAACTGCAGGTCGCCTACAGCGGAGTCCGGCTTCCCTTAAACGTCGACGAACGGTGCTCCTGGATATTCTTACATTGTTATCACATTGAAGTGTTCTGTCTGAAGATCTGCTGCGTTAAGGAATCTGTTACGTAGCGCAGTGTTAATCATGTGCCTATCATCTCGGACACTTGTGACTCTGGGGCGACATGACCGACGTGCATATTCCACGGACCCATTGGCTTGAAATCTCAGCCTACCAATAGCACTCTGACTCACATTAAAGCGGACAACAACCTGCCGCTGAGTTTGACCAGATTCCAAAAGGCCTATAGCCTGACCCCCTTTCAGCAAGTGTCAAAAAACGTTTCATTTTAAGCTGCGATTTCAAACAGGTACCTGAACAGTGAACGACAGTGAAAAAGCATCAATGCATGTGTATTGTCTTCCACTTTCCATGGAGAGAGCGACTTGCACGTGCAACTCATTGACATTAAGTGGCAGGTGGATTTCCATGTTGACAATTTGAATAAAAAATGTGCCATTTGTAACATAAACATGGATGTATCGGACGTTATAGAACGTAATAATGACATTTCAACAGCCTGATGTGTTTTCCATACTGTTGAGAAGAAATACTGTTACCAATAGCTTGACCCTTCATTTATGACGCCGAGTATATATATGATATCCTCGCTCTCGCCTGTCTTCTAGACTCGATAATCTCTTAACACGGAACCCCTACTCAAGTCCAGAATGATTTGGCAAGTCTAGATTGCCTCGGCTCGGCTCTAGGCAGAAATAAATAATTAGTCTTGTTTCTTTTGGGGGTTATAATATTGTATTTATAGTAGATATAAACTTTTAAATACATGTATGATCACATTATATCTGGAACTAAATGTTAGTCAACTTGTAAGAGAATACTTGACCTTTCAGAATACTTACCAATCACGGGTGAATCAAGCCTCGCCTACAATGACTATTGCATTGTGTGTTATGGGTTCTTTCAGTGCAGGGGCGGTGGGGTAGCCTAGTGGTTAAAGAGTTCGCTCGCCACGCCGAAGGCCCGGGTTTGATTCTCGACATGGGTACAATTTGTGAAGCCCATTTCTGGTGTCCCCCGCCGTGATATCGCTGGAATATTGCTAAAAACGGCGTAAAACCATACTCAGTCAGTCAGTCAGTCTTTCAGTGCATACACAACTAGGTGTTGGCATGTTTTAGCTGTACAAAGAACAGTAGGCATTTCTCTTTGTTGCTGAGACAGGTGCCCGTATGAAGGGATTTCCATTTCATGTCTTGTAGGTTTTGGCCTGGTATCTCCCATTTATATGATAGGATCTGTGGGGTGCCTTCAAGTGGTATCTCCATTTGTTGAATAAAGTATTTACGATCATGGATGAGTTGGAAGATCAGCATACTGTTACCGGGGCTCCCTGTTAAAGACTTCAGTGAAGAAAAACGATCTTTCTTGATTATCCTGGATTCTGTCCATTTGGTTTGGAAGCCTGGAAAAAATTCATTATGCCCTACCTAGACCCAAACAATCATCCCGGGACCCTAGAGGTATATCTGAAAAGGAGTCCAACTCAAATCTAGAATGTAGGGCTGGGACGGGTAGCCCGGATACCCGGGACGGGTGGGAAATGAATTGGACTCGGGTACCCGTCTCAATACCCGGACCCGTTATGATTATATGACCAATAGATTAAACAATGTAATATGTTATTCTTTCATGATTAATAGGTTGTATTGTTTTTGAAGATTTAGACATAATTACAGTCACTTCTTTTGAATATAATACATGGTTAAGATATAAAAAACCCGAATCGTAGCCTCCCAGCTGAAAAATATATTGCCATTTCTTACAAATTTGATGTCAGGAATTAACATAACGGGTATCCGGGTAGGGTAGGGTAATAGGGGGTGGGGTACCCGGGTAGAAAATTAGGACCCGTCCCTGCCCTACTAGAATGATTGGTCAACTCTGAAATTAACAGTGAGTGAGTGATCATGTGTGATCATCAATTTAAGCAATATCCCAAAAATATTACGGCGGGGACACCATATATGTCTCATGGTTTCTCTTTCGGACTTAAATGCCACACAACGGCCAGGAAGATTGTTTACATTTTGGTTCCGCATGAATGTTGTTAAGCATGATGTCTAGTTTTGTCATGGCAAGACGTGGCGTAGCTAACGGTTCGTGCTAAGTACAAGGCGCGGCTGTGTGGGTTCTCCTTAATGACATTGTCCATTAAACTGGCCGTGTTTTCATACCCCATGTTGTTGTTCACCTCCCACATCATTACGCTTACACAACTCATTCTGTCGACATCCCTGCTGCACTTTATGGCAAAAACATAATGGTAAAACCTTGTCAGCTTACTAGGGCTGGATATTGCTCTGATTTTCATATTGCGATATATTGCAATAATTTAAGAGATATTGCAATACATATTGTGATATATTGACTAGAAAGTTTCTGTCCAAGTGCTTACATCATAAATTCATAAAAGCTCTCTGTGTGCGACATCATCTTTTTAGTTGCTCTTACACCATACTTTCAGGCTCCCCGTCTCCATTGCGCATGGCTGTATGCCAATGGTTTACAGATAAATACAATGATATAGAGGCTCAACGTGGAATGTTTGATTGAAGCATTACAACAAAGTTTTGCAAATATAATGATAAATGTAATATTATAGCATGATTTTCAGTGTTGTTTGCTTCAACAGATTGCACTTCAATGCAGCGTGTAATTATTGTTTCTGTATGTCAGTGATTCATTGAGATACAACGCCAGTATAAACATGACTTTTTGTGTTACCATGGACTATTGCAAAATGAAACAAAAACATGATTTAGTTTAAATTAATATTATATGAACCATTATGAAACAAACCATAATAATAATAATAATACTGTGAGTTGTGAAATGGTCACTCGGAGCCAGACACTCTACTGTAAGTCCAAATAAAAAACTGGTCTATTTGAGGCAACTTAATTCCTCCAAATGAAACCATTCAAAATAACAAAACGTAAAGCATTTGGTAGAATATTTGGTACTTTTGGAGATACTTGTAATGACACTTCCACTTGTAAAATTATACATGAAACCAACAGAACTTGTATTTGGCACTTTTAGAGCACATTGTTTTGCCATGGAAATCAAGGGCAGATAATTCAGTTGAAGCTAACAGTGGATGACCCAATATATTGTAGAATCTGAACCATATCGCAATAATCGTATCGCCAGATACTGTACCGGTATATACCGGTTTACCGGTATTATTATTAATAATAATAATACTTGAAATTTATATAGCGCTAAATCCAACCACAAAGTGGGTGCTCAAAGCGCTACAACATAATAATAATAGAGTTAATTGTGCAGTGAAAAGAGATGAGTATTAAGATGTGATTTGAACGCAGCAAAAGATGGAGACAGTTTTAAGGTTAGAGGCAGTTCATTCGACAGCGATGGAGTACAAACACTGAAAGAACGTTTTCCATAAGAGCACAGCCCTACAGCTTACTGAATGATAACTCGTCGCTGAACTACACAGTTCAGGGCATCTCCATAGATGATACTCCATTTGCTGGACACGGTCTGTTGCACGGCTTGAACAGCTGTATATAAACTGACGTACAAAAGAAAGTACGCACCTGAAGCTTTGGTAAAATGTTTTCCTGAAAACAACGCAATATTATTTAGAAAAGGGTTTTGATTGCAACTCACAAGTCACAAACATTGTGTACGTGTTGCAATAACACCATAGATATCGTACCCAATTGGAACATTGCTAGCGAAATATTTACGTTGTTTTAATAGTCTCAAAACACCAGGTGTGTACTTTCCTTTGTACATCAGTATAGATCTGACAACTGGGACACACACACACACAATGAGTGAGTGAGTGAGTTTAGTTTTACGTCGCACTCAGCAATATTCCAGCTATACGGCAGCGGTCTGTAAATAGTCATGTCTGGACCAGACAATCCAGTCATCAACAGCATGAGCATCGATCTACGTAATTGAGATACAATGACATGTGTCAACCAAGTCAGCGAGCCTGACCACCCGATCCTGTCAGTCGCCTCTTACGACAAGCATGGGTTACTGAAAATCAATATTCTAACCAGAACCTTCACGGGTAACAATCACATAAAAAAGTAGTGCTAACATTTATTGCTTTAATTCTGCAATGCATAAGTTTCACCGTTTCTTGGTGGAATTTTAAGCCACGTTTACGTCGCTAAAACAAATCATGAAAAAAAAAACTCTTTCGACTTAATTGCGGTGACCATCTTTGTTTGCAGCTAAGGGAGATGAAAATTGTTCTAAAATATTGATCAATCAACAATGAGCTCAAAACCTACCAAAACGATGTCTCCTATAGGAGATATAGCTTGATCTTCCACGAGCGTATCGCTTGATCTTCTACGAGCGCTGCGCTTGATCTTCAACGAGCGATATCTCCACTGCAATCCAGTATTGGATAATGAATTCCAAACTCACACGTGGGCATTCATGAGCAATGCAGGTTTAGGCCTACTTCCAACAGTTTCTATCATGTCGATTGGTTGGTTGGTAGGCGTATGTTGCGTAAGTCAGCAATATTCGAGCTATATGGCGGAGGTCTGTAAATAATCGAGTCTGGACCACACAATCCAGTGATCAACAACACGAGCATCGATCTACGCAGTTGGGATACGATGACACGTATCAACAAAGTCAGCGAGCCTGACCACCCGATCTCGTTAGCCATCTCTTATGACAAGCATGGGTTGCTGAAGATCAATTCTTAAGCAGATCCTCGCGGGTATCATGTCAGTAGCCTGTAGATACTTCGCGTGTTGCAGACGATGTTTCGTGAGTTCATTCACGAAGAATGAATATATTCAAGTAAATCAGAACGCTGTGATACACTTTTGCTTGATAGCTGTATAAGACTCTGTACCGAAAACTCGCAATGTTGAGGTGGCCCTCAATATCATAAAAAAGTTGTCATCATTGAAGTATCTTTCTTCTCACGTCACAATAAAAATATTATTCGTAGAACAACGCAGAAAAGGGAAACAGTCGATCGGGCACCCTTACCTGTCTCAGTAGGGCCGATGGGGTAGCCTAGTGGTTAAAGCGTTCGATCGTCACGTCGAAGACCCGGGTTCGATTCCCCACATGGGTACATCGTGTTAAGCCCATTTCTGGTTTCCCCTGCCCTGATATTGCTGGAAAATTGCTAAAAGCGTCGTAAAACCATACTCGCTCACTCGTCTCAATCTGAGTTTGTACGTCGCCGTTCCCGGTGGTTTGATCTGGCTGACAATGTCCTGCGGGTCCACACATGACCTTGACCTCAACACACACGTGCACACAGCCGCTCAGTGTAGAACTGATGTCCCAGCCACACGTAAGTCATCCATTCTACATGTTCTGTCTTCAACCATCTGGGTATTGTCGAGTATGGGAGAATCCGTTGCTCCACACGAGAAGGCGATAAGAGACCAAACTACCCAGTAGAGAGCTTCCGTCCTTCGTAACGTAGTAAGCATGAACTGAGGAATGTCTGAGAATGATATCTCCGATATCAGTAGTAGCTCACCTTATTGGTAGTAGCTCACCTTAGTAGTAGTAGTAGTAGTAGTAGTAGTAGTAGTAGTAGTAGCTCACCTTAGCGCAAACATTTTTGCTTGGATTTTTATGATTAATTTCTTACACCAAGATTGAAAACATACCCGCGTTGAAAAGGTACCCGGCGGGTACTTTTTCAACATTGAATTATTACCCGGACTCACTTTTCAACGGCAGGGGTCTTTTTTCAACATTGAATAATCACCCGGCTGCCATTGAAAAATAACCCGGGTCACGTATTGAAAACATACCCTCGTTGAATAAGTACCCTCGCTGTTTCTACACTGTAAACGCACGTAGCCAATTAGAACACCATTGATTAGGTTTTTACCCATGTAGTTATATTTCTAGCAATATAACTTAAATATAGATCCGTGTTTGTGTTGTCATTATGGTCTCTCGTAATTCCCTGTGGAGTGGCTTGTGTACACATATTTATGGTTTTATCAAAATGTTTCTTCAAAATGTTGTACATACGATGAGACCAAAATATATCACTGTATGAATGACTGTGTGACTGTCTTTGATGTTTGAAGTTAGACGCAGCCGATCTAAACGGGGACATCCAAATCTTTGATATCGTGATATTATTCAATGTTGAAAAAAGACCCATGCCGTTGAAAAATGAGTCCGGGTAATAATTCAGTGTTGAAAAAGTACCCGCAGGGTACCTTTTCAACGCGGGTATGTTTTCAATCTTACACCGGCACGGGTACTACAGACATGTACCCCAGGTACCCTAGCCAAAATCAGAATACCGAAACGTACCCAAGCTAGGACTCCATATTCCGCACCGTTTTCTTGATAGGACACGAATACGACACGAATACTTTGCGCTGCACAATCATCAGGTGAAAGTGAACTGGTTTCGGTTTGAGGTTAAGGAATATGGATTCGTTTGACGTTTGGACACCGGGTAGGTTTACGTATTGTGACTTTGTTTAGGGTACATTTCTGTATGCAGGAACATATCTCTAATACCCGTGCCAACACCGACTCCTTCAGCGTTAATTTCACGTTCCATTCTAGACCAACTCTTGAACGTTATTCCGGGACAGTTTTGGGAGGTTACGGAAAGGGTCGAGAAGTGACGAATGTTGACGAATCATGACATCGATGACTAACATATCTAGACGGCCACGTGCTGCGTTCCGTCAACTGCACCCATAACCTAAGAAGCCATCTTGAAAATGTGTTCATGCAACTAGGAATGTGAGCTGGTGTCTGGAGACGAGAAGGTAGGAAGAGTTTTGTAAACATAATAGGACTTCCACAGTCCTGTCTCTTGATCCGTTAGAGTATGGACCTCCCTATGTCACCCTCAGCTCCCAGCCCTAACTCCTCCTCCATTTTGTGCAGTGTTACAATGACAGTGTCTCCGGGCGATTGAAATCGTTCGGTGGAATGAACAGTATGACGTTTTATTTCTTTTGCAATCTCAAAAATAGGTCCCTTGGCAATCTCTACCATACGATCGTCACCAGATAGCGTGTCTATTTGTAGTGAGTGAGTATGCTTTTGCCCCGCTTTTAGCAATGCTCCAGCAATATCCCGACAGGGGACACCAGAAATGGGCTTCGCACATTGTATCCATGTGGTTTAAGCGTTCGCTGGGCACTACAAGGGGATGGTCTAAAAGTCAGACTCTGTGAAGTAATATGTAGGTAGATATAATACTAATCTATGGATTTAAACACAAATCAGGATACATGTGTGGGTTTAGGTTGTTTTTGACAGCACGGGCCAAGTCGGGCTGAACAGAGACTAAACACTTTTGATTGAGGCCATGTTGTGAATGGAGAAACAAAAGGGCTTCACTTTAACGAACCAGTCATCTTTACATGTGGCATTTTGTAACACCACACAGCGATATTTAGGTAGATATGATACTAAACTATGTATTTAAACACAATTCAGGATACATGTGTGGGGTTTAAGTTGTTTTTTGAGAGCCCGGGCCAAGGCGGACCGAACGCACACATTTTTCGAGTCTGCCACGTAAACAAACGCCGTTGCTAGGGAAGTCAGTTGCGCCCATTTTATGCGCAGGTCTAAAACACTCTCCTACCCAGAGTTCCATGCGGCCAGCCAGCATAGTACATTCGTAAGCTTGTTCCTAACGTTCGCCAAAGCGATATGCGAGACGGGCCCAGCTAAAGTACATTCGTCACTACTCGCTTCTTTCCGTGACCGCCATCCGGCTTGCCCGAATGACACGAGTAGTTACGAATGAGGATAGTACTGTTAGTCATCGCTGCGCCGGAGTCATTCGTGACCAACTCGTGTTATTCCGGGACAAGGTTACGGAAAGGGGCGAGTGGTGACGAATGCGCCGGAGTGTGAGGTCTACAGTAAACTCGCGTGCTTGCAAAGATGACGGAAGGTATCCGGTTAGACCAAAGACGTATATCAGCCTGGTTCCCTGGGCTGAGACGTATCATATGAACATATTTTACAGAAAAAAACTGTTCCTAATAAAAAAATAAAATGAAATGAAAAGGAGCCCTGAGACTTTCTTCATTTTCAGAGTGTGAAGCCCATTTCTGGCGTCACTCACTCACTCATTTTCAGAAACTGTGGAAATCTAGACTTGCCACATAATCTACACTTGCACGGGCTTTCTTGGATATGTTTCATTGTTTGCTTCAGGGTCTGTATGACAAACTAGTGTTCGGTATTCTACAATGTACTCTTTCCCATTTTTCACACATTTACTGTGAATTGGTGAAAAAAACTACCCAACAAAATATTTTCGAAGAAACATCGTAGAATATTTGTGCAATGATCAAATGAAATTAGAGTATATCTACTATCAGACAATATCCGAATATCGAGTTAGAATATTTGTGCAATGACACTTAGGATTGCCGACCCCAAATATATCTGGAAATTAGATAAAAAAGGAAATTGCCGATTTTTTACTGCATGCCGACTAGACAAATTATTGCATATTGTTCTGCAAACACTGAACGGGAGAAAAAAACAACAAACAAAACAACGGCACATTTGTTTGCAATTTTACCCTGTTCAGGAAATATTCACTGAAATGGCTTTCGCGATCATTGTCGTAGTTGTGGTAAACAAATAAGTTAAGCGCCCCTGACTACAGCGCCCTCTAAGTAGCAGTGGGAATTGGTTGAAATTTCATAATCGATTATTGGTTACTATCGGATTGTCCCATCCAATCAATGATTGATTGTATAATCGGTTACACTGATTAAGAATTAAATATTTTTTAACAACTTGTGCAATTCCCAGTTAAACATTTGAACTCTGTTACAATACTGCAATACTGTGTATTTGTCATGTTTTTAATTATGTGATAATAGTGAGCATTAAATGAAATATGTCAGCTTTTGTGGTTGGTTTCTGTGAAAAGCGTGACTTTGGGGTGCATCTACAAGAACCTAATAACTCCTGCCCGACTCTGTGGAGAATGTGCAGGTAGTCACTCTTGGTCTTCCGTGTCTGGGACTGTCAGATATCTGACCAGTGTGGTTGAAACGACTCATTTGCCTGACGATGGTCTGCCTTGTACAGCCAAAAGTTCAAAGTTCCCATCTGCAACATTCCAGGGGATCGTTATCGCCCAATGCTCATGTAATTCACAGGGGGCGTGTCACGCTTAGAAACAGCGTTAGAAAGACATATAGGTATATAGACCCTACCCTAGTACTATATAAAAGGAAAGGGATGTAACGACGGAACCACCCCTCCTCAATCAAAGTTAGATTTCACCACGTAAACTATTTTTAAGGCCCCGTCGAGGCCTACGGATCAAAAGCGAGATGATTTCCCTACAAAATGAGCTATAAATGGTCACAATCGGATCATTATTTCAAAAGTTATACGCCACGACTCACCGAAAACAGCAACCTCCGCAATTCCAAGCCAAAATCATGGATCATCCAAGACAGCGAAAACTCACCTTTTAAATTCGTTTATTAATTCCAGCCACGTTGACAGCACCTATGTAGGGCTAGATTCGATCGGCAGCGCCATTCCACGGGTCTAAAAACTTATTGCAACATCTACAAATCATTTCCTCGACAGTAAGCAGACATTTTCTCCAAAACCATCGGCAATCATACTCACTTGTCGGCCATAGATGGCCTTGACATTTATGTGACCTGAGCAGTAAATTTGCAAGAATAATTTTAGAAGTTAAATATTTATAAATATAATTTCCTAAAAATGAATCAATATCGAATGCATTTTTACAACCTCTAAAACTATTCTTAACAATTTACTGTTCCGTACATCATTCAAAATATAGGATTATTGCAAAGTTCATATTTCGCGCCCATTAGCAAACAGTCAAAATCTTACTGTATATTATATTTTCCACCAATCGGATGGCCCAATTTCGTTTCTGCGAATCTGCTCAGATCACTTGAATGTCAAGGCCATCTATGGCCGACAAGTGAGTATGATTGCCGATGGTTTTGGAGAAAATGTCTGCTTACTGTCGAGGAAATGATTTGTAAATGTTGCAATAAGTTTTTAGACCCGTGGAATGGCGCTGCCGATCGAATCTAGCCCTACATAGGTGCTGTCAACGTGGCTGGAATTAATAAACGAATTTAACAGGTGAGTTTTCGCTGTCTTGGATGATCCATGATTTTGGCTTGGAATTGCGGAGGTTGCTGTTTTCGGTGAGTCGTGGCGTATAACTTTTGAAATAATGATCCGATTGTGACCATTTATAGCTCATTTTGTAGGGAAATCATCTCGCTTTTGATCCGTAGGCCTCGACGGGGCCTTAAAAATAGTTTACGTGGTGAAATCTAACTTTGATTGAAGAGGTGGTGGTTCCGTCGTTACATCCCTTTCCTTTTATATAGTATACTAGGGTAGGGTCTATATACCTATATGTCTTTCTAACGCTGTTTCTAAGCGTGACACGCCCCTGTGGTTTTGGCAACACATCAAAACACTTTTTTAAGTATTTACTTTGGTGTCAAGTGTAATCCCAAAACACCAGGAGGAGTGAGTGAGTAAGTGAGTGAGTTTAGTTTTCAAAGCGTGTAACACCAGAAATGGGCTTCACACAATGTACCCATGTGGGGAATCAAACCCGGTCTTCAGTGTGATGAGCGAATACTTTAACCACTAGGCTACCCTACCGCCCCCAAAACACCTTTCTTCTGTATGTCACTATTTACATGTCGTTGGTCTAACAATGCATATCACTTCTTGTCAGTTTTAGATGAGGTGATCCCGGAACAAGGGGCATGCATAGAACAGTCATGAATGAAGTAAACAGTGCAGATGCAGCACGACCACAGCATAGAACAGTCATGAATGAAGTAAACAGTCCAGATGCAGCATGACTACAACATAGAACAGTCATGAATGAAGTAAACAGTGCAGTGGCAGGACGACCACAACATAGAACAGTCATGAATGAAGTAAACAGTGCAGTGGCAGGACGACCACAACAAAGAACAGTGGGTGACTCTAGCTTCATCATACATGCGGTTAACAGTACAGTTTCTGTACAACCACCAAGAGATAGTTCATCAGGTAAGCTGTTTGACAGTAGCTGTTGTAGTATTGTACACTTCTGAAATGTACTCATGGTATGATATCATCATCCAGTCAGTGAAATGTATTCCATGGTATGTCATCACTTCTGAAATGTACTTCTGAAATGGTATGATATGTCGTAGTATTGTACACTTCTTCTGAAATGTATTCATGGTATGATATCATCATCAGACAGTAGCTGTCATGTGAAATGTACTCATGGTATGATATCATCATGAGTATACACTTCTGAAATGTATTCATGGTATGATATCATCATCCAGACAGTAGCTGTCGTAGTATTGTACACTTCTGAAATGTATTCATGGTATGATATCATCATCCAGACAGTAGCTGTCGTAGTATTGTACACTTCTGAAATGTATTCATGGTATGATATCATCATCCAGACAGTAGCTGTCGTAGTATTGTACACTTCTGAAATGTACTCATGGTATGATATCATCATCCAGACAGTATTGTACACTTCTGAAATGTCATGGTATGTATCATGTACATTGTCTGAAATGTACTCATGGTATGATATCATCATCCAGACAGTAGCTGTCGTAGTATTGTACACTTCTGAAATGTATTCATGGTATGATATCATCATCCAGACAGTAGCTGTCGTAGTATTGTACACTTCTGAAATGTACTCATGGTATGATATCATCATCCAGACAGTAGCTGTCGTAGTATTGTACACTTCTGAAATGTATTCATGGTATGATATCATCATCCAGTCAGTAGCTGTCATGGTAGTATTGTACAGTACTTCTGAAATGGTATCATCATGGTATGATATCATCATCCAGTCAGTATTGTACACTGTCATGGTATGTATTGTACACTTCTGAAATGTACTCATGGTATGATATCATCATCCAGACAGTAGCTGTCGTAGTATTGTACACTTCTGAAATGTACTCATGGTATGATATCATCATCCAGACAGTAGCTGTCGTAGTATTGTACACTTCTGAAATGTACTCATGGTATGATATCATCATCCATACAGTAGCTGTTGTAGTATTGTACACTTCTGAAATGTACTCATGGTATGATATCATCATTTAGATGTTATGTATTATTTAAAGTACACCTTATAATTGTCATAAATCTAAGCTAATTTAGCCTGAAAATGTGTTTGCCAGATATTGAGATACATGTAGTTGAATTGTATATTTTCTTCCTTGAATGGCATTTAGAAGCTTGTATATGAACACCAGTATGAAGCAAGTGATAGCATCTACACCGAAATGTCGCATCCATTGCAAAAACGAAGTTGTCTATCCATAAAAAAATCGTTCTGAATGGTATGTTGTCTTCATGCCAAACTTAGCACCATGCAGTTAACAGTGCAATGTATCTTTCCTTGCAGGACGCAGGGATGACTTCCGCTTTGAAAATATCAAAGGTCAGTATATCAGTAAGTCCCAATGTATTTAACTATAACAGGACAAAAAGACAACCTAAAACATGCACGCAAATGTCATCAGGAACCCATGCTTGTCGTAATAGGCAATTACTGGCATTGGGTGATCAGACTCGCTGACATTGTTACATGTTATCGTATCCGAATTGCGTAAATCGAGTGGATTATGTATGACTATGGTATCAACTGCGGCCTGGTATACAGTATAGATTTGCGGTATATGGAGCGTTTATGCTGGTTAACATCATACAGTATGGAGCGTTTTATGCTGGTTAACATCATACAGTATGGGGCATTTAAGCTGGTTAACATCATACAGTATGGAGCGTTTATGCTGTCAACATCAACATCATACAGTATGGAGCGTTTTATGCTGGTTAACATCATACAGTATGGAGCGTTTTATGCTGGTTAACATCATACAGTATGGGCGCTTTATTGGTTAACATCTGGTATGGAACATCATACAGTATGGAGCGTTTTATGCTGGTTAACATCAACATCATACAGTATGGAGCGTTTTATGCTGGTTAACATCATACAGTATGGAGCGTTTTATGCTGGTTAACATCAACAGTATAACATCATACAGTATGGAGCGTTTTATGCTGGTTAACATCATACAGTATGGAGCGTTTTATGCTGGTTAACATCATACAGTATGGAGCGTTTTATGCTCGTTAACATCATACAGTATGGAGCGTTTTATGCTGGTTAACATCATACAGTATGGAGCGTTTTATGCTGGTTAACATCATACAGTATGGAGCTTTTTATGCTGGTTAACAGTATGGAGCGTTTTATGGTTAACATCATACAGTATGGAGCGTTTATGCTCGTTAACATCATACAGTATGGAGTATTTTATGAGCGTTTTATCATACAGTATGGAGCGTTTTATGCTCGTTAACATCATACAGTATGGAGATTTTTATGCTGGTAACATCAGTACAGTATACAGTATGGAGCATTTTATGCGTTTTATGTTAACATCATACAGTATGGAGCGTTTTATGCTGGTTAACATCATACAGTATGGAGCGTTTTATGCTGGTTAACATCATACAGTATGGCGTTTTATGCTGGCATACAGTATTTTATGCTGGTTAACATCATACAGTATGGAGCGTTTTATGCTGGTTAACACATCATAGCGTTTTATGCTGGTACATCAGCGTTTTATGCTGGTTAACATACAGTATAGCATTTTATGGAGCGTTTTATATGCTCGTTAACATCATACAGTATGGAGCGTTTTATGCTCGTTTTATGAGCGTTTCGTTAACATCATACAGTATGGAGCGTTTTATGTAACATCATGGTTAACATCATACAGTATGGAGCGTTTTATGCTCGTTAACATCATACAGTATGGAGCGTTTTATGCTGGTTAACATCATACAGTATGGAGCGTTTTATGCTGGTTAACATCATACAGTATGGAGCGTTTTATGCTGGTTAACATCATACAGTATGGAGCGTTTTATGCTGGTCAACATCATACAGTATGGAGCGTTTTATGCTGGTTAACATCATACAGTATGGAGCGTTTTATGCTGGTTAACATCATACAGTATGGAGCGTTTTATGCTGCTCAACATTGTGCAGTATGGAGCGCTTTATGCTCGTTAGCATCATACATTATGAAGTGATTTATGCTCGTTAATAGGGGGTTGGGGTGTTAGCCTAGTGGTTAAAGTGTTCGCTTGTCACGCTGAAGACTGGGGTTTGATTCCCCATGGGTACAATGTGTCAAACCCATTTCTAGTGTTCACCGCTATAATATCGCTGGAATATTGCTCGAAGCGACATAAAACTGCACTCACTCACTCACTCAATTTATGCTCGTTAACATTGTATGTTATGGAGCGTTTATGCTTGTTAACATAATTCAGTATGGAGCATTTTATGCTAGTTAACATCATACAGTATGGAGTGTTTATGCTTCTTAACAGCATACAGTGTATCATTTTGGGAGTAGGTCCATAATGGTTTGGAATGGTATCACAGTGACTGGCCCAACTGCACTCAGTATTGTCCATGGTCGATAACATTGATAATTATAATATTGTTGCACCATTCGTGGTGCCCATTCCATAATGTGTTGGGCAACATTTCAGCTTTCAAGATAATAATTCATGCCCTCATCATGCCACGACTTTGACCTATTGCTCCTACCTGACAACATCCATGCCATGGCCAGCACTCAGTTTTCCTGCCAATGATATGAACTTATATCTGTCTAAGGATCTGTCTAATAATAAAAAAAGAAATGTTTGAAATTTTTAAAAACAGTCTTAAGGCCCCCTTTTCACAACACATTAGTAAAACTACCATAGTGGTAAGTGAGTATTGAAATATGTGATTTGGGTGATATATATCAGAGCTGTAAGATGACTTCATTGGATGATTCATGATCTCATTATTCTGAATGTTTCTTGGTTTATCAGGGTTGAAAAGTTTTTCAAAACTCCACTGGGCACAGGTCCAGTAAACGTTCAAAATCCGCTTAACTAAATATTAATTTCACTTGACCACAATTAACAATTTGGTTTCTTTTGCAAATAATTTTTATCAATTATAAACAACAGACAAATGCATTTCTATTTCATCATCAAAATACATATATCAAAACATTACAGTAGTTTGGCACTACTGTACCACGGTAAAGTTTAATGTGAATATTTACTTGACAGGACGATGATGATGATGATGATGATTTTGGGAGGGGGCACCCATTTTGTTCTGGGGTGGTAGGGGGCTCATCACCAATTTTGTACACATAACTGGGGATGTCATTGATGTTTTATATGACATGCATCTGTCACTTACTTTATACATAAATTTTAGGTGGGAGACATTCACATTGTACATCCTCTCTAAAAATAATCTGTATCCTTTTGTTATAATCAGCATCAAGTAAACAGCATTTGAAGACGTTTGACAAGAGAAGATTTGTGGAGACAAGAGCATATGATGAGGCCAGATTTCGTCTACAAAACCTTGGTGTTGTGGTGATTGTTGGGCCACGAGGTAGTGGGAAGACAACCATGGGTGCCAATCTCCTTAACTCCTTCACGCGAACGCCAATCATTCTCCACAGTCCTGAAGACTGGTATACACTTCCTCTGCGACAATCACAGAGAAACCGATTGAATGTCCTTGTGGACAACATATTTGGATTTGACAATCTTGACGTCTATCGGAAAGAAGCGTGGCTGCAGCTACTAGATGTGATGTTCTCTCAGGTGCAACTCGGCCTCGTAAGTGTTGTTATTCTGTTAAGTACAGATGTATTTAACATATGCCGAGAACAACTCACAAGATTCTCATTGTTTCAAGTCGCTCACATCATTTCACTATCGGATCCAAAGTACAGTTTAAATCTTGAAGAAATGAAACAAATGGCCAAAATCCATATAAAGACAACATCTTCCCAAGTAGACCAAAATAACATTTCAATGCACCTGTCAAAGCTTAACAGCATGGCATTTCCACTGATATGCCATACATTTGCAAGTTGTAAGGAAGCTCAGGAAAGAGGACTGCAGTATTTCCAAAACCCTGTTGAATGCATTGTGAAGAGATTCAAGATACTGAGAGAACAAAATGATCTTCAGTACCTTGTTCTGGTTCTTCTTGCTGTAATGAAGGGCCGGCTTCCAGAGAGCTTTTTCTACCCAGATCAACAATCCAGTGAAATGAAGGACACTGCTCTTGTTTTGAAAAGGGTGGGACATGTCTTTCCTCTCGTTGTTGACATAGACATGATAAAAAAGCTCAAACACACCACAGATAGCATGGTTGGGGAATATTTGATCTACTCAAAGAGAGACAAATCCTATGCATACCTGACTGCATTATATTATGATTCTATACTGCTCACAGTTGCAGGCTGCCATGTGAAAGATGTCATTGACATATGTCCATCCAGATTTCTTGTTCAATATATGCCTCTATGCAATCCTTCAGAGAGGTGCCTTGGTGTTCAAGTTCAGAGGGAACTTTTCAAAAGCCTGGCAAGGAGAATAGCTTCTGAGCTCACAGAGGGGGGATTTCTTCACAATTTTGAACCACCAAGCTCTGAGGGATGGAAAGTTTGTAAGTGTTTTAGCAAAAGAAGTCCTGGGACCAGAGGGATGTACACGTATCTGCCAGAGAAAAATTGGTTTCTTCCAGGTTCACAAAAAAGCCTCGTTTGCCATGGCATATTTGAATGTGTCCAAAGCACCTATGACATATGAAGTTTGGGAACAGACCAAACGTTGGCTCTGTAATTTTAAAACTCTTATTTGCCTGATAATTATGCATGACCTGTCACTGCTAGCAAAAGAAATTGTTTCACAGTCAAGATGTTGCCATGACAGTAGACTCCTACAGTGTGCATGTTTCATGGGACTGGATGGTCTTGTTAAAGAACATCCAAGTATTTCCTCTTCTCAGCTGGAGGACATGCTGACCACATGTATTGTTTCAGACAAAGTGAAAGTTGGTCTGATGCGAAAACTTCTAACGTGGTGGAGAAAAGCCACAAAACAGATGTATGCTGAATATCATATCTGAAAGTCACAGACTGGACAAGATTAGCACTTGCTCTTTTCAAAGAGAAATATGTCAAGGAACTTCTGGAAATGTTGAGAAATTTACCATGTGATCATGCCAGATTACTTGATGAGTTTCTTCAACAAACATTGGTTCATTGCTTCCATTCTGAAGATGAAAATAGCTTGGTGAAAATAATCAAGAATGTTCCGACATCACAGAAACGAAAGGTGATACAACTGCTGGTGGATGAAGGAGCTCAGGATCAGGATGGCAGGATGATCTTCATCGCATCACAACACAAATCTTCAGATGCTCTGGAATTGTTACTTTGTCACAGTTCCAATTTAGAATACACTTTAATGGAGGGTGACAGGTCATGGACTTTCTACTTTTCCAGGTCAAGAATACTTTTCAGTGGAACAAAGGACGAACTCCTCTTTTGGAAGCCTCTTGTCGAAGTATTGAATCAGTGAAGTTACTTCTTAACCATGGTGCAGACGTGAATGCAGAAGACATAGATGGTTACACCATTCTTCACTCAAAGTTTGTGTATACTGACAGTGAATGCCTAGAAATGATATTGTCAAAAGTATCACCACGTCTGGGAGCAACCTCATCTCCATTACGCATAGCAAGTGAATATGGTAACTTAGATTGTCTTCTCTTGCTTCTAGAATGGTATTCAGGATTGACATTAGGAGAGGATGCCCTAAACCCCAATGATGGTGGTTCAACAGCTCTCATGGAAGCTATTCTGTCTGGAATTGACAAGAGGGATAAGGTGGAGGCCCTCATTAATGCCGGAGCTGACATACACTTGACAAACAAAAACGGAAACTCGGCTCTTCACCTTGCTGCTCATGGCAACAGTGTTGAAATTGTTGAGAAACTTATTGGATTAGGTGCAGATGTAAACCAGCAAAATGGAAAAGGAAACACACCACTTCATTTGGCACTGTCAGCTGAATCCACATGTGTGGAAACGCTCCTTAAAAAAGGTGCAGATATTCTTTTGGAAAACAGTGCAGGTGTCACGCCATTACTTGAAGCAGGAGTCCTTGCTTCTGTGGAAACACTCAAGTTACTTCTTGAGTACTGTCCGAACAACCCTCTTAGTACACATGACCTTAAACTGAATCCGTTATTGGCTTCACCAAATCTGGACAAAGTGAAACTGCTCACGGGTTCGGGATTTTGTCCAACACCAGTTACTGCCCAAAAGCTACTAATAGATTTTGCAATGGACAATTTCCGTAAAAGGTCTCTTTTTGTAAAAGACACAGTCAGTGATGAAATAATATATTTGCTTTTCAGTGGATCAATGCCGAGAGTCAGTGGAAAGATGAGTGGTATGACAGACTGGTTTTTCATCTATGTGAACGTGGTGCAAATGTCAACCTGCTGGAGACTGATCAACAATCCTATCAGAATACAGCTGATGACAGATCATCATCAAACACATCAGACAATTCAGATTCATCTCCGCCTGTTGGATTCACACCACTCCAACACGCAATGATGAGCGGTCATACTAAGATGGTTGCGTGTTTGTTGAGGATGGGTGCTGACCCAAATGTTGAATCTGCCCAAGGAGACATCATTCCAACAAGTCGCACTACCGGTATATCCCTTTCGAGATATTTAGATTACTAACTGAAAATGAAAGAAAATTAAATTTTGGAACCAGTGCTAACAAGCTGCTGCGTTATGTTTCTACAAATAGATACTGGAAAACTTTGGATTTACTCCTCCATCAAGGTATTGATGTAAATTCCAATAATGAAACTGGAACAGCTCTCTACTACTCATGTACGTCCTGGAGGTGTTTGGAGGTGTTGCTGAAACATAAGGTCAATGTCAACATGCAGCTTGGTGATGGGGACACAGCTTTGCATTTGTTAGCAAGAGAAAGCAAAAGTCAAGGCAAAATTGGTCTGTTGCTTCGAAATGGGGCAGACCCAAATATCTCAAACAGGAAAGGTGAAACTCCACTCCTCATTGCCTGCTCAGAGAGCCATGTCCCGCAGAAATCTAAAAAGAGGCGAAAAGAAAAGGTATTTATTTTTGAAGGACTTGAAAAAATACATCAGGATCAAAGGGTGAAAATGAAACGGACAGTCGACGTTTCAAAGCATCATAATGACACTGTTAAAGTACTCCTGGAGAATAAGGCCAATGGAGATGTACGAGGCAGTGATGGATTTGCTTCTCTTCACATTGCTGTACAAAATTCAAACTATGAACTTGTTTGTATTCTGATAAACGGGGGCTGTGACGCTAATGTTACAGATGGTAATGGGAACACACCATTGAACCTTTTACTGAAACTTGTGGCAGAATGTCAGCATGGGACAGCTTCGTATTACATACCACATCATAGAAGAGATATCCAGGTTTGGAAGTTTGTGGAGGTACTGTTAGATAAGAATGCTGATCCTGATATTCAGAACAATGATGGGGATGCTCCACTTCACCATGCAGCTTCCATGAATTGTCAGCGGTCACTGGAGCTGCTTTTAAACGCTGGTGCCGATGTTGATGTAGAGGATGCACATAACAGAACACCTCTTCATAGATGTGCACAATCTGGTCATGCAAGGATCGCCAGGATTCTGATGGTACACGGCAGTGACGTTAATGCCATGGATGACAATGGTGACACACCTCTCCATGTGGCAGTGAGAAGAAAACAATACAACCTGGTGAAGCTGCTTGTACAGATGGGTGCTGATCTGTCCAAGGAAAACACTGATGGCTTCACTGCCCATGGCGTGTGTGTGGAGCTTGAACAATCATGCAATAGACCCTGGTGGGTATATAAAGGACAGAAACTGTTAAATCTTCTACATCCTGTCCAAGAGATGGAGAGTCTCTAAAGAAGGGCTTTCAGTTGCAAAAATACCTTCTTATTACATGTATGGCATTTCGAAGTTGCATGAACATGAAAACATGACACCTTTTGGAGATAACACCTTCCTTTATTTGCTGTCATAGAGCTACTTCTTGCTCTAGGTGATGGCCGAGCAAGAAGGAACTCTGAAACATTCTTGGTGATTGAGCAAGAAGTAGCTCTGAAACATTATACCTGATGATTGAGCAAGAGGTAGCTCTGAAACGTTGTACCTGATAAAGGAGCAAGAAGTAGCTCTGAAACGTTGTACCTGATGAAGGAGCAAGAAGTAGCTCTGAAACGTTGTACCTGATGAAGGAGCAAGAAGTAGCTCTGAAACATTGTACCTGATAAAGGAGCAAGAAGTAGCTCTGAAACATTGTACCTGATGCAAAGGAGCAAGCAAGAAGTAGCTCTGAAACATTGTACCTGATGAAGGAGCAAGAAGTAGCTCTGAAACATTGTACCTGATGAAGGAGCAAGAAGTAGCTCTGAAACGTTGTACCTGATGAAGGAGCAAGAAGTAGCTCTGAAACATTGTACCTGATGAAGGAGCAAGAAGTAACTCTGAAGGAGCGTAGCTCTGAAACATTGTACCTGATGAAGGAGCAAGAAGTAGCTCTGAAATGTTGTACCTGATAAAGGAGCAAGAAGTAGCTCTGAAACATTGTACCTGATAAAGGAGCAAGAAGTAGTAGCTCTGAAACATTGTACCTGATAAAGGACCTGATAAAGGAGCAAGAAGTAGCTCTGAAACATTGTACCTGATAAAGGAGCAAGAAGTAGCTCTGAAACATTGTACCTGATGAAGGAGCAAGAAGTAGCTCTGAAACGTTGTACCTGATGAAGGAGCAAGAAGTAGCTCTGAAACATTGTACCTGATGAAGGAGCAAGAAGTAGCTCTGAAACGTTGTACCTGATGAAGGAGCAAGAAGTAGCTCTGAAACATTGTACCTGATGAAGGAGCAAGAAGTAGCTCTGAAACATTGTACCTGATGAAGGAGCAAGAAGTAGCTCTGAAATGTTGTACCTGATAAAGGAGCAAGAAGTAGCTCTGAAACATTGTACCTGATAAAGGAGCAAGAAGTAGCTCTGAAACGTTGTACCTGATGAAGGAGCAAGAAGTAGCTCTGAAACATTGTACCTGATAAAGGAGCAAGAAGTAGCTCTGAAACATTGTACCTGATAAAGGAGCAAGAAGTAGCTCTGAAACATTGTACCTGATAAAGGAGCAAGAAGTAGCTCTGAAACATTGTACCTGATGAAGGAGCAAGAAGTAGCTCTGAAACATTGTACCTGATGAAGGAGCAAGAAGTAGCTCTGAAACATTGTACCTGATAAAGGAGCAAGAAGTAGCTCTGAAACATTGTACCTGATAAAGGAGCAAGAAGTAGCTCTGAAACATTGTACCTGATAAAGGAGCAAGAAGTAGCTCTGAAACGTTGTACCTGATGAAGGAGCAAGAAGTAGCTCTGAAACATTGTACCTGATAAAGGAGCAAGAAGTAGCTCTGAAACGTTGTGACGAAGAATAAAAGAATTTGTTATCTATAAAAGGTGACATGTAATACTGTTATCACTTGCTTGATAACGGTGTAATAACATACACTTTGCTCCTGCTGTAACAGAGTAGTTCATCCATATAATGTTATCCTTCTGTAATATTTCACTTATATCATGACTTGGTGGTTTTGATGTTGTAGGCCAAAAAGGTGTAGCATATCTGGCTGACCTGCAAAATGTAATCGGGGAAACTCTGGGTTCTGGCACGTCAAAGGGATGCAACTCTGTACTGCATATTATGTGACTTTAGTGTACTGTGAACCCTATTATATCAGAGTCCTTCCACATATAGATTTTGAAACGTGTCAGTGACCTAATTTCAATCCTCGTTCAGGGCTAAGTAACGTGCTATTCTACTGACGTGTCTGCCCTCCTATGTTAAGACTCATGTTACAAAGAAAAGAAATGCTAAACAGTTTGAAGACGGTCTACGTCTGGGTTAAACATTTTCGCTGTATTATGTTATATTTCTAAATTATGTGGCTTTAGTGTCTGGGAAACCCTTTTATATCAGAATACTTGCATATATTGATTTTTAAATATTATTGTGACACTGATGATAATAAAATCTTTGAATGGCATCAGACGTGATACACATAAGGGGGGGGAGGGGATTTATGTTTGTCAACTTCTGTAATATGTGGATGACAATGTTTGGAGTATATACCTCCCCTTGATGAAGGAGTAGAAATATATCCCAAAACATAAGTGTACATGAGTTTAGTTTTATGCCGTTTTTCTTTCAATGGTCCTGCAATATTTCTTGTGTCACGTGCCATGATATTGCTGGAATATTGCTGAAAGTGGAGTAAAACTAAACTCACTCACTCACTCATATATGTTCCTAGTAAATGTGTCCATTATTCATCAGCTAATGGGTTTGGGGAGTGTTAGCAGGGTAATCTGAAGTTATGTTTGTGGTTTTGCGACTACTCATAATGATTTGGAAACATTGTAATATCTGTAGTGTATTTTCATTGGTGTGAAGCTATGGCATTCTAAGAATATATTTGTTTGATGTGTACAGCAGTTAAATGTTCATATATTTTCACAGTTCTGAGGCTGTTCATTGTGATTTCTAAGAATATATTTGTTTGATGTGTACAGCAGTTAAATGTTCATACATTTTCATAGTTTTGAGGCTGTTCATTTAACAGTTCTGAGGCTATGTTCATATGGTTTCTAAGAATATACTTGTTGTGTACAACAGTTAAATGTTCATATATTTTGACAGTTTTGAGGCTGTTTATTATGATTTCTACAACAGTTAAATATTCATATATTTTCACAGTTCTGAGGCTGTGTTCATTATGATTTCTAAGAATATATTTGTTTTTGTTAAATATCCATATATTTTCTGAGGCTGTGTTCAAATGATTTCTAAGAATATATTGTTACAGCAGTTAAAGTTCTCATAGGCTGATGCTATGTTCATTATGATTTCTAAGAATATATTACAACAGTTAAATGTTCATTTATTTTGACAGTTTGAGGCTGTTTATTATGATTTCTACAGCAGTTAAATGGCATTTTCATAGTTTTGACGCTATGTTCATTATGATTACTAAGAATATGATTGTACAGTTCGTATATTTTCATAGTTTTGAGCTATGTTCATTATGATTTCTATAAATATTATGTTTGATGTGTACAGCAGTTAAATGTTCATACATTTTCATATACAGTTAACAATTTGAGGCTGTGTTCATATGGTTTCTAAGAATATATTTGTGTAGGCAGTTAAATGTTCATATTTTTCAGAGTTCTGAGGCTGTGTTCATTATGATTTCTAAGAATATATTTGTTTGTTGTGTACAGCAGTTAAATGTTCATATATTTTCACAGTTCTGAGGCTATGTTCATTATGATTTCTAAGAATATATTTGTTTGATGTGTACAGCAGTTAAATATTCATATATTTTCACAGTTCTGAGGCTATGTTCATTATGATTTCTAAGAATATATTTGTTTGTTGTGTACAGCAGTATGTTCATATATTTTCATAGTTTTGAGGCTATGTTCATTATGATTTCTAAGAATATATTTTTTGTGTACAGCAGTTAATGTTCATATATGTTCATACTTTTGATGCTGTTCATGATGATTTCTGAGCCTGTATTGGTCTGTAGTGCACAGCAGTTAAATATATTTTTATGGTTTGAGATAGCCCTATGTTCATTAGGAATGTAGGAACATGAATGTAAATAGAAAACATTGTTTTTTTAATTTCATTTCCTCACTATCAAAATCATAATTAGCAATGTTTTACCAGCTAAAGGATTAATAAGCTCAATACATGTAATTTAAGGTTTATTTCATGTCAGAGTCCCAACTGATGGTATGGCTGGGATTTATGATGACGTGTTCTGATAAGGCTGAATTCATGTCAGAGTTCTTCATGAAATCAGCCTTATCTGAACATGTCATCAGAAATGCCAGCCATACCATCAATTGGGAGGACACTGACATTTTAGCCCTCAACATCAGCGATTGGTAGAAAAGAAACTTGATGGAGCCTATCTGGATCCACTGCATGAAACCTGAAATTAACAGAGATAGGGTGTTTTCCTGCCAAAGGCTTGGTGCATAGAGAAACAAGCCTCCAGTTCACTGTACATGTTTTCCCATGTAGCTCCTAATCAGTGCGCTGCTTTGATGTGTGTCTTTTAATCACTGTTTTCATAAGTGACTTCCAATCAATGTATATCCAATCAAGGTATATCCTTTTCCTTGTATAAACACTCTACAAATTCTATAATACCTCAATACCAATCTATTGCATAAACATACCACTTAATCTCCTTGATCTCTCTACATATCAATCTTTAATTCCAGCTCACTGGCCTCTTGTACATACTATATATTTTGCTTGTAAATCATTCATCTGATGAGGGGGCTAGAAGTAGCCCAGAAACGTCGTGTTGTAAATACTAACAAAGTTGTAAGTCCATACCATACGTTGTTATGTAAGCTATAAGCAGCTGGGCCTAGATTTTCGAACCTCGCTTAGCACTAAGATAGTCGTAAGTGCCATACATTAACATTAACTTACGACTATCTTAGCGCTAAGAGAGCTTCGAAAATCTAGGCCCAGGTCTGTAATATATTTAATGAACGCTTTTGATATTAAAGTTTATCGCCCTTGAAAAGACTGTCATCCAGAGGTTTTGCTTTGCTTGGATAAATAGTTATTCTTTTTCTTGTGGCAGATACAATGGATTTTGAGCTTTCAAATGGAAAGTTATGCTTTGGTGAAGTTTTCAATGCATCTATGCTTACGTCTCATCCGGGGGAATATTTACATCTCAATTCCTCATACAAAGGACACACTGTTAAGAAATGAACGATTATTGCTTATAACAAAAGCCAGCAAGCGGAGTTCTATACCAAGTGGATGTTGTACCATGAACTAACTAATGTAGATATGTCGATTTTTCTGAAGCTCAGTGAGCTTGATTTAATAGTTACAATAATTCTTGATTACTTATTTTGGGGTTTGGAGTCTAAACCTCTTTTATGGTTTAGTGCAGTGAATGAGTGTCGATGTCAGTGTTATATTTTGAAAATATCCGAGTCCATAATATCATACATCTAATCCAATCCTGACTACAGAATTAATATGCATAACAATAGACTTTTGCTTTATACTCGGGTGTCGTCTTCTCCGAGTGGCATTTTAGATGTTGGGATGTACAATGATGAGTAAACTTTATACTCGGGTGTCGTCTCGGGTGTCATGTTAGATGTTGGGATGTACAATGATGAGTAAACTTTATACTCGGGTGTCATGTTAGATGTTGGGATGTACAATGATGAGTAAACTTTATACTCGGGTGTCATCTTCTCCGAGTGTCATTTTAGATGTTGGGATGTACAATGATGAGTAAACTTTATACTCGGGTGTCATCTTCTCGGGTGTCGTCTTCAGTGGCATTTTAGATGTTGGGATGTACAATGATGAGTAAACTTTAGTCATCTTCTCCGAGTGGCATTTTAGATGTTGGGATGTACAATGATGAGTAAACTTTATACTCGGGTGTCATCTTCTCCGAGTGGCATTTTAGATGTTGGGATGTACAATGATGAGTAAACTTTATACTCGGGTGTCATCTTCTCCGAGTGGCATTTTAGATGTTGGGATGTACAATGATGAGTAAACTTTATGGATAACTGTTTGACAACAGTACAAGATTCTGTATCCAAACACCACACTCACGAAATATAAGAAGTTGTAATCCATCAAGTTTGTTCAATATTCAATAAAGTATATTCTTGCTTGAATCTTCTAAAATTGCCTTAAATCTTTTGTATCTGGTTTTGTAGGGAAAAAAATGTTCATTTCAGAGTCTCGATACACCAGAGTGGGAAGTTGAAACTGGGTTTATTCCACGGATGTTCATGTGTACTTATACCAGTAGATTATGTCAGCAGTGTCCAGTTGCTGCTTCTTAAAGCAATTCTGAATCAATGTTGCTGAATTTTTAATGGATTCTTTATTAAATTCTTGGAAACTTGTTTTGTGTTTCTGTACTGTTGGTTGGTTTGCTGTTTAATGCTGCAATATTCCGGCTATATGGCTGCTGTCTGTAAATAATTGAGTCTGGACCACACAATCCAGTGATCAACAACATGAGCATCGATCTACATAACTAGGATACAATGACATGTGTCAACCAAGTCAGCGAGCCTGACCACCCTATCTGTTAGTCTCCTCTTACGACAAGCATTGGTTCCTGAAGACCAATTCTAACCCGGGTTGCAAAGACAGACTCGTGTAGGACTGACTGACTGAGTTTGGTTTTACGCCGCTTTTAGCAATATTCCAGCAACATCACGGCGGGGGACACCAGAAATGGGCTTCACACATTGTACCCATGTGGGGATTCGAACCCGGGGCTTCAGCATGACGAGCCAACGCTTTAACCACTAGGCTACCCCACCACCCACTCGTGTAGGAACAAAACCAACAGTCCATGAAATAAAAGTAGGTACTTTATTACATACAAGTTGGATAAGAGTGTACAAGTGTGATTTCATGTTGGGACACTCATCTTTCCATTGATGTCAAACTTATTTTTTTTTAGAAGCATGAACTTTGTTCTTCATAATTTCTTGTCACTGATGCATGATACACTGACACTTGAAACATTGTAACAATAGGTACATATACCGGTATATATATATATCACTTTGGTACTAAAAGTAAACATGATAAATGAACAAGATATTTTAAATATACATATGTATAGAATGACAGTGATGAGATTAAATGAACAAGAAATAAGATCATATGTGAATGAAGAATGTAAAGAACAGAGCACTATGAACCTTATATACACTTGAGTTTATTTACAATTTCTGTCTCGAAGTGACGATATGAGCGTTATTACATAGTGAGGACAATGAGTAGTCAAACTTCTATACAAGTTATGGTAGTGAGGCCATATATAAAATGAAACCTTCAAAGTATTGATAAAAAAACAAAAGTGAAATATTTTTCCTAATTTTCCTGCCATAAAAATGACTTTTTCATTGATTTAAAAATTAAAAAAATAATAATTTGACCAAAAATTAAAACCTCTTTCATAATCAAGTCTCTGACAGATTTCATGATATTCGAGTGCCGTCAATTACTAAAATTGTTTTGACTCACATCCAAGCAGTGCAATCTGCTCTCATGAACACATCTGAAATAAGCAGCTTCCATCTAATATAACAAACTTAAATTTGCGATAAGAATCCAACTATATATGCAGGGCACATTGCTGTATATCAGTCTCTATCGCTAGTCATCCTTTGCTCTGTAGAATTCAGCTTCCTCCAACATAGAATATGACTTCTTTGGCATTCTAGAAGTTGAGAAGATGAAGAATGAGGACTATTTTTTAAGGATATACAACTTCTCTATTGTCTTTAGTCGAAACGTCGCCTATACACAATAAAGAAGTTGTATATCCATTAAAATCGTCCTCATTCTTCAACATAAAATGGTTTCTTTGTGAATGGTGAAGATACTGGTACCAAGAAGACATGCGAACATTATTAGACAACAGCCCACTTGTGTACCACGGTCAACAAGTCATAAGCAGTTAAGTGATGTCGAGAATGTTAGCTTAATTTAGAATGTTAAACAATTTTTGGACATTGGTAAACCCATGAAAGTGCACTGTGTGGACACTGATGATCATAGTCATGAAAATACAGGATTTGCAGAAGAATATCCTACCCCAAATAAGGGAGGCAACTCAGGATGACTACAAACAGTAATTAATATCAGCAGTTTACCCCTCAGAGACTGCCAATGGATATAAACTAAGACATGAAAATGACATATAGCTTGCTGGAAACTGGTATGTATTGAAACCTGCGAACGAAAATATTTTTTTGAAATAAATAAGTTTAAAATCCTGATAGAAAAGAAATGATTTATACATACACCCGCATGAATGTGGTACAGTTGATCCAACAAGGTAGGCTAAGACCTGAGCATGCAGAGAAAACAATGCTGAAGCTGTCAAACCATTTTTTAAAAATATACTGTAAAAACAGAAGTTATAATCAAGATTGTTAAAGAATATTTTTGGCTAATGACTCACTTGTGAGGACAAAATTCATGTGTAGAATAAAATTACCTCACAGGTGCAATGCTCCTATTAAAACTTCACTCCTCATAACTTTCAAATGCTTGATTATTGTCACTAAGTATTTACCTATCACCATGTTTGATTACAAGAGGTATTTCTCGACAGTATTTGTGCGTCAGCACAGTCATTAGCCAGAGGCCTGATACACTACTGATAATATAAGTGTTCCTGTGTGAATTCCTGGATGGCCAATAGCTCCACAGATGATAAATCCTGTGTTACAACGGTCTTCGTCATCAATAATCTCCAGGGTATACGTTCCGAAATGTCTCCGCTAGTACCCTTGATGCATCTAAGGCTCTGCCTGATAATTGTATTACGTCCCTTTGCTGGCTCCGCCTTCTCACAGTAGCCAATCATATAAGTTACAACTGATCTTGCTAACAAAGATGGTGGCTGTAGCTGCAAATGTTTGGTCGCTGTGTGTCTCAGATTTAGGGAAAAAATCATGCAGACAAATTGACAGGTCTGAAACCTTAAAAAGATATAAGCAAGAAATCTTTCTACCTCATTCAGGGGTTTAATCGTTACGATAGAAGCCTTGTGATTGGTACGCTCAACTTACCTTGACTTGACTGGATAAAAAGTCAGCAAAGGGAGGTAATACAATTATAGATGAATCCAGGGTACTAGTGGAGATTTATTGGAACGTTTACAAAGGAGATTATCGAGGATGCTCTGTCTTGCGATGTTCATGTAACTTATCACTCTTTTGGGCCTTTTCCACAATACCCAGGCTTGATACTCCTCTCTAAGTGAGTTGGAATTATTAGTCACATGTAAACACAAAGCATTGTTAATTTGAATTGTGTACCTTAATTATAATAGCACATAAATCCTTAACTCTACAGGTATTGCTTTCTCATCATCAGTACATCTAGCCTCTACTTCCACCTGGTTCCATAGCCTTGGCGCCAGTGGCTCAGCTAGCATCCACTTCCATGGCCTCGTTGGCCCAGTCATTGCTGCCAATTTTAACAGAATAATGCTTCAGCAAGGATATGTTCAACCATATTTACTTCCTGCAGTCTGACTAGCATTTTGAAGAACCTGCTTTGACTGGGGACTCTACTTTCGGTTTTTCTTCTGTTTCCTCTTTCTCCTCCATCTTTATGTCATCAGCCGGAGTCTGGCTCTTCTCTTGTTGTGTTTTCCATACTAGGCATTTCTTGATTTCACGACCAATCTCTCGGGACATGGGTGGTGGCACGGCATTACCAACCTGAAACAGGAGAGTGGAGCGAGGTTATATTGTGTGATGTTGAATGGGGTTTAATGTTACGTTCAAGATTATTTCACTGATATGATGTAGGACTGTGGGTGAACAACCAAACTCCTTTTGGGGTGGGGTGTTTAGCCTAGTGGTTAAAGACCCAGGACCCATTCAATCTCCAAGTGGGTACAATGTGTGAAGCCATTTCTGGTCTCCCCTGCTGTGATATTGCTAAAAGGTGAAAAACTCACTCACCAACCTCCAACTCTCCAGGCAGATGCCCTATCTACTACATATGGAAGCAACATGAGTGAGTATGAGTGAGTGAGTGAGTGAGTGAGTGAGTGAGTGATATGAGTCTGGCCTTCTGTTGGTTTGATATTGTCTGGCCTTCTGTTGGTTTTAACAAGTTTAGCCATATGAACTTTTACTCTGCATTAAGCTATATTTCCGTTCATATGACTGCAGCCTGTAAATAATTAAGCCTGGACATCATGACCTCTGAGCTACACAACTGAGATACAATGACATGTGGGTCAGCCTTGTCAACGAGCCTGACCACCCGATCCAATTAGTTGCCTTTTACAACAAACGTGTTGCTGAAGACCAATTCCAACCCGGATCTTCACGGGTGATATGAAACACCAGCAGCAGGATACTCCCTTTATACACATTACGCTGACTCAGGTATTAGGTGAATTAACAAGTTTTATCTTTTAACCTCTTTAGGCCAGACCAATTTTATTTCTTGTTTTACGGATTTTTGTCCTCAGAAAACCTAAAGGCAGGAGGAAAAAAAACATAAAATTAAAATGACCAGTCAGAGTAATATTCCTTCTAAATACTAAAAGTATTTTACTTTTGGCAATTTATTAAGTGTATATGTGGCAAAAAACAACCTAAAAGATGTTTTCTTGTAAGTCTTTGGCCAATTAAAACATTAGGATTATATTTTTTGAGCAGGGAAAATTAACATTCATTTTCTTATTCTTGAAAAAATACCACCGGCGGATCCGTAGGACAAGAAACAAAATTGGTCTGGCCTTAGGTATGAAAGTGGCTATTTTACTGGGTAAAAGGATGAACTGAGGTCAGGGGCAGATAACAGCAGTATTAATGGGTGAATCGGTTTGAGACTCCTCTTTGAACACAATTTCAGTCGTATCACAGGGTGTCAGATTGGTGAGTGAGGAAAGCCTGAAGCACTGCATGTTTATTTGTCAAACCCCATAAGCACTGCAGACTCATCTAGGAACAATCAGCCTGAACTACAATTTAGACCACAATTACAGGTTCCATGCATACCTAAGGGACACAACTCTGCACAGTTAAGACCTGTCCTTCAACAGCAAGTAGAGCCGTACACAATGGAATGTCACGGCCTATTGTTTGTATGCTTTAACCACAAGGATACCCCGCCGCCCCAAAAATGAGTGAGTGAGTTTATTTTTACACCGCACTCAGCAATATTCCAGCTATATGGTCACGGTCTGCAAATAATCGAGTCTGCACCAGTCAATCCAGTGATCAACAGCATGAGCATTGATCTACTCAACTGTGATACGAATCGTCAGCTCTTACAACAAGCATGGGTTACTGAAGATCAATTCTAACCCGAATCTTCACGGGTAGCCAAATATTTTTGCTTACTTGTCGGTGCTTGTCCAGGATTGTGCCGAAGAATCTGTAGGTGTCTGGGAATCCCTGAGACCGGGCACACTCGCGTACGCTGACCACACGATGCTGCTCGGGGTGAAGCACACAACCCTGGGACAATGACAAGACAGGAAGAAATCAGCATCCATGCAACAACAGTCCAACAGACAGAGAAAATAGAATACACAAAATATTACAACTGTTACATAATTTGTTTAGATATTTGGGTTGTCACGAATCGGTTCGGTTCATCGAAAATCGAATCGATAGATGTATGATTCGATCTCGATTTCAAATGCATCCATTTCGTTTCAATTCATAAAGTACTTTCTTTCTAATACAGTTTATTTCACCTGAAATCTTAAGAAATTATGTTGAAAATTCGCTGCTACAAGTGTGGCCAGTGAGAGGGTATTCTCCACTGCCAGAGACATTGTAAGTGTCCAGAGGGCATGTCTTTCAAGTAAAAATTCCTTGCAAAGAACATGATCATTCCAAATGACTTACAGTGACATTACAGTCAAATTTGACTTTGTCCCCAGCTTCGGTGAATCGAATCGAAATTAATCGAATCGAACGAATGGAATCGATAATCATATCGAATCGAAGTGAGAGTGAATCGTGACACCCCTATTAGATATGTTGTCAATTAGGATGTGTAGCCAAGATATCTGATGGTCTTTTGCAGTGTAGGAATTCATTTCTCCATGTTACATATCCAAATATCGCCCCATAACATTTTCTCAATTCTGTATCTTATAAATATTTATCAGTTTTATTTGGCTTTCATGTTTTACTTCAGTTGCAATGCCTGCTGAAGGTGTGTTCTCCCAATAAAACATGTAACAATAGAGATCATTATGACTTTGGGTTTTTTCTGTATTTTTTAACTCGTATCGTACAACATGCACGACTCAGCAAAATGGTATCACCTAGTGAAGTAGCGCCGACTCTAATATCATAGGAGTATATATTTAGCACTCACTTATAAAACAAAACAAAGAAAACGCAGAAATCAGCATAGATTTGTAACTATATTATCAGTTTTTCCTCTCTGGTGAAAAATATCAATCCTATTTCTTCAGTCTGTCTCTAACTTGTCAACACAAATAAAGGGACATCACTCTGAGGTGGACACAGATCTAAGTGATTTGATTGTTCAACAGCCTTTGGCGTGGAGTAGGAATCAGGACAAATCTAATGTCTTGCAACTAGCTGCATGTGATTTATAATCGTTGTTTCTGACATTGCAGCTGTGCAGAATGCCACAAGTTGTTACAACAAATTGCCTTTTCAAGAAATATTGCCGGAGTTCCAGGGCCAATGCTCGAGATAAGATTTAGCTCATGTGGGTACTGTACCCACTGTATTTTTTGGGAGTGGGTATTATGAATGTTGAGTGGGTATTTCATTTCCATTACCCACTGCTTTCAAATATGTGCGCATTTCAGTCATTATGTCATTGAGTAAGTTTACTAAGCAGGTATGTTCTGCCTTATGTCATACCTAATCAAAACCAACTTAAATATAATGGAAATGATTTCATGAAAAATCACTCATCCTATACTGAGAGTACAACACTTGTCCTATACTAACAGTACAACTTGACAGCAATCAATGTCTTTTTCATTACGCAAGCGATTTTTATAAATATATTCCGTACGCATTTGTTTTAAACTTTTTGCATATCTAACATCATAAATGCGTAATTGGTACGCAAAAATTATTTTTCAATGCGTAATTTTCTATGTGTATTTTACCCGGATACGCAGCTTATCTGGGCCTCTGCCAGGGCTATTCAAGCTAAGTTTGCATTCAAGATGCTTTACATTCAGCATGTGCACCATGACATTTACTGTTTGCACAACACTCACCTGTTTGCCCATAGGCTCTGGGTTGGTGACGGTCGTACTGAAGAATCCATCCCACTCCAGACGCCCGTACAGCCCAGACCAGTTGTTGTGTCGGTTGCCAGTGTGGGGCAGACACCATGGGATGAGGGTATTGAATTGGCGGTCCATGGAGTCGCAAGGCATCTTCCCTTCTGCACAGGTGCACACACCCCGCAACATTCCCTTCGGACCCTTGCCGTTCCGCTTGTCATGGTGGCTGTACAGACTGCAAAGAAGAGGTTGCTGTTGTACTGCATACCGAGTGAGTGAGTGAGTGAAATGTGGAGGGAAAGCCCAGTGTCCATTATCTTGGCTGTACAATCTGAAAATATGATTGTTTCTTTTCTGTTCTACTTCACAGCCAGTGTGATATTTTTGTCTGCAGGGAAAAAACAGTATATATCATTCAGGCTGTACAATAAGAATAAGATTATTTTTCTGATGACTGAAATCATAAGTAACGATCCTCACAAGGCAATCCTGAACACAAGTTTAACGTCTTCCGCACATCCAACATCAACCTTACAGTTTCTTAGTCTTGGTCCCATCTGATAGCCTGACTTCCAGATTGGGTAGATCCCGCCAGTCGGATCCTGGCGCCAGAGGGATGTGCTGCATGCGGGCGTGGACTAGTGCACTCATCTCCTTACACACGTGGTCACGCAGAATTGGCTGGTGCTGCTTGCCACGGATCTAAAACATCAAACAACATTCAGGTAATACTTGCAGTTCTTTTTGACATGTTGTGAACAATGTTTAGCTCTCATGAGTGAGTGAGTTTAGTTTTACGCCACACTCAGCAATATTCCACTATATAGGTGGTGGTCTGTAAATAATTGAGTCTGGACCACAATCCAGTGATCAACAGCATGAGCATTGATCTGCGCAATTGGTAACTGATGACGTGTGTCAACCATGTCAGCGAGCCTAACCACCCGATCCCATTAGTCACCTCTTACGACAAGCATAGGTTACTGAAGATCAATGTTCTAACACGACCATCACGGGTATTAGCTCTCATGAGAAAGGTCAAGTGACAGTCAAGAGTTGCACGTGGGGTTGGTGAGACAAGTTTATCAGGGAAATAGAGGGACAAAAAAGAGGAGAAAATGTTGACAGGAATGAAAAGGCGTACCCAAGACTACATTGTGTAATGCCAACAATTCATAAGACACTTTTGTCTGATCACACTGCACGATTATCACAAGGATGATGCTTGTATTATTTAGCTTCCCCAGTAAAAATCTGAAAGTACCATTTTCTGGAAGTGTGTTTGTGGGTCTCCCTTGTAGCTGATCTCCTCGGCCTTGGCTCCGTTCCGGATCTCTGGGAGGTCAGACATGGTGTCCTTCACAGTGATTGTGCGGAATGGTGTTGACGTTATTCGGGTGATGTTCGAGTTAAACTGCAAAACAAAAAATATGAAGGTCAAGGTCATGAATAGCACACAGGACAGGGTTACTTTCATGAACATATCTGAAAAATGCACATTTGTGTTTGTTGCATAACCTCAAACTCAGTGATCTTACTAAACAACTATGTGATGACAGCCTGAAATAAATAAAATCAAATCAATAAATAAATAAATAAAACAGTAGGTAAGTAAATGAGTGAGTGAGTGAATGAATGAATTCCAATTCTACATAGCTGCCAAAATTACTGCTTGCTCCACAGCCATGCACTTGCGCTGCTTACTTCTGATGCAAGATAAACTCAAGTTACCTTCTTGTCGTCCACTGCCACAGACAGCTGCATGGCTCTTCTACTGAAGGTGTGGAGAGGCTCGGGGTAGAAGGGTAGTTTCTCTCCAGGAGCAGCGGCCAGGATGATTGCTCTGTGCAGGCAAACACATTTTTAAAAATCATGTCAATTTTAGGACTGGCTAATCAAGAGATAATTTACTCACGCAAAACACAAAGTTAGGACTTTATTAATGGGCTGCTTCTAAATCATGTTCAGGGCGATGTTTCGTTAGTAATCAATTCATGAAAATGTCACCACAAATCAGTGATGTAAAACAACTGGGGGAAAACAAGAAATGTGCTTTCAACCCATGTAGGGAATTGAACCTGGGTCTTCTGCATGACAAGAGAATGCTTTTACCACTAGGCTACCCCACTACCCCATTTCACCATCAACATAGTGCTCCTGTTTACATTCGACAGACATTATTTCTCCTGGATGTGAACCGACCTGCGTCTGGTCTGTGACACGCCATAGCATCCCGCCTGCAGCACGCCGAACGTGCACTGGTACCCCATGCGGACCAGACAGCGTAGCGTTAGTTTCAGCACCATGCTGCGTTTAAAGCTGACAAAGTTCCGAACATTTTCCAGAAGGAAGAACCTTGGGCGATAGTAGTCACAGTAGCTGAGGTAAGACGCAATCAGTGAATTCTAAAAGATAGAAGACATTGTTTAGATTAAAAACACAGGAGTACTATAGACAACCATAAAGAAAAATAATGGTAAATCAATGATAAATTTGCTATAAAAGATTATTTGGATTCATGTGGAAGGAAAGCTTCAGCAATGATATGCATGTGTTTAGAAGTTGTAGCAAAACCATTTTTGTAGAAATACAATAAAATGTTGATAAAGTTTATAAAAATATTCATGAAATGCAATCATTGACACCAACAAGATTGTTTTGTGCAAGCAGTGTGTCAACATTGTAACCAGTATTCTACGACGTTATACCAGTACCAGATGCTGGTATCCAAGGGAGGCAACTCTGAACAGAAGAATCAATTCAGATCAAACAAGACATGCTATCTCAAAGAGACTTATCATTCAAGAATGTTGACATAACTGCAAGTTTCAACCCAAGTGGCAGCATCATACCTTGAACTTTGAGTATTCTCGGGAGTTGAATCGGTTCATTCCGCTAAAGCCCTGACATGGGGGTTCCCCACACAGCAGCTCCACCTCCCCCCTCTGGGGCAGCTTCTGGCCGTGATTGTCACATTTCTCACCCTACAAAGAACATGGTCAAGTTATTACCAGACAAGGAATAACATCACACTTCTCACCCTACAACAAACACCACACTTCTCACCCTACAACAAACACCACACTATTCAACAGATAATGTCACATTTCATCTGTACATTCAGTTCAAAACAGTAAGTGAGTGAGTATGGTTTTACACCGCTTTTAACAATATTCCAGCAATATCACGGCAGAGGACACCAGAAATGGGCTTCACACATTGTACCCATATGGGGAATCAAACCCGGGTCTTTGGCGTGATGAGCAAACGCTTTAACCACTAGGCTACCCCACCGCCCCTCACATTCATACAAGGACCGCCTACCTCCATGACCCACTTAAGCAGCAAGTTGCAGTCCTCTGTGAAGACGGTACAGCCGGGGTTGTTCAGACGGAATGCCTGAGCAGCTGGTTCCTCCTTCTCGATGGCCCATCTTGACTCTGCCATGCCAGCCTGGTGGAAACCCTCAGACAAACCTGGACAACACAGCGAGTGAGTGAGTTGGGTTTTATGCCGCTTCTCGCAACATTCCAGCAGTATCACTGCAGGGGATACTATTAACGGGCATCACACATTGTACCCATGTGGGGAATCGTACCTTCTGTGTGACTAGCAAATGCTCCAACCATGAGGCTACCCCACCACCCCTAATGAATAGAGACAAAGTTTCTGTTATGGAAAACCTCTATGTTGTGTTCTGAAATTGCTGGAAACAATTACCAAACTGGTGAACAATATCTTGAAATTCAACCTACCTCCACAGCCTGCAAACACATCAAGTGTTCGGAGACGATGAACCTGAACTTTTTCTGCCTCCTTTTGATCAGCATCTTCCACAGCAGACTTTCCCTTTGCTTTACCCTTCCCTTTGCCCTTTCCCTGGAACAGATGCAGTGATGATGTTTGATCTGTTTGTATACTGTGTAATAGGGCTGCAATGATTCGGCTGCATTCATCCAAAATCGAATTTGACACCTTAGTTTTGATTTTCAACAACCATTATCACTATTTCGATTTGATATTTGAATACCTATTTATATTATTTCCACTCAGCCAGAACGTAAATTTGACTGCAACACGAGCAGTTTCCAGCTGAAATAAGGCGAAATGTGATTGGTTGAGTGAGTGAGTACTGTTTGACGCCGCTTTTAGCAATATTCCAGCAATATCACAGCAGGGGACACCAGAAATAGGCTTAACACATTATACCCATGTGGGGAATCGAACCTGGGTCTTCGGCTTGACAAGCGAACGCTTTAACCACTAGGCTACCCCACCGCCTAATTATCCAATGGGAATTGTTGTTAGTAGACATCGCCAAGTTGATGATGGATTTCATGCTAAAAAAGCTGACTCGGAGAGTTAAATGAAATCTGATGTTTTTACTGGAATGAAGAATCAAATCAAAAATGATCAAACCCACGGTCCAGTATTGAAAATCGAATCAAATCGAGATCTGGGTGGAGCCCTACATTGCAGCCCTACTGTGTAATGATTATTCAGCTATTATCCATCAATGTTATGACAGATTGTAAATCTGCATCCATTGCATGATGCATTCCACTTCATGTGTCTAGATCAGTTATGTTACCTATAAAAAAAATTGAAATGAGTGCAAACATTTCTGGGTCATGGAAGATTATTTTTCTGAAAGGGCAACAAATCTAGTGAAAAAAAATCTGTCAGACGACACTGCGAAAGACAAATGAGGGCAACAAGCTAGTGATAATTCTCAGACATCACTAGGTTGCATAATTCCACAATGAGGGACAACAATCTAGTCATGGACTTGAGTCAGTGAGGGGAGAATGAGTTGCATACCTTTCCCTTGCCTCCCATCAGTTTGGCTTTTGAAGGTGGCTCCTCAAACATCTTACTCGCACTGTTGTACGACTGAAATATGAAACAAATAACATTTTACTACATCACCCTTGTTCTTTCCAGGTTTCATGCTTGTGAATGGATAAGAATGATGACAATTTTTATGGATATATAACTTCTTTTATTCTGTGAAGGGCGCCGTTTCGACATAGATCCTAATGTCAGTGTCAAGCGTGAATGGATAGTAGCGGCAATTCACAAAATCTGATTCATAGAGCTGGTTATCGTTCACATCATGCAGACCTGTGAAGATCCGGGGTAGAATAGGTGTCAGCAACCCATGCTTGCCACAAAAGCGACTATGCTTGTCGTAAGAGGTGACTAACAGGATCGGGTGGTCAGGCTCGCTGACTTGGATGACACATGTCATCAGTTCCCAATTGCACAGATCGATGCTCATGCTGTTGATCACTGGATTGTTTGGCCCAGACTTGATTATTTACAGACCACCGCCATACAACTGGAATATTGCTGAGTGCGCCGTAAAACTAAACTCCCTCACTCACATCAAGCAGATCAATAATCAGAGCTCAATAATTCATAGTAATTGGAAACGTTATAACAAAACTCGTGGGCAATACCAGGACACAATGAAAACACTGTGCAAACGAGTGAGTGAGTTTAGTTTTACGCAGCTTTTAGCAATATTCCAGCAATATCATGGCGGGGCACACCAGAAATGGGCTTCACACATTGTACCCATGTGGGGAATCGAACCCGGGTTTTCGGCGTGACGAGCAAACGCTTTAACCACTAGGCTACCACATGGCCCCACTGCGCAAACGAAACAGGCACCGATTAATACCACGCTCAAGATGATCAAGGATACTCCCTGTTGGGACATGCAGCAGCACCTGTTATATTGCCATTTTAAGAGTCAGGAAACACCATCAGTTGTTTATGGCTTGATTTAACAAACACAAGAATGAGATACATACTTCTCATGTTTAATTTAATGTGACTTGGACTATGATCACTGGTTTTTTGTTAAAACAGGTCAAACGATTATTTTCATTCCCTTTCACTACAGATAAAGAATAAAACATCTGTTGACTTGTTACGGTAACTGTTATCCAATATTTGTATTTGTTACCGAATATTCATGATATGTATCATATTCAGCTCATACAGGATCCGTTGCAAACCGTACTTCTCCAGCCTGGCCACCCGACACAGTAAGTTGCCTTGTGACCAACAAATGTTGGTTGGTTCAAACATGGAATTCCCACAATTTGAGAGTAGGCAAATATCTGCATTATTTCAGCCATGTTTAGAACAGTGTGTTTGTTGCACTCTTCTACCCAGAGTTCCATGCGGCAAGCCAGCATAGTACCTCTGCCACAGGCTAGAAATATGTGACGATTCATCACATCTTGCACCGTCCATTCAATATCATGTAATATTTCTTAACTCTTTTATTTTTGACGAGTCTACACGCCTAATTAAACATCTTTGATAGAATGGTTTTGTTTCACTGAGAAAACATCCTAAAACATGTAACACTATTTCGATTTGGGTAGCGATCCTTTGTTTACATAGGTTGTACGGCTCCACGTGCTGTCATCGAAGCCGACGGAGAGCAAACGATGCAGCCAGTTTGATATCTAAATATGTACTGTCATAAATCTTACTGTCGCAGTTGTGGAAGAATATACGTGTAACAATGCAAAACATTGTGAAGAGCGCACCGAAAAGCTTGCGTAAGGCCGGTCTCTTCTTATTATGAATATGCGCGTTTGTTTACAAACAAGAGAAGAGTCCGGTCATGTGATATGCAAATTACCTTGTGGCAGTGATGTTATGCTAAGTCATCACTGCGCCGGAGTGTGTGTTTGCTGCTGAACAGCTCCTACCAATACATCAGCAATATCATTTCTGAGCACACGGATGAAGGAGTAACACTGACAAAAGGTGACATGAAAGTTGTTGTGGTCAATTGTTACCAACCATAATGAGGTTCAAAGATTTGTTTTTGAAACATCTTAAACATTACATTGTTAATTGTATTACAGCTCACTTCTTCAAGCATACCTCATGAAAGTAAAATCGATCTGGTCCACTGTCGAAGTAGTCTTCGAGGGAGGAGGTTATGTTGCCTCCATACACAACCTGACATTTCCCCTCTACCAGCTTGAAGTCGACAACTTGATCTAAAACAACACATGATTATCATTAAACTCATGCAACAGCAATACTGCACTCTGCAGGAACATTTGGGCGACAGTCTCCCACAGCTGGAGTGAGTGAGTGAGTGGGCGACAGTCTCCCACAGCTGGAGTGAGTGAGTGAGTGAGTATGATTCTACGCCACTTTTAGCAATATTCCAGCAACATCACGTCAGGGGACACCAGAAATAGGCTTTACACATTGTAACCATGTGGGGAATCGAAAGAGCCAACTGCCCCTTAAACAGAACAAAATGTTTGCCGGGGGAAGACAGACAGACAGACAGACAGACAGTGTACCTTCCTCCGTGTAGTACAGCATGTTGAGGTCACAGTGGTACGTTGCCTGCAATCCTTTGTGTGTGTTTTCTGGCCTGTTTAAATCATAAACATCACAGATTTAGAACAAAACTCACCATCTAAACACTGTAAGATACAAAGTATTGGTTAATTTCTAATAATCGGGAATAAAAATGCTCTTGATAATTTATTTCTTGACAGCAGCATTTGCTCCTTTGACTGATTGATCAGCTTGAGGGGGGGTCAGCTACAAGAACAAACTTGGCCACATGCTATTACAGCTTGTTCAGCTTGACCTGAGCTACTCTACATATGCACGACCCGGGAGGTCAATTGGCACAAATGGCAGGTCGAGTTAACTTCATTAAATAGGGGAGCAGAGAATGTTAAACAGAGACCTTGTCTCGGCTGTTCGGACATGTTGACAATCAACTGACAAAGGTGCACCCCTTCACAATAATAGACCCATCCAGTTGTGACATGGTCACGCGATGCATTAGTATTCACTTGATCAGGTCAAGCTGAACAAGCTGTACAACCAAATATCAGCTCTAATAGTCTTCATGGTAAGTGACAAGCAATGAAGACATTTCTGATGGAAAAATCCTGCAGAAAATGTTGCCATATTGGTTCCCACCTGTACATCTTTGTGACCATGATCTTGATTTCTGAGAGATTGACCAGCTTGCTTCCGGGCGCTTTCTTGCAGAAGATTTGTGTGATGCGGCCTATACGATATGGCTCTGGGCACTGCTCATTGGAGCCCTTGATGTTGATGTAAGACGACTTCCTGTAGGCTTCTGGGTACAACTCCTCGTCAACCTGCAACAATACCAGACCAGTAATCAGTGATGGAGGTGAGTGAAAGTTGTTTTACCAGTCATTTTACATTGTTTCACATGTCCATGGGTTAGTGAGGAAAATTTTGATCAACATCAGTATTTTACATCAGTAAAATTAGTATATTTCCACTGATATCGCAGTTGCGCATTTTGTGATATTTTTTCATAACGAATACGATAAAATCGTATGGGTTGGTATCTCTGAATATCATGGCAAGGGACACCAGAAATGGGCTTCACACATTGTACCCATGCAGGGAATTGAACCCGGGTCTTCGGCGTGACTAGCCAATGCTTTAACCACTAGGCTACCCCACCGCCAACACAAAGTCTTTAGAAAGTAGTCACATGCAACATATATTATACTAGAAAAACAAGTATTAGAATCTGAATTTTCTGGAGAGAGTGTAATCCCAAATCTAACATAGGTAATATCATTTTTTGACATCAGCTTGTCAAATATTGGCCTGGGATGAATATCATGTGGTATTTGTATCACAGCATATTCCCACCGCATCATATTGAACAGGCAGAGTTTCTTGTGGATCACCTTTAATACAACTGATGGGACATTTTAATTTTGCTTTAACACCTTGGTGATGGAGAGTTGTTTTATGCCTCTTCCAGCAATATTCCACCCAAATCACAGCAGGGACACGAGAAATGAGCTTCACACATGGCACCCATGGGGAATCGATCCTGGGTCTTTGCGTGGTGGTGTGTGAACGCTTTAACCACTATGCCACCCCATCGCAAGGTCAGTGTAGGTTTTTAAGATCCGATAGTACGAGGTGGGAGTCCTACCTTGCCCTCTGACTTTGCTTTCTTGACAGGTGCATGTTTGACTTTGAAGTCGAATGCATCAGGCAGAATGTAGCAACAATCTCCAATCTTGTATTCGGTGTCATTCTTCTTCACGCTGTCATAGTACAGACGGTTGACATTTCTGTCCACTGATTCAATCTCATCACCAACTGAAGTGGAGATTCTCTGAAAGAAATAAGTCACTGTTATTTATTTTAAGTATAAATGAGACATAAACAACTATAGACATGATCAGAACGTATGTAATACTAACTCATGTCACGAAACAAGTGTGAGTATACTGTAAACGTACTTATTTTCGCGGAATTGACAGTTTAGACTACATCGCGCGGTCAATTATTCGCACAATCAGTAATTGCCGGAACTGCCAGCTGTCTCTTTGGCCGCCACTAATAGCAATGAAAACAAACAGAGTGGCTTAACCTGTCAGGCGGCGTTTATTGCTTACTCACAGGAAATCCCTATCTGTGCGATATACTAGTACACAGTAATCCGTTTACTCACGGAAGAGATGACAAACACATCAGTCTTATGTTCGAATTCACAACTGATCTGATCTAATTAACTTCTACTGTATATAAAGCTCTTTGTGATTTCAAACAAAGCCGGGTAGTTGTGAATGAGATGATTGAGTGATAAGTGACAACCGCTTCATGATGTACTGGTAAAAATCTTAATGAATAAATAAAATACTGCTGTATTTTTTCTTTCGAAGTCCTTTCATGTGTTTTGTATCAAACCATCTGTCATGTGACCAATTTCCATGGCGCCCACAACACACATTGCTGTTTTCGCTAATTCAGCGATGGGATTTGGCTCATTATTTCATTATGTTTTGGAAATCCATTACAACGACAGTTAAGTAAGATTCTTTATGCTACTATCAGTCGTCATTTTAAGATTAAATTTCTGTCTTCAAACTTGATGTGTTATGGTAACAACTGAACTGGACTGAATGAATGACAGGTTTATTCATTGTGTATAAATTTTCGTGCTAAAATGTTTTGCTGAAAAGCGCGTGAAAATAAAACCCGCGCTTGAAATATTCTTTCAGTAAAATTTTCCGAACGAGAATTCTTAAACAGGTTTTGTAAAATCAGTCAACACACACACAAGTTCTTTAAAGCCATTACTTCTTGAAAATGAACGCTCTTTCAGAAAAATGAACGCCCTTTTAGAAAAATGAATGCCTTTTCAGTAAAATGAATGCATCCCAAATGCTGTTTTATGAAACCAGTTGTTGATCAATTAAAGTCCCTCAATGACAACACTTCTAGTGTGAAGTTATGAGGATATGAACAGTACGTATTCATGAAATCATCTATTTCTATCCAAATGATACAAACAAGGCAGATTTTTAAAGCAATCTGTTGATGAGCCACTGAATCCCGGTGTTGCAGGCCATTTCTTCCCTGGTCTAAACTTCCTGCGGGGAGAATCTGGCCAAGGCCAAACTTTCCCTGGGTAGGCTTTGTGTAAGGATATTCTTACCCTGGGGAAAGTTTGGGCTAGGCTAAACTTTCTCCCCTGTTTGAACCAGGATATTTTATTCTGTTTTCTATGAAAAGTGGGGGGATTCTGGCCCAGCTAGGCTACTTCTTCCCCACCCTTGTTCTTATATCAAAAGGGGAAGATTCTGGCCTAGTTAGGCCACTTCTTCCCCACCCTTGTTCTTATATCAAAAGGGGAAGATTCTGGCCTAGCTAGGCCACTTCTTCCCCACCTTGGCTCTTATATCAAAAGTGGGAGCTTCTGGCCTACCTCGGCCACTACTTCCCCACCCTTGCTTTTATATCAAAAGGGAGAGATTCTGGCCTAGCTAGGCAAACTCTTCCCCACCCTTGCTCTTATAAACCGACAGTAGTTTTGACTTTTATTTTGGTACACATTTTTGCCAAATAGTCAATTTTTGCCTCATGTCACCATAAGATGTAAACAGTCAATTGCACATTTGATGGTTAAATAAGATGTAATATACACAGGTTGCTTGCTCTCTTATCATGCTGTTTATTATCTAATGTTTGTTGTATTTATGTATAAATGTAATGGAACAATATTCACATAAGCTTGTTTACTAATCCATAATCACTTTTGGTGAATGAAATATGATTCAGATATCCATGGGCCAAGTATACCCCTTATCAAACCTTGTCTTTTGAATATAGAATAAGGCAATATAGTGGAATGATGGATGATACAGCATTTGATACAGATATTGTGTTGGGTTGTTGTTGTGTTGATGTTTACGTCTGCTTCCAACTGTTAAGTTGATATAGATGCCATATCTAAAGCAGGGTTCGAAATACTCCATATATTAGTGTGCCATGGCACGGTAAATATTAAAATGGCATGGTTAAAAAATGTTCTCGTGCCCTTATGGCATGCCTAATTTTTGGAAAACATAACTCACCTTTAGTCATTTAATCCCCTAAACAATTTTTTTTTTCTGAATTGGATAAATGCCATACACATTTGAATGCACAAAAAACTATTTCTTTATCTAACAATAAATTTCAAATGATCATCATAATTGTCATTTATTCTAAAAACATGTGGACACACTTGATTTCTGAAAGGCACACCTAAAATATTTGTCTGGTGCCCTAAGGCACACTTAGAAAAAAAGGTATTTCTATCCCTGCAAAGCCATGAGTGAGGGAATAAAATTTTGAATGGCTATGGAAATCCAAGTAAAAACTGGGTATTTTGTAAAATTCCGAACGTAGTAATGATTTTGAGATAGCCAATTTGGAGTAAATGGGGATAAGCAAATTACTGAAACATAAAAATATGTAAATGATAACATAAAACCAGGGTTTTACATAGCTCTTCGAAAATGATAGTCCTGGGGACTCAGGGCATATGTATTCTGAGAGTCCATTTCCAAAATTGGGAGTCCATCAATTTGCATGCAATCATTGATCATGGATGCCTCCCATTCGATAATGATTATGTTATTATATGTGTTACTTTCAATGTCTTTAGAATCATGATTGTAAACAGAATGTTTATATTTTAATATGGGATATCATTACAAACTCAGAAAGTTCTTTCCCAGAAAAAAATTATATTGCGTCCACAAGGACGCACAGGATTTTAGTTTAGGGGTACTTCATCAAATTTCCGTGTCAAATACGCATGAATCACGCGTCCAGTAAAACCCTGATAAAACAATAGTAATGATGCTTGGTTTTGCTTTTAGTCTCACCTTATAAAAGGATATTAAAACTAAATGTGAACCATGTACATGTGATGTATGAAGATGAAGATGACCTGTAAATTGTTAATGGAACTTGACATCAACATGAATATCTTATCAATGTGTTCGAGAGATTGAGAGAGAGAGAGAGAGAGAGAGGAGAGAGAGAGGAGAGAGAGAGGGGAAGGAGAGAGGGGGAGGAAGGAGGAGGAGCCTAGGACAAACTTTCCCTGTTAAAGAAGAAATTTAGCCATGGGAAAAGTTTGGCCAGGGGTTAAACCTGTAAATAATGTGTTACACAGCTGAAGCTGTGATGGTATGTATGAAATTAGACAGACTCTACATGACTATTTTTATGCTTAAGGTATGAATAAACTGAATTACATATAAGATCAATGAGCTTGAAATATTAAAACGCTTCTGTTTGTTGCGGCTCTGAACTCAATCTATGACATTAACCAACATTGGGGGAACATAACGTATTGTTTCATTACCTTATTTTCAGAGGTATTTTAATATTATCCCTGGACACCAAACTCTATGGTTAATGGTTTTCTCATCATAGAAATACAAGTCACATCTAAAAAGTCATAGCATAATTACAGTAACATTTTCATTCCATCTTAGGAATTTATAGCGACAGACTTGGGGGCTGAGTGGGGTTTGGGGTGAGGGAGTTTGGTTCTACACCGCTTTTAGCAGTATTCCAGCAATATCACGGCGGGGGACACCAGAAATGGGCTTCACTCATTGTACCCATGTGGGGATTCGAACCCAGATCTTCGGCGTGACGAGCCAAAGCTATAACCACTAGACTACCCCACCGCCCCTACACCGCTTTTAGAAACAGTCCAGCAATGTCATGGTTGGGGACACCAGAAATCGCCTTTGCACATTGTTCCCATATGGGGATTGAACCCGGGTCTTCAGCGTGACGAGCTACCCCACCGCCCCCTGTGAGAAGGAAACATCAGTACCTTTCTCTGTTCGTCAAGTCGTTTACAGCTCCTGCAGTATTTGAATGAATCTTCGGTTCTTTCATAGACAGGAGGGTCCTCAAATCTCCCCAGGATGGGGTCATACCTTCAACAAAGCAAAGTCCATATGCATCTTTACAAATGCCTGTATAGACCTAAACAAAGGGCTGACATTTATGTCCAAATAAAAAAATCAAGGCTGTATGCAAAACTAGAGGTGAGTTGAACAGTTTCAATTTTCAGAAAATTCTAATGTGAATCTATTAAGGTCTACAGGGTCTTAAATACTATTTAAAATGTTTACTATCAAACTAATAAGATGAGATTGCTAGTCACTTCTAAATATAAATTCAGAAGAAAAAGAAACTGATGTTTAACCATGTGTCTCCGCAGTATATGAAATTCAAACTGAATTCAACTTTTCCATCAGTAATCTAGGTTACTTCAAAGAACATCTGCAATGATATTATGAGCAAATCACACAGTTGGACCATGGAACTTGAAAAGTTGGTTCTTGCAACAAGAAGTCAAATGTAATTTAACCCTGGGCCCCTGGGGATCCAAATAGAAAGACTGTCCTACCACTTCTGGTAGTAGTATGTGTCCTCGTCCATCGTGTTCTTGACCTCTTCTCCTCCCAGCATGGCCCAATCGGAAGGAGCCTCCTGGTGAACTACCTGCACAGACGAGGTCACTTGTTTTACACGTAGGTCACTGACATGACAGTTCGTATCTATATTATTTGTATGGAAACATTGTCAGGCACAAGGACCTACTTATCCCATCACCATTAAGTTAAATCCAGTGACAAGCCTACTGGGGAGTGAGCGAGTTAAGTTTTACGACACATTCAGCAATATTCCAGCTATATGGCAGCGGCCTGTAAATAATTGAGTCTGGACCAGGCAATCCAGTGATCAACAGCATGAGCATGGATCTACGCAACTGGGATACGATGACATGTGTCAACCAAGTCAGCTAGCCTGACCACCAGATCCCGTCAGTCGCTTCTTACAGCAAATGACCGAGAAACAGCTACTGAGCGATACATAAATTTACCTACCATCGTATAAACTGATTACAAAATGGGCTTCGAAATACATAAGAATACGACAAACACAAGCGGTTGGTTTAGGGAAAGAATAAGTTGGTACTCCTGGTAATATCAAAATTGCTGAAATCTTAGCAGTGAACAATATTACTTGATACAAACTGTTTGATGATTTTGGAGTAGAATTTGACTTCACGCATTGAGTCATAATCTTACCTTGACCTTGGTAACTATTACATCAAGGTCAGAGTCATCACATTCGTCTACAACAAACAGCTCCCTGGGTTCTGCAGCCTCCCCGAGCATCGTCTCACTGCTCCGCCTGTCAAAGTGGTTTGCCAATGCTTTAAAAACTTATTTGTTTTTTACTACACTACAACAGACATGAAAGGCACTGAAAATCTCATTCTGGTGAATATTAACTCTCCCAGGAACCAGTGGGTGTGGCATGTCACACAGGGGCCGGCGCATGTCGCACAGGGACCAGAGGGATGCCATGTAACACATAGACCAGTGGGTGTGGCATGTCGCACAGGGACCAGAGGGTTGCCATGTAGCACATAGACTGGTGGGTGTGGCATGTCACACAGGGACCAGAGGGTTGCCATGTAACACATAGACTAGTGGGTGTGGCATGTCACACAGGGACCAGAGGGTTGTCATGTAACACATAGACTAGTGGGTGTGGCATGTCACACAGGGACCAGAGGGTTGTCATGTAACACATAGACTAGTGGGTGTGGCATGTCACACAGGGACCAGTGGGATGCCATGTAACACATAGACTAGTGGGTGTGGCATGTCACACAGGGACCAGAGGGTTGTCATGTAACACATAGACTGGTGGGTGTGGCATGTTACACAGGGACCAGAGGGTTGTCATGTAACACATAGACTGGTGGGTGTGGCATGTCACACAGGGACCAGAGAGGGTTGCCATGTAACACATAGACTAGTGGGTGTGGCATGTCACACAGGGACCAGAGGGTTGTCATGTAACACATAGACTAGTGGGTGTGGCATGTCACACAGGGACCAGAGGGTTGTCATGTAACACATAGACTAGTGGGTGTGGCATGTCACACAGGGACCAGTGGGATGCCATGTAACACATAGACTAGTGGGTGTGGCATGTCACACAGGGACCAGAGGGTTGTCATGTAACACATAGACTGGTGGGTGTGGCATGTTACACAGGGACCAGAGGGATGCCATGTAACACATAGACTGGTGGGTGTGGCATGTCACACAGGGACCAGAGGGTTGCCATGTAACACATAGACTAGTGGGTGTGGCATGTCACACAGGGACCAGTGGGATGCCATGTAACACATAGACTAGTGGGTGTGGCATGTCACACAGGGACCAGAGGGTTGTCATGTAACACATAGACTAGTGGGTGTGGCATGTCACACAGGGACCAGTGGGATGCCATGTAACACATAGACTAGTGGGTGTGGCATGTAACACATAGACTAGTGGGTGTGGCATGTCACACAGGGACCAGAGGGTTGCCATATAACACATAGACTGGTGGGTGTGGCATGTCACACAGGGACCAGAGGGTTGCCATGTAACACATAGACTAGTGGGTGTGGCATGTCACACAGGGACCAGTGGGATGCCATGTAACACATAGACTAGTGGGTGTGGCATGTTACACAGGGACCAGAGGGTTGCCATGTAACACATAGACTAGTGGGTGTGGCATGTCGCACAGGGACCAGAGGGATGCCATGTAACACATAGACTGGTGGGTGTGGCATGTCACTGGGACAAGAGGGTTGCCATGTAACACATAGACTAGTGGGTGTGGCATGTCACACAGGGACCAGAGGGATGCCATGTAACACATAGACTAGTGGGTGTGGCATGACCACTTGATCCTGTTAGTCGCCTCCTACGACAAGCTTGTGTGGCATCTAACACATGACCCAGCAACATGAACCCAGGGATTTACAGGACACGAATTCCTGCATCCAATACGCATAAAAATTGACAATGGATGCAACAAAATTTATTAGAGCATCCACAGGGACTCAGAAAAAGTCCAAATGCTTTTTGTTAAAATTCCAATCAAGTGACAATAAGTTATCACTGAGTTTGTTACTAGCTGGGTTATGGTATTATTTGCAATTTAATTACTGTAACAATGTAATGATCATGATACACAACACAATAACAGTATTAACAAGCATTGTCGCTGACAATCTTAACATGCAGTTTAAGATGCTGAAATCTTCAAAGTGTCGCCGTGACCTTGAAAATTAAGTGAAGGTCACCAAAATTTCCTGGGCCTTGCACCTTCCCCAGATGAAGCTTGGTGTCAAATATGAAGAAAGTCCAGAGAATGGTTCTTGAGATATCTCGCTGACAATCTTAACATGCATTTTAAGATGCTGAAATCTTCAAAGTGTCGCCGTGACCTTGAAAATTAAGGGAAGGTCACTAAAATCGACTGGGCCCTGCGCCTTCCCTAGATAAAGCTTGGTGTTGAATATGAAGAAAATCCAGTGAACGGTTCTTGAGATATCTCGCTGACAAGGGTAAAACGTTAAAGTCCCCTTGTGACCTTGAAATGAAGGTCAAGGTCACCAAACCTGACTGGGACCTTTCTGTTACTGTGATGAACCTAGGTACCAAATATGAAAAGAATCCAGTCAATGGTTCTTAAGATATTCCAATTTGTACGTACGGACGGAGCCTAATACTATATCCCACGCTTCGCGCTATAGTGTCTGGGACCCTCATTTTGTTGTCCAGGACCCGTTAAAATTAAGAGTATGAGTCCCAGGGACCCTCAAACACAGGACTCAAGGTAAAGTCCCTGTGAACCTGTAGTCGTGGTACTCACATGAACCAGTGGGCGTGGTATTTCTTGTCCCCTGACGACGTCTCCCACATGTACTGAACCTGCGAGATGTACATGGGGGTGGTGGGGTCATCTGGCTTCACAGACACAAAATCACCAGTTCGCACCTGGGGGCAACAGGAGAAAAGGGTCCATTATTACACGTTATCTATTCATAGCAATATTTCAATATATAAGCAGACAGCTTCCATGAGGACGCAATTAAACCGAACAAAACTCAGTTTTCAGTAGGACTGTGTATTGCCCCAAATTTTCCGTATTGCGATACACTCTTCTGTACTGCAATATATTTTGAAAGAACAGTTATTGAGATCTGTCCACTTTCTCATATTCTTTTACCTTCAAACTAAATCACAGTATATGTGAGTAACCATTGTGCTTTGTTCATCTTTAAAAGTAAAAGAAGGAAAATCCAGAACATTTTTTAAACTTATTAATGGTAGTTTAAGACTTAAAGAGTCAAAACAAAAATACCTCTACCTGAGACTATAATAAATTAAAATTTCAGCACAAACACAATTTTCTGAACACAAGCACCAGATATAGGAACACATTTAGATAGCCAGAGTGTCAAACAGACTATAAGTATCACTGGTAGTTATTTCAAAAGGATGAACAAGATCAGTTTTATAAGAGTTAAAATAGAACAAAAAAATCTTTCTCAACGTATCGCGATACATAACTGATACCAGTGTATGAAATAAGGCCCATCCAACCGACCGAGACAGGCTAGATTTCTGACAGACGGTCTAAATTTACAGCTAGTCAGCCCGATGGTCTGACAACATTTTTAGATGTTCAATACATCTGAGTAAATTCACCATATCTTGGTGCCTGGGCTGAACACATTTTGAAGTTACCAGCCCTGGTGTCTGGCTGGGGTTTTGGCTTATTTCATACACTGCTGATACCATTTTGTATTGCAGTTTCCTGGTATACTGTGCAGCCCTAGTTGCCAGCTTATTTCTCACAGTTGCAACATACCCTATCTACCTTGTTTACTTGTGAAGTACATTAACCACTTGGGTTTTTATAAGAAGCATTGGGAAGGGTATTCATGTTAGAAAAGACTTCTATCAATGTACAATCATCTTCAAGAAACAGAAAACTATTTTAACTGTGCTGTTATCATTTTAAACAGTGATTCACAAATCCTTGCATTAAATTAATTGTATCAGTCGAGCTCTGAAAAACATCTGACCTCTTCTCCATTTAACAGGAAGCCTGAATAGAACTTCTTGCTTGCGGTATCCTTGATGCAATTTCCAATCCATCTTATTTGTGTCTGAAATAAAATAATATATTAGATGTTGACTGCTTCATTCATACTCCATGCAACATATTACTCAACCCTTAATAGAGATAGTCCGAGTGTCAACATAAGGGCTGAATGAAACTAAATGATTGGATAAGTTGTCAAGAAAATATAACATGATGCTCCAATGGAAAACAGATCATATCTGCTGTATTTGAAGTGAAAATTAACGTAAATGAAGGATACAATTTCACAATTCTCCTCAATGAAATGTCTCTTTCACTTAATTAGTTCAGAAGTAGAGCAATACCAATAGTACAAATATCACGCTGCCATTCAGCTGGAATATTGCAGTGTGCGGCGTTAATCCAACCAACCAACCAACCAATATTACGTTCACATCACAATACCAGCTTGCAGTTTTATCTCAGTAGGCAGATACAAGGGCTGGCAAAAATGATCAGTAAGTGGAAATAACGTTGATAGGAAAATTATTAATGATTATCAATATGACAATTGTGTTATTGATAATACTGCACATTAATTTTCATGAAAGAATCTTATTAACTTGCTCACATAATATACAAAGTTAGGTGTTAATTCATGGGCTGCTTCTACATGATGTTCAGGACACTGTTGAGTTGTGGTGGGTGCCTGTTCCACTCGCCAGTGATGTGAAACATATTTCTTTCAGACTTTTAAGCTCAAACTTACTTCTCTCATATTTTTTGATATATTATCGATATTTAGTTAACGATTATCGGTCTCTATTATCTATACTTATAGCCAGCACCCATTGATACATACTTCATAACGTTAACCGCTGGCATTCCCATGAGCTTTGTCTGTAGGACATGACATTCGTTCCACATACTGACATACTTCATAAACAAATTACCTTCATTTTTGATGATGCTGTCTTGTGCCTTTTGGCTGGACTTGGAGGAACATCCATGGCTTCCTGCAGTAAAACAACATACATAATTGCTGGTTTAGTTACAATGTATTTAAATAATGACATTTATAATGGGTGACTGACTGAGTTTGGTTTTAAGCCGCTTTTAGCAATATTCCAGCAATATCACGGCGGGGGACACCAGAAATGGGCTTCACTCATTGTACCCATGTGGGGATTCGAACCCGGGTCTTCAGCGTGACGAGACAACGCTTAAACCACTAGACTACCCCACCGACCCTATAATGGGTGAATGGTAGGGCTGCGCAATTAACCGGTTCAGACATGGAAACGATATGTATTGCGATACGCTGATAGAAAACCGGTATTTTGACTTGTATTTGGAAACCTTCGAAACACTCAGAAACCTTGATGATTGTGGCAATTGTGGTAATGGTGGTGGGAATGATCGTGGTGAAAATTACATTTAAACATTATCTATATTCTTATTTTGTCATGATTAAAAGTTTTTATTAAAGCTTAATGAAGCATAGTGATTTTGTTGTGTTTTGCTTTATAAATAAAGCGTTAACTTGATCATTAGTGGTTTATTGTTAAAAAAAACCTTCTTGCAATATATTGCAATACATATCGCAATATAAGCTTTTGCATCGATATATATCGCAATATGAAAATTCTCTGCAATACCCACCCCTAGTGAATGGTATTTATAGGGTAAACTGATATATGAAATGTATATATCAACAGATGAACTTGTTGATAATATTCTTCACCTTTCAGATGACAGACCCAGACTTGTGCTGTGGATCATGTGACCGTGCCAGATACAGAGGTTGTATATCAGTTAAATATCACAGACGATGTAGAACACTATGTAACAATTATCTGACTCCAGTTTTAGTCTGTGTGTTTAATATAGCAGTAAAACATATTAGTGTTGGGAATTGGTTAAAATCTCATAATTGATGATTAGTTCGTTATAACAGGTGAATCATTGAAAAATATGTTCGTTTGTGTCATGTATCAAATTCTATCAGAGTTTTGGGGTTTCTTTGGTAAATTGCACAAGATGCCTTTGCAAATTTCAAATCTTTAAAAGATTACCAGTATGTTTAGAACACACATTTCTGGAGTCGTTAAGATAAATTCAATCATGACCCAGAACAAGAAAACACGATCGAGTGCTTGGTGGTTTAATTACTGCGACCAAACTTCAATTATTTCAATTAAACGGACCACCAGTAAAGACTGTCAATGTTTACTGACCTGCTTCACATCATCACCATCTTCAGCATCGTCATCGTCATCAGCTTCACGTACTGCCATGTTGGGGCATCTAAACATACATTTAAATATTAATACATTCGGATACGAGATGAGTGAATGAGTTATAATGAATCTGCTTTTATTAGTATTTGAGTTTGTAAGTGCTACATCTCTGCATAGTTCACTGCAGTGCATTTGTGTTGTTTTATGGAGTATCGTCAGCTGAGCTTATTTAACTGAACAGAATCATAGGGATGAAGTTTTGGCCAAGTGCCTAAATTTGCAGACTGTCAAAAACATATGGATTAAACTGAACCAAGCTTACAACAGATGAAATTGTACCAGTCTTAGGCTTTAGACTAATGGCTGGAGTCACACACTAAACACACGGATAAATCGACACGCAAATATTACTGTTCAAGGACTTCAGGCAATGTTAATGATTTCATCTATCTGTACGATCAGTGCTTGTTGTGTTTAACGCCACACTCAGTAATATTCCAGCTATATGGCAACGGTCTAAATAATCGAATCTGGACTAGGCAATCAACAGCAAATGATGTGTCAACTGGGTTAAGTCAGCGAGCCATTATTCACCTCTCACGACAAACATGGGTTGCTGAAGACCAATTCGAACCCAGATCTTCACTGGTCACATGATCACTGAATCATAAAAAGAATCCCACAATGTCGAGTCAGGGAGTGAGTTTGGTTTTCTGCCGCTTTAACAATATTCCAGCAATATCATGGCGGGGGGACACCAGAAATGGTCTTCACCCATTGTACCCATGTGGGGATTCGAACCGGGGTCTTCGGCGTGACGAGCGAACACTTTAACCACTCGGCTACCCCTCCACCCCCACAATGTCAAAACATCCTCACTACTCACCTCCTCTTCACACAAGCCTGCTTTGAGCGCCCAGATCCTCCAAACTTGATCATATCCTTGCATGCACTGCAATCTCCGCAGTCTGGCTGTTGGCAGATTTCACAGATCCCACACCGTCGCTTCCGTGCTCCCATCTGTCCCTTATCCTCGATCTGCTCCATGAACATGCTGTCGAAGATTTGCCGCACGAGGGGTGTGGTTGTTGCCATGGTGTGTTTGGGCTTATCTTTCTTCACTTTGGGTTCTCGCATTTGTTTCTGCATCGCTCGCCTTCAAACAGAACGATGAGTGATTGAGTGGTTTTACGAGACTTTTAGCAATATTCCAGCAATATCATGGTGAGGGACACAAAAATTGTCCTTCACACATTGTACCCATGTGGGGAATTGAACCTTGCCTTTGGCATGACGAGCCAAAGCTTTAACCACTGGGCTACCCAACAGCCCCTTAAACAGAACAAAATGTTTGATAGGGGAAAATATAAGCGTTATCATTTTTTTAAATTTGTGTGCTGGCGATTAGGTGCCTGACTCCCGGGTGGGACTCAACCCCAAAAAAGTATTAAAATCTGTACTTTACTAAGAAAGTGTAATCCCAAACATAACATACGTTACATCATCTTTTTTTTGTATACAGGATTCCTACATTCCATGAGAGTGGAAAGTTCTTGTGGAAATATTACCACTTTGGGGGCGAGAGCTGAGAAAAATTGGATGGTTTTCCACAAGGTAAATTATGAAAAAGTCTTTGCCTTTCAAACATATCAGACATATTTCACAGTGAATAATTGACCATTGTCTTACATAGTAGTTTTGAAACAACATATTAATTACTGTATTAAAATCAGTGTTTGAATGTGTTTTGCATCAAAACACTTTAAGCAGCATCTCAGCAATAACATCGTAGTGGAAACTCCAAATGGGATTCACATATTGTCATAGAATGAACACAGGCCCATGTTAATCAGGTGAGGTGAGGTGAAATGGGGTTTAACGTCGCACTTAAACCTCTTACCTCTTTCCCAAAGTGACTCCAGCAAGCTTGATGAGAGCTCTCATGCAGGGTGTGGTGATCAGGAAGCCTTCATCTTCATCTGCAGCTTCATCATAACTCTGCACCTAGATGCACAGAATGGAGTTTAGAGGGAAGTACTATCATAAATTAGTTTAGTTTTACGCCACACTCAGCAATATTCCAGCTATATGGCGATGGCCTGTAAATAATCGAGTGTGGACCAGACACTCCAGTGATCAACAGCATGAACATCAATCTGCGCAACTGGCAACCGATGACATGTGTCAACCAATTCAGCTAGCCTGACCACCCAATCCCCTTAGACCCCTCTTACGACAAGCATGGGTTACTGAAGATCAATATTCTAACCCGAATCTTCACGGGTCCTATCATAAATAAATATAGATTGACTGACTGACTGACTGACTGAGTTTGGTTTTACGCCGCTTTTAGCAATATTCCAGCAACATCACGGTTGGGGACACCAGAAATGGGCTTCACAAAATATAGATTGAAAGGTTGTAATGAAGCTAATACTTTAAAGTGTAGAACAGAATGGGTAATAGCTGTAGATATTGCTATTGGTTGTTGGTATTTAAACTACTTATTGATAACAAGATTGGATAAACTTTGTAAACACCAACCTGATCCACAACAAACTGGGCATGCCTCAGCAGTGCATCCTCCGTGAACTTGGTGAGGCCAGTAGGGGGAACTGTCGTCTGTGAACACAGGCATACACAGCTTAACCAAGACAAAAACCTAACATAGAAAAGTGGAAGGAGAGTATTGAAAGGTTTTTAAAGTTCTGCTCCAGAAAGGAGCACTATCACCAATTTCAGTCTATGTCAAACTTGTTGCCATGGAAATGCCAAATTTTTTTATTAAGAATTCCAAAACTACCAAAAGGCACCAGTACACCACTAGATCTATCTATGTGCCAAGTTTGGTGAAGAAACATTGAACAGTTTTAGAGTTCTGTTCCGGAAAAGACAAATGTGCACGGATGGATGGACGCACGGATGGATGGACGCACGCACGGACGGAGCCCATTTTAATACCCCCGCAAAACGCGTTGCGGGGGATAAAAAGTGTTAAAGGCATGACATGGCACCCTTACAGAACCATTGCTAATATGATTCAGGGGTCCACTCTGTATCACTTATTCATCCACATGCAGAATGTGCAAGTCTTTATACTATGCACTAGGGGTGGGCGATTATACCGGTTAACCGGTATATTGCAATCCTAACTTCACAATACGATATATTGCGGTACATGTTTCGAGAACTGGTTCACCCGATATGATCGGCAATTTCCCGTGACCATGATTGGTAATTTTCGTGACGTAGTCAAAAATACAATTAAATATATCCTTCATATTAAGCATTAATAGTTTTGAGAATTTGAGAATAGTTTTTTTGGTCATATAATTGCATTTGCGTGACTTTTAAACCATTTGAATAAATAAAAACTAGATTGGTACCAGCATTCATTGTAAGGATAAACAATTTGGAAACAGGAACAATTGATCTCTTGTACAATCACAGTCCTGACAGTGGCCAGTGGCTCTGTTTCAAAAGAAAGGAATCAGCAATTTCATTACCTTAAACCATGTGTTACACTTTCACAATATATTGCAGTATGCCAACACATATCACGATATATAACGCAATACGAAAATTTTGTCCATGCCCCACCCTACCATGTACTAACGAAGTCTGACCTCAATCTTGTTCCTACCCCACCCTACCATGTACTAACGAAGTCTGACCTCAATCTTGTTCCTACCCCACCCTACCATGTACTAACGAAGTCTGACCTCAATCTTGTTCCTACCCCACCCTACCATGTACTAACGAAGTCTGACCTCAATCTTGTTCCTACCCCACCCTACCATGTACTAACGACCTCAATCTTGTTCCTACCTACCTAAGTCTGACTTCTAATCCTACCTCAAACCATGAAGTCTGACCTCAATCTTGTTCCTACCCCACCCTACCATGTACTAACGAAGTCTGACCTCAATCTTGTTCAACAGATCTTCATAGTTAGCATCTTGATTGTTCTGCATGAACTCGATGACGACCTTTGACATGTGGACCTTCTCCTTCATAGTGTCGATGAAGGGAGCGTAAACCTCGCTTGGAGCCATGAGGAAGTAGTCAGCGTATGCCGTGCTGAACCCGATCAGGGCGTTCTCACCACCGTCAAAACCTGTCGTCCACCATTCATTGATTGGACCCATATTGCGGCACCTGACTCCACCTACAGGAATGATTTGGTCCACATTTATACAAGATGACAAAGCTATCAATAAAATACTCTTCATGAATATGTCAACTAGTTATGACAATGTCAATGTAACATTGTTCTTCACATTGATCTAATGAAAACATACATATAAACTATTCATATACAAGCATGCTTGTAACAACAGACTGAATGTGTGCTTCCATGGTTTGATGTACCTCAGTAATGTTGATACTGGCAATAGAGAGGTACTGTTTTGTGATTAGGTACCTGAATACCCACTAAGTGGAATTACAGTATTAAAGGTATTAAAGTTCTCTGGGAAAGGATCACTACCCTCAATTTCATTCAAAGTCAAACTTCTTGCCATGGAAACGCAAAAAATATTTTATTCAGAAAACCAAAACTACCTAAAGGCACCAGTTTACCACAAGACCTATATATGTGTCACGCACCAGAAAGGGGCTTTACACATTGTACCCATGTGGGGCATCGAACCTTGATCTTCGGCATAATGAGCCAACGCTTTTACCACTAGGCTACCCCACAACCCATAACAAGGAAAACAAGGACCATCATTGTATTTTTTGTTACTGTGGTGATTACTTTAATTTAATTTAGTAAAAACAATCTATGTAAGTTTGTGAGGCAGTTGTTTCTCTCGACCCGTGAAGATCCGTGTTAGAACTGATCTTCAGCAACTCATGCTTGTCGTAAGAGGTGACAAACGGGATCGGGTGGTCAGACTCGCTGACTTGGTTGACACATGTTATCGGTTCCCAATTGCGTAGATCGATGCTCATGCTGTTGATCACTGGATTGTCTGGTCCAGATTCGATTATTTACAGACCGCCGCCATTTAGCTGGAATATTGCTGAGTGCGGCTTACAACTTAACTCACTCACTCAGTTGTTTCTCTCACCTTCAGGGCTTACACTCTCATCGTAGATGGGCTTGATTGCTCCACTGAAGTACAGCATGACGTTCTTCTCAATCAGACCCGAGTCAAAGGGGCAGAGATGAGTGTTTTTGTCATAAATACTGAAACAGTGAATTGCCAAGAATGCATTCCCTTCTTGATGTTTCCTTTGTCATTTATATCTCTAGCGAGTTCGGTTTATGCCTATTTTAGTAATATTCCAGCAATGTTACAGTATAGGAAATCAGAAATGATCTTTGAACACCCCATTACTGACTCAAGCCCAGTAAAATTTGGTTCAGTCTCATGGTATCTGCATATAATAGTCAATATGACTAGCAGTCTGAAACTTTTCGGGTTACCAGACTGAAAGTTTTAGCATAGGCCAATAAAACTGAACAAAACATGAGAAACAGTTTGTGATCTAGACCAGCGACCAACGTACCTGAAGTCGGTGATCTTGTGAGTCGGTCTCTCGTCACTTTCTGCCACCATCTCGTCACCAGTAAACAGCGAGAGCTTTGGGTCGAACAACCCCACACACTCCTCCACCTGCAGGGTGAAAGATCAATGAAAGACATTCCAAGCTTATGTTCAAACAGAACTGCAGGTCAATTTTTTAAGGGGTCACAGGTGAACTGTTTTTCTGTTAAATGCCATTCCAGCAATATCAATAATAACAAGTGTTTGCCACTAATATGGCAATGTCCCCCGCCGTTAAAGAAGAACGAAATATTTATAACATATTTACTACTTTTTTTATTTTTGACTGAAATGACTCGTGTCTGTATAATCACCCAATGTAAGCTGTCAACATAATTGAAGACATTGGGTACAATGTTGTATGACATATTGCATTAACAAGAGTTTGAAAAGTGGCATGGTGACCTTGTGGCATGGTGACCTTGCAAATTTGAAATAAGGGTACAACAAGGTCACCAAAATCAGTGGTCAAAGTGTCTGCATAATAGGTCACCAAAATGTAGGCTGTCACCAAATTTGAAGACATACAACAGGTTTTGAGGTATCGCGATAACAAGATTCAGGACGTACGTACGGACAGATGCTGCTGAATACATAGTCCCCCTAATAATAAAATCTGGCCCAAAGAACCCAGTGAATAAACTACTAATGATACACATAGTTGGGCACAATTACACATCAAACTAAGTCACTGAGCCTTGTCACCCAAGTCCACCTAGGACCAATTCTAATTCAGACCACTAACCAGCTATAATTTCTCTGAATCTTAAGACTGTTGATTTCGTTTGTTGTTTAACGCCACACTCGGCCATATTCCAGCTATACACGGTGCGAAATAGTTTCCAAATTCTGCTAGCCAGTCCTGGCTATCTATGCCTGAAAGTTACTAGCCCACAAAATAATTGACTAGCCTGAAATTTGAATGTAGAAACTATGCAAAAGTTTGCAAAAAAGTAAAATACCATCATTTATCAGGCCATAATCTTGCATGATTTAAAAGTGTGACATATTTACAAAATGACCGCAGGAAAATTCATCAGCCAGTCAGGTCAGTAACTGTAGAGATTTACTGGCTCGACTGGATTTTAACTAGCCATGGACTAGCGGGCAAGTGGCTATTTCGTACACTGCCATATGGTGGCAGTCTGTTAATAATCAAGCCTGGATCAGACTATCCAGTCATCAACAGCATGAGCATCAATCTACGCAATTGGGATACGATGACATGTGTCAACCAAGTCAGTGAGTCTGACCACTCGATCCTGTTAGTCGCCTCTTACGACAATCATGTGTTGCTGTAGACCAGTTCTAACCCAGACCTCTACGGGTCAACGATGGCAATGCGGTGCTAGGGACACATTTTATGCCAGGCCAACATGGGAACAGGAGCTGCTGGAATCAGAACTGGAAACTGTGAGTAATGTAACAAATAACCCCCCAGAGCTACAGATAACTTTAGGGGTCATTGAGTTATGTACTCGCTTGTGTTCATCTCAATTTTGTGTTCATCTCAATTGGGTATCCTAATTTTCTGGTATTTATATTGGATCTGTAATATGAGAAACGATAAGAAAGACTGCAAGTTGCCAAGTTCATGTGTTGAAACAGAACCTCTCAATTTACCTCAGTTATTTTATCTATGCACCGATACGCAAGCTAAGATTTGACATATTTGTGTGTACGCACGTAAGGTCAAACGTATTGAGTATTTACAAAACTTCAAGCGTACTTGTACGCAACTGACTTAATGAGAATTGAGTTTTCACATAAATATTTGCGTAATTTAAGCAGATACGCAGCTTATCTGTTCCTCTGACCCCATAGCGGGAATAATCCCTTCAAAGTCTTAACATAAGAGCAGCCCATGAATAAAGCCCAAACTTTGTGTATTTTCTGAATTAATCTAAAAATTATTTCATCACAATAGTTTACATGCAATATTATCGACTACAAATTTTTCATATCAATAATCAATAGTAATAAACCGCATGAATGACATTACCGATTATCGATTATTTTAGACAGCCCTACTTCATAAAAGCTAACTTACAGCATCATCTGGGTCGCCAGGAAACAGTCGTAGGTCAGGGTCGTCCAGCAGCTGTTTGCACTCACGACATTTGATGGGAATCACCGACCTGGGCGTCACTGGCTTAATCCCCTCCTTCACCACGACAACCTCCCTGGAAGAGTCAAATGCGGCCATATTGCAACTGAATGTCAACTGAAGAATATTCAAATCCTAAAGCCTGAAATAAACTCTCTTCACAAAAAACTAGGGGTGACTATTGAGGGGGAAACAACTATTGCAATAGTCTATTGAAACAAACTATTGCGACCAACTATTGCAACAGTTTTCTCATTGAATTGTCTCATTTGAAGTCATTTCCAAAATGAATGCATAGTTTATATGAATGAAAACAAGTTGAAGTAGTTTCAGTCTCTTTTAATAACTGCATGCAAGGTCAGCCAGGGGTATCTCTACCCCAAATGATTCCTTCCTACTGCTGATCAAAACATCAAGAGAATACGCGGGGATACGGGAAGATTTGCTTCAAAGAATTGAAAACCTTGATGGATTTGGCTAATTCTTTTTCAGAAGAGATCTTCCTTGGGGTACATATATGCATGTACCAAATAAAACCAAGACAGCGAAAAACATAGACAAGCTACTGTTGACTAGCCATTACAATTAACATGTCACAGGATGTGCGGCTCGAAAGGAAGCGTGCCGATTGGAGACCTGTGGGGGTTCATACCCACTTACATACATCCAAATCCTACACACCAAAATCTGTTGAAAGAACTTGAACAAACAACTGGCAATCCTATCAAAAGACCATTTCTACCACTTCTCTACTTACCTTTCCTCCTCCTTTTCTTCCTCCCCATCGACTCGGATACGTTTCAGGTCAGTCTCTTCCTCAGACTTCACTTCAGTCTTTTCTTCTTCAGCTGCAGACTTCCTCTTGGACCTGTGAACAGTCACATAAAGATGAGTGAGCGAGTTGGATTTTACATAGCTGTTAGCAATATTCCAGCAATATCATTTCGGGGGGACACCAGAAATGGGCTTCACACATTGTACCCATGTGGGCAATCGAACCAAGTCTTCGGAATCGTGGGGTTCTTTTAAGTGCACAGGGTTGTGTACTGTACACTAGGGGTTGTGACAACAATGAAAGAGTCTGCACACTCTCTCCAAGGTTTTTACACCTGGTCACAGGTGGGCTCGACCCCGGCACTTCAACCTTGCTGGATCACTACCCTGGGGCCTTAGCCAGCTCGCCCACCACGCCCCCGCGGAAGTCACTACCCTGTAAATCATGTCACACAAGCTACTTGATAAGTTGCAGTGTTACAGATGATTTTTACAAATCACCTACGTTTGTCCTTTGCTGAACATAGATGCTATGGATGGCTGACTGTCACTCAGAGACTTCCTGCCTTTCTTTGATCGACCCTTCCGTGAAGGTGTACCTGCAAAAACATTTCAATAAAACATAACTAAAGCAATTCTCAAAGTACTCATTCTGCTGGAAAATGTACTACAGTTTCTAATAACATTTGTCATGAGTGTGGACAAAATCAGCAGGCGATCTAGACTACACAAGTGCTGGGGACCAATTTTGTCCTACGTTCCCTATAAGGAAGGTTGGGCATTGAAACTTATTCTGCTCAATAATCCATTCAGTGGACTTTTGTTAGTTATTTCACCCTAATATCCCCATAGGTGGTCAGGGTTTGTACCGATCTTCAGCTATCAAATTTAAGGCCTTTTCAAACAGCCAAAGAACCAATATTAAGGACCTATAGAGACACATGTAACGTTTAAGTACTTGAATACACACAAGGTTGGTCAGAAGTAGGATCAGCCATCAGGAGAAATAACTCATCCCTGCAATAGTAGTTTTACTTGGCGATCTCGATCAACACCAACTGTCATGCAAAGTATTTTTATTATCCAATCATTTCTTGTAAAATCATAACTTGACAAGTTATGCTGATTATTTGACTTTTTAGGGCAAATCAGTTGAAGACAAGTGTTTGCCACTGATATGGCAATGTCTACCGCCACTAAAGAATGGAATATTTATAACATATTTACTACTTTTTATTTTTTGGTCACATACAAGATGCCTGAAATTCCTGGTGTCTGTATAATCACCCAATGTAGGCTGTGGACATAATGTAAGACATTAGGTGCAATGTTTTATGAGGTATCACGCAAACAAGAGTTGTGTCAAAGTGTCGTGGTGACCTTGAAGATAAGGTCAAGGTCACCAAAATCAACTGGCGTCTGCGTAATCCCCCAATGTAGGCTGTCACCAAATTTGAAGACATTGGATCAAATAGTTCATGAGATATTCAGGGATAAATCTACCCCCGCGTCCCGCGTCTCTGACGCAACAAATTCTGACAGGACTCATATTTTTTTTACATGTGCGTCCTCTTTGACGCAAGCTTTTGATGAAACACTAATGTTTATTTTTGTGGAGAATCAATATCAAAGTATACATGGTTAAATCTTAGATTAACTTCCATTCTCAAATAATTGACGTGAGCTAATAAGTACACATTATTTTTAAAACGATCGCAGCTTTCATTCGTCATGAGTATTAAGTTCATTTCCTTGTTTCCAAAAATAGACATCTAGGTCACACCAAGGGAGGTAAGCGGTATGCAAATGAGATCCCAAGATTCATTGCTCGAGCATGTGCAGAACTACTAACCTAGTTTTAACACTCTATAAATAGACACAAACACGCTAAGGGAGGTAGGCGATATGCAAATGAGGTTTTTCAAGACAAACTGATTGGTCAATGAACATTGTGACTCTGAATCCAGAGTGAAGACAAAATCTGAGCTCTCAGTACCAGTTAGAGAAAAGCAAGAAGCTTTAGTCAGTAGCTGAACAACTGTTAAATCTATCTGCATGTAATTTGAAAGTGAAAGTGGCATTTGACAGGTTAAAGTTCTGCTGAGATAGAATGTCATTCTGGAAAAGTCCTGGAAAAGTAATCATATAAATGAATCATTTCATTTATAATTATGATGACATTTATGATATAATTCGTTCAATGTTAATAGTTAAAGTAAGACAGTTACTATTTGTGTTCATACTTGTTAAAGTGGCTTCCAGTTGGCATATTTCTTTTGATGTAATTTGTTTTTGAATCACTGAACAGAGTGAAGAAATAAAAGCGTAACTTTGGTTGGAATTGTAGAACTTCATTCACAAAATATTACAGTGAAATTACATTGGTCTGGCTAGTAACTTTTTATTTTTCTAGTAAAGAAAACATTTGCTTGTCAAAGGTCATGTAGAGCCCTGCTGTTATTTTTATAATATAGCAGTTGACATGCCGACCAGATAGATACTGTCAGAAAACACAAAGTTAGGACATTTCAGTCAGGTTGGCCTGATACTCATCGGTTATGGCTGACTTATGACAGGGAAGGTGATTTAATATTTTGTACTATTTAATAACTATGTACTGAAAATGGTATGACACAAGATGCTAAATGCAGAAATTTTTAAAATATAACTTTGACCAGACATCTCATCATAATGATAATAAACTGTCCGTTCAGGCTCCAAAACTTTGTGATGATTTCCAGGTTGCAACTGCACGTATGTATGAAAAACAAGACAAAGCAGCAGTTGCCTTGATGAAATCTGTTCTTTGGTTAGCTTGTGAAAACATCCCACTGACTAAGATTAAACGTTTTGTTGACTCTTTATAAAAATTTGAAAAGACATTGAAATTCTCAAGGAAGGTAAAATCAACTATGATTCTCCAACTACTGCCAGTGATCTGTTAACATCTGTGTTTGATGTGATAGGGTATGAACTACAAGTTAAAATGGAAGAGTCTCCATTTGTTACGATTTAGGTACTACCAGCTCTGTTCTGTGAAATATCCCAGACCGGTCAGACTCACCTGTGCAACCTATAGTAACAATAAACCAGTTTGAATAATATTGGTGGCATTAAGTTTTGTTAGGGACTCATAAAAGTTCTGAGGGACTCATAGTTATTCAGCTCAGTGAGTCCCGGGACTCAGGCAGTTGAATTTGTAGATTTATCACTGGATATTGTGTTAACAAGAATCGGGACAGACGTACGTATGGACGCGTTGCGGCAGGGGACAATAAGGCCTTTTCAAGGCTTTTTTTTTTTTAGGACATCGTTAGGTTAAAATGTCCAAATTTCAGTTTTTGCAAGCCTGTGTGGACCCTGGGAGCAGTAGTGGTTCTTACTCTGCCCTAGAATCTCCACATGAAGACCAGAACAGGATGTGGTGGACTTACTTCTGACATTCTCCTTGTCGCTCTCTCCTCCCTTCTTCCTGATGTGTTCCTCTGCATCGTCCTCCTCAATCTCCATCACTTCAACACCATCGGCCTTTAAATCAAAGTCAGGGTCGTTATCAGCGAACAACACATGATTGAACAAACCCACAGTTTCACTTGCAACCTACATGTTAATATCACAAATGGAAATAACTGTTTCACAAAAACATGGCTGACAAGACAAAGGGAGGTAACTTCAAAGAACAATTTCAAAAAGAAAGTTAGCTTTCATATTACTATCACTGACGTGATTTGGACAGGGCATTGTTATGTATGTTTATGTCAAACAATTAAAACTGAAGCTACAAAGACCAAATTATCTAATCACTGTACAGCAACAGTGGAGGAGACAAGGCTCCTCTTGCACAAAGCAACATAGTAATGAATTATCTCAGTTTATGAAGTAAACACGGTAATGGCTTCACACATTGTACCCATGTGGGGATTCGAACCCAGGTTTTTGGCACGAGAACCTAACGCTTTAACCATTAGGCTAACCCACCACCCCACATTAGTAATGATCTATTTAAATTTATGAGATAAACATGGTAATGACTTCAAAACACAAGCAGCAATACAACTAGGCGCAAATAAGGGATTTATCTTGAGTCCTGTATTTGAGGGCCCCTGGGACTCATACTCTTAATTTTTCAGGTCAAAATGGGGGTCCAAGATACTAAAATACTATTATTAACCCATTCAACACCGCAGGCCGCTTAAGCGGCCACAACGTTATGAGTCCCCAGACACCGGAGGCCGCTTAAGCAGCCAGGCAGTAGTCACGTCAAAATGAGACATAACTTTAGGAACCTACCTGACTTATGATTCATATATTAAATCTATCACATTTCACAATGTCTGAAAACACTTATTAAATTTCAATTTATCATATATTATCAGCAGAATTAAAATTATAAACTATTTTTCGCAATGTTACTGAAAACAACGATTCTCAGACACATGCTTCGGCAGCGGGTCCACAATAACATTGTCAAAGAGCAAAGTAACGATGTTTCGAGGAATTCATTCAATAAATTGAATAAACTAATGCATAAAATCAACAACAACATTCATAAAAGTTGTCAAACGCATATAAAATTACTATTTCCATCTTTTGTGCGATCATGTAATGTAAGTCAAGTCACTGACAAGTGACATCTCGCTCGCCGCCTCAATCTTCACGCTTTCGGACACGATGTTTAATCGCGAAAATATATACATGAAGCATTTTGTCACAGGTCATAACCTAGCACGATACGTCCAATAAGTTCCATAATTTACGTATAGGTAGCGATTTTCTTGCTTAATATGTTCAGAATAGCATTATTTTACCCAAAACTTGTGTCTAAATCTAAAAGTTTTCGTTTACGAGGACGGTATCCATTGCCGTAATATGATTGGCTGCCTTAGGTCACGTGTCTGATTTTGACCAATCACGACCCTTATAGCAGACTGTGGCAAAAAAGCGTCATTAGAAACCAATCTTTATCCAATAAAATCGCTTCTTACAACTGTGAAAATACTCTTGGCAAGGGTACAGTGATACTGTTGATGTTCAGAGCTTTCGAACGATGCCCGACATCAAACGATTTGCCACGCATGTTATTCATACGAAGCTTCGAAAACTGAGGTATTTTCCGTTGTTATGTCATGTTACCGAGCGGAAAGCCACAGATATCGGGAAATAGGCGACCATACATATTATTTAAGAAATCTTTTTATAAAAATTTTCTGATAACGTAAAAATGAAAATATAAAAGAAAAAGGCACGGGCATGTTATGACATGTCACAAATGGAAAAAAATCGCCATAGTTTTTGCTTCTTTCGTGGTTTATCTGGACGTTATAGATGTAAGCTTGCATTTTCATTCAAAAATACATTTACTTAAGTTGTAGTTGTATTATTTGAATAATATTATAAAAATAAACCTCATATTTATCAACAGTAGGATTAGATCTTTTAAATGGTGTATGGGATGTAGTAGCAATAACGTTTTACAAGCTTATAATTTCCTTCATAATCATAGGCTTCATCTATGACCTCAGGGTCTCTGGGAACTCGGTGTCATGGCAGTAAATGCCTCTGGTTGACTGGTGTTAATACTGTTATTGTATTGAGGATCATGATTATCACTTAAAGAACCACTAAACTTTGTTTTTTGTTACTCTTTTAACCATTACATATGAAAGACTCGTGGTTAGTCTTATGCGGAACACCAAATTTATTCTTTAAAAACTTGTGGTTAATTAATACCGAGCGATTAAAAGTGGCCAAAAAGTCGCCTGCTTCCCTCTCGACCGCCAACGAAACCCCCGACAGGTTACGTAACTCTGTCGCCAGAGCACTGCAGTGACGTCATATGAGGAACGATTTTCAGTTAGTTGTATAGAAAATGTGTAGCACGCTCATCATTTTGATGATTTCTCGACATCAACGGCGACATGCCGAATCGTTGCTTTGTCGTCAATTGCTCCAAGGGGTCGGGCGATGGTGTCACCATGCACAGATTTCCACAGGACCCCGCAGTTCGTGCTAAATGGGTTATGTTTGTGAGTGCGTGCGAGCGTTGTGGAAGCCTGAAACGATATCTTACTTGTGTTCAGATCGCTTCACGGAAGTTAAAGAATCAAAAACTACTTACTAGTTGTAGTAAAATATGCATATGATTGATGACCATAAAGATTTTCTATGACACAACTTGTAACATAACGATTTCTTCCTCGGAAGTGAGGTTGTGGTCGAAGTAACAATAATATTGTAAGTAGTATTATATTGACACCCACCTCGCTGCCACGAGAGAAATTGTTATGTTATACGCTATGTCATGCAAAATCCTATTGGCCATCAATAAAATACATATTTTACTACCAGTAGAAAGTAGTTTTGATTTTGTAACTCGCTGAAAACAAACCTAAATACCATTTATCCACAGACTGGCGGATGTTCCCGACAGCGCCATCATTTTAAAAATAAAAAATCTGTTAGAATTAATGAGATTATAGTTTGTTTTCATCAAGTTAGAAAATCAAGACTACTTTCTACTCGTAGTTAAATATGTATTGGAATCATAACCAAACGGATTTTGCATGACACAACTTATAACATAACGATTTCTTCCACGGAAGCGAGGTGGGGGTCGAAGTCACAATACTGCGCGATAAATTTCTTGCTACATTCCCATGGTTAATGTCCACTCACCAGTATGTAGATACTAGTCAATGTGAGTCTTTATATTTGGTCTTATAATCGTAATTAGTTTATTATCATACTTGTATGCATTTTGAAACTAAATAAAAGCAGACGATCTGCTGATACTTATAGTGAATTTATAACAGAACTTATCTAGACATTTTATAGTTTGCCAATGTGAATCATAATTCGCACACACACCCTAGTGCATGTTGTCTGTCTCATTACACTTCACGGCGAAAACAATGATTCTGTTGAATGCTACGACAAATGAATAAAAACAAAATGCAAATATTGAAATTAAAACAGATTAAAGTTATAGGAACAATATCAGGCCATTACCTTGTTCGAGGAATGTATCCATCAATATCCACAAAACTGTTCCAAATGATGTGTCTTTTAACAGTTTAATACACGAAAAAGTGATAAATCTTTTCAGGTATTGGTGTATAGTCTCATTGGTCACCCAAGATAGCACACCTGGCAACTAATTGCATAATGTCCGCCTTTCTTTAAAAACAGTAATTTAGTTAGCCAATAATGGGCAATCAATCAATGTATTGCCGGTTAATCCGTTGAAAGAAGGACGTTGTTTTTACACAGACACCGACACGACAGAGTGTATTCAGTATAGATTAGTAAATCTACATACATAAACACTACCTTTTGACAATTCCGCTGTGTAAGATAAAAGTAATTAATCAATCAGCGTGTTATCGGTTAATCCTTTGATCGATGTTTATAATGTTGAATATTTACTCCAGACACAAGAAATGCCAAATGGGAACCTTTGTCGGGTAATCTAAGTGTGTTACCACTAATTATACCTGTTATAAATTCATTAACTGACCATCAAGTGAATGATGGCAAATAACATGTGTAGGTTTATATCACCTAACACGGGTTACAACAAGGGAGTATTAATTGCTGTATTGCATGTGAAAACTTATGGGCCGACACTGTTTTGAGAATACAAACAGATGTTTACATGACATGATTAAATATCGAGGTAAAAAACACAGAAATAGGATGAATTTGGATCAGTCATTATACAATAGGGCCTAACGACACCAATCGATTTTGACAAAATCGTCTATGAAAACAAGTTGTAACTAGGAAACTAGGCAAAGCAGGAGACAAAATTAAATGACAGTAGATTGTGAGAACATATAGCTTTAATTTTCCACAACAATTGTCACGATTTCAGGTTTATACAAGCCTGTAAACAAGATAATTTAACCCCTAAAATGTAGATGAATTCTGCATCGGCCCTCAAAGCTATTCCTCATATGACGTCACAGAGGCGCGCCGCTCTGATTGGTTGAAATTTCGTTCGAGGGTGAGAATTGTGCACTGTTGTCAAAAAGGTCGATTTAAGTCAATTAAAGGTCGAAATGAGTAGTTTTAATGAAGGGGTTTCATTTATAACGATGCCAGTTAGTGATTTATGTATTTGTACCCCCTAGGGTTTATGTGACCTTTAAATTGTTACAGTAATTAAATTGCAAATAATACCATAACTCAGCTAGTAGCAAACTTAGTGATAACTTATTACTTATTGTCACTTGATTGGAATTTTTACAAAAAGTATTTGGACTTTTTCTGAGTCCCTGTGGATGCGTTAATAAATTTTGTTGCCTCCCTTGTCAATTTTTTATGGGTATAGGACACAGGAATTCGCGTCCTGTAAATCCCTGGCAAATTGAGCCCAGGTATGTCGTCCTATAACCCTATTGTTTTAGTCTGTGCCAAACACTTTGTTTGAGGCCACTTCCTTGGACATGGCTCTTAACACCTTTTTCATTAAAATTTGTGCTGTCATACTTGTTATAAACCAGCCCATTTCTGGTGTCCCCCGCCGTGATGTTGCTGAAATATTGCTAAAAGCGGCGTAAAACCAAAACTCAGTCAGTCAGTGTTATAAACCAAACAAAATTGTGATAGATTTAGGTCTCAGAGCTTGTAGGGAGGACTGTTGTGTTGTTAAACGCAGCACTAGGCAATATTTTTGCTATTCAACAGTGTCCTATAAATAACAGAGTCTGGATCAGACAAACCCAGGGTAAGTTGACATGAAACTGAATACAAGCCCCTGATTCATTCAGTCTCCTCATTCACGAGCATAGGCTGCTGGGATAATTCTTGTGTGAGCTCTCACAAAGATTTAGTAAGATAAGGAAATCACACTGTGTTTTCAAGCAATGACACTAACATAATCTAACATTTCTGAAGACCCTGGTTCAATTCCTCAAAGGGGCACTATGTGTGAAGTTCATTTTTGGTGTCCCTACCATGATATTGCAGGAATATTGCTGGGATAAAAACCTACTCACTAACATTTCTGAAAACATTTCTTCTTGAGCAATACATACATATATTACCTTATCATCCATTGAATCGTTTGCCATTTCAGTAGGAGCTGATGAAGAGCTCCCATTCGGTGTTGCAAAGCTGCCGTTAACACCATTGGAGCTTGAGCTTCCATTAGCACTCGATGTAGTGCCATTAGCACTCGACGCACTGCCGTTAGCACTTGACGCACTGCCGTTACTACTTGATGCACTGCCGTTACTACTTGATGCACTGCCGTTAGCACTCGATGTACTTCCGTTGGCACTGGAGCACTCTGTACCATTTGAGTGGCCATTTTCTTGCTCTTCAACATTTTTCAGTTTTCCGACTTCTTCTGGAGTAGCAGTCATAAAACTGTCAAGTAGCTTCTCTAGCTTCTTGAAGTATCCTTTCTGTAAATAACACCAAGCATATTAACATAACTAGTGATAAGTGTCATCACAACCATTTAAAGACACGCACTACCCTATAAACCCAGATAATTGACTATTAGTTGAAAGATGAATACTCATTTTTAAAAGGCTTCTTGCCTGTTTTTAACTTGCAGGGTTCAGTGACTTGACTGTTGGTAGTGTGATTGAGCAGGGATTGGAATAAAGAACTTTGACAATGGAATGGGCCACTGCCCTTGTATCAATAGTAAACTTCAAAATTTTAATGGGCCATTTTTTTATTTTAATGTGCAAAAAAGCCCCATGGCCCCTGCCTTTCCCAATCCCTCATGGGGGTACGAGTAGAGGTACCCCTGAGAGTTCTGAAACAAGGGAATTATCAGGGAAAGACATGTCACTTCCAAAAAAGCTTTCACAATATATCACTGTAATTTTCATTTCCCAATTCAGAGATTTGGCAGAAATAATTTAGGGAAACACGACTACTTTGCTCTAACTTGACATTTTCTAAAAAGTTTTAAGTTTCTTTAATTCAGTGTAAATATTGTACACTGTATTTGAATATTGTTTTCAACTTAATTAATTAAAAAGGAACAAAGGAACATTTGATATTTCTCTTCCCTGGAAATGTTTTTAGTGAAATGGCAGTTAGGAATTCTTGACAACATTTGTTACAGATTATCAGTTCCTAAGATGGGATCACTTGCAAAAAGTGATGTTTGTGTTATGATTATTGTAACCCATGTACTCTAACAGACTGCAAATGATCTTAGTTCACATCAGTGTCCATTTATCCCTGGAAATCTGTGATAGTACCAGAAATTCCACCGCTACAGGAATCAACTGCACTTACCTCTGTTACACTTTCATCTTTCAAGTCCTCATCCAACTCTTGAACCTTCTCACGGATATCATCCGTATAAAATGGCTCAAACAACTTGTGCTTCTTCTTCAGGAAGCCCTAAATAAAGAAGTTGGTGAAAACATTTGTCAATCCCCAAACACACCTCCGAGAATTCTCTTTTCTACTACCATAAATAATATATGATGAGTATTATATATACCACAAAATTGAAATGAAACAATCATGGTAGAAATATAACAATTGTCATGGTTCAATCAATCAATCCTGCGTCATTACTAGTGGTGGTCCGATTAATTGAAATAATTGAAGATTGGTCACAGTGCCTAAACGACCAAGCAATCGATTGTGTTTTCTAAATATAGAACACAACCAATTTTGGAACACTTGTTTGCATCAACAATATTTTACACAAGGTTGGTTTTGTCTGTGTCATTAAATTGACATTTCATAAGCACTACCAGCTCATTCCAAGTCAATATATCTTAAGGAATCCAGGAAATCTGCGTTCCTAACATACTAATCAGGGTTCGACACTCTTGCTTGTCCGCTTGCCCGTGGCAAGTACTAATTAATCAGGGCAAGTAAAATTGCTAAAAGGCTTGCCCGAGTGGCAAGTACATATTTTGTCAACTTCTAACCTCAATTCACTGTGTGGTAGTGTTTACAAATTGCCAAAAGCAACGGCAGACTTCATTGGCTGGGACTGATTTCCTTTTACCATCACGAGCGACGTGGTTGGTTGTTTAGTTTCAATGCAAACTCCTTGTCTCGCTAACGCGTAACATGGGGCAAGTAGTATCTGTGATGGGCAAGTAGTTTTACTTTTCTACTTGCCCTCTTGGCAAGTGGGAGAAATCAGTGAGTGTCAAACCCTGCTAATCATCCTTTAAATATGCGAAATTGCCAATGGATTTTGTGCAATTTGCAAAAGACCCAATCGCAAATTACTACGTTTTTTCTTATTTATGTGTGTGTGCATTAACAAAGATAACAGGAACATTTGATAAATGATGCAAACCAATTATTTTCGATGATTGATCGGTTGTAATGAACTAATCATCAATTATGAGATTTTAAACAATTCCCAACACTAGTCATTACTGAAATATAGTGACGTTACTATCACCATGCTTGAATTAGTATCAGATGTTAATGTCACTGGCCATCTTTAGCAGAACGTCAAACATTGTAAACAAGCAGGTCAAACAAACAAGGTTGGTTGGTTGGTTGGTTGTTTGATGCTGCTCTCAGCAATATTCCAGCTATAAGGCGGTGGTCTGCAAATAATTGAGTCTGGACCAGACAATCTAGTGATCAACACCATGAGCATTGATCATCACAATTGCGATATGATGACATGTATCTTGTTCAATTTGCCCTTGATCATCGATTAGACAAGACTGTCAAATACCTTCTGCGTGATATCACCTTCGCTGAGTTCTTCTTCAGCTCGCCAAGTCTGAAACACAACACATTCCAATCAACTTGCAAGGTCTATTATTGACCTCATCGTTAAAATTTAGGGGGATACGGGCGGAAGTCATACACTGCTTTTTGTCCAGTGCCCATAAAAAAGCAGTGCCCAGAAGTACCCTGACGTGGAGATATCTTTCAAATTGAAAAAAATATTACATCCTGGCCAACACACAGGTATGTCAACCGACCCAGTATTTATATGAGTGTATACTGGGATTCTCTATTATCGCGGCACGCGAAAACATCGGGAAAGCAGAAACACCACTCTCCGCATCGGCTGTTTACATATGCAAATTACGTAAAATATATTCATCGCTCTTCAAAAAGTCATTTATTTCATTGGAATGTCATGTCTAATTATAGAATATAAAAGCATTCATCTTTTCAGTAAGTTCTAGAAAATTTGAAACTAGTATGACCCCTACTGCCATTACACTGACTGAGTTTGGTTTTACGCCGCCGCTTTTAGCAATATTCCAGCAACATCACGGCGGGGGACACCAGAAATGGGCTTCACACATTGTACCTGATTAAACATCAGTCAACTGAAAATATATATAAAATGCTAAATGTCAGTAGCCGTTCATAATCCCGATGGCGACAACATTAACTACCGCGATAATAGTAGCTATATCCACCCATGGGAGGTAACTTTTGTCGCCCTAAATCTCGACCTGAAAACTTGTCTAAAAAATCTCGCAAAACAGTGGGTCATTTCTACGCTTTTTAGTAACGAAAGGAATGATTGGTGAGTTATTTTTAGCTAGCCAGACACTCACTCAGGACATTTGTCCTACTGATTTTATAGGCTTCAAAATCACTGGGTTTAGTTACACAATGATGGTAACTTCCATGATGAAAAGATTTTCATATTTGCATTATAGAGACATTGGAGAATATATCCTGAATCTTTTGTGAAAAAATAACAATTTTTAAAAAATGAGTGAATATACCTAATAATAGAGGGTCCCATGATAACCTTTCCCTGATGAACGTGTGTTTCGTTAGCTTTGGCTTAAATGATTTATTTGGTGACCATTGCTTAGAAATTATCACCGAATGAACCGGAATCTTTGCATTCCCGGGATCCTGCAAAAATGGAATCTTCAAAAAGTATATAGACCTGTTCAACACTGAAAATATGCCATATATTCAGTATATTTAAACAATTTACTTAAATGCGAAATAGCTATTGTAATAAATTTTGGCTCAAAACTATTATAGTCTACCTAAGGCTAAGACTTAGCTAGGTGTCCCAAGAATTACAATTGGGACTGTATCAGCAGTTGGTGGAAATGATAGCGATAACATTTTTGTGTAATTTGTTTACTGATTGCGTGTAAATGCTGGCTACCAACTCACTTTTTCTTGATACTGTCAGACAGCTCAGGAGGTTGCACAGTTCTACCAGGCATCGTTCTCTTTTCCCTTTCAGTGTGACACTATTTCGCGCCACCACGTTCCCGCAAAAATATTTACAATGGAGTCATCCAAAAGGTCATTTCCGGTTCACTACACAATGTATTTGTAATACAATTCTACTCAAATTTCATGAAGTGGATTATGACTTTTAAAAACTATGAAAAGGGATGAATGTGATCAATCGAATATAACGATTGCTGTGATATGTTGATTCAAAATCCTTTGTATTTTCTCATATACCCTTCGCCGAAGAAAAATGGAATAAACCGGAAGTTATCGATACTTGTCAACAACAAACATGGCGTAGCAGACGATGGCGGCAAATTCAATCTAGTATTACTTTGATTGTAACATTGGTTGGTTGATCTTATTTTCTCTTCTGAAAGTCGAAATATCCATATCTTTCGATTACCTTCAGATGTGAAAAGTAGTCTTTGTCTGTGCGGAATGAGCCAAGTTGCCGGAAAGAACATCAATGGGTCTCTAAAGATTCAAGTCAAGTCGAATGCGATTGTTACAATGTTATGATATGGGCGTTTGTCAAGTGCAACCGATGGAAAGATTTCCGCCCGTAAATCCCGTATTTTTAAAAATCATTCTATGCCTAAGAATGTAGGCCTATGGTTTTCATAAAAAAAGTCTAAATTAACCTAACCCTAAAACCTAAACCCTACTCCCTCTAAATAATCCTAATAAATAGAATACATTTCAATCGGGGGTTACGGGCGGAACTCTTACCCAACCGATGGCACCTTTCACTTCGCTTACTATTTACAAAGACTTTCTGCATTGACATTGCAATTCCCATGGGTCTTGGTGCCTTTCTGAGACAACCTATCTATGGTTTATGGTATCGTCGATATAAGATAATAAAATGCAATGATTTATTGCCAAATCTCACTAAGGCTGGTCATCAACCACAGTAATTTGTACCTGTACACAAATATACATACTTTTTTATCACTTTTATCACTTGTGTATCCATGAGACAGAGAGAATTCCTGTGCATAAAACATGTGACATGTGTTGTAATCTTGATACATTATTAACTAAGTCACAGATACATCACAGCATCAAAATGTCAGCAGAATTCCCAGTTGAGTGAATACTGAGTTGGTGAAGAACAACTTTGTATTGTAATGGAAGAGACCCAGAAACTTGTCCATGAAATAAAACATTGTATTTCTGAGATTTTTTCATCTATACTTCTGTAGTCAGCTTTGTCTTTGATATTCCTAATGTTTATTCCTTCACCATGCATTCTCACATAAGTTCAATTTTCCCAAATGTTCAAACTCAGTTTTGAAAACAAAACAGTTGTTAAAAAATCAAGCAAAAAAGGTTCATTTCACTGTTATTGATGAAGTGAAATTTTGAATGATGAAGCATCATGATTATCCCTTTTGTTCATATGGTATTGTTATGTGTTTATTTTAGTAATGTGATTTTGGTATGCACGGCAATGCCTCTTCCATTATGGCCAGAGGAAGCTAGCTTACAAGTGCTCACCAGTAACTGTATTGACATAGTATATCTATGTCTTTCAACTTCTTTTTGTTCCTTTCCTGTTTCCAGCATACCCATGACTTTGGAATATTGACTTTCAGCAAGCTACGACTTCGAGTTAGCAGTGCAGGTGTACTGTATAATTTTTATGAATAGCGATAATGCCAGTAGCCTTTGTTAAGAAGTCATCCCGGTTCACATTTTAACTGATTACTTCATATCCAAGCATACCCAAGAAGATCCTGGTTAGAATTGATCTTCAGTAACCCATGCTTGTCGTAAGAGGCGACTAACGGGATCGGGTGGTCAGGCTCAGTGACTTGGTTGACACGTCATCGGTTCCCAATTGCGTAGATTGATGCTCATGCTGCTAATCAGTGGATTGTCTGGTCCAGACTCAATTATTTACAGACCACCGCCATATAGGTGGGATATTGGTGAGTGCAGCATGAAACTAAACTCACTCACTCACTCATATCGATCCTTACCTTGCTGATGGGGTTAACTTCTTATTATGTGGACAAGGCGTCCGACTTTTAATCAGAAGGTTTGTGGATTGAATCCAAGCAGAATTTAGAGCCATCTTCACATTCCTTTACTTGTAAATCCTCCTCGTAAATATGTAACCTATTTTCAGTGTGAAAGAGATGTCACAGGCAGCTTTCTTGGATGATGTCGTTAGCTGGGATGAGAAGAAATGTTTGGAGAACCTTGATGAAGCTCTGCCCAAGCTCATTGTATCCTTACTGAATATGCTTAAGTAATCTTTAATAGCAATAAACTTCTTGGCATCATTTGAACTGTTCCTAATAGTCAGGCCTACCATCGGTCGAACTAGGGACCACATTGTGCAGAATCAAGCCTGACACTGAGAAGAATGAACATGTGTTTGAAGCTTACTACAATAGGGGGTTGAGGCCCTACATCCTGATATCAAATTTTCAAGATTAGACTCATAGTGATGAAAAACATTATTTACCAAAGCCTGTCGTCTCCCCTCGCCGCCATCTTTGACAATTTTTATGCCGTTTTGGGATGCCATGACTGCCGTTTTGTACGCGAGTTTTGTTTCCATTCGGTGACCATTCTCGGGGCTTTTGTAGCTGATATGCGAGTTTTGTTTCTATTTTAAATGATTAGTTTTCCATTACAGATGCGATTGTTTTGGTCTTAGAGGAAATTGTTGCAGTTTTGGAAGGATATTTTCCTATTTTGGTGATTTTTGTTCTGTTTTGGTGTACATGAGTTCAGTTTTTGAGGATTTGTTCACCGTTTGTATGGTAGGCCTATAAGATTCAACTACTGGGATCAAGTGGTCAGGCGTTTTGCCTTGGATGCATGTCATTGTATCCCAACTAAGTCGTTCAATGCTCATGATGTCAATCACTACATTGTCAGATCCACATTTATTTATAGACCACTTGCAGCGTAGGAAAGATGTAGAAAATCTAGCCTGTCCACAGGACTGGCTGGTCAAATTTTTTACCAGTCCTGCCAAAATCTAGCCTGTCCTCCAAATATAAATAAAACATAAAAATATTCAAAAAGGTTATTATCATTATATATATGTCATTGGTTTGCTAAAACTGACCTGACATGAGGACGGACTAGATTTATTTTTAACCCGTCCTCCACAAAATTCACCCGTCACCCGTCTCGGACGTTGGGACGGGCTATATTTTCCTACACTGCCACTGGCCTCTAGCTGGAAACATGCTGAGTGCATTGTAAACAACAAACAAGCAAGTCAGAACCATTCCATGCACATATTTATAGAAAACATAAAAAGAAACATTTCCTGTAGCTGTAAGATTAATATTTTTGTTGACAAACATGATAAAGGCAAAATATATAACATCTGCAACAAACATACAAGTCAAAGGTGTTTTATTGTATCAAAGGCCATCAGCCCATATACAAGTTTACATAAATACACTGGTTGAGAATATACCGATTGGTAGATGCAGTGGAAATGATACAAATATAACATTCATTTAACAATTGGTGGTAATCAGGAGGACTTTTTAGAGTAAGGTAAATCTGAAATCCCATTCAACAAGTTATTTCTTAGGTCCATTCCATGTTTTACAAATAGAGATAATCTAAATATTACATCAGCATCATTCAATGACAAAATAGAAACAAACCCTATGCTACTCATCTTAGATGAGAAACGTTCTGGTATATATTTAGTTCGTATTTCTGCATAATAAGGACATTCAAAGGTAAAATGTATTTCTTCTTCTATAGCAGAGTTACATAATGGACAAATTCTTTGTATTCTTTCACGTGATTTATTCCGTCCATAATTAATCATTAGTTTTGACAAGCCATGTCTGTATTTAATATATATATTTCTTTGGTTACTATTTGTTAAAACTAATAAATATTTTCCGTAGTGTCCGTATATGCGATACCCATGTAAACTCATTGGCGGATCCAGAGGTGGTGATGGTGTGTGTGGGGGGGAGGGTGTTTTTCGAAACCCAACCCCCACCCCCCTTGAGAAATGACGTAAGACCACATTGAATTATTTTTTTGCGTTGGCGGAACCAATTGGGGGTTCAGGGGGTTCGAAGCCCTTGAAAACCAAAACACACACACACACACACACACACCTTTCAAAATTCCTGGATCCGCCCATGAACCTTATCGATAGTATCAAGATGAAAGAGCATGTAATAAGCTATTTTCGGAAGCCGATGTTCTGGCATATGGATGATATTAAACCAATATTTTAAACTCTTTATTTGCGAATTAATGTAAAGTGGGTATCTTCCACGTTCTCCATGTATCATATCATTTGGAGTTGCTAATCCCACACAAAGAAACTTTTTACATGCCAGTAGGTGAATTCTTTCTAAACATTCAAATCTTTGGTAATCCATACAATAGAACTGGCTGTATTTGGGTATCAAATAATTTGAAAAATACATTAGGTGTAATAACTCCAAGTTTATGCGAAACCGACATCATATTAAGTAAAGCTCGTTTCCCTCGCAGTGATAAATCAGAAACACATTTGTCCATATTTAGTGTTGAATTAAACATTATACCAAGATACTTATAACCATTAACTACATTAATTCGTTGTCCATTTACGTACCGTCTCTCCATAATATTTAAAGGGCCCCCCTTTCTGAAAACTATAATTTCTGTCTTATCTAAATTTACAGATAAATTCCATTCCTTAGTGTAATACATTCAACTGATTCTGTAGACCAATAACTGTGACAGATAGTAAAATAACATCATCGGCAAAATGGAGCATAAGGATTTCTAGGATGTCAGGATACATCTGTAAACCATGCTTACCGTTACTTGAAATTTAAAAATACAATTCGCTAATGAAAAACAAAAATAACGGAAGACTCAATATACATCCCTGACGTAAGCTGGATGGGCAATCGAAAAATCAGTAACACCATAGTCACTACCTACACACGATTTGATATTTGAATACATTGATTTTAGTATATTAAACATCTTCCCTTGTAGCCCAGATTTTCTCAAACAACACCATAATTTATAATGATCAACTGTATCAAATGCTTCTTTAAAATCAAAAAAACTTATATTTTGTGTTTACGACGTGATAAACATTTCTGAACTACAGCACATAATGTAAAAATGTGATCTTTGGTTGAATAATTTTTTCTAAAACCAGCTTGAACTTCCGGTATCTTATCTCTCATATTGGCCCAGTTAGTAAGTCTATTATTTAAAACAGCAGTAAAAACTTTCCCAAGGACACTCATTAATGAAATCCCCCTATAGTTGTCAGGGTCTCTCGGGTCGCCTTTTTTTACGTAAAGGGACTGTTTCTAAACAAGACCAACTGCTGGGAAATATTTGATTATCAAAGAGTTTGTTGAAACATTTATGAAGAAATGGCATTATATCAAATTGGGAACATTTAAGCATCTGTATCAGCACTTGATTGGGTCCGGCAGATTTTTGCGTTTCTTAACTTGTTTATTGATGATGTAATTTTATGTTCAGTTGTAGTAGATTTTAGAATGAATGCATCAATATCTGTGAACTGATCTGATAAGATTTCATTTTCATCATCCAAATGAGGAGAAAAACATTGTTATTTGCAAAAACATTTTTAAAATGGTAAAGCCATTCTGTTTTCGTTATAAGATTCTTCTGTTTGGGTTTGTTTTGTAATGATCTTATCTGTTTCCAAAAGCTAAATTGACTATTTATGCTTCAATGCAATCTTTCTACTGATTTCTTACATGAAAGGATTTAAATTTTCTGCAAGAACATGTATAATGATTTCTTTGTCTACAATATGCTATTCTGTTAGCGCCTGTCTCCTAAGTGCCCTACCTGTTTCTCGTTTCGCTTGTCTACATTCTAGATTTAGTGTTTTTTTATTATTAGCAGTTTGTGAACTATGTCGGACTGGCTTTTTCATGCAGCTAGCAGAGTCTGATACAATCTCGACAAAGTGACTAATTACCTTTTCAATAGCATTATCAATTTCTTTTAGGAGCATTTCTTTGTTTTCAGCAATCTTATATCTCAAGTTATCAAGAAACATATTAGAATAAGAATCATTCCATACAATTTTCTCTGATGCTGTTGGATCCATGCGTGAATCATTGGTACACCTATTACCCATATTTGGAAATTTACACATTAATTCTAGTGGGAAGTGATCAGAATCAGATCAATCACCGATACTGAACATATTGATGAACTGAAAAAAAATCAGGCGAACTTCAAAAGTAATCATTTACACTGACGCCATGTTTCCTACAATAAGTAAATTCCCCATTAGTATCACCATAGACCCGTCCCCTTACGATGTAAAGTTTAAAAGCATAGCATAAATCCAACAACATTTTGCCAAATCTATGTACAACTGTGTCCTGTGAAGTACGATCTTCAATTGGGTCATCCTCCTCATACAGAGGGGCAGTGGGGTAGTCTAGTGGTTAAAGCGTTGGCTCGTCACGCCGAAGACCCGGGTTCGAATCCCCACATGGGTACAATGAGTGAAGCCCATTTCTGGTGTCCCCCGCTGTGATATTGCTGGAATATTGCTAAAAGCGGCATAAAACCAAAACTCAGTCAGTCAGTCAGTCCTCATACAGATGATGGCTCCTGTAACAATTTATCTCAGACTAACGCACAGCATTCAATATGATCAGTCTATGTAATTCACACTATGTTCTTGACATGAAATGAAGTTGGTCAGAAATACAATTGCTACTGGACAACCTTAACTCTCTTAGACATGCTTACATCAAGTGAATGGTATTGAAGAAGAAATTGGTGAGGTTTTTAAAATGAATTATTATTCTTTACTCATTTGCAGTGAGATCTTAAATTAACTGCAATTGTATCCCAATTACATAGATCAATGCCCATGTTGTTGATCACTGGATTGTCTGGTCCAGACTCGGTTATTTACAGACTACCGCAATATACCTGGAATATTGCTGAGTGCGGCGTGAAACTCAGTCACTCACTAAATTAACTGCAGATTTTCAACATTTTCAACATTTTCAGTGCATGATGCAACTCTCAAGTCAGCAAGTGTCTAACATGTGCCAAAATCTAGCCTTCAGTTTCATTATAATGTATCTTTTATCCATAATAATGAATTTTTGTTTCTGTTTTCTGCATAGAAACAACTGTATTTTCATTCTAATATTTTATTCCTCTAAAACAAAAAGGTTCTCTTTTCCATATTTCAGTTTTGACCCCCATAAACTTATGAAATTTTCAGTACATTTTAGTATTATTATATGAACATTCTTAGCTGAGCTTACAAGACCATGCCAAGTCTTACAGACTCAGGCTTCAAACTTGTGGCTGAAGGTGCAGACTGAATTAGGAAGCCTCCATTCAATAAGGCCCCTGTGGGGTATGTTAAAGCATTCGGAGCATAGTGGTGTAGTGGTTAGCATGCCGGACTCTCACGCCAAAGGCTCGGGTTCGAATCCCGATGGAGACACCAAAATTTGTGACCTGTGTCTCATACTGTGTTGTGTCCCTGGGCAAGGCACTTCGTCTACATTGCACTCAGTCCACCCAGCTGTTCAAAATGGGTACCTGAGAAGCAGATGTATGGACCTATACGGTCCCGCGAAGCGCACAGTAGCAGCTTTGAAAGTTCAATTCCTTCAGTGTAATAATGTAATGCCAGAGAGCAGCATCGTCTTGGATTCTATGCGCAAAAATTAGCATTATTATTGTTATTTGCTCATCTCACCCAAAACCCGTGTTCAATTCCCCACATGGGTAGGAAGTGCCAATTTCTGGTGTCCCTCACCATGATATGACTGGAATATTGCTTAAAATTTTGTATCCCCACAACCAATCATGATTATGAAAATATCAGTTGTTGACAGGTAATATTTGTGTTATTTCAGGTATATTGAAGATAATCTGCCACTCTTTCCTCCCTTGTGTTAAACAACATGAAGCTGAAAAGAAAATCTTCAGCAAGATTGCTGACAAGGTAAAAAAATGTACAAGTTGGCACCAAAACTTAAACAAAACTCAGTATGTAATTATTAAACATTCAGGGATAGACACACAGCCAATGGTCTGTTAGTATATTTACAATGTATTTAAAAATAGCACTGATAATGGGGCCCATTAAGGAGGAGGTTTCACATCTTAGTTTCACTCAAAGTAGTGCGATAATACTGCTGAAGTTAGGATGGTAAGATCCCAATCCCAATTTTCGACAGTGATTTTTCCATATTTGCATGCACAGGGCACTTAATTCATAATCACAGGTGAATCTGTGGTTTGTCCAGGAAGTTAACGACTTTTACAGTTATTTAAAACTATACTGAACCGCAAAAGAAACGCCACACCGATGGAGGTTTCTGAAAGCACGCACTTTAACTCCCTCTAATTAACAATCAAAACGGGGGATTGAGTTTAAACTTCATAATTATGGTTAACACATTTTTGGGAATCACATTCAGAGTTCTCACAAACAAAATCACCAAAAATGGTACCTTTAGGATACCTCAAAGTCAGTGTTGTGTGTGGCCTCCATGGGCATCGATGATGGCATTGTGTCGTCTGTACACGGAATGAATTAGCAGATTCATGAAGGCCATAGGCACTTGGGTCCATACTCTGCGAAGTGCCTGATTGAGTCCAGCCGCAGTTGTCGGCCTTGGTTGGAGGTCATTCAGTCTTCTTTGAATCTCATCCCAAAGGTGTTCTATTGGACTTACATCAGAAATGAGTGCAGGCCATTGTAGGGTTTGGATGCCATATTGTCTTAGGAAGTCCATTGGTGCTCTGGCTGTTTTGGCACGAGCATTGTCTTGATAGAAGACGTGATTTCTGTGACGTCCAAAGCGTGGTACAACGTGTTGTCTTGTGACTTGGTCAATATAGTGAGCAACTGTCAAGCCATTTCTTCGTCCTGGGCCGATATTCTGGAACACCACTGGGCCAACTCTCTGGTTCAAACCGATTGCACCCCACACAATGATGCTTGGACCACCCAATGAGTCTCTTTCAACAATACACTCATTGGAAAACTGCTCCCCACGCTTTTGCCGTACTCTCACTCTGCCATCGGCTGTTGAAACACAATGTCAGCTCACCAGAAAAAAAGCACATTTCTCCATTGTCGATAACGCCGGTGACGAGCGGTGAGGACAGGACCACGATATGGTCCGTGACTGCAGAGGTTTCTTCGGCGCTAACGTCGACGCACTGTATCGGCACTAATGGGTCTGTTGTGAGTCCCTGTGGTCTGGTGTGCTGTTTTCGTCGCTCTGGTGATGCGATCCTTCTGACGGTTGCGCACAATCTGTCGGTCGACTTTGTGATGTTACTGAAGGTTGTCCACTGCGTGGATGCTGGTAGTGGCCTGATACTGCTCCTGCAGTTGGTAGATTTGTCTAACATGAACATTAAAATGATTGGCTTCTCTCGGTGCAGACTGGCCAACTTGCAATCGTCCCAAGGCTTGATTCCTCTGATCTCTCGTAAGTCGTGGCATGGTGATTGTGTCAAAACAAGAATGATTTCAGGGGAGTTTGGGACTCGCATTCATTGGTAGGGTTGTCACGACTTGCACGTGCATTTTCATTTTCAGGAATGTCATACAGAACCTTCTACCATGTCTGCCTTTTTAGGTGCATATGGTCGATATGCTTTTTCATCAGAAAACACACTGATGTTGGTAATAACTGTCAATTTGGATTGAAAAACATGTTAACAAAACGGTACAATCATAATAAAAACACCACCTTGTAAGAACAAAATGTTGCATTTGGTTTTGAAAAGTTGCGTTTCTTTTGTGGTTCAGTATAGGTGTCTCAAACATCACAAACCTGTTGAGCTAGAACTCGGCTTTAGTGCATGTATGGCAACATATTTAGGTAACTTTATGAAGTACCATAAAAATAGTTTTCGAAGTTGTTTTAAGTTTATCACCAATCAGCCATGATCTTTCTTAAAGAAATCTGTAAACAAAGCATTAAAAAAATGTCTGATTACATGTATATCAATGAAATGCTTTCTCAGGGAGAAATCCAAGAAATCATCTTGTGTTGTGAATATTTGTGCAACATTGTCATGTTGTCTTTTTCCATTTGCTGCCATATTGAAGACGTGCAAGAATTTTGACAAGATTCTGGATGGTATTCGAAGTGGGATCCACCAAGGGACGTGTCTCACAGCTGGGGAAATAACACAGTCACTTGAGGTGATTGCTTTTACCTATACCTTACCTTTTCAGCAGACCACATATTGTTCTGTGTTGTAATTGAAGCAATAACAACGTGTCTGTTCTTACAAGCTTCACCTGGGGCGGTGGAGTAGCTGAGTGGTTAAAGCGTGCGCTCGTCATACTGAAGACTTGGGTTAGATTCCCAACATGAGTACAATGTGTGAAGCTCATTTCTGGTATTCCCTGCCTTGATGTTGCTGGAATATTGCAAAAAGTGGCGTGAAACCATACTCACTCACTCACAAACTTCACCTCACTGAACTTCATGAAAACTTATTGTTCCAAAGGATGTAAAGGATATTTGAAGTTAAAAATGCTGTCTTCCTCACTCACATGAAAAATCATATGTGTTGGGCGCACACTTCTTCAATAATACACCTGTCATTAGCAATGATATATATGGTCAGTATGGCTTAATAGGTGAACTTCTTTTAGCTGTGGGGGCTGTGGGGTAGCCTTTTATAGATATTTGGTATACAGTTGATTCCCCACTCAATTTTCATCATTTATATGTTCGGTGACATTAGTAATATTGGTAAAGCAGCACAAATACACTATGTGGTGAATATACAGTTGTCTCTTTTTCATATTATATGAATAATGGGTACACTATGTGAATATGAATCATGAATATTCACGAATACAATATTGTAGTTAAGTGGTTGATGTACAATATAGAACGCCCATGTTGACAGTTTTGATTTGTCAGAGCAATAACCAGTGATCTCAAATTTGGTGTGTAATAGTTATAATCGACAGTACTATGTGCAGTCTTGGCAAACTAACATGACTGGCACTACTGCAATGCTAGTACATGCTCCATTCTTGCATATCTCACTTTGGAAAGGACATAAGGGTTCAAGTAAAACATGCTCCCTTAAAAAAATCGTAAATATTCGTTAATATACTGTTCTGGTGACCACGAATAACGAATTGAATTCATAAAGGGCTACGGTTCGATTCACCGAATATGCAAGTGAATCATTACAGCCTAAGTTCACATATGTATATTTTGCTCATCTATATATTGTGTGGCAAGTCACATGTCAGGCTGTGTTAGTCGCAATGAGTCCTTAGATGGGTAACTGTTTGGCAGTTTGTCTCTTTCTAATGCCTCATATGCAGCAAGCTAAGAATTAAAAATTGTGTGACCAGCATCCATTGTTTATGGAACTATGTGCATATGTTGCAGATGGCTGTGGAGGTGGTGGACTGTGTGGAGAGCTGTGTAAGGGGCGTGTCCAGCAATCAGCTGCAGGTGGAACATGTGCACTCTCTCCCAGGCTGTACAGTCCACATACTGGCAGGCTCCTACTCCCACTGCAAGGTGGGGACATGAGAATTGTCTCCAGATCCTCGGATTCCGGGATTTTGGTTTCATTTTGAATGTTCGATGTAAATCTGCAATAAAGATTTAAGGGGGTAATGTTGAAACAAGGCGAGGTTATGTATCCAGGAAAATTGATTATTTTGGCCCATGGCCAGTCTAGGAGAGGTCTCAAAACACACTTCAATATTGCCAAATTCAATTATTATTATTTTTGGACACCCCACCTGAGTGGCCCCCCAAGACCCTTGGCTAAAGTTTGGTGAGAACACTACCCTTGTTTGGATCCGTGGTTAGAATTGGCACTTGTGGGGAATCGGAGTTAATGAGTGAGTGTGTATGGTTTTACGCCACTTTTGGCAAAATCATGACAAGGGACACCAGAAATGGGCTTCACACATTGTACCCATACATGTGGGGAGTTGAACCCGGGTCTTCGGCGTGATGAGCGGACGCTTTAACCACTAGGCTACCCCACCGCCCCTCATGTTAGTGTGTATTTAGGGTTAGAACAGGCACCAGTGGCTAAGCTTGAGGAATCTTAATGGTCAGACTTGGGCACTTGGTTCATGGTGTATCATTAACCCTTGACAAGTCATTTCTTGTATTAAAAGGACTGGTTTGTCTAGACAAGAGTTGAAGTTTGATAGGCCTCAGAATATGACATGTAGTTATCAAAAACAAGTATTTGTCCTTATCCTGACTCATGCTATATTGCTTAGGCCTAAAAAAAAAGCTTGTGGTTCCGATTTCCCTACCGACCCTAAATATTCCCGCCGAGCCAAACAATTTTACTCACCACATAATAAATTAAATTTATTTTCTGACACATGAGTAATGTAAAAATATTTTGCCCAAAAAACCACAAAAAACCTACCTACCTACCTACCTACCTACCTACCTACCCTAGTTCTGAAATGTAGGAAATCGGAACCACAACATTTATTTTTGGCCTTATCTCCCTTCTCCTTCGAACTGTTAAGGGGAAACTTGAATCCCTTTCAGTTCCCTGACTTGACAATTTACAGACTGCTGCCATATAGCTGGAATATTGCTGAGTGTGGCATTAAACAACCAACCAACAAACAAATCATATGTCCCAGGATTCAATATGGAATTCGAGGCGACTTGGAATGACGTCTGCTTCTTCTATCCATGCAGGATAGTGGCGACCTGTACAAGGACCTGTTGGGGATGCTGTCTGAACCTCTCTCATCTCTCTTCCGGAAAGCCCACAGTCTCCAGATGGTAAATGGTTACCAATTTTTTTTTATATATATCTATATTCATGTACTGTTAATGAATGAAAAACAGAAAGTTCGAAACTGTCAGGAGATGTGAGGTTCAAGTCTGCCAACAGAGGGTGCTGACAGTTGTTATAAGAGTTTAGAGTTTAGAATGCAGACATGGTAGACCACAATATGGCTCTTTATCAGTTGTTAGATGTGATATCGTATAACTTAATAAGTAATTATGAAATGTTAATTAAGAGCCTGGAATCTTGGAAAATATGTTAATAATTATTCAAGTCAGTATGTCTTCATATTCCGGGTTTTCTGTTTTGTTGCATCCTTTGATTTTTGTGTTCAAGACTTTTGAGTTAGGTACGATATGAACGAAAAGGTGTTGTATCTAGTGTGTCTGTTTTGGGATGGCCTAGTGGTTGAAGGTTATGCCATTTCAGGGCTTGATTTAGTGCTTTGCTACTTGCACTGGTGCAACCCCATATTAGAAAGTGCAACCTAGTTATTAGTCAAACTTGCTGAAGGTGCAAGTCAATTTTTGAGGAAACAAGTCAACAATATATCTAACATTAAAAGCATAAGTATGTCAGCTCATTTTTCTTCTAAACTTTGAATAGCTGTGGCAGCGAAACATTGCTATTTATAGACACGTTTCAGCTATGATAGCTCTTGTAAATAGGGATCAGCTGCGTCTTTGTGTTGCTATCGTTTCATGGGTACTACATCACAGAAATATGTATATTTACACCGAAACCTATGACGTTTTAACACACTACATTGCAGCTGGAATTTGGCTGGTGCAAGTAGGTTTTTATGTTAGGTTGCACCCGGTGCAAGTAGGGTAACATCTCTTAAATCGAGCCCTGCATTTGTCATGCAGTGTTGCACCTTCGGCAAGCCAGAAACATGATTGTGAGTTCGAATCCCAGGTAGTCCTGTTTATACGTTTGACACCACCGTACCAATGCTCATGTTTTTTACCACTGGAGCGCAGTAGTGGAGTGGTAAGGTGTCTGCCTATCACGCTGAAGGCCCGAGTTCGATCCCCGGTTGAGGCACCTAGGTTCGGGTCCCGAGGTGGGCACATTTGTGTAGTATCCTTGGACAAGATACTTAGATCCACATTGTCTCAGTTCACCCAGCTGTAAAATGGGTACCCGTGAGGATGTGCTGGCAATGATATAACGTGAAGACTGCTCAATACAGTGTTAAGCCATGATATATAGGTCTGTCTCCTATTCTCGCAGGTTTCCTATTATCGCGGTAAACACGTTTTCTGCCGAAATTGCCGATGCACAACACTTAGCGGTTGTTTAGATCATCAACTGGTAACTAGGAAGTGGCCCTAGTCTCTGAGTGATCAAAATCTTGCAATGTCACGAATATTGGGAAGTTTATACCAACTTGGACATATCGTAACTTCTTCCTGCCCTTTCTGGCAGGATTGCTCTTCCATACACTTCATAACTCGTTATACAGCGAGAATGGGAGAAGCCTCATTTCGTCAATGGCGGATGGCATTGTTTATCACCAGGCTCACGAGTGGTAATTCACCTGATGGATCTAGCAGCTGATAGATGCAGATGATAGAGGAGAAGGCCCTTCATTTATAAACAACAAGCATTCGTACGATAAGAATTGTTTGTGTTATTTTTTCAGCCGATATTCGTTAGTACCGCGAGAATAGGAAACGCCTTCCCAACTGGAATCCTGTTTACAGCAGTTCTAAAACACAACTTACACACTCACTAATGTATCTACTGATCACTGTAGGAATGTCACAATTCACCGATGCATCACTGGCAAGCTTTGCACGATACAATACATGATGCATTTGTTTTAGTATCGATTCATTTTTGTCATGTATCAATTATTACTTTGATGTTGCACCGATATTTCATATAAAACATCTTTTGTTAAATGCAAACAGGACATTTTTCTCTTGTAATTTTGTTATACAGAACATCAAATGTGTCTAGATTTGGTGAGTGGTTGATGGATACTTTGCTGAATCTCAGTTTTCCCTTCTCTAGTAATATCTTCCAGAATATTTGTGACTGGTGTGCTATGGTATAGGGGTGTCGCAATACGCGAATGTATCGATGCATCGATACATTTTTACTGACGATACGATACGCGATACATGCTTGCGTGTATCGATTCCTATTTTAAAACTTTATCGATTCAAATTTTTATGCTATATCCATCTCCTTCAAAGTCTTGAGAGTAAAATTATACGAGACCGCTCCTATAAATAGATGTAGCTAGCTTTACTTAAAAAATAGGTTGGAAAACTAACAGCTTTTGTGATTGGCTAGACTATTTTGATGGACTAATCAGCGAGCGCGTACGTTGCCAGTAAGGTAATGCTATGAAAAGGCGCGAAAATTATGTATCGCGATACGAACGTATCGTGACCTTAAAATCGTGATACGTATCGTATCGTGAGATTGGTGTATCGTGACACCCCTACTATGGTATGATTTTGCCATCAACGTAATTGGCTGCTTGTGATGCGCAAACTGTCAGAAATGTAGTATCACGATTTATTACCCACGTGGTCAACGTATGGGTAGTTGCATACTATTCTCGTACATCACACGAGTGTCGTATCGCGATGACCTGTGTCGTAACGACTTGACCTGAGCTTCTAACGATTTGATTGGATAACTGATGACCTCTCAATTAGGTCACATTCTGACGTAACTATTTTTTCATTCATAACAAACGCGTGAATTCATTCATTCTACAACTTAAATGCATTGTGGGAATGTAAACATCGCGAACGTTGTTGTGTCGCTGTTTAATTGTGAGTCGAACTGAGACATTATATCCATCGGAAAACATAAACGCAATGTTTCCACCAGTGATGTTAGCCGAATGAAGCAACTGCAAACCAAGAAACGGGGTGCTACGGAGTTGTTTACTGTAGGAGGGATGACAACTGACATGCATCGTGACGTCAGTTACCAAGGCAGTGACGTCATTACAGTGTGACGTCATGCAAATAGTGTACTACAGTCCAAACTCTTCCGCAACCTCTTAATGAAACCGGTTTCGGTTTGAAACCGAAATATTAACAAAAATACGCTATTTTGTCAATTTAATGCATGTAAGACGTGGGTAATAAATAAAATATCCACGAGGTCTCATTACATATGAATTATACGAACGAGTGTCCTTCCTATGTTATCTGACCTCGCCGGCTCAGGTCAGATACCATAGGAAGGACACTCGCTTTCAGATAATTTGTATGTAATGAGACCTCGTAGTATTCTCTATGCATATCATTTCATGACCTCAGTATCAAGACACGTATTGTCAGAGTTCACAAATGGTGTTTCAAAGTAACAGGACATTGGGTCCTATACGTTTCAGACATCTGTCTCACCTATTGAAAATTCACAAGACCCATAGAATAAAAATTAAACACACATTTCAGATTTAACATTTCTTATGATTGGCATTGAAATTATTAACAAACAAAAGATTTATGAACAGCAAACAAGTGTCACATGTCACATATAACAACTTCAGTCAAAGTCAAAGAAATATACAGACACTGCGGCCGGCGTTATCGGAACGTTGGCGAATCTGACGGATTTGTCAGAGGGTCCGACGCTATTCGTGAACACTGGTATCATATCATATGAGGCACCTGTAATGTGACATCCGTAGAATGCTGTGTTCCAGGCGTTCCTGAACATGGTAGACCGGACAACCATCACTGGAGAAGCCTCAGAACAAGATGTCCAGGATCTATGTCAGGGTATGTCTGTCACACAGCAGAAACGGAAATAACCTCTCTCAGTGCTGTTCTGCAATAATCAAGCTATACTACTCGGGAAAGGTTACAGAGAACCCAAGTCTTCTCATATGGTTATAGTTAATGTGGGGCGTTGGGGTAACCTAGTGGTTAAAGTGTTCGCTAGACTAACAACTAGTCTCTGAAATGAACACATTTTACAGAAAAAGGCTCATAGTGAAAAAAATCAAAATATAATGAAAGGAGCCCTGAGACTTTCTTCATTTTCAGAGAAATTGCATAGATTGATGCTAATGCTGTTGATCACTGGATTGTCAGGTCCAGCCTCGATTATTTACAGATCACCGCCATGTAGCTGGAATATTGCTGAGAGCGACGTTAAACAACAAATCAACCATCTAAGTGTGTTACTGCTTGTTCAAGGTATCTGAGTTGTCAGTTGTGTTTCAGTGTGTGACGGGTTATTCGAGGTGTGTCAGATTGTCACTGCACTTGACATGAAGGTGGTGGTCAGCCTCTGGAAGGCAGTGTCCAAGTGAGTAAACTTTAGGGAATGATTCACATAAGACACAGCTATGGACACAGGATTTAAGTCCCATGTTCACCCATATTTTGTTTCTTGGTTTGTCACAGCCTCCTCAGCGGTAGTCTATGAACTACATCACTTCAAGCTTTTCTACCGTGAAGATCCAGCTAAGAATTGGTCTTCCGCAACCAATGCTTGTTGTGTGATGCGACTAATGGGATTGAGTGGTCAGGCTCGCTGACTTTGTCACGTTATGGAACAATTAAGATACTGCAATTAAGTGTGCATTAACAGTACTTTTGGACTAATTTGATGTTTTTGGTTTTATGAATTAGGGGGACCTGTGGGGTTTCTAGGTTAGAAAAACACACAGAAAAATCAGAAAGTTAAAGGACTTTCCATGTAGTTTGAAACGTGTTCCTTCATATGTCCCAGCATTCTCTTCCCACAGAGGTTACTTGTCATATCTCCCTAAGAACCTCTGTTCTAATACGGCCATATTTCCCGGTTCTCGTAAAATCCCCTAGCGGCAAAAGATCGCAACACGAATTATCTCCTTCTTTCTATCCAATCAGAACACGGTTACATCGGCTTGATTCAACTTGACTAACACAAGCAAATGTGGGGCCACAAATATCCCCAATCTTCCGGGGACTTGTGTTGATGTTACACACAAGACGTTTAATGGCTAGCTTGTCCGTTGTCAACGAGGGCGATGGAGACGCCACTGATCCGCCATAACATGACTGAGTTCTGTCAAGAAGAAACGTTTGTGATCGCCTGGGGAAGAAATTTAGTTTTCTCGAAGCATCAACGGAAATTACTGAGGCCTGTGGAATGATCACTTTTGAAACTAAATCTGATTGCCTCCAGTCTTGAACGTATACACACCATGAAAGAGCCGTCCAGATTAGAACAGAGGTTATGAGACTGTCCCAGACAGTAGTAACTCTGTGTATGAGAATGATGTCCCAGGAGAAGGTCTGGGTTAGAATTCTTCAGCCACTGTATGTATGAGACTGTATCCCAGACTGTATACACTGTATGTATGAGACTGTGTCCAGACTATCTTGTTGTACCTAAGTGTGTGAAACCCGTGAAGATCTGGGTTAAAAATTGGTCTTCAGTAACCCATGCTTGTCGTAAGAGGCGACGTACGGGATCGGGTAGTCAGACTTGCTGACTTTGTTGACACATGTAATTGTATCTGAATTGCATAGATTGATGCTCATGCTGTTGATCACTGGATTGTCTAGTCCAGACTTGATTAATTACTGACTGCCACTATGCCAATATGTAGCTGGAATATTGTTAAGTTTCAAACAACTTCAACCTTTCTGCCCACTTCATACTGAACTCACTCAATTCTTTTTAGAACCTCAACAATATTCTTGGGATATTTTCTTTTGAAATAAGCAGTATAGTTATACATTAGCAACATGTGACTCAAGATTTACATATCGAATGTTGTAAGAAAAATCCTTGGGAGTTAGTAATGGAATATTGGTCTAACCCTGGTGTTATGTGATATCCTTCAGAATCAGCAGCCAATACAAGCACCTGCTACAGGGTCAGCTGGACATGTGTCGCATGATAAGGCATCTGTGTCAGGAGATAATGACAGGCTACCAGTACCTGTTTCAACTGCTGCCAAGGATGGATGACGATGGAATGGTAACAGCTCAGTGGGATAAGATGAAATAATTATCCAGTTGGGATTCTGGGTTAGAATTGGTCGTACTCAAATGGAACACCTGGTCTGACTTATTATTTACTGGCTGCCATCATCTAGCTGAAGTATTACTACCTGCAATGTTAAACAATAGATAAATAAATAGAGGATATTATATTCGTGCCCATGTCATACTATGTTGTTGGCTAAATGTTTTGTTTTGCTTATTGACTATTGATTTATTGAGAGAGATGAAGGGATATACCGATATTTAGGCACGAGTGTTACTGAAGTCTCAAATTGTCCGGATAAAACCAAATCTACTTTCAAACAATTGAGGAAAATGACCAAATCTGCCTTTCAAGCGCAACGCGTCACAGAAGAAACGTGACGTCAAAGCCTTGTTCATGACGTCACGTCACCATGACAAAGTGATATTTTGCCCTAGGGCATCGTATGAAAAATATGAACCCCGATATGTTGCCCTCGTAGGTAATAATACAAGAAATTGTGCTCAAGGATGGACAGTTTAGGAAATTGATGTAGATGGACAGACTCCTCTATTAATGTACTGAAGTTTGCTACTTGCTACTGCAGTATCTCATATCCATTTTACTTTTCTTTTCAACTGATTTTTAAAAGGTTAAAGTATGCTGGAAGTAATTGTCTTTAGTTATAAAGTGTTAGTATGTTTCACAGGTCCAGTCCCAAGGGGATGAGAAAGCATTCGTCAAATCTCTGAAGATCCTGGGTTTCCAGGTGAAGATCCTGGTTATCCTGGTGAAGGATTTCCGGGATTACCTGGGTCAGTGTGAGAAGGAGGTGTTTGAGCTCGTCCTCAGCATACACAGGTAGTTATTGTGATGGTTGCCAAGGGTTGCAGATTTATTATTTTTATTAAATTTTCATGAAATTTGGTTGTTTTCTGTGAACTGGGGTTCGTTTCATCACGACCATTATGTACGTTCATGGAAGATTCATTATCCTGTGATAGCACTTACATCCTATATTCAAGTGAGTGAGATAGGTTTTAAGCCGCTTTTAGCAATATCACAGTGGAGGACATCAGAAATGGGGGCTTCAAAATCAAGCCTGGAAATTCTTCGATTGTGGTGATTGGGTATCGAGCCTGGTTCTTCGGTGTGATGGCGATTCCCCACAGGTACACTTTAACCACAAGTGTCCCCTCACGATATTGCTGGAATAACTAAGCGTAAAACTAAACTCAGTCACTCAGTCTTCGGTGTTATGAGCATACACTTTAACCACAAGGCTACGATATATAATAAACAATATTTGAAAATATTTTGAGAACATTATTGTGGTAAGCAAGAAACAAGTTCACATTTAGGGTAGCATCTCAACTGTTGATGCCTATTTAACTAGGTTTGTTGTCTGCATAATTTTCAGGTAATTTATCCACAGTCAATATAGAATTTATTTGAAAAATTATAAGGCACTTTCTGTTGGTTAGTAAACAAAATTCATGTTAATTTATGTCCAATGTCGCTGAGTGGTAATCTACCCCTGATATTATGTCTGCACAGGTTGCTGCCTCCTAGCCTCTCAGCACCCAAGCTTCCAGCAGACTCACTTGGACCAGATCCGCTCACAGATCAGTGTTGCTGTAGATCCCTTGCTGTCCAGCCTCACTGGCAACAGACACTTCCGCCAGTGTGTCACTAGATGCAATATAGGTGAGTGTATGTCATGTGGTTCAACACAGGTGAGTGTATGTTTTAGAAGGTACGCCAAAGGTGAGTGAATATGAAACAAGGTGAAACACAGGTGGGAGTGTCTGTCACATGGTAGAACACAGGTGAGTTGTGTAACAAGGTACTAGACAGGTGTGTATGTGCCACAAGGTACAACACAGGTGAGTATGTGTCACAAGGTATAACAGAGGTAGTAACACAGGTAGGGTAGTAATGTCAGAAGGTACAACACTGGTATGTAAGTAAGTGTCACAAGGTACAACACACAGTGTAAGTAAGGTACAACACAGGCGTGTATGTGTTACAAGGTACAACACAGGTGAGTATGTGTAATGTACACAAGGCACATGTGTCACAGGTATAACAGGAGGTAAGTAATGTCACAAGGTACAACACAGGTGAGTATGTGTCACAAGGTACAACACAGGTGAGTATGTGTCACAAGGTACAACACAGGTAAGTGTGTCACAAGGCACAACACAGGTGAGTATGTGTCACAAGGTACAACACAGGTAAGTGTGTCACAAGGTACAACACAGGTGAGTATGTGTCACAAGGTACAACACATTGTTTGTTTGCTTTTGATGTGCATATGCTGATGATATATTCCTCGTCCACAGATGCTCCAGAGGACAGCCACCTGCCTCTACTGCTTGTACAGACTCTTATCCTGGAAATGCTGCCTAAATGTTCAGGTATGATACATGTGGTAGGAAGGACACAGCAGTGGTAGACATCCATTCTTTTTCACCATTTCTTGTCAGTTACAGAAATTCAGTGACATATATTTTATATTTAGAAATTCATTTTGGCAACTTAGTACCAAACATTTCTTCCCTTATGCTGGACCGCTGATATACTAATATGACTACTTCTTGTTTGGTAGAGACATTTGTATCTTCTTATGAGATGAAAAGTGTTGCTCAAAATATGTGAAGTGTATATTTGAATGGAATGACTACCTGATTATACCAATCAAACTTTACTGAAATGATTCTTAGATCAAATTTCATTTCAGACCAAGATTATATATATGTTTTCAAGGGTCCACATAACTGATGTGCTACAGAGTTGCGATCCACCTAATCACCAAAGCTGTTGTCAATTAGGACATATCAGTGTTCCTGCCTTTATTGTTATAGTCACAGATGTGCCTGTGAGGGGTGTCCTCACAATGTGCCTACACGCCATTCTGCCTACAGTCTTAAAACAACATATAACAGTCTGTAGGTTCTGCATGTGTAGGCACTTTGACAAATAATAACACCCTTCCTAACCCAATAACGACAAACAGACCAGTCCAGAAACCAGTCCAAAACATATACAGCAGTTCCTTGATGCTGCAAGCCACCTCCTCAAGCTCAATCTTTAATTAACTATACAGTGGAAGCTGTCAAAACCGGCAGCTGTCCAATCCGGCAAGTTGTCAACATTGGTGTAAAATATTCTCAGTTATCATCATTTAAAAGCTCTGCAATCCGGCAGCTGTCAATTCCGGGTCTCGGCATGAATTGAGTCGCCCAAATATGTGTTTATACAGTAATCAGCGCTGTCTAATCCGGCGCGTGGCAAGGAGTCAGTAAACTACAGTATTGAAACTACATGGTTGCCGACAAAGATAATTTAATCTTAGTTCAGTATGGGTGTACTTGCACATGTAATTAGTGAGTTGAGAGAGAAATTGAGAGAACCACCTCATGCAACAATGTATATGAGAGTGATAAAACTGGTTTAGTTCTAGTCGTAGGGCGGCGGTGGGGTAGCCTAATGGTTAAAGCGTTGGCTCGCCATGCCGAAGACCCGGGTTCGAATCCCCACATGGGTACAATATGTGAAGCCCATTTCTGGTGTCCCCTGCTGGAATATTGCTAAAAGCGGCATAAAACCAAACTCAGTCAGTCAGTCTAGTCGTAGGTAACCGTGTCAGCTCTACATTCCGGCACGCTGTCAAAGCCGGATCATTTATGCAGTCCCGACGTGTGCTGGTTTAGACAGCTTCCACTGTATTTTGTGTAGACATGAGTGTTATGAAAAGTGTCTTTAAATAATTCTATGTTTGATGCTATTATTATCATCTTAACAGAACGACAGCATGAAAAGTGAGGTACGAGGTAGACAGCAAGAGTTACCTGCTCTTGGCTGTAGGGGGTCCTGTAGGGGTGGTCTCACAAGACAAAACGAGTTTTTTGTTTTGTAAATATTTTATTGAAAATATAGTTGCAACTGTCGTAGGATTTAAAATGGACATTTAAATGCTTACATGTACCCCAAGGAGGACTTCTTCTGAAAAAGAAAATGCTATGTTTGATGCTATTATTATCATCTTAATAATGATGCACTCAGAATGTTGTTCTTTTTATCTGTTACTTAACTGGATCATACCATATAGATACTGGGGTGATGAATGTTTTCACTTTCCATCGCCAGTGTGCCTACACTCCCCATATATGTTAATAGGACTGTAGGCAGAATGTAATGTAGGCACAATGTGAGTGAACTCTGTGAGGACGGGGATGTGTTGTGAAGAACAAACATTGTGTTAGAAACCAGGGCTCCAGATAAGGGCCGTATCGGCGTATGTACGGATAACAAATATGCACAATACGGTAGGAAATAATTTGGAAAACGTAGCAGATAAACTCCACAGCAATGATGTAAGGTCTTACCGATTTATCTGAAAGAGTATTGTTTTATTGTTCATTGACCTGTTTACACAAGAGTAGCAATGTTGTGGTGCATATATGAAACGAAACACAAGATTACTGATACTCCATTAATTTCCATTCAGTACTCTAAATGTACACTTCAGGTTTTCCAGTACTCAATATTGAACAAATAAGGAGTACGTACTCCTGATGTTGAAAAATTATCTGGAGCCCTGAGAAAATATAAGAAAGATGTAATTTCGGATAGTTTTTTTTTAATAAATGAAGAAAAAGAAATCGTCTCCTTGACTCACAGACAGCGAATTGTTGAGCAGGTGATGATCAGGACCATTGGATCCATCCAACAGCACACCCTGAAGACACCCCAGTAGACAACATAATGCAGGCTGTCTTCAACAGCATTGGGAAATGTAAGGAACAGAATCAGTGATTTCAACAGGGATGATAACTTCATTGTGTGGCATGTTACAAGTTGGGACGTAGAATATTGATAACAACTTCATCCCTGCTTGACAGCGGTACAAGTATCAAACATCACACTCACGAACTAAAAGATGTTGTTATCTTGACTTCTTTGATTGGTATTCTAGAAGTTGAGGATAATCTGAAGAATCAAGTCTGGACACATTTTTATGGATATACAACAAATGAACAGAAATATCATCTGTATAATATTGACCGTTTGGATGAACATAGATTCTAATATACAACTTCTTTATTCTGTTGTCGCGTTTCGACATAGAAGTGACTAAGAGAAGAAGTTCTTCCACTCCAGCTACCACCTAACATTCCTCACTTGCTTGACGCCATTAGAATCTATGTCGAAACGTCTCCTATACAGAATAAAGAAGTTGTATATCCATAAAATTGTCCTCATTAGTGTACAATATTGTACAGTGATGATATTTCCAATCATTTGTTGTTACTCCAAAGTATAAATGTTTCAGATTTGACTTTTGAGATTACCACATGCCATACCTTTCTGTCTCCCGATGATGATCTCAGCGAGAGAGAAGACCTCTTGTATCTCATGTTTGCTTTGCTCATTGTTTGTTCCCACCTCTTGACTGTGGATCCCCTGTCACTGATTTGTTTCCTGTCAGACTTAATAAGCGTCCCACTTATCTTCCCTTGATAGACAGCAAACTGTTTCAGGCTATGTGGAGCTGGCTTTGTCTGTGTGTCTGCCTGGAGCGGTCATACCAGGGAAACAGCAGAGGTAGGTAGAGGTTGGAACTGGATTTGTTTGTTATCTAAAGACGCACACAGCAAGATTCTAGCTACATGGACCAGACAATCCAGTGATCAACAGCATGAGCATCGATCTACACAATTGGGACACGATGACATGTGTCAACCAAGTCTGTGAGCCTGATCACCCGGAACTGGTCCTTAGCAACTATGAGTAGTTAGAGGCGACTGATTGGATCATCAGATGGTCAGGCTGGTTGACTTGGTTAATGAATGTGATGGCGTCCCTATCACAAAGATTGATGCTCGTGACATCAATCGCTAGACTGTAGGTTCCAGACTTGATTATTCACAGACCTGGAACTGTAATCTATCACCCTGATTCTAAACATGAACTGGGGCGGTGGGGGAGCCTAGTGGTTAAAGCGTTTGCTTTGCCGAAGACCCAGGTTCGAATCCCCACATGGGCACAATGTGTGAAGCCCATTTCTGGTGTCCCCCGCCGTGATATTGCTGGAATATTGCTAAAAGCGGCGTCAAACCAAACTCACTCACTCACTCTAAACATGAACTAGACAAATCCGTTAAATGTTTTAAATTAAATTTTCTTCCTTCTTATCGTTCATCTTAACCATGGTTATCTTATATGTAAATGTTTTTGTTGTGGCGGATTATTCAATATCTGTAATATGGTATCGACATTAACAATTTATCAATTTTGCGACATACAATGACATTCCTTCCTAGTGTGAGAGATAGCTTGATCCCTGATGACACGACACATACATTTGGCCGGGGAGTATCTAGTACAGTGATGATTTATTATATTGATACAGTATAGACGTGAATAATTTATTGATGTATGACATACAAGAACATCCCTTGTGGTGTGACTGACTAATGGGTTGATCCTGATGACACAACATGTTGTGATGAATGTTTGGGGGGGCGTGGTGGGCGAACTGGCTAAGACGCCAACGTGCAAAGTGTGTCTCAGTCCACCCAGCTGTGAATGGGTATCTCATTACTCCCAAGGGAGTTGAGATTGATAATTTGATGTGCCGTTGAGATTGACATCCAATGATCGAGGGGAAAAAATACCAGCACCTTAAACATGCACTAGTTGCGTGGATATGTGCTCTATATAAATACAGTCAAATCCCAATGAGTCGAATCTCTGGGGACCAAGTAATACATTCGAGTTATCGATGTATTCGAGACATAGGTATGTCTATGACGGTAGAAAAAAAGGAACCTAATTCCTCCACCTAAGGATTTGTTTATCTAATGATTTCCCTATCACTAATAGGGGCACCTTATCAGTTCAAGTCTGATTAGCACAGACAGAGATTTCCGTAAAATCATTAATCTGCCTTTTGAACTCACCCGTCAAAGGCGGAAAGGTGTGAGCTGTGCTGTTTGTTAATTGGATCAGTTTCCTATACCAATCAACTTCTCATTGACTGACTTCGGCTTATGTATACAAGATTGCTGTTGTTTGAATCTCATGGGACAAAATGTTCTTCTCGAGTCACCGTGTGTATTTATGAGACAAATTCGCGTAACCGGAAATCAAATGATGACAACTATAACAGGGAATGGTCGGACCGACAGGTACTTCGAGTTATGCATAATATTTGAGACACCGGCTTTCGACTCATCGGAATTTGACTGTATCCTATAATATTAATGTTTCAGGGATGCTAGTCTGTATGAGTTTGTGTGTACAAGTTTGTGTGGCTTCATTGGCAGCTTTCCAGCCAGGCATTTTGCAGTCCTGGTAAGTGCTTTTGTTAAAAATTCTCATGTTCCTTGCTTAAGTTCCTTGATGTTGAGGAAAAAGATGATAAGGTCCATGGTCTTGGTTCGAGACAGATGGGGTTTGTCTTGGACATTCCTCCCAGGGACTTGCCAAAGTCACGTGGCACGTGGTCCTGTGCATAGAGCTCAGGTCACAAATCAGTTAAAGCAACGTCAGGCTCGGAGAGTCCTTGGATGGGTGACCATGTTTGGCAGCTTGACTCCTGAGAGTCTCTAGGACTTCAGCCCTGGGCCCCGTTTCTCAAAGCTCTTGTAAGCCTAAGACCTCGTAACTTTTCTCGTAGCATTCGTACCACCTATGTACAGGAGGTATGAATGCTACGAGAAAAGTTACGAGATCTAAGGCTTACGAGAGCTTTGTGAAAAGGGGCACTGCCCCACAACGAAGCACATGTGATACATGTGGTCTCACCTTAGGCAAGTGCGTTTGTTCAAACATGCCTCTGTTCACCCGAAAAAAAATGGTACCCGGTGGGATAAGTCATGTGACAGGCAGCTTGGGTTATCCTGGGTAATAACGAAGTGTCTGTTTGTATGCGCGCTTCGGGCATGCACTTGATGGATGGAATTTAGTGCTATAGAAGTACACATTATTATTATTACATGAAAGAGTTAATCTGAAGCAGGGAAACATCTGGACCTGCCCAGAGAGTGACAGTCAGTCAACGTCAGGACTAAGATACTAATTGGTGACACAGATTTTTCATACCATGTTGTTATTGTTATTACCATTAATATAAATTCTTATGGCTTTGTAGAAGTGACTTGTATTTTTCTGATAACAGGGCCAATGATGTGAGAGACTCCTGTGTTGAAATATCTCATATTATGAAACGAAGAACTGTCACTGCAAGTGGCACTTAGTTTGAATCCTGGATAAATCCCTGCTGAAGACTATCAATAACCAGGGTGCTTTTGTACAAAACGAGGGGCGGTGGGGTAGTCTAGTGGTTAAAGCGTTGGCTCGTCACGGCGAAGACCCTGGTTCGAATCCCCACATGGGTATAATGAGTGAAGCCCATTTCTGGTGTCCCCAGCCGTGATATTGCTGGAATATTGCTAAAAGCGGCGTAAAACCAAACTCAGTCAGTCAGTCAGTCAGTTGTACAAAACGATCTTAGTGCTAGGGTGACCGTTACTCACATATCTTAGACTTAAGGTAGTCTTAGTGCTTAGGTTGTTCTGTACAACTGCACCCTGAGCATCATTGGCACAGTTGCTGTTCCACTTGGTTTTCAGATAACAACAGTATTTCATCCATGAATACAAACAAAAGTTGGTTATTAAAGAAATGGACTAAGTACACTGCACAACTGTTCCCAAACCAGAAACAATACTTTCAATCTACACTGAAGCAAGCTGGATAAAATCCTCTTGTAGGGCACTGTGATCATAAGATTGTTTTTAAGTCTGGGGGGCGGTGGGGTAGCCTAATGGTTAAAGCGTTGGCTTTGTCACGCCGAGGATCCGGGTTTGAATCCCCATATGGGTACAATGTGTGAAGCCCATTTCTGGTGTCCCCCGCCGTGATGTTGCTGGAATATTGCTAAAAGCGGCGTAAAACCAAAACTCAGTCAGTCATTCAGTTTAAGTCTGGTAGTTCTGAGCTAAGTTCGTTTTGTGGTACAGGACCCTGGTCTTGGCGGCCTCCACAGTTCTTTGTCATGACATTGTGTAACACTTCCATTTACTTTCTACCTACAGGAAGAAATCCTGTTTACCTACAGCCTGTCATCTAACCCATATCAGGCCAGCATGGCAGTCGACTGTTGGTGCTTCATGGCCAGGTGAGTTCAAAGTGGTAGTCAGCTGTTGGTGCTTCATCACCAGGTAAGTTCAACGTGGTATTCGACTGTTGGTGCTTCATGGCCAGGTGAGTTCAACATGGTAGTCAACTGTTGGTGCTTCATGGCCAGGTGAGTTCAACGTGGTAGTCGACTGTTTGTGCTTCATGACCAGGTAAGTTCAACATGGTAGTCGACTGTTGATGCTTCATGACCAGGTGAGTTCAACATTGTAGTCAACTGTGCTTCATGACCAGAAAAGTTCAATGTGGTAGTCGACTGTTGATGCTTCATGACCAGGTGAGTTCAACGTGGTAGTCGACTGTTTGTGCTTCATGACCAGGTGAGTTCAACATGGTAGTCGACTGTTGGTGCTTCATGACCAGGTGAGTTCAACGTGGTAGTCAACTGATTGTGCTTCATGACCAGGTGAGTTCAACATGGTAGTCCACTGTTTGTGCTTCATGACCAGGTGAGTTCAACGTGGTAGTCGACTGTTTGTGCTTCATGGCCAGGTGAGTTCAACATGGTAGTCGACTATTGGTGCTTCATGGCCAGGTGAGTTCAACATGGTAGTCAACTGTTGGTGCCCCATGACCAGGTGAGTTCAACGTGGTAGTCGACTGTTGATGCTTCATGACCAGGTGAGTTCAACGTGGCAGTCGACTGTTGGTGCTTCATGGCCAGGTGAGTTCAACATGGCAGTCGACTGTTGGTGCTTCATGACCAGGTGAGTTCAACGTGGTAGTCGACTGTTTGTGCTTCATGACCAGGTGAGTTCAACATGGTAGTCGACTGTTGATGCTTCATGACCAGGTGAGTTCAACGTGGTAGTCGACTGTTTGTGCTTCATGACCAGGTGAGTTCAACATGGTAGTCGACTGTTGGTGCTTCATGACCAGGTGAGTTCAACATGGCAGTGGACTGTTGGTGCTTCATGGCCAGGTGAGTTTAACGTGGTAGTCGACTGTTTGTGCTTCATGACCAGGTGAGTTCAACATGGTAGTCGACTGTTGATGCTTCATGACCAGGTGAGTTCAACGTGGTAGTCGACTGTTTGTGCTTCATGACCAGGTGAGTTCAACGTGGTAGTCGACTGTTGGTGCTTCATGGCCAGGTGAGTTCAACATGGCAGTCGACTGTTGGTGCTTCATGGCCAGGTGAGTTCAACGTGGTAGTCGACTGTTTGTGCTTCATGACCAGGTGAGTTCAACATGGTAGTCGACTGTTGATGCTTCATGACCAGGTGAGTTCAACGTGGTAGTCGACTGTTTGTGCTTCATGACCAGGTGAGTTCAACATGGTAGTCAACTGGTGCTTCATGACCAGGTGAGTTCAACGTGGTAGTCGACTGTTTGTGCTTCATGGCCAGGTGAGTTCAACATGGTAGTCGACTGTTTGTGCTTCATGACCAGGTGAGTTCAACATGGTAGTCGACTGTTGATGCTTCATGACCAGGTGAGTTCAACGTGGTAGTCGACTGTTTGTGCTTCATGACCAGGTGAGTTCAACGTGGTAGTCGACTGTTGATGCTTCATGACCAGGTGAGTTCAACGTGGTAGTCGACTGTTTGTGCTTCATGACCAGGTGAGTTTAACATGGTAGTCAACTGTGCTTCATGACCAGAAAAGTTCAACGTGGTAGTCGACTGTTGATGCTTCATGACCAGGTGAGTTCAACGTGGTAGTCGACTGTTTGTGCTTCATGACCAGATAAGTTCAACGTAGTAGTTCACTGTTTGTGCTTCATGACCAGGTGAGTTTAACGTGGTAGTCGACTGTTTGTGCTTCATGACCAGGTGAGTTCAACATGGTAGTCGACTGTTTGTGCTTCATGACCAGGTGAGTTCAACGTGGTAGTCGACTGTTTGTGCTTCATGACCAGGTGAGTTCAACGTGGTAGTCGACTGTTTGTGTTTCATGACCAGGTGAGTTCAACATGGTAGTCGACTGTTTGTGCTTCATGACCAGGTGAGTTCAACATGGTAGTCAACTGATTGTGCTTCATGACCAGGTGAGTTCAACGTGGGCGTCAACTGTGCTTCATGACCAGAAAAGTTCAACGTGGTAGTCCACTGTTGATGCTTCATGACCAGGTGAGTTCAACGTGGTAGTCAACTGTTTGTGCTTCATGGCCAGTTGAGTTCAACGTGGTAGTCAACTGTGCTTCATGGCCAGGTGAGTTTAACATGGTAGTCAACTGTTTGTGCTTCATGACCAGGTGAGTTCAACGTGGTAGTCGACTGTTTGTGCTTCATGGCCAGTTGAGTTCAACGTGGTAGTCAACTGTGCTTCATGGCCAGGTGAGTTTAACATGGTAGTCAACTGTTAGTGCTTCATGGCCAGGTGAGTTCAATGTGGTAGTCCACTGTTTGTGCTTCATGACCAGGTGAGTTCAATATGGCAGTGGACATTTATGTACTCACTTCTTGGTTGCAGGTATGGCAGTTCAGAGTTGTGTTACCAACATGTGGTGCTGTTAGTGCGGATGTACCAGGACCTGTCCAAGGTCCCTCACTCCCACCTGGCCACCTCCAGGCTCTCCGCAGTGCTGCACCGGCTAGCCAAGTTCCTCGCCCAGCAGCATCAGGTAACTCCAGGGTTGAGACCAAGGATTTAGCTTGTCCTCAGGACCCAGCAGTTAATGGGTACCTGGTGGGATGATGGGAACAGGAATAGATAGATAGGGAAACCAAATTTGGTACATGTATGTGTTTTCAGGACATGAATGGCTTGATGGAGTTAGAAAACAGAAACCGAGTTATGATTCTTTACAGAGTTATGTCCCTTGTCATGCGTTTCTTGACTTAGTGTACATTATCCCCAATGGGACAGATTTTCTCAGTAACCGTTATAGACAGGGAAACCAAAGGTGATATGTGTTTTCAGGACCTGAATGTTGTGGTGGTGTTAAAAAAACAGGAGTGAGTGAGTTTAGTTTTACGCCACACTCAGCAATATTCCAGCTATATGGCAGGGATCAATAAATAATCGAGTCTGGACCAGACAATCCAGTGATCAACAGCATGAGCATCGATCTGCGCAGTTGGGAACCGATGACGTGTCAACCAAGTCAGCGAGCCTGACCACCCGATCCCGTTAGTCGCCTCTTACGACAAGCATAGTTGCCTTTTGTGGCAAGCATGGGTTGCTGAAGACCTATTCTACCCCGTAAAAAACAGGAACCAAATAGGAACAGAACAGTGTGGCGGGGGATTTTGATGACTGTGTCTTCTTTTTATTATTATTATGTTGTTATTGCAGTAAAACCTAAACTCAGTATCTCCTTTCGATTTCAGCAATCGCTACTAAAGGAATTCCCACCATCTGAAAATGTCCAGCTCTGGAGTGAGTTGCCTCTTGTTGCCATGACAACTAGCATGGCAAGAGACGTGATGGAGGAGTTGATTAAACATTGCACCAAGTCCATACACAATTGGATCAACACCTCTGAGAAGACAGTAGGACATCTAGACAGTTTGGTAGGTGGATTTACAGCGTATGCTAATTGATTCACAGTAGCAGTCTTTGAAAATGTCTTTAGTTTTGTTTAAAAATTGAGAGTTTAGTCAGTAAATCTGTTTTTGAAACAGTTGGTGAGGTCGTTGTCAGTTTCTCCCATGAAGTTCTGGGTTATAATTGGGCAACAGTGTGGTAAGAGGTAAATAAGGTAAATAAGTGGTCACTGACTTAGTTGATGCGAGTCATGGTATCCCAGGCGTTGGGGTAGCCTGGACCCAGGTTCGATTCCCAACATGGGTACAATGTGTGAAGCCCATTTCTGGTGTCCCCAGATAGCATTGGCGAACGTTGGCAATGTTGGCAAAACCATTGCCAACGTTGAGCCAACGTCTGAATGCTATCTGGGTCCCCATCCCTGATATTGTGGAATATTGCTAAATGCGGTATTAAACCATTCTCACTCACTCACTCACTCACTCACTCACTCACTCACTCACTCACTCATCGTATCCCAGTTGCAATGATCAATGCTCATGATGTCAATCGGTGGGCTGTCTTGTCTATACCGCTATCATACAGCTAGAATATTGCTCAGTGTAGCATTAAACAACAGACCAATATTATCAATTCTTGTCAATAATGCCTCAAAAGACAACTGAGCACATGGAACAATATGGCCAGACTGAATTAATAAAATGATAATGCAAGAACAAGATATGTGTATTGTCTATAAGTGGCTACCTCTCAGTGGTTTACTCACTGCGAATATCTTCAAAATTGCTAATGCAGTTTTAAGCAATTTTCACTGGCTCACTTTCACTCTCTGTGGTTAATCTATTGATAGTCACATAGTTATCTCCCTTTGACGATCTTTGCATGTTCCTTCTGTAGCAAATGATCATTAAATCAGACTGTGAAATTGTGCATATAGGTAGAACCTTGGATGTAAGTAATAACTAAGTGTAATGAAATATTTAGCTCACATAGGCTTCAAATTTGGGGAAAGAACCATGAAAAGATAGCCTACCTTTAGAATTCAGCACCAGAAACTTAACAAATTACATCACACTGCCTCACAAAACTGGCTGTTTGTCTCAGTAACACGTCACCTACGACAGAGACCATCCGCTCAGTCATGTTGCTGACTTCTGATGGCGAACTTAAGTAACTTTATTCTGTGTGTACTTGTTTTCCCAGGTTGTATGTGTGAAGTGCCTGGCCCACCTGTACAGCAGTCCCTCCCTGGTGGAGAAGTGTGTGACACCACAGCTCCAGTCTGTAGTTCTGGAGAAAGTCGCACACCTGTGGAGAACACTCGCTACAGCCTCATGGGATCCCAGTCCAGGCGTGGAATCTCTGCTAGCTGCCATGTACAGACTCAGTGCACAACTTGTGGCCTTCCTACCAACTCCGGACATACTCCAGGTACTTTGTCTCTATGCTGGTTTTGTTGGTTGTTTATAACAAAGTATTTTAAGCAGGGTTTTACGTGATGCGCAAATGTGCGTCCAGTACCCACAAATGTAGAGAAGGGACGTAGACAAACAATTCACTGCGATCTGAGGAACGCACAATATTATTCACTGTACCCACAACACATCTATGACTTTGCTAAGTGTTTGGCTGTTTCTTTCAGAGCAGTTCCGTACATCATTTCATCAATCAGTCCACATGATAAATGATTCATTCCAGGCTCTAAGGAAATTATCAAAATGTATGCCTTGTCTTGTTAGTTAATACTTACAACAAGACTTCCAGCATGTAACAAATGTTATATATGGGATTACACTTTCTTAGTAAAGTACAGATAATAGTATTCTTTTGGGTTGAGCCCCATCCGGGATTCGAACCCACACCCTGAGAGTCAGGCACCTAATTGCCAGCACACAAAGTCAGCGCCTAACCCGTGCAGCCACCACAGCTTCCACAAAAATGGAAGTCGGACAACTGGTAGTCTAGACTGCGGACTTTGTGTACACCTCTGATAAGTGTAAATTGGCACGGCCGAATGCTATGAATACACAATGCCATTTAAAAAGTCGTCAAATGTAACATATGTTATATTTGGGATTACACTTTCTTAGTCAAGAACAGATTCTAGTACTGTTTTGTACACAAAGTCTGCAGCTCTACATGTTTCTCTGTATCCTGGTTTTGGTTTCAGATACTGACAGTGACACAGAGGTTGTTGGTTCAACCATCTTCAGTGCTTCTGAGACTAGAAGTTGTGGGATTTCTACAGAACTGCGGAGCTGCTAAACTGGCACCATCATTTGAGGTATGCTTATGTTGGTACAGCTGATATTCATTTGATCGTCACCGTGACCAGAAGCATCTTTGTTGAATAACTCAGGTGGTATCTGACCCGTGAAGGTCCGGGTTAGAATTGATCCTCATCATCCCATGCTTGTAAGAGGCCACTAACGGGATCGGGTGGTCAGGCTCGCTGACTTGGTTGACACTTGTCAACGGTTCCCAGTTGCACAGATCGATGCTCATGCTGTTGATCACTGGATTGTCTGGTCCAAACTCGATTATTTACAGATTGGTGCCATATAGCTGGAATATTGCTGAGTGAGGCATAAAACTAAACTCACTCACTGACTCACTCAGATGGTATCTAGAGTTGGAATGATTTACTGATAACTTATAAACTTATAACCTTATACATGTATGTACAGATATTCACTGATCGAACACAGGCACCATGTATATATGGTGTATAGAGTGGTAAATCGTCTGCATTCTTGCTCATTAAATATCTTCTCTAAATTATTGTAATTACATCTGTGATCAACGTAAACAATATGGGGTAATATGAACGTCGCATTTCTAGCATCAACGTAAGTTTAGATCATGACATCCAGTTGAAGCTGATTAGTCAAGCCACATTCCACGATTGCATTGTGGGAATGTAAACATTGCGAACGTTACCGTGTCGCTGAAAACTTGTGAGTTCAATTGAGACATTTTAAACGTCGCAAAACATAAACGTAGTGTTTCCACCAGTTACGTTAGCTGCGTGAAGTAACTGAACACCAAGAAACGGGATGCTACGGAGCAGTTTATTGTAGGAGGCTGTACGAGGCGATGACGACTGACATGCATTGTGACCTCGCTTACATTGTGACGTAATGCAAAATTGTTCGAATACGAGGGGGCAGACTAGAATGGCATTACATTGTGACAAAATGCAAAAAGTGCACATTATCGTCTGATAAAGCCCTGTCGGCGCCTTTGATCTTTCACCAAAGCATCTTAGAAAGAGCATTAACCTGGAGAAAGGACGATTGATCCAAGGAGACTGACAATTAGTCACTGAAGTAAGACTATCGTATTTAGAAACATATCGAGGGGTAAGAACCAGAACCACTTATAACCACACAGGCACATTTCGACAAACAGCACTCAAATGTTTGGACAGTTATAAAAAAAATAATAAATTATTGTTTACTGTTTTGTGACAAGGTGACAGAGTATGCTGGTGCATTCATGTTACTATACAACCATAAATATAATCAGCCTAATTAAATAGGTATGACGAAAATAAACTTTAGCTTGTTCTGCGTGAATGTAAAACACTCGGGTTCTGTAAACATGAGAGCGAGAACCAGTTAAATTAGAAACACAGTGTATGGCAGTTAAGAATATGTTGAGAATATGTCTGTCCCCGAGTCAAGAACTGCTATCTTTAAACAGGGGATTGTGGCATAGTTTGCGGCACGATTTCCTGTGTCGCAGTTTCCACTAACTCGGGGAGCATTATCTTTGCCCCAACAATTGTATCAATGCGGAAGCCAACTAAAAGCAATGACCCCTGATCTCAAGATCACCCATATCATCACAGCCGCCAACCACTGCTTTTCCTCTAAGCCCTGTAACCATATCCTGCGGTAAAGCTGTTTAGGCAGTATCCCACATTCTCAGCTGGTGGTTGGAACCATTAACCAGCAGAAACTGCCTTCTGTTATTGAATGCATTTTACTTATAGCTCGCCTTAAATTGTGCTTGTGAGATTTTATCTTCACATGTTGTTATCACTGAAGACATCAGTAATTGCTTAAACCACCTTCAAGACTTTCTTTAGACTTTTCTGTTAGATGACAACAGCCGCCTCAATACTTTCAACATAGTTCCACAATGCATCATTACACGGTGTACTTTTTTATTGAAGAATAAAACCAATTACTATAAGACATTGTAAGTGTTTCAGTATTTTAACTATTTCAATATTATATTACATGTAAACAGAAATTCATAAACAGTATAGTTTCAAATTACTGAATAGAAGAAAATCAAGCACAGTCACAAACATACACATAATACTAACCACAGAAAAAGCTCGCTGCATATTAAGTCAAATTAGGGATAATGTAACGATCTGAGTAATAATTTAAGCGCTTTGGTATATATAAAGTATCTTACTCCGAGTAATTTTGATATCAAATATATCACCACGAGTTGATAAAGTAACAAATGTCCGAGGCTTGCCGATATTTTACTTTGATCAACGAAAGTGTTTATATATTTGATATCAGAAGACAACGAGGGTGAGATCTCTATTTATCATCAAAATCACTCTTCCTTGCTTTCAATTAAAGAATTGAATGTCAGTTTGTGTGTTTGCACTGAAAAATGAACGATGTCAAAGCGGTGTTCAAACTCGTGTGAAACGAGCGAAGTTTACTTGAGCGAAGTTCACGCTGCCGAAGTTTGAACAACGCTTTGACATCGCTCATTTTTCAGTGCAAACACACAAACTGACATTCAATTCTTATAATTTCGCAATTTGAAGTATACACATACCGCTTTCCACCCACTTGTAGATGATCATTGTTTAGTGTGTTTTAATACCTGTAAAATGTTGTAATGCCATTCGGTTCAAGAACGTCACGTATTGCAGCCATGTTTGTATACACAGCGATTTTTCTTTTACACATGTATCCCAACCCTTGAAGAAATAGTTCTCAAAGTATTTGATCTTTAAAATATAACAACAAATTCGTTATGAGGTTTGAAACTGCTTTAATAAGTATAATCAATAACAGTATCAAACAGAAACAAATATCAGAAGCAATAACAATACCATTTTAACAAACTGGCATTGTACCTTTTCACTTGTAAATACCGTGTTTGACCACGTAATAATACACTGACCGACTTGAGAGTTAAAGCGGCGTTAATAGGAAACAGATCTTGTTGTATTCTATTTATTTGTGATTGTTTATTGTGAAATTTGTTGAGCAGTTGTTAAACAGACCTCGGGCAGAAAAGCCGCCCGGATGAACCCGCTAAACTGGCGTAGACATTAAACTCCTGTGAAAAGGAACAATGTTCGGGCAATCCGTTTGGTAGTGACATTGCCAAACTTGGGGTGACTTGAAACTATTGGGGGTCCTTGAAACCCGAAGCTTAAAAACGTTCACACACGCATGAACGGTGTTTACACAAGTATGAACGATTAGAGGGGTTCAAGAGTAATGAGCCTTGAAATTTAGATCACATGACCGCTCTCTCAACCAACCGACGCTAGGGAATCTGTGTAAACTTGAAAGCACGAAAATTATTGAAAATGTACATCTCTGAACACAGTAGTGCCATTGAACTCGCGAGTGCAGCGATGTCATAGCAATGTGACGCCATCAAGTTCATGACGCCATATCATTGTCAGGGCATTGTGCAAAATTTACTCTCAAAAACGATATGTCCTAGGAGATATCGTCTGATCTCACACAAGCAATGTCTCCTGTGGAACACAGTTTTGGATGATAAAACTTAATAGAACTATGACACTAGACTATGACATAGATGAAGGCTAAAGACTTTTGATACTAAAAATTAAGTCTGTTATAAGTGAATCAAGATTACATCACACAGATTAGATAGAACACTGAATAATCAGATTAGGTATTTGATGACATAGATATGTCATGTTAGATATGTGACATGTTAAATATAATAATGAGTCGATTTCCTTTAAGTTAATGATTTGATGACGCCTCAAAATGTAAATGTCATTTTTGAATTGAGAATTAATATTGATATCCACCTCTTAACACTATTTCATACTCTTTAAACTTGTTAAATAACTTATAGGAAAAAGGTTTACATAACTATGTGGCCTGGTGGAAAAAAGTGATTTTGTGTGAAATATGTGTGCAAGTTAAATTTGCAAAATGAGGAAATATATAGCAGAACACTTTACAGTAAATGAGGAGTCAGGAAATAATACAACATAACATGCTCTTGGAAACATGGCATGCCATTTGAATGAAAGTGACTAAGAAATATATAAAACCCGACTATGACACTATGATTATTACACTATCCTCACCCATGTCCACAATCATATTATAACTTACACCATGTAATAGTACAAAGCAAATCGACTGTTGTTTCAGTGTCGTAGCTTTAGTCTGTATCGGTGTCTGTATCCTGCTCCAAGGCCAGGAAGGAGGAGGCATTCTACTTGTCAGCATCTGTCAGGAGTTCTTTGTAATAGTTGTGATACTCTCTGGGTATAATAATCTCGACCGACAGAGTGACATGAGATCTTTTTCTTGGCTGAGGAAATTGCTTGTTTTTCCGAAAGTACCTTCGGTCAGAGGTCCACAGATACTCAGAGGTCATCCCCGTGGCTGCCTGTAGACACTTTCAGTTCTCTCTGAATGGCTCATTGCTGTGCTCAGTCTTGAAGAAGATGCTTTCTGGGTTGCCTTTAATGTAGCGATCCAGCACATTGACAACCAGTCACTCTACCACCATCTGTATCAATTTTGGTGTTTTTCAGTCTACCATGGGCATATTCCCTAAAGTCCATCACATCGGTGAACTGTATTGGGATGACGTGATATAAGGGTCCTTTCTTCTGGCCATTCTTATAACAGTGTCCCACTGGCTTGGTACATAGATGCTAGTCTTCTTTGGCAAATTCAATGGTGAAATGAATTGCATCGCACTCCATCTGTGTGTGGCCTGGCTCTAGAAATTTGTGGTCAATTGTACTGATGTGTTCAATAGTGGTCACAGCATGCAATAGGGAGGCTGGCGACATACTGGTTTCTGTTCTGTCCTGAACAGGTATCTGAATACAGAACTACATGCTTGACGGTTGGTGGCAAAGCCTTCAGCTGAATTTGCAGGCATGATGCAACTTCACATGATCCCCTCTTGGCATCCACTTCCGACCATACAAAGCATGTGCCTCCTTTGTGGCTAAATCGTACACTGTAAAATTGTAACAGTTCAGTTTCCTCATGTAGAAAAGTTCACTGACAAGTGAGCATGGTGTATACATGGAGTAAAACTCTGAGTCTGATGAATCGAGTGCGGTTTTATCTGGATCATATTCTTCACCTGATCGATAATGCTGGGTCGCTGTCAGGGACCAGTCCTTTCCTACTCCTTAGTGTTGACAATAGTTCATTATCTGAACTGTCAAAGTCACTGTCACTATCCCTCAGAGATGATGTTCCTCCAGCCCATAACACTGTACTAATAAGTTTGTGGTAGCATCACTCTGTGCTGGTATGTCTATAGGCATCAGTATGTACTGGTATGTCTAGGCATTATGACTCTGTGCTGGTATGTCTATAGGCGCATGAGACTGTACTGGTATGTCTATAGGTGCATCTGTCTGTTCAGGTATGTCGATAGAAGCATCAGTCTGTTCTGGTATATATATATAGAAGCATCACTCTGGTCTGAGTATGTCTATAGGCTTAATAAGTCTGTACTGGTATGTCTATAGGCATCCATGTTCTGTTCTGGTATGTCTATAGGCGAATCACTCTGTTCTGGTATATCTATAGGTGCATCACCCTGTACTTGTATGTCTATAGGAGCATCACTCTGTTCTGGTACGTCTATAGGAGCATCAGACTGTACTTGTATATGTCTATAGGCGCATCAGTCTGTTCTGGAATGCGTCTATAAGCTTCTAATCAGACTGCCTTGTATGTCTATAGGGGCATCACTCTGTTCTGGTATGCGTCTATAGAGCATCAGACTGTACTTTGTATGTCTATAGGCGCATCAGTCTGTTCTGGTATGTCTATAAGCGAATCAGACTGCCTTGTATGTCTATAGGGCATCACTCTGTTCTGGTATGTCTATAGGTGCATCACCCTGTACTTGTATGTCTATAGGTGCATCATTCTGTTCTGGAGCATGTCTATAGGCGCATCAGACTGCACTTGTATGTCTACAGGGGCATCACTCTGTTCTGGTATGTCTATAGGTGCATCACCCTGCACTTGTATGTCTATAGGTGCATCATTCTGTTCTGGTATGTCTATAGGCGCATCAGACTGCACTTGTATGTCTATAGGTGCATCATTCATTCTGTGCTGGTATGTCTATAGAGCATCAGACTGCACTTGTATGTCTATAGGCATCAGACTGCACTTGTATGTCTATATGTGCATCACTCTTTACTATTGTGTCTGTAGCATCATTACTCTGTACAAGTATGTGTGCAGGAGCATCACTCTGTACTGGTATGTCTGCAGAGCATCACTCTCTACTGGTATGTCTGCAGGCGCATCACTCTGTACTGGTAATGCACACTGTTGTGGTAGACATCTGGCGTAGTATCTATCTTTCTTTGTAAATCAAGAGGCACATAACGCTGTATTGATACAAACTGGGTTTGATTATCCTCAGTGGTATGATCTGGTGCTGGTATATCCACTGACTCATCCTCTTCATCATTTGCGTCATACTGTATTGGCATATCCGATATAGTTTATCAGATTGTGCTGGGGTATCCAGCCACTCCCACATGGGTTTGGTTCATGTTGAATATAATCAGAATTGACTGACATATTAGTGGCAAGTGACCAACTTGTGGCTGTGGCAAAGTCAGATTGTAATAATTCATCTTCATCTCGGCCGGACCATAATTCAGACATCTTGCATAGACCTAAAACCAGAGTACTAAACTAAGGGACTGGCTAATATCACACACTGAATTTGATAACACTAACACTCAATAATCAAAGCAATTTAGTTTCAATTTAATTAGTGCTGGCAAATAACTATACAGACAGCCAATCTCGTAAGTGAAATACAAGTATATTACCACACTCATGTGTGTTATATTTAACAAGTACTTATTTTCTATTTACAGATATGACTTACCTGTAATGTCTTATGGGATGTTCGTACTGTAAATGTTCCTAATATAAACGCGACACTTTAGAAAATAGCTCCTCTCCCAAGGTTCAAAATAAACTAACCTTGGCTAGTGTGAAACAAACCCTGTAAACAGCTGGGAGAGGCGCTTATATATGGCCACAACAGAATAACAGAAATTAAGACCATCTGATCCCGAGAGAGGTCCTTATCAGCTGTAAGTCTAAAGAGCCAGAACATTCCTTCAGCATATCAGTTGTTTTAATCCAGTAAGGGAAATTCTTGATGGACACCACACAGTCTGCCAGAGGCGACTGCTGCCAGTTAAGGGTTTATGGCATGAGAATATCAAAGCGTGGCTACAGCAGTTGAGCAGGACTGGCGGTGTATATTAACATAGCATAACCTGGTCTATACCAAAAGGAGAGATAATTGATAAGTTGTTTGTACTCTAATGCATAACCACCTAATTAAGCCCCTGATTGCTATGGGCTTTTTATGAGTAACATATCAGTATGTGGAGTGCATTAATACCCTTACCTAAATTTGACAGAATTATTTACTTAAGGTGTTCTGGCACTAACCCCTCGATATATCTATGTATAATAATTCCTTAAGGAGCCAAGAATAATTCTCATTTTCAGCACAGACAGTCTAGACTTGCCCAATCATTCTAGTCTTGAGCTGGAGTCCTTTTTAATATATTCTCTGAGTCGGGGAGACTGACTAAATATCCATTGTGAATGATGACATATAAGTAATACTTCAGCTTGTATCTGCATCCCTGTCTGTTTTCCAGCAAAGCCAGGCCCTGCATAAACTGCCTGAAGTGTTTTGCGCTAGCCTGAAGGACCCACACTGTATTGTCCAGCACAGAGCACTACAGGCCTTCACTGGCTTTGCTGAGCAGACCGTACATGAGTCTGTTGTGCCTGAGTGTCTGGAGAGAGATGCCAGTCTACAGGACAGGGTGGTGGCCTTCTTGAATAAGGTGAATGTAATGTCTTTTCTGTGATTTAATTGTCAAAAGACATGAGGACTGAATGTCCCATGAACTTAAACTCTCATCTTTCTGGAAAATATTCGAAATTCCTGAACAATTTCATTAATGCATTACAATGACGACTGATGAAAGTAAAGTATTTCCTTGTGGAAGTCAGCCTAATTTAAGCTTGATGATACCAGGTGCCAAGTGCTCCTTGTGGCGGAAAGATGGACACAGTGCAGTATCTTCGGTCACAGCTACAGATGTTGAATTCATCAGAGGCATTGCCATGGAAACACGCTACAGAAGAAACATCGTTGCATGAGGTGAGTTTTTCTTAACTGTTGTCAGATGCCACTGATGAATTGTTATCGACTGAGACCTTTATCAGGCTATTTACAGCTCTTCTTTTACAATCTTCATCTCAAATCTTGAAACTGTTGTCAGATGCCACAGATGAATTGTTATCGACTGAGACCTTTATCAGGCTATTTACAGCTCTTCTTTTACAATCTTCATCTCAAATCTTGAAACTGTTGTCAGATGACACTGATGAATTGTTATCGACTGAGACCTTTATCAGGCTATTTACAGCTCTTCTTTTACAATCTTCATCTCAAATCTTGAAACTGTTGCCATGGTTACTATCAGTGGCTTAATGCCATTGTTCACAGCTGTTTTCAATTATGTCTATGGCAGTACTGGTAAGTCTATCATGTTTGCTCATGTCACGGGAACATTATTTTAAACTCTGCATCCAGGGATTTCTAAATATTTTATAGGAATTATTTTGATTTGTCAAACTGAAATAATCATGCACCACACTGCTAGAAAATAACAACACATGGATCATTTTCAGCCTTCCAGCAAAAGACCACGGATGGAAAGTGATGGACCTGATGAGGTAATTACATTAACATTCCATATTTTATATTATTACCTACGAGGGCGAAAATATCGGGGTTCATATTTTTCATACGATGCCTTAGGGCAAAATATCACTTTGTCATGGTGACGTGACGTCATGAACAATGCTATGACATGACATTTCTTCTGTGACGTTGCGTTCTATTTGCAGTGACCATGGGTAACCAGCCTATGTTTGCAAGTAGATTTGGGTTTATTTTCCTCATTTTTACAACTTCGGTAATAAACAGAATATTATATGAGTGCCCATATCCTCCTATGTTTACGACACGAGTGCCTACATATCGGTATATCCCTTGCTCTCGCTCGGGAAATACCAACATTTAGGCACTCGTGTCGTAAACATAGGATGACATGGGCACTCATATAATATCCTCTGTATAGAAAGTTGTAATTGTAGCTTAATGGTATATTTCTTGCTGTCCAATTCTATAAAACTCAATCATATGCATGAATTTGACATAAACGTATTTGTTCTGAAGTTTGTTCACAAATGTCCTATAATACCATGTTGTAGTGTTGGAACACATAGCATTTGACTAATTGTCAATCAAGGAATAGGTAGAGTTTTACACCGCCTTGGGAAAATGGGGGAATGATACAAAATATTTCGGATACACATGATATGTCATCAGATTCAATTTGGATTCTCCACATATGTGCAATGTGTGAAGGTCTAAACACCATACGGGTCAAAACACAACTCACTCACTCACTGTCATTTCAGGAAACACAGCGTCACAAAGTACTCCAGAGTTTACAATCGGCATGCACAGATGTGCAAAGTCTGCTTGGTGGATCCAAGCAGCCATCTTGGTTTGTGTCAGCAATCCAAAAGACAGCAGCTGAACTTACACAGTGTTTACAAAACAGCTGATGGAACTGAACTGAACATGACAGTCTGTCAAAAACAGTTAATTAAAACAGGCCTGTCTTTATGGCGAGAAAATATGCTATCATGCATTTTTGAACCTCATAAAGGATTCATGTTTTCAGGAAATGTTGAAGCTGTGTCGAGAATGGAATGTATCAGTACATGACAGTTATTTATGCATTGTTGATCCACTGTAAATATTGATTGGATAGACTCATATTGAGTGTCCATGTTATCACTTTGAAATTATACTGAACAGACAATTTTATCAGTCTCACTCATAAGAAGCACATAATCTCAATAAAATAAAATAAACATGAAAATATGTTTAAACAATTGATATTTGTTTGTATTTTGGGTGACATGATCCTGTGTCAAGTTATTTATAGGATGTTGTACCCGGAATATTGCTGACTGCAGTATTGAACAATATTCACTCACTCACTCACTCGAAGTTAACTATCTCTGATAGAACATCTTCCTGGGGAGCAGACGGTCAGTGATTCTGTCCCAATGCATCATACCAAAAGTGAGTGAGTTTAGTTTTACGCCGCACTCAGCAGTATTCCAGCTATATGGCGGAGGTCTGTAAATAATCAAGTCTGGACCAGACAGTCTAGTGATCAACAGCATGAGCATCGATATGCGCAATTGGGAACCGATAACACGTGTCAACCAAGTCAGCAAGCCTGACCACCTGATCCTGTTAGTCGCCTCTTACGACAAGCATGGGTTACTGACGATCAATATTCTAACCCGGTCATACCAAAAGACGTGAGTACTTTTTGTAGCAGTGCCGTTGTGCTTGGCATTAAAGACATTAAGTACTGGTTGGTTGGAGTCTGTGTACAGTAAACAATCACAGCGCCAGGATTTTCAGGGGACCAGTAAGGATCAAATCTACCTTTGTTTCCCACAAGAAACTGGTTTTCTGTATTTCACTTGAAGAATATTGGAAAACAGTAACAGTGCCAGGATCACTATTACAGGAGTCCAGCAAGGACCACATCCAACTCTGTTTTCCAGTCAGTCCTCCACAAGAAAGTGGTTGGCTGTATTTCATTTCATATTGGACAAATTAAACCATTCACTGAAATTATTGATTTATGAAAGATACATAAAATCATGGAATACATAATACATCAGCCTTAAATGTGTCACCAAATTTGTGCTACAAGCCCTGCCTGGAGATCTGGACATCTGGAGAACACATACATGACATACCGTATATTACCGTCTATAAGCCGAATTTTGAGGACCCAAAACATGTGGGGTCGTCTTATCTTTGAGATACAATTTCACGGAAATATTTTTTAGCTCGCCAGTGCTCTGCCAGGACGGTGTTACAGGTTACCGGTACATCTGCCAGGATGTTTGCCACGATTACAGCGTTTATGTTGTGAATGATGAATCAAATACATATTAACCTGTACGTTTTCAGGGTCAAGAATGTATTGATAACCTACTGCGCCATTACATTCAAGCCTTTTGATAAAATGCAATACTGTTAAGAACAATGGTAATGGCCAATTGACTTACACAACTCTAATCTTCTTGTCATCATGGTACTCCCACAATTATATTAATTAATAACTCTCCAATATGATGCGCAAACCGATTCTTTTTACATCTTGTTTCAGTGGCAACCATATGTGAAAACTTTGTTAACCCCATTGCTCCCTTATATATAATAATCTAATGAAATATGGTGGCTGGCTTATGCACTTTCACTCTGACTTAGTGGACACCAAATATATGCTTCAAAGGTTAAATAAGGGTCAAAATTTCTGATATTGCATAAAAAGATGAAAGTTCATGATGAATGAACATAGCTCTATCGTGTGAGGTTACTTGACCTTCAGTCAGGTGAGCAAACAGTTAGTCACTTGATACCTGTAAAGTGTAATCATGATGCAAGTAACAGGTACCGGTACATTTTTCGCATCAATTCCATTTGCTTTATTGAGGCTTCAGCTGTTGACTTGGGTTCCATCCTCAGGACACAGATCTTCCCTTTGTTAATGCTAGTCTATGACACTACATTTCTCTCAGACCAACATTTCAAGAATCTTTGCATTGGTTTGCTGTTTTATTAACATACAACTCATACAAACTGATTCCAAGTTTGTGAGCTTTGAGGTGAGGTGAAATTGGGTTTAACGTCATGCTTGAGAATATTTCGCTCATATGACGACGTGCATGCGTGTGTATGTGTATGTGCAGCTGCTTGTACTAGCCCAGACTTAAGCTGGTTTTATAGTGCTAGCCCATTGAGATACCATGCCGTAGTGAAGCATGAATACCCCACTCAGACACATTATACTGACTCCGAGCCGACCAGTCCTTGTTGTACCCATTAATGCCGAGCGCCAGGCAGTGAGCAACAAGTACCATATTTTAATGTCTTTTGGTATGACGCGGTCGGGGATCGAACACAAGGCCTTCCAGTCTCTGGGTGGACGCTCTAACCACTACACCATGGAGATGGTCTATGTGAACTTTGGAAAAAAATAGTAACAAGAAGTTTTTTTATAGAAAATTTATTAATCTTTCAACATTCTGAATATATGATGACAACACAATGATATGAACAATGATTCCATGAAGGCAATGATAAGATTGGGTCAAACACTCAAGGCACATATTTCTTGGAACACTTTTGTGCATTTGAAATACTGAACATCTCAAGCACATTCAAGAGCATTTGTGATTTTCTTTATTTTTTCTTTGAAGGAACACCTGAATGTTATGTGCATGACCCAATTTTATTTATCTCCTATTCCATTCCATTTGTCAAATACTGGATTTCTTGGGTAGTGTAAGCTATGACAGCTGATACTTTCATAAGATTCAGGTTTACACAAAAAAACATCTCAACAAAAGACACATCCAGAAAATACAACAAAAATGGTCTACATTATTTGTCCTCAACAGCTCCATACATTAAGGATTTCAGAAATATAATTATACAAAAGTTTGTTGTTTCATGCCACACTCAGCAATATTCTCACTACATATGGAGTTCTGTAAATATACTCATGCAAGTAATGCATGTCACCCCCCAGCCTATTAATAAAATTGAAGGGGGTGACAACCATTATTGGCAAGGGTATATAAGTCTGTACCAGATAATCCAGTGATTGACACCATGAGCATAGATTACCCAGTTAGAATATAATGACATGCATCCCCAAATCAGCAAGCCCAGCTATTTGATTCTGTCAGTCTCTTCCTGTGACGAGCATTGGTTGATGAAGTCCAATTCTAACCACAATAATGATACCCTTACAAGTATAGAATGCATTTTATATACAGTCTCTGGTCACTGTAGGCACCTGCATTACGAAAATTTCGTCTCTGATGGAACCAATACTATAGTTACACAGTGTTTTGAAAGGGTGTAAAAATCTGTTTCCTGCAGAGCAGCCAAAGGAAATATGGAATTTACAAGGGTCTTATAGTCCCATACACCTTTTCAAAACACTGTGTGATGAATTTATTGCCCCTAGATCTCTTTATTTAGCTTATCTTTAAAAACTAACTTTCAGTCTTCTAATTTTGAGCAGACTGATATCCGATATTCTTGTTAAAACCCTACAATAGTGTTTGATCATTTGCTTGTCATGACACTATTCACCTTTGCTACTATCCAATAGCTCTATGGTCTGTGACTTACTATGTATTACAAGCTGGGGATTTCAGAACATTAGGTGCAGGTGTCCCTTCACCCAATACAGCCATCTAAGAATTCCTCTAACACCATTTCGGAATAATGTAACAAATTATTGCGATTGAAGCAATAAGTAATTCCCAGAGTATGAATTAATGAATAATATGAGAGTCATGGTATATATCAACATGAATGAATCTGGAGACATGTAAGCAGTTGAATCAGATCTCGACTCTGAGAGTTCCAAGAATGAATGTGACACAATATACATAGGGGGAACCTCATGAAAAGATCTACATATTTATAGCCATTTATTTCTTGTAGAGATTTTCTTGGTTTATGTGCCAAGGGGTATAAGCAAATATACATAAAATTATAAATCTTCACAGTGTTGAACAAATCTTAGTGAACATGTTATGTGTAGTAATCCATTGCTGTCAAACATGAGTTTTATTTCAAAGAATTTCTTTATGAAATCCTACCTGGTAGCAATGTCAAATACTGATTTTACCAGATAATCATTTCGAAATATGATTGTTGTTTCATAATCTGAAGTAAATATTACATTGTATGAAACAACATTTGACTACTGGAAACAAATAGCGGATTACATGATGTAAGTATCAGATTATTTCCTGAATGTAGTAGATTACACTAAGCAAACAGTATATTCTTTGACACAAATATGAGATTATTAAAAGCAAACATTAGATTCTTTGACATGAGGATTAATCGAAGTAAAAATTCTTTGACACATATATAAGATTAGTGGAACCTTATGACATCAGAAAAGCAAGGTCTGTCTCAGAACATTGCGGTTGTTCTATTTTCTCATTGAGTGAGTGAGTTTGGATTTATGCCGCTTTTAGCAATATCATGGTGGGTGACACCAGAAATGGGCTGCACACACTGTACCCTATATTTTCTCATTGAAGAACCATACAATAATGCTTGTGAGTATCTGCTAGATCATATTACACTCTCTTCTTGAACATGCTGGACCTATACTATGGACGACATGTTAAGAAACACCAGATTCTTCCATAATCATAAAGGTCCTGAATGAAACACCTTGGCAAATCACTAACAATGATCAATATAATTTCACAAATAGAATTATATAAACTCAACATAAAATCTTATAAAACCTCTGGTACATATGACAAGTACAAGATTATAATGTTATGCAAAGTGACAGATAAAAATTAAAATGTTTGTAAACACTGAAAAATGACAAAAATATTTGTTATCGAACTTATTGTTTAGTAAAAACAGTTGACAAAATAAATCATATCGGCCGGCAACAAAAACAAAAATGTATAATTTGCCTTTCATGTTTTCAAACAATCATCATTACATTTGGAAAAATCATTACATGATAGGAAACCACATTGATGACGTAAGTCAACATATCTCAGAACAAGTCTATCATTCAATGAATGTTCTTGATTTGTGTTACAACAATAACCTCTTCATAATGTCCTCCAACCTTAAAGATCACGTTGTTGACAGATGCCATTGTCTAGGTAGCCTCTCTCCCAGCCCTGACAGAATCTATTAAGAAAGGAGTCCTACTCAAGTCCAAACTGATTAGGCAAGTCTAGATTGCCTCAGCTCTAACTGAAATAAAAAATTATTCTGACCTTCTTTTCGCAATATATTAACATATTTTTCAGATATATATTTCCAATTAACTATTTCTGGAACTAAAAATCAGTCTAGAGCTTGAGATCTTCAGCCCTGAGTGCAAAGTAGGAGACATTCCCACAAACTTGTAGGCTGATGTGCTATTCATGGAACACAAGCACTTAGTTGTCATCTAGGACACAGAAGACTTGTAACAGTACCCTATCTGGATAAAAAGGAACAGTGATATATTTCCTCATGCACCATACATACAATGTTAATATGACAAAGTATTCATGATAAATTGTACATCAGTGAGAGCAAAGCTCATGGGGTTATTCACATGTAAAGTTTACAATATTTAGCAATACTATTCACGTTCTATGTTAAACCACTGTTTCACACGTCATGATTCCAGTCAGTTCAGGGTAAAATCTGATCATCTGACAGTGTTAAATGTGACATCCAGAAAATCATCCTTTTTTCAATTTTAAAAATTATGTACTCAGTTTTATGAATACACTATTTCAGTATATAGTGAGGCATGTCATTTACCACTCTAAATAATCCCACATGCACAGGTAAGACAATAACAAACTTTGATACATTAAGTGTGAACCGTGATTTAAATCCAAAATGATAGTTTTCTGACATAGCAAAGGGGACATAACTCTTCACAGAAAATTGTGGTGCCTTACTTTGTCCCTGATATGCTGAGAGATATCTTCATTCTTTCATGCAACCTTTCAGTTTGAAATCCTCTAAGTAACCCTGTTGCAACAGCTAAATGCCACTAAAATGGAGCTGCAATTGATTGCCTGCTTAGACTGAGCCAATAGTGCTTGTGTTGCTACATCTAAAATAAATATCTTTTCTTGCTGCCCATACATAATTCTCCTGCAACAGCAAATATAAACATTCTTGGATAAACCATATACATAAAACATAATTGTACAGTGTTTGAAAGTAAGCATGAAAGTCATGGCGTCCTTGTCATAACCACTATGTTATATATGTTATGTATATTTACACCTTAATGTACACACACACACAACACTCACTCAAACACATATGCATGCACGTGCACGCATGTGCACACACACACACACTCACTCACTTCCTCACACACTCTCTCTCTCTCTCTCACACACACACACACACACACACACACACACACTTTTAAACACACACAATAGAACGTACAGGTACCATTGATTACTGTAACCATATTTGGAGGCTGAAACATATCAAGAAAACTTAGACCATAACAGCAAAATCCTGTTAACCAATAAGAACAAAACCCATTGTAAAATATTTCACGATTCTTAACTTGTTTTGTTTGGTATAAATGAATTTATCCAGAGATTGAGACTAGCAGAGTATCAATTTAGATAGCATTACCAAAACATAGACTTATTTCAAGCCAAAAAAATACAGGTTTTCTTGTTACTTCTAACATACCGGGGGATTTCTGCAGTTCTCAACTTGTCTATTGGAAGGGTTCAATACAAATAAGCCTTGGAATTGGAACTTGTTGGATTTGAGATTGAGATCTCGAGGACAAACTCTGAGTGGGGGCCTGGTCCTGTCTACAGGCAGTGATTGTTGCTGTGTTATGATACATAATACTTGAAAAGATAACAACCTTTGAATACACAATGCCAGTTAGAAGTGGTCACATGTAACACAAGTTATGTTTGGGATCACACTTTGTCAGTAAAGTACAGATTCTAGTACATATACTTTTGTTGGGTTGAGTCCCATCCGGGATTCGAACCCACATCCCCAGTCAGGCACGTAATCAGTACACAAGGTCAGTTGTCAAGCCAATCCACAGGAAGCCGCGGTGTGTAAATGGGTTAGACTTTGTGTGCTGGCAATTCGGTGCCTGACTCTGAGGGTGTGGGTTCGAATCCCAATGGGATTCAATCCAACAAAAGTACTAGCATCTGCACTTTACTGAGTGTAATCTCAAATATAACGTGTTATGTAACAACCTTTGCTGTGACACGATACAATCCAAACATCACTCACTTAGCAGGATGTCCTCCACAATGAGGACCTTCCACACATCTACAGCAGGGGTGGAAATAACTTTAAAATTGCTAGTGTACTCCGGTACAGTGGCACATGTAAAATCACTTGCCCTGATAATTTTTCCACTATACTGTCCGTTTTCTTGTTGATTTTTTAAATAAACAACATAATTAACACTGGAATATCAACTGGACACCGGTACAGTGTGATATACAAATTTGCTTGCCCGACAGAAAAAACACTGGACTCGGGCATCGGGCAATGGGTTATTTCCACCCCTGTACAGACTATAACCGTTGTAGGTATAATATATGATATCTGATCCTATGTACAGAAAACAGGGTCGTGATCTAAAAGACATTCCTAGCACTACGTCATTCGTGAGTGAGTTTTACGCCGCTTTTAGCAATATTCCAGCATTATCACGGCGGGAGACACTAGAAATGGGCTTCACACATTGTGCCCATGTGGGGAATCGAACTCGGGCCTTCGGCGTGACGAGCGAACGCTTTAACCACTAGGCTACCCCACCGCCCCACGTCATTCGTAAGCCCATGATAAAATATACAGTTACGATAGGTCCTAACAGTACGAACACTTCGTAGATCGAGACCCAGATCCATGCTAGATAGTGAAATACAACAATAACTTATTTATATTAAACAAGGAGGCTACTAATTTTCTTTACGACGCTAGCGACCTATATCAACTACAGGAATGTTACTTTCAACACAATCATTGGTCGGGGAAAGGGACTGGTTGCTGTCTTGTCTCAGTGATGTCTCACGTATATAAAGGGAGAGGGTTGAGACATATTGTTTCAGGTTTCGCACAAAGTGCTACTGCTACCTTAAATAGTTACATTTAAAGTAAATGTAACTGTCAAGATAATTTTGTGGAAAATAATCATGTTTACTTTCCTTACAAACATACTTCTCCATTTTGACATGTGATCTCTTATATCTGTGGAACAAATAACAGATATGCCATGGAAGACATATTTAAATGAGACAGGTCAGGTCAACTGGCGTCGGCTATAAGGCCTCAAGAGTTGTTACATGAGTTATAGTCTGTTTGCAGTGAAATCGTAGCGATGAATTTCACTTTAAACAAAAAAGTAAATCAAATTAAGTGAAATTAAGATTGTGAATCCTCATAATTTTACCTTGCCAAATGAACATTTAAATCTCAGAATTTTATTCAACTTAGGATAAAAGTTGTTTAACAAACGATCATAGATTCAAATCGCTATTATTGGTTTGTATTACAACAGGGTAAGCGCAGTAGATGGAACAGTGAAACAAATGCATGTGCAGTACGTGATGAGTGTTAACTTAGAGCAGCCCTACTTGTTCTCGGTGTTTCATCTAATGTGCTTAATGATATGATGAGCCGCCTTTAATCATAAGATTTGACGGCCTTTAATAGTGAGAAACACTACTGACTTGTCTGATGTCTGCATATTGGCTGTACGTTGTACATATTGTCGGGTTAGACCGTCTCAGGGGAATATCTTTCATGTAGTGTTTTCAAGGGTCAAGATGGCATCCGCCTCTCTCTGGTTTCGGCCAGTACCCAGTAATACACAGTAACGTCACACAGGGACACAGGACAACACTAGCAGCAGCACATTTACTGTGTCGTAATGAAGCAATATGGAAGACGGCGACATCTCCATGAACATCCTCCAGGATCAACACCAAGACAACACGTTGGGCACAAACAGGAAAGTCATTGGTCATATCATCACTCACAAAAAAGGAAAAAAAAATACGGAAATATGTTAACTGGGTGTAGCCAGTTTAATGAGCGCTGACAATAATCGTTCTGGTAGTAGTGTTATTTGTCGTAAAGTGTACTCTCCCCTGTTGTATTCCCAGTCAAGGCCAAACACGTTAAACTATGGCCGTTTAAACACAAGTTTCATTGCATTGAGAATCTACAGACATGATACCATATATGATACACTTATGTACATGTAATAATTCACATTCTAATTGTGTTCAGGGCACTGTTTTACAAAGCAATCATAGTGCTACGACTTTCCTTACTCCTATGCAATAACATAGACTTACGACCATCGAAGACCTACGATTCACTTCATGAAACACGTCCCAGATATACATTGCATTGAGAATCAACAGAAATGATACCATTTATGATACACTTATACACGTAATAATTCATATTCTAATTGTGTTCAGGGCACCGTTTTACAAAGCGATCGTAGTGCTACGACTATCCTAACTCCTATGCAATAACATAGACTTACGACCATCGAAGACCTACGATCACTTTGTGTTATCTTCACTCCCTGTGTTATCTTACTTGTGTTATCTTCACTCCCTGTGTTATCTTACTTGTGTTATCTTCACTCCGTGTTATCTTTGCTGTGTTATCTTCGCTCCCTGTGTTATCTTTGCTCCCTGTGTTATCTTCACTCCCTGTGTTATCTTTGCTGTGTTATCTGTGTTATCTTTGCTCCTGTGTTATCTTTCCCTGTGTTATCTTCCTGTGTTATCTTACTTGTGTTATCTTCTTTGCTCCCTGTGTTATCTTACTTGTGTTATCTTCGCTCCCTGTGTTATCTTTGCTCCCTGTGTTATCTTCACTCCCTGTGTTATCTTACTTGTGTTATCTTCACTCCCTGTGTTATCTTCGCTCCCTGTGTTATCTTTGCTCCCTGTGTTATCTTCACTCCCTGTGTTATCTTTGCTGTGTTATCTTTACTCCCTGTGTTATCTTACTTGTGTTATCTTCGCTCCCTGTGTTATCTTCAGCCCCTGTGCTCCCTGTGTTATCTTACTTGTGTCATCTTCACTCCCTGTGTTATCTTACTTGTGTTATCTTCACTCCCTGTGTTATCTTACTTGTGTTATCTTCACTCCCTGTGTTATCTCCCTGTGTTATCTTCACCCTGTGTTATCTTACTTGTGTTATCTTCGCTCCCTGTGTTATCTTTGCTCCCTGTGTTATCTTCACTCCCTGTGTTATCTTACTTGTGTTATCTTCACTCCCTGTGTTATCTTACTTGTGTTATCTTCACTCCCTGTGTTATCTTCGCTCCCCTGTGTTATCTTACTTGTGTTATCTTCACTCCCTGTGTTATCTTCGCTCCCTGTGTTATCTTACTTGTGTTATCTTCACTCCCTGTGTTATCTTCGCTCCGTGTTATCTTACTTGTGTTATCTTCACTCCCTGTGTTATCTTCGCTCCCTGTGTTATCTTCGCTCCCTGTGTTATCTTACTTGTGTTATCTTCACTCCCTGTGTTATCTTGCTCCCTGTGTTATTATCTTACTTGTGTTATCTTCACTCCCTGTGTTATCTTACTTGTGTTATCTTCGCTCCCTGTGTTATCTTACTTGTGTTATCTTCACTCCCTGTGTTATCTTACTTGTGTTATCTTCACTCCCTGTGTTATCTTACTTGTGTTATCTTCACTCCCTGTGTTATCTTCGCTCCCTGTGTTAACTTACTTGTGTTATCTTCACTCCCTGTGTTATCTTCGCTCCCTGTGTTATCTTACTTGTGTTATCTTCACTCCCTGTGTTATCTTCGCTCCCTGTGTTATCCTCACTCCCTGTGTTATCTTCGCTCCCTGTGTTATCTTACTTGTGTTATCTTCACTCCCTGTGTTATCTTCGCTCCCTGTGTTATCTTACTTGTGTTATCTTCACTCCCTGTGTTATCTTACTTGTGTTATCTTCACTCCCTGTGTTATCTTACTTGTGTTATCTTCACTCCCTGTGTTATCTTCCTTGTGTTATCTTCCCTGTTTTATCTAGGTAGTAATTAACTGATACAAAAAGACACATCACAATAAAAGAGTTAACCAACATTAGAGAGTACAAATTGAAGGACTTAAAATCAAACTTTCTGGGATTGGTATTTGGCCTGAGAATCTTCCCTCTATAAGAAAGGGTGGTCAGATATCGAGACAAGATGTATTGAAACTTAAACCTCCACCTCTCAAACTACTTTTTGGTCCTTCTGTCAAATGCGACCAGAAAACAAGTAATTTTATGTGGGTGAGCAGTGTCTTTTGTGGTCTTGATGAAATAATGGGGGACGTATTATTAGAGACATTTGAGACGCTGGTAGGAACTAAAACGCTCCTCACATACAGCTGCATGGTAAAGAAAAATTGATGCAATTTTCAGATTCTCATTATCTTGAGAGAGACACACAAATATGAAACAATATAACCCACATCAAATTGTTGAGGTGATTGTAAAACATCTGGACATGGTACGTGTCTAATCTACTCATGTATAAACAACAAAAATTTTAACTTTCATGATCTGAATTGTACAGGACAAAAACCGTCGCAGTCATTTTTGTCATCACAGTCTACATCGACTAATATCCTCTTCTGTCATTACTTCCGCTGTGTTGGGACAGGCAATGCTGTCACTGTCACCTGTGTTCTTCAACCAGCATGTCTGACATCAAGATATGTTTCACCTGAGTAGATCACAACCCCTTCATCTTGGGCATGAGCGGGGTCCTCTCCTCATCCTCGTCAACCCACAGTCGAGTGTCTTTCTTGGATCTGTGGGGTCAGACAAACGAGGTCAAATGTTTCAGCTAAAATGAGGCTGTACTGAAATGAACACGGACATCACTGTTTAAAGTTTGATACAGAATATCCCGCCAGAAATCAAGCTAAAGGAGAACAGGGACTGTCACTAGGGCTGTGCAATATAACCGGTTTACCGGTTCAGACATGAAAACGATACGTATTGCGATACGCTGATCGAAAACCGGTATTTTGACATGCATTCGGAAAACTTCGGATATTTCCGTTTTTTTAATTGTTCTTTTCCCTGTTTCATTAGTGCCAAATGTTACTTACATTTTTATTTTGTCATGATTAAAAGTTTTTATAAAAGGTTAATCAATCATAGTGATTTTGTTGTGTTTTTTCTTTATAATCAAGCATTAACTCCATTATAAGTAGTTTTTGTTAAATAAAATAATCCTTGCAATATATTGCAATACATATCGCAATATACGCTTCCGCATCGCAATATATCGCAATATGAACATTCTCTGCAATACCCACCCCTAACTGTCACTGAATTAGTAATCGCAGGTACTGTAGCTCACCTGAAAAATGTTTATGTAATGCCCAATGTAAGATCAGAATCTGTAATCTATTACATCTTTAACAGATATATTGAAAAAATGAAACGTGGCAGAAATACTGGCACAAGAACAACTTCTTTGAGAGGTATTGTAGAAGTTGGAGCAGTGAGGAAGGATAATAATATATGGATGAACAAGTTCTTTACTGCAGTTATGGCCTCACATCACTCCTCTCTAATAAAGAAGTTGTTTATCCATATATTGTTGTCCTTCCTTTCTGGATAAGAAAATCAATCGCGTTATTGTAAGTAAGCTGGATATAGGGAACATTAAATCCACGAAGTCAAATCTCACTATACAGTAGTAAGTATGAGTAAATGAAGAATGTTGTTTTATGCATTTTCAGCCATAGTCAGATTACGCATGGAGACTATAAGAAGCAATGCTTAGCCAGGGAAAACTGGTCGACAGCATGAACAAACATGCATGTCATCAGCACAGTATGACAACGCGATGATCCAGACAACCATGTGAACAAATTGTAACTGCCAGGTCCTCATTAGTCAAATCATACATCAAGCATGTGATACGGACTATACTTCCCTAGACACAGCACCGTTATATCTTATTCCCGACTTCAGCAGATGCTACTTACTTGTGAACGGAAAGTTTAAAACGTGTGTAATCTGATGACATAGTAGAGAAGCATTAAGTTAGTAAAAGCACCTGTTGGCAAGAAGTTTTCCTCGTTTCTCATACCGCCTAGAGTCGGCACCGTAGAGCTCATCCATCATCTCCACGATCTGTGTCTCATTGCTTGAGTCGATTGGTCCGATCGAGATGTCTCTAACCGCTCGGAACTGACCACAATTGTTGAGATGCTCGTTCTCCAGACGGAAGAAATTCCACACAAACCGCCTGCATGAAGATTATCAATAATAAGATATTGTAGAAATAGTACATAATGAAAAATCTTATAAAAAGTGATCCATGATTGAATGTTTTGTGTTTTCAGCTTTCAATACAAAATATTTATCTATCTTTGCTAATGTATTCTTTTTATACCTGGTTTGGACATAAACACTTACTGTAAAGTCACTTACCGCTTTTCCTGCTTACGGTTATTTACTTCAAATAATTTACTTAAAAAGTAATTATACTTTAAATCATCAAATTAATGCATCTCAAAATATATTTGAGAATCAATCTCTGAACATGTGTCATGAAATTCTTGAATTTGAATCATTTGAATCCAGGTGCCTCCCAAATCCTATCAAAGTCATGACAAGGCCCAATAGCTTGCATTCTTTAATACAAACCTCAGCTTTGAAAACCCACCTGAAAACCTCCAACAACGCAAGGATTGTTTTAAGTATTTCGTTGTGTACAATGAGACCCTCTCCTATAGACACAGACAGTGACCACGTGAATCGAAGAATGAAATCTTCCACGATTGCAAAGTAGTAGTAAGCCTGAAACCAAACCAACATCAGTATCAGAAGCATCTTCCAGAGTAAATTACGAGAACATTCTCAGTTTTCATTTAACATGTAACAGTCTAGCTTTACTTGTTTCTTGTTCCTGTTCTCCAGCCTGACACCCCTTCCACTGAATGGCACATTCCACTGCAAATGAACTAGTCTGTAGCTATGGCAGCAATCACCCTAGTTACAGAACCCTTGTCAAGCTTGCTTACTTGGTTGATGCACATATCCCAGTGTGCGTAGATCGATGATCTTGATGTCAATCACTGGACTGTCTATAGTTTGGCATGAAATGCATGTGGACCCGGTTTTTGGTAAATATATCTTCATCCAATGACCCAATCGATCTCAAACTGTGCAAGTGGATGTTTTGTCAGACAACCTAATCACATTGTAAATCACCGATTTTATGCATTTGTATTTAAGAATCTGTCTATGTAACTGTCAACAAAATAAACAGCAGAACACAGAATGCTTGCAGAGGGAGGGAGCCAATGACCTGTAACAGCGGCAGTGTTGGGTCATAAAGGTCAATGCAAGTGCAGTTCATGATAGTTACCTGTGCACTGCACAGTGATAGACCGTTTGGATAATTCACATTGACTACTTCTAGCTGTCATCATGAAAGCTTATTCAGATGATGCTAAACGTTTAATTAGAAATGTGTTTAATTTTTTTTAAAAATAGAGCAAACGTAGCAAACCGATTTATAAGGTGTCGGATTACATGAAACGTACAACTTTTGCTCTTGGCATGAAAAAGAACATCGTGCTAAAAATTGTGAAAAATAAACCAACAACCAATAAACAAAACCTTGTACAAAAAGGTAGGCATCCAAAGTTAGATTCTTTTGACATCAGGGTCATCAGAGATGTCATTCGCCGGCTATTTGCAAAATTGAATGATTTTAACCTACAGAATAATTCTCACTAATGGGTTTTGTGGTTAATGTTGAACAACTCAGAGAAACCCACCTTACCCTATTCACGACCTGTGACACCTCTTCATACCTGTCACGTGCATAGCTGACCTACATTGACGTGCATTGACCTTTATGATCCAACACTGCCGCTGTTACAGGTCATTGGTTCCCTCCCTCTGCAAGCATTCTGCGTTCTGCTGTTTATTTTGTTGACAGTTACATAGAAAGATTCTTTAATACAAATGCATAAAATCGGTGATTTACAATGTGATTAGGTTGTCTGACAAAACATCCACTTGCACAGTTTGAGATCGATTGGGTCATTGGATGAAGAGATATTTACCAAAAACCGGGTCCACATGCATTTCATGCCAAACTATAGTTCAGATTTGATTATTTCCAAACTGCCATTACATAGCTTGAAAATTGTGCAGTGCAAAAAAAACCCAGTAGTTTCAGCTGTTTGTTGGTATTCATTTACACCAACAAAGGAGCAGGTGACTTTTCCAAGTGAGTTACCAGGTAACACCGACCTCACATGCTACAATGAAGAAATGACTGTGACATCTTTGAGACAGTCACAGTCAGACCTCACATCATGGAACCCATACGGGTTAGAATTGATATTTAGTAACCCATGCTTTTCTTAAGAGGCGACTGATGGGATTGAGTAGTCAGGCTCGCTGACTTGGTGGACATGTGTAGACCGATGCTCATGCTGTTGATCACTAGTTTGTCTGGTCTAAACTTGATTATTTACAGTCCACCGCCTTATAGCTGGAATATTGCTGAGTGTGCAGCTTGAAACTAAACTCACTTCCTCACATTATGAATCCTTGTATCCCCATTGTCACATACATGAGGATCTGTGGACCCTTCATCCTACAGGGATCGTTACCACTTTAGTCAGTCATATCTACACCATATAACGGCAGACTGCAAAGAATATAATCTGGACCAGTCAAACCAGTGACTGAGAGCATGAACATTGGTCCACACCTCCATCTTATAAAGGAACTACGACTTGTGATGAGTCCTTCTCCCAAATATGTCCTCCCTATGAGAGATAAATTCCCTACTCTATGATTAACCTCGAAGACATGTTGGGCATATCTTACCTTAAAAGCATAGACAATTTCCTCCCTGAGAAATCTGTTTTCACCAGCAGTTTTGTCGAACAATCCCCAGTCCATCTTGATGTCCCAGGTGTAGGTGTAACAGGAGCTGGCCACTGCTGCCACCAGCCACAGGTAGAAGAACACGCTGTTCTGCCGATACTCCTCACCATACTCCTCTAGAAACAACAAACAACAACATCAGACAATATAGGAGCTGCCACCAGCCACAGGTAGAAGAACACGCTGTTCTGTTCTCCTCCGATACTCCCTCACCATAGGGCCACCAGCCTCAGGTAGAAGAAACGGCTGTTCTGCCGATACTCCTCACCATACTCCTCTAGAAAAACAAACAACATCAGACAATATAGGAGCTGCCACCAGCCACAGGTAGAAGAACACGCTGTTCTGCCAATACTCTTCACCATACTCCTCTAGAAACAACAAACAACAACATCAGACAATATAGGTGCCTGCCACCAGCCACAGGTAGAAGAACACGCTTGTTCTGCCGATACTCCTCACCATACTCCTCTAGAAACAACAAACAACAACATCAGACAATATAGGGCCGCCACCAGCCACAGGTAGAAGAACACGCTGTTCTGCCGATACTCCTCACCTAGAAACAACAAACAACAACATCAGACAATATAGAGCTGCCACCAGCCACAGGTAGAAGAACACGCTGTTCTGCCGATACTCCTCTAGAAACAACAAACAACAACAACAGACAATATAGGAGCCACCACCAGCCACAGGTAGAAGAACACGCTGTTCTGGCCGATATCACCTCCTCTAGAAACAACAAACAACAACAACAGACAATATAGGAGAGCCGCCACCAGCCACAGGTAGAAGAACACGCTGTTCTGCCGATACTCCTCTAGAAACAACAAACAACAACAACAGACAATATAGGAGCCGCCACCAGCCACAGGTAGAAGAACATGCTGTTCTGCCGATACTCCTCTAGAAACAACAAACAACAACATCAGACAATATAGGAGCCGCCACCAGCCACAGGTAGAAGAACACGCTGTTCTGCGATGTCCTCTAGAAACAACAAACAGCATCAGACAATATAGGAAACAACACCAGCCACAGGTAGAAGAACACGCTGTTCTGTCGATACTCCCATAGAAACCACAACAAGCCACAGCATCAGAGTATATAGGAGCCACCAGCCACAGGTTCTGGCGATACTTCTCCCATACTCCTCTAGAAACAACAAACAACATCAAATGGAGAAGTATGAGACAAATTGCAGGTCTGTTGGCGCTTCTGTAGAAACAACAACCGCAAACAACCCTCGCACCTACCTTTATGTATTTTGTACAGTGTGGAGAAGAGCATGACGAAGAAGGTTGTCGAGTACTTCCAGCGTTGACCACGTGGGGAACAGGAGCTTGGTGTCGCGGTAGCGCCCGAAGGCACTGAGCAAATCGAACCAGGCAGGAAGGCAGCCAACCACTGCTCGGATACCATAGATACTCTTGGTGCACACCTTCTCTGCAGGGACAGTAGTGGAACGGGAACAATTAGATCGCTAACAAGAATAGCAAAGCGAACAAGAAATATTTCTATATTGTAGTTATGTTTAGGCATGTGAGGTGGATGTAGGTGGATGTAGGTGGAAAGCCTGGAGTGATGGGTGCTGAAACTCACCGAAATGGGTATTGTGTTGTCAAACCTAGGAACATGGTCAGGGTGAAGCATTATTCATTCAATATATATTGTCATCATAGCAGTCAAATACATGGTAAATGGAGATGTGAGATGTTGTATACTTATACACTACAGTACTGCTATGTATATAGACCCATGATATTTTTTGTATTTCTTGGCAAGCTCTGGTATGGATATGCAAAACATCAACTCTGCCTTAAATTCTTATTAAGGCTTCATTTATTTATTATTATCTTGGGATGTATGTTTAGCATACCAATCCAATCACTGAGAGAGTGAGTGTGTTCATGATTGCAGTTTCTCAAGTGGCCTTGTCCTCAGAAGCATTGTCCTGTGCAGAGTTACATTTCATAGTTGTGACAGGATCTGATTGACATTGTGACCAACGATCATGTCATGAGGGGGTACCACGACACACAATCAGTCAAGCTATCAATCCTGACCACCTGATCCATGAAGTTGTCTGTTACTGGCGCAAGCAGAAGTTACACACAGTGACCAATGGTTTTACCCAGAATTCCAGCAATAACACAGTGAGTGAGAAATGGTCACACATTGTACCCATGTGGGGAATCGAACCGGGTCAATGAAAAACGCTTTAACCACTAGGCTACCCCACCGCCCCAATTCCCACACAGGAGCAAGGTCTCCTCTATCAACTGACCGGTATCACTGCCAAGCCACTCGACCTCGAAGGCGAAGTAGCAGATGAGGTATTCGAAGTCCAGCAGCACAGTGGCCAGGCTGTTGAGCTGGTCAGCCAGCCAAAAGTCAGCGAAGCCCACGTGGTGGAATGGAGCAGTGAAGATACGGAACTGAAACACGAACAGTACACATAACAATCTGTGGTGTTACAGGCATCCGTAGTCACAGGTCAATCCAATTCCTTTATCAAATATGTGGATTGGACTGCCATGATTTATTCTAGACCAGCACAGAGGCAGATATTCAGCTGTACATCTGCAGCAAATGTTAGTAAAAGTTTTAAAATGGTATTGAAAACAAGTCTCAGTTAACGTTAATATTCAGAACAAATGTGATAGCGCAGTCCTGGTGACGTATACTTTATACTTCGTTAACAGGGCCAATAAGAGTGAGTGAGTTAAAATTTTACATTGCATTGGCAATATTACAGCCATATAGCGATGGGCCAGAAAGAAGGAAGTGGTTTCATTCTACACTTCTGCATTGAATGTAAAAGTGCAATACCTCTGAAATTTTTTTTAAAAAGAAACAAAAAAGCTCTAAAACAAGAGCTAAATATTTCCCAGTTTGCCTTCCAAAAACATTAAGCTTTGAATCCTAAAGAAATCCCTGGCTATTTCCAGTGAGTAACCCCATCTCAGTCACCAAAATATTCCCGAATACGAGACATCAGTCATCAAGGGTTACAATCATTACACACATATTTGCGTGTAAATCATTACACACATATTACAACACCTAGTTGCCGGTACAGCAACGTGCAGTGAACTTGGACAAAATACTGTGACTATGTGTCCCAGTCCACCCAGCTGTGAATGGGTACCTCGTTAGGATGAGAAAGCCACAATAACTCGGTGCGCCTAGAGGCTGCAAGAGTTGTATACTCCCCAGGGAGTTGAGATTGATATGGATATGTGCGCTATATAAGTATCATATAATAATATACTTTTTACCATACCATGTTCATAAAGGACAATACTCCAGCAAGCAGGGGAACAACTCATAAATATGTTGTTTCTAGAAAACAATTTACCATCCCAAAACACATTAGCCTGATAGGTTCAAATGATATCTCCTTTGGTAATTACCTCAAGTTTTGCACATGTAAACAATAGTTTTCTGGCTGATTCCTCTCCTTTTAGGTTAGTTAATTCACCTCACTATGGGTAAGAAGTTTCTAAAGAATGTAATATGAGTATATTTCAGATTACACTTTCTTAGTAAAGTACAGATTCTAATACTTTTGTTAGGTTGAGTCCCATCCGGGATCTGAACCCCCACACAAATCGCCAGAGCACAAAGTCAGCCATCTAACCCACTTGGCTTCCACAATAGCATTTTGTACTCATAGGCCTAACGAAGATGAAATGGAGATGAAATGTGTGTTACTTGTGAAGTAGGACAAATGCCAATGAAAAACAATACTTCTGAAAACAATCTCTCCCTGAAGAGAGGCACGTACCAGCACCCTGAGGAGCCACATACGGGCTCGGTAGTAGAATATCTTGAAGGGGTTGATGAGGAACAGCATCAACATCCCCGCCATGGACAGCGGGAACACCATCGACGGGATGGAGACGGTGGGGCTGAACAGGTAGCACAGCACACTCAACGCCCACACCACAGCCAGGAACGATGCCAGCTGTAGAACAGAGATCCAGTCAATGAAGGAGTTTCAAAATATAGCACCACGCAGACAACAAGAACTTCAGATAATCTATCCCAAGTGAAAGAATAGTGTAATCTATGCACACAGGAGCTTTCCCTTTTCTGAAAGCACACCTCTGGTGGGGTAGCCTAGTGGTTAAAGCGTGTCCGCGCCGAAGACCGGGGTTCGATTCCCCACATGGGCACAATGTGTTAAGCCCATTTCTGGTGTCCCCCGCCATGATATTGCTGGAATATTGCTAAAAGCGGCGTAAAACTAAACTCAGTCAGTCAGTCAGCCAAGCACACCTCTATCAAAGGCACAGTGTAACTCATGTGAAGACTGGGATTTTCCTCTGATTAAGCTTAGCTCTAGTTCAGGTGAAGTAACCATATTAAGGCAGGGCTTGATTTAAAAGATGTTAACCTACTTGCACCAGGTGCAACCTAAGATAAAAACCTAGTTGCACCAGCCAAATTCCAGTTGCAACGTAGTGTGTTAAAACATCAGAGGTTTCGGTGCACATAAACATATTTCTGTCATGTAGTACCATTGAAACCATAGCAACACAGAGACACAGCTGATCCCTGTTTACAATCTTGAGCTATCATAGCCGCGACGTGTCTATGAATAGCAATGTTTCGTTGCCATAGCTATTCAAAGTTTATAACAAAATGGAGCTGACATATTTATGCTTATATTGTTAGATTTATTGTTGATTTATTTCTCAAAAAATGACATGCACCTGGTGCAAGTTAGACTAATAACTATGTTGCACTTTGCAAAATTGGGTTGCACCAGTGCAAGTAACAAAGCACTAAATCGAGCCCTGTAAGGTCAATTTAACACAGCTTTGTACAGTATTTCAGTTATATCTGCTCTTGAATCCAGCAAGGTCTAAACTTCTTCTACACATTAAGCAGCATACAACATAATTATGAGAACTTTTTTCACAATGAAAATATATCTGTTACTGTGGTAACTACCTCTAGCAACTGAGCATGTGTCAGATGATGGCGTGGGTCGATCTCGAAGATGAGCACATGGTTGACCCCTGATGACCTCCAGCCGTACGTGTTGACCCCCAGGAGAAAGAGGATGAAGATGAGGAGAAACATCCCGCGGTACATGCGGAGAGCTGGCTCCCAGTCCGCGTGATGGTTCGTGAACACAGCTGCAGCAGAGGTACACCCAGTCAGCAAGGAGAACCACAGCATATTTCACGTCAGAATTTGTAATGAAGTAAACTTATGTTTTCATTTAACTGTTGCAGGAACAGAGGCAGCCTTTGCTAACAACCATGTAGCAGACCGTGTAGCATCTTACCTGCGATGATGAGGACGATGACGAGGATTGAAAACATGCCAAGAAACAATCCCACTTTGAAGTTGGTCCATGGATTTTGCTGCAAACACAAACAGTGTCGTGTTTTGTTCATGATCACTAGCTTCACTGAAATGTTCTCAAATTGAAATATTCCCGGTTAAGAAATAGCAGCACACTTATTCAGTGATGTTGTTATGGTATAATTTGTTTCTTCTGATGTTTGTTGTTGAATGCCGCGATATTCCAGCTTAATGGTGGTGGTCTGTAAATGGTCTAGTTGGGACCAGACCATCCAATCTTCAACATCGTGAGCATCGATCTAGACAATTGGGATACGATGACAGGAGCTAACCATCCAATCTCGTTAGTCGCTACTTACATGGCCAATTCTAACCTTCATGAGGATATTGTTTGAGGAAGGGCTTCATGATGCTTGCAATGATTTACATTAGAAATGTTGAGATAGCTTGGTTGAAAGCCATTTTGAGAATTATTCCAGTTCAATTATATCCTGGCGTTACAGCTCAATGTGACGCAGGTCTCGGATGCAAAACCACCAACCATGGGTATGGCGTGCACAAATCTAGAGACAAAATCAGGTTCAAACCACCATGAGTGAGTGAGTGCATATTGCTTCATGCCACATTAGCAATTTTTAATCTTTCACAGCAATAAATGTCTTCTGTTTTACTGTGACATGGAACATAACCCTGATTATTGGCGTCTGGTGTGTTCAAGGGACACAACTCTGCACTGTAAATTGTAGCGCCTTAGTTCATAGGTCAACCTGTGCTCCAATACATGTTTCTAAATGGGAGGTTGATTCTGACATCATGTTGTAAAGGTTTGTCCAATGCTGAATGATAGTTCCCTAGTGATTGACTCTTTATTTCATATCGACAAGAAACATCAATGTTACAGAAGATTCTGATTGTTACCTGGTCCCCAAGGGGTGGTACTCTCAATCTCTTCATGGCCTTCTGTCTGTTTCCCCCTTCCAGCTCACTCGTCACACTTTGCTGAAAGAAAAACACAGCAGAGCTACAGATAACTTTTTGGTCATTGAGTTATGTACTTCGCTTGTGTTCATCTCAGTTGGGTATCCTAATTTTCCTTTGAGTAACCAAATAAATTATACCCTCCTCACTCAAACTCAGTTGGGTATTTTGCCATTTTCCATCAATTGTAAAAATAGAATAAAGTTTAAATGATCGTTTACGTGTGTGTTATCTATATTTGATCTGTAATATGAGAAAGATATGAAAGACTGCAAGTTGCCAAGTTCATATTCTGAAATAGAACCTCACAATCTACCTCAGTTATTCTATCTATCCTCAGTAACTTCCACCTGTAGCGGATGGGTCTGCTTACTTCAAATTCTAGAAGGTTTGCTGAATGTTACAGTACACAAGATAAGATTTGACAGTTTTGTGTGTATGCATGTAAGCATAACCTGATAATACAGGTAAACTTGTAGAACTAATTGCATGTTTGGCAGCAAATATAGTTACAAGCAGTGAATACAATCAAAAATGAAAAAAACCCAGAACATTTATCTTGAATTATCCATAAGAAAGCAATAGATTCCAAATACCACATAGCAACTGTTAAATTACTCATAACATTACTGTCCTGACAACAAGCTGGAAGATGGAGACTTGACTCTGACAGTGCCCTGACTCTCTCAGTGTGATGGCTCCCTACCTCTGTGTCCTTGATGAGATGGTCCACCTCCTTGTTGGTGTAGAATGGTGCTGACTCCACATGGGTTTGTCTCCACTCCACACCACGGCTCGTCTGCATCAGCTGAACACACACACAGGCAGTGTGACACATAGTTGGAGTAAGTAACCCTTAACTATCTAGTGTATAATACCTTCACTTCTGTTAGGTAAATACCCTGGACATTTTTGCCAGATTTGTATCAAGAGTGATTTTCCCAATTATTTGTACCTTTATTTCAGCTGAAGATGTGAGGACACATTATACTGACTCGAGCCGACCAGTCATTGGCAAGGGTACAACAGATATGTGTTTCTGACCTTCCGGCTTCTCGGGCAGAACCCTAAATGAGTACCCAAGCCAAAATCTGCAGAACCCTAAAGACACATACCCGAGGATGGGTCCATTCTGAACTGCCCTATCTCTAAATTGGAACTGTTTTACTGAGATTCATTTGTGTTAGATAAAAAATGACCATATGAACATGTTGCGATGCACAGTATCATAAACCAGTTTGGGATTCAGGAATAAGGACTAGTCTGCCATTTAGGGTAGTTGGTACATTTCTGTGTTTTGACTACTTCATCCTTTTCATGTCTCTTTAGTTCTTCTGCAAAGGTAATATAATTACTGGTACTATTTCCCTGCAACTATTCATACCTTGTCATGTTTCTTGAGGATCTTCCTGAAGCCAGTGAAGTTGAGAGTCTGGTAGTTCTGCAGGAGAATGAGACTCAGGTAGAACTCACTGAACGCCAGCTTCAAGTCGTGAAGTTTCCTCATGTGCGTCATACCTGCGCTCTCCTTATCCTTAAAGCGAGCATAAATACTTGGCCTCCGTCTGCGTAGACTGCTGCTTCCAGATGTTTTCAACTCATGCTCCATGTATGCTTGTAGCTCTGACTTCAGGTTGGCATACTTCCTGTTGGCCTCAGAGAGCTTCTCTGTCAAGAAAAATTTTCAGTGTGTGTGAGTAAGTGTGTCAGTGTGTGAGTATGTCAGATTTAGCTGGGTTACTGCTATTTTAAAAAGTATTCCCATTATATAATCTTTTGTCAGCTTAATGTGTGAGTGAGTGAGTGAGCGAGTGAGAGAATGTAGTTTTACGCCACTTTTAGCAATATTCCAGCAATATCATGCCAGGGGACACCAGGAATAAGCCTCACACATTGTACCCATGTGGGGAATCAAACCATGGTCTTCGGCATGACAAGCAAACACTATAACCACTAGGCTACCCCACCTCCCCTAATGTAAGAGGAAAGCTAGGACTGTTCACTACTTTGTGTATCCAGTGAGCACAGCTATGGTGCTGACAAACTAGATGCATTATTGAGGCAAACTGGACCTGTGAAGATCCAATTACAACTGATCATCAGTAACCATGCTTGTTGTAAGTGGCAACTAACGGGATCGGGTGGTCAGTCTCGCTGACTTGGTTGCCACATGTCATCATATCCTGATTGCGCAGATTGATGCTCATGATGTTGATCACTGGATTGTCTGGTCCAGACTCGATTATTTACAGAACTCCGCCATATAGCTAGAATATTGCTGAATGTGGCATAAAACTCGAGGCAAGGATATAATCCTGAATACCTCCTCATTTATCAATACTAAATTGAGAACAAATACAATATTGTTGTGTCTGCCAAGGGCATGGAACAGTTTGGATTCATAAAAGATACATTGATGAGAAAACGCTACAAGCTGAAACAACAATGCGAGGAGTTTAGAGAGAAGTCAAATTACCCAAGAAGAAGGTGTTGATCTTGGCAAGTTCCTTGTCACAAAACTGGAAGAACTTCTCATCAAACCGGGCAAAGTACCTCTGGATAGTACTCTGATCCACAACTACAACACATCCACATCAAGTGTTGTGACCATCATCAGATCTTCACAGCATGGTAATATACAACCAGAGAGAAGTTAACAACATGTGAACATTAAATAAAGACCCGAGACAGCCAGATTTGGAAGTTGTTTTGTTTGTGTTTGTGACATACAACTCTAAACAAGTTAAGAACAATAGATAATGTGTCATTAAGCATAGTAATATGGTAAAAAAGATAAGAAAAACAATTCTTCAAGTTCATCTCAGTTGTATACATGAACACAAAAAATATTCAAAATCTGGCGACCTTTGGTCTTTAACTGCAGAGAGAATATGGCATTTGTTACCTAACCTAATGTCTAGCAGTGGCATTGGCAAAATGAGAGAAAATCCTTTCTTGTAAAGCTAACATAATGTATACAGTACTGTATTTTCCTGGGATAGATCAAGTTTCTGTATATGTTGCAAAAACAATTAGGGCAGAATGTTGTGCATTTGGTTTTGGCCAGGGTCCATTTCTGTAATCAGCGACAACATGTCATTTAAACTATAGCAACTACTGACCTTCCAGTGACGGAGCTTGTTCCTGAGCTTCATACAGCATCTCCTTCATGGCCTGAAACACAATAGTGAGTGAGTGAGTGTTGGTGGATGGATGGATGGGTGAGTAAGAGGGTAGGTGGGTGGGTGGATGGATGGTTGAGTAAGATGGTAGGTGGGTGGAGTGGATTGATGGATGGTTGGAGTAAGAGGGTAGGTGGGTGGGTGGATGGATGGATGGTTGAGTAAGAGGGTGGGTGGGTGGGTGGATGGATGGTTGGGTAAGTAAGATGGTAGGTGGGTGGGTGGATGGATGGATGGATGGTTGAGTAAGGGGTAGGTAGGTGGGTGGAAGGATGGATGGTTGAGTAAGAGGGTAGGTGGGTGGGTGGATGGATGGTTGCTTGAGTAAGGGGTGGGTGGGTGGGTGGATGGTTGAGTAATAGTAAGGGGGTGGGTGGATGGATGGATGGATGGTTGAGTAAGAGGGGTAGGTAGGTGGGGGTGGATGGATGGTTCAGCTGAAGAAGAGGATAGGGGTGGGTGGGTGGGTGGATGGATGGGTTTGCAGATAAAGAGGATAGGTGGGTGGATGAGTGGTAGGGTGGGTTTGATCGAGATAAGTGGGTGGGTGGGTGGATGGATAGTTGAGTAAGGGGGTAGGTGGGTGGGTGGATGGATGGTTGAGTAAGAGGGTAGGTAGGTGGGTGGATGGATGGTTGAGTAAGAGGATAGGTGGGTGGATGAGTGGATGGGTGGGTTTGCAGATAAGAGGATAGGTGGGTGGATGGATGGGTGGTAGGGTGGGTTTGCAGATAAGTGGTTGGTGGGTGGGTGGGTGGGTGGATGGATGGTTGAGTAAGGGGTAGGTGGGTGGGTGGATGGATGGTTGAGTAAGGGGTAGGTAGGTGGATGGATGGATGGATGGATGGGTGGGATGGGTGGATTGTTGAGTAAGGGGGTAGGTAGGTAGGTGGGTGGATGGATGGGTGGTTGAGTAAGAGGATAGGTGGGTGGATGAGTGGGAGGGTGGGTTTGCAGATAAGTCTACGCAGACAGTAATTCTCATGTCATAATAATGTTCTGAATCCTTAATATTAAAACTCAAGAAACATAATAAGCATATATTGAGCAGCAATAAAAACAAATAAACTACAGAGATGTAATCATAGCTTATCGTTTTGACATAAATAGCTCCTTTGAATCACAAATGGTCATTCCAAAATGGCGAATGCTCAGGTTAACTTTAGATACATTGCTAATACTAAAGGTGGTCAGAATTTAGCGTTAGATGGTTTTAAATTCAGAGTTAAGTCTAGACATAATATTATCACATACTGGGAATGTTGCAAAAAAGCCTGCACAGCCAGAGTTACCATTCGCGATGCTATGAGTATGACCTTTCTATGAAACTATCAAACTGTATATAAATATTTATACCGGTACTATGTATTGGATTTTGTTGGACTGTAAGTTGTTTTACTGTATGTTTAGTGCTATGAGTATCACCTTACTATCAAACTGTATATAAATATTTATACTATTAAATGTCCTACCTAGTGTTACCTTGTTTCTTGCTACAGACTATACCTTATTCCCCTTTGTTAACTAATTGGTCACAGCCAGGTGGACCCAGACTCTAAACAACAGATGTGGGGAATGTGAGGTGTCGCCGGGGGCACAAAGGAAGACAAGGTGAGGTGAGGTGATATTGGGTTTAACGTCGTGCTTGAGAATATTTTGCTCATATGACGTGCATGCATGTATGTGTATATGCGGCTGCTTGTACTAGCCCAGACTTAAGCTGGTTTTATAGTGCTAGCCCACTGAGATACCATGCCGCAGTGAAGCATGAATACCCCACTCAGACACATTATACTGACTCCGAGCCGACCAGTCCTTGTTGTACCCATTAATGCCGACCGCCAGGCAGGGACCAACAAGTACCATATTTTAACGTCTTTTGGTATGACGCGGTCGGGGATCGAACCCGCGACCTTCCGCTCTCCGGGCGGACCCTCTAACCACTACACCACAGAGGCGGTCAGGAAGACAAGGACTGGATTGAGGTGAAATTTGTTAATTGGAGATATTTTTCCTGCTCTGTAAATCAGGTTCTACAAAATAATTTGATGTCTTTGATTGGCATTCTAAAAGTTGAGGAGATGAAGAATGAGGACTATTATTATGGACATACAACTTCTTTAAAGAATAAAAAATTTGTATATCCATAAAAATAATCCTCATTCTTCAAAATAATATGCCTAATCAGTTATTGCTTTTTAATCTAATAACAGCATTTTTTATATTAAAACATATCATAACAACAAATAATGACTGCATTAAATAGAGAGATATTTCTACTTAAATAACAAAATAACAGCATCTTTTCTTATAGCCATGTTATCTTTGTGAGTCAAATTTCCATCTTTCGCCAGTATTTGTCCAATCTTGTTCAAGCACATGTTAGTCTCCAGTGTTTATATTTATCTTACAGATGAACAAACCCACATCCAGGTATCAGTTTCGGAGATAACACAGGGTTAACCGCTTCCCTTGTATCAACAGACAGGGTCGATAAGAGATTGTCAACCCCAGATTTGTTTAGGATTTTAAACAAAGTCCTCTTGTTGGGCAAAGTGGGAAAATGATCATTTTGTTCCAAATTGTTTGTTTTTGTTCTAAATTGTTGTTTATATACAGCATTTGTTTTTAAATTCAGTGTATTATAATGCATCTGATGCTGTAATGAGTAGGAATGTCACGATACCTAAGTTTTCATGAATCGATACGTGTCACGATTAGATACGCATCACGATACCTATTTTCGTGGCATTATTGGGTAAATTTAGTTACATTATGAACATTAATATTTCATATTTTAGAATTGTCCATGAAAAGATTTTTTATTCTCAGAGATTAATAAGTTCTAATTTCCCATCTTTGTGCATGAAAAATAATCATAACATCTCTTAAACATCAATTGCAAAATGTAAATGATACATATACATATTTAAACTGATACTTTCAAAACTAAATATCGACACAGTTTTGATTATAATTGTATCGTCTTAGCAAAAGTATCGATGCATCGGTGTATCAATGTATCGTGGCATCCCTAGTAATGAGAAACCAGGTATTAAAGCCTCTTCTTTGGTTCTGTTGTCAGTGAAGTCTCCTCTCCCGAGCCACAACATCGTTGCCATGGTTATCATAATCATCATGATAACTATATCATATACACTGAAATACATCGGGGAAAGGTCACTTTACTGATTTGGAATATTTGGGATAACACTTTCTCAGTAAAGTACAAATTCTAGTACTTTTAGTTGTTGAGTCTAATCTGGGGACCGCCTCCGTGGTGTAGTTGTTAGAGCGTCCGACCGGAGAGCGGAAGGTCGCGGGTTCGATCCCCAACCGCGTCATACCAAAAGACGTCAAAATATGGTACTTGTTGGTCCCTGCCTGGTGCACTATAAAACTAGCACTATAAAACCAGCTTCAGTCTGGGCTAGTACAAGCAGCCGCACATACACATACACGCGCATGCACGTCGTCATATGACCGAAATATTCTCAAGTACGACGTTAAACCCAATTTCACCTCACCTCTTATCTGGGATTCGAACCCACATTCTCCGAGTGAAACACGTGTGTACTGGTGAATAGGTGTCTCCCTCTGAGAGCGTGGTTTACAAATCCCAGAAAAAGTACTAGAGTGTGTACTTTACTGATAAAGCATAATCCGTAACATAACATGCTACATTTGACAACTTTCAAAACAGCATTGTGTGTTCATTGTGCATTAAAACTGACTTTTTCTATATTCTTGGGGGTAGATCACATCTCCTTAACAGACCTAGAGAAAACCCTGAACAACACAGCTTCTGATACAAAGGTAACAACACCAGCAGACACAAGCAACAGACAGAAAGTCTGCAGATACGTATACTTAAATAAATATATACCTTTTATCAAACTGACAGTATTTCCTGTAAATCTGACCAGTAAGTGTAATCTAGGATCAAAGCAAATACAATATCAGTTTTCCGTTTTATTGCTGAGCAGCAATAAGTCTTGACCCACATCACGTTTCAACATGTTCATGTCTTAACAGGAGGTGAGGTGAAATTGGGTTTAACATCATGCTTGAGAATATACGACGTGCATGTGTGTGTATGTGTATGTGCGGCTGCTTGTACTAGCCCAGACTTAAGCTGGTTTTATAGTGCTAGCCCAATGAGATACCATGCCGCAGTGAAGCAAGAATACCCCACTCAGACACATTATACTGACTCCGAGCCGACCAGTCCTTGTTGTACCCATTAATGCCGAGCGCCAGGCAGGGACCAACAAGTACCATATTTTAACCTCTTTTGGTAAGACACGGCCAGGGATCGATCTCCGGGCGGACGCTCTAACCACTACACCACGGAGGCGGTCTCTTAACAGGGGGACTGCCTGAGTGAATCACTGAGACGAAAAATAAAGTTTCAATCATTTTCTTTTGTGGTACTTTTCAGAGATGAAGTATCCTTCGTGTCAAAGAAGCATTGATGACACTTTAAACATGTACTGTGTGAAGGTCCGAAAGATGTACGGTTTAAAAGAATATTGATTAAAGCAAGCCTGTACATGGCAAACTTAAACTAAAAGGAAGGTGTATGATGTAGTGTTTGATTTAGACTACGCTTTGTGCCTGAAAATATATATTTTGATCAGAAAATAACTCAATTTAATTTGAAAAGGAGCACCAGCAAGATGAGAGATCTTGAACCTGAGCAAAATCTGGTCTTGCTTACTTTAAGACTCTTGCAGTACATTAGGGCTGGGAGGAAGGGGATATAATATGGTTCTGGGATTGTTTTCGAATATGTTTTTTTCAGCAATATTCCAGCAGTATCACAGCAGGGGACACCAGAAATGGGCTTCACACATTGTACCCATGTGGGGAATCGAACCTGTGTCTTCGATGTGATGAGTGAACGCTTTAACCACTAGGCTACCCCACTGCCCCTCGCTGTTTGTTTTTGAAGTAACGATCGTCCTTCTATATATAATAATCAGTTATCAT